TATGGAACTCTTCCGACATGAATTTTGGTGCATTTTCGATTGACAAAGAAAGGCAGTATGGTGTTTGATCATTGAATATGGAGCACTTCCGACTGGAATTTTGGAGTATTTTCAATTGTGAATTATAGGAAAGATATAAATATTTTTCCAGAGCAAGCAATTTGAACTTCTTTGGAACGATGCAGACGTTATTCATCATGGGTTATGGAGCTCTTCCGACATGAATTTTGGTGTATTTTCGATTGACAAAGATAGGCAGTATGGTGTTTGATCCAATTACCCTATATAAAAATATAAAATAAGCATTTTTTTTCCTTTTGTCCAGAATTTTTTCAAGTCAAAATTTTTTTCTTGTGTCCAAATTTTTTCCTCTCAAAATTTTTCCAGCCAATATTTTTTTTCTTGGGTCCACATATTTTCTTGTTTTTTTTTCTTGTGTCAAATTTTTTTCTTCTGTTAATTTTTTTTCTTGTGCCAAATTTTTTTCCAGTCAAAATTGTTTTTCGTTTCAAAATATTTTGCCTGTAATTTTTTTTTTGGGTCCAAATGTTTTTTCTTGTCAATGTTTTTTGTTGTGTCAAATTTTTTTTCAAATTCCTGTCAAATTCTTTCCTTTTGCCAAATTTTTTTCCAGCCAAAATTGTTTTTCGTTTCAAATTTTTTTTCTGTAATCTTTTTTCTTCTGTCAAAATGTTTTCTTTTGTTTAAAATTTCTTTTCAAGTCAATATTTTTTCTTCTGTCCAAAATATTTTTTTCCAGTGAAAGTCTTGTTTCTTCGGTCCAATTTTTTTTTAAGTCAAAATGTTTTTCTTGTGTTCAAAGTGTTTTTTCTTCTGCCAAATTTTTTTTCCAGTCGAAATTGTTTTTCGTTTCAAAATATTTTGCCTGTAATTTTTTTCTTGGGTCCCAATTTTTTTTTCTTGTCAATGTTTTTTGTTGTGTCAAATTTTTTTTTTTCATGTCAAAATTTTTTTTCCTATCAAATTTTTTCCTTGTGCCAAATTTATTTTCCAGCCAAAAATTTTTTTTCGCTTCAAATTTTTTTTCTGTCATTTTTTTTCTTGTGTCAAAATGTTTTCTTCTGTTTAAAATTTCTTTTCCAGTCAATATTTTTTCCTCTGTCCAAAATATTCTTTCCAGTAAAAATTTTATTTCTTCGGTCCAAATTTTTTTTCCAGTCAAAATGTTTTTCTTGTGTTCAAATTGTTTTTTCTTCTGCCAAATTTTTTTTCCAGTCGAAATTGTTTTTCATTTCAAAATATTTTGCCTGTAATTTTTTTCTTGGGTCCAAATTTTTTTCTTGTCAATGTTTTTTGTTGTGTCAATTTTTTTTTTAATCAAATTTTTTTCTTGTGCCAAATTTTTTTGCTTCAAACATTCACGAACATTGAAATAGCGTCAAGCATTTACGAAGACTATTACTCTCTGTTTTTTAGCATATTTGATTTGTTATTGGAACATTGAAAAAATTGTCAATTCTGGCATGGTATGTGAGGGCTCACGTAAGGAATGATATATATATTGTAAGGTTGGTAACAACATACGATCTGGTGGCCGAGTGGTTAAGGCTACGGCCTACCAGGTTGTAAGCGTAGGTTCGAATCCTGCAACGGAAGGGTTCGATTTTTCCACCCGAAATTATTATTTAATTTATAATTCGTCGAAAAGAATTAGGTCAAATAAAGAACAATAGCTTTCGGCAAATGATGCGGTGGTCTAATGGTTAAGACATTCGTTTCTCACTCCGAGGACAAACGTTTCAATTCCTTGCAATGCAAAAAAATTAGCCTGAAAAATTTCGGTGTGATTTGGAAGCCTTTAAAACAGTTAAAAGACTTCTCGGCCTTTGCGAAAGACTGTAAATTGAAAAAAATTTGAAATAAAAAAAATGAAAACAAATTCTTGCGTTCAAAAGTACTTGAAATTTGAAAGAAAAGCACAATTAAAAAAAGTTTTAAAAACACGTGTCTTCTAAAAAGCCTGAACTTGAATGAAGAAAGTTAGACGGAAAAAAATTTAACAATTTCCCGCTTTTAAAAAACTCATGTTTACTTACCTTAATTTTTTTTTCACGAAAATTTGACAGGGGGATTTTCTCGAGACTGAAAAAATTTAATTTTTTTCACTTTTTTGAAATTCTCTTAGATTTTTTTTTCGACGCGAAAGTATTTTGTCTTGGGCTACCTGTGTCAAGCCAGACACAGGTAGCCCAAGACAGACACAGGTAGCCCAAGACAAAATACTTTCGCGTCGAAAAAAAATCTAAGAGAATTTCAAAAAAGTGAAAAAAATTAAATTTTTTCAGTCTCGAGAAAATCACCCTGTCAAATTTTCGTGAAAAAAAAAATTAAGGTAAGTAAACATGAGTTTTTTAAAAGCGGGAAATTAATTTTTTAATTTTTTTTTCCGTCTGACTTTCTTCATTCAGTTCAGGCTTTTTAGAAGACATGTGTTTTTAAAACTTTTTTTAATTTTGCTTTTCTTTCAATTTTCAAGTACTTTTGAACGCGAGAATTTGTGTTCATCTTTTTTATTTCAATTTTTTTCAATTTACAAGTCTTTCGCAAAGGCCGAGAAGTCTTTTAACTGTTTTAAAGCTTCCAAATCACACCGAAAATTTTCAGGCTAATTTTTTTGCATTGCCAGGAATTGAAACGTTTGTCCTCGGAGTGAGAAACGAATGTCTTAACCATTAGACCACCGCATCATTTGTCGAAAGCTATTGTTCTTTATTTGACCTAATTCTTTTCGACGAATTTTAAATTAAATAGTAATTTCGAGTGGAAAAATCGAACCCTTCCCTTGCAGGATTCGAACCTACGCTAACAACCTGGTAGGCCATAGCCTTAACCACTCGGCCACTAGATCGTATGTTGTTACCAACCTTACAATATATATTTATATATACAATATATATATATATATATATATATATATATATATATATATATATATATACCAAAATTGACAGTTTTTTCAATGTTCCAATAACAAACCAAATATGCTAAAAAACAAAGAGTAATAGTCTTCGTGAATGTTTGAAACTACAGGGTGTCCCAAAAAAAACGAAAACTATTGAAATCACCCATAACAATGCAATTGTTAGAGTTTGAATGCCTAAGCACTCTGTTGGGACCCACAGGGGTATAAATGTTTACCATACTCATTTTTATGCATGCATATGATGCAGTAAATTTGCTTGTTCGCACAAATGATATTTACTAACAATATTTACAATTTACAAATATGGATAACATTATTTAAATGTGCATCTCAAGGAGCATGACCTTCGATACGTCCCCTTTCTCTAGCAACACAAAGCATTTAGCATTTTATAAGTTGCATTAAATCCCCACGGGCTGAAATTCGTGAACACGGCATTCAAATTTTAACAATGAGTGATTTCAATAGTTTTCGTTTTTTTGGGACACCCTGTATTTCAATGTTCGTGAATGTTTGAAGCAAAAAAAATTTGGCACAAGAAAAAAAATTGATTAGAAAAAAAATTTTGACACAACAAAAAACATTGACAAGAAAAAAAATTTGGACCAAGGAAAAACAATTTGAACACAAGAAAAACATTTTGACTGGAAAAAATAGTTTGGACAGAAGAAATAAAATTTTTACTGGAAAAAAAATATTTTGGACAGAAGAAAAAGTATTGACTGGAAAAGAAATTTTGAACAGAAGAAAACATTTTGACACAAGAAAAAAAAAATTGACAGAAAAAAAATTTAAAACGAAAAAAAAATTTGGGCTGGAAAAGAACTTTGGCACAAGGAAAAAATTTGATAGGAAAAAAAATTTTGACACGAAAAAAAATTTTGACACAACAAAAAACATTGACTAGAAAAAAATTTTACCCCCAAGAAAAATTCTTCACAAGAAAAAAAAATTAACAAAAAAAATTTGACTTGAAGAAAATTCGAATACAAGAAGAGGTGTGTGACACAAGAAAAAATTTATATTCAAGGAAAAATTGGCGCAAGAAAAAAAATTGACAGCAAAAAAACATTTGGACAAAAGAAAAAGAATTTGGTCACAAGAAAAAAAATTGGACACAAGAAAAAAAAATTTAAAAAAAATTGACACCATCCTCGTCCCCAGGGCCTAGCCCTGTTGCTCTCCACACATAGGGAGCTAGCCCTGGGGACGAGGATGATTGGACACAAGAAAAAATTATGACAGGAAAAAGGATTTGTACACCAGAAAAAAAATTTGACTGAAAAAAAAACAGTACTTCACAGTCTTTCCTAAAGACCTAGGAGTCTTTTTACTTTTTTAAGCTTCCAGATCATACCGAATTTTTTCAGGCTAATTCTTTTTTGCATTGCCAGGGCTTGAAACATTTGTCCTTGGATTGAGGGACCGTGGTTTTAAACATTTGTCCTTGGATTGAGAGACTAAGGTCTTAACCACTAAACCACCACATCATTTGTCGAAAGCTATTTTCGATCTAATCCTTTTCGACGAGTTTTACATTAAATAGTAATCTCGAAGGGAAAATATCACCTTTGCCATGCAAGATTCGAACCTCCGTAGCCTTACCACTAGGCCACCGGCCGTGTGTTGATAACTTGTGAAAATTTTCTGAAACTGTGTTAACATGTTAAAATGTGTTAACATTCGACTCTTGAAGTCATACACACTTTTTTGGTTTCTCTGTACTTCGTGCAACCTTAAACGGGCGCTTGAGTATTTGTATAATAATATACATAATAATATACGGCTACGGCCCTACCAGGTTGTAAGCGTAGGTTCGAATCCTCCATGACAATTTAAATATGATATTATTTGAAAGCTTAAAAAGTTAAAAGACTCCCAGGTCTTTACGAAAGACTGTAAAATTGATATAAGTTTGGAAGTTGAAAAAACTGGAAAAAAAATTTAAAAAATTCTCATTTCCGACATACATATACTAGTGCTTTTTGAATTTTTTTTAATTTAATCAATTTTCATCGTGACTGATCACAAAAAATGAAATATGAGAAATGGCAAAACAACAAGCTATCTTTAATATCAGTGACTAGGTTTTGTTACAAATTGCAGGAGTCTATTTTTGGCAAAACATGAATTTAATTTTCATAAATTGAGCCATAGTTAGCAGTAATAGTTAGTAATAATAGTTCGAAAAACTAGCCAATGTCAGTATAGGTACAAAAATTTGTACAGTAAATGAATCAATGTTTTCAACAACTCTTGCGCAGTTCTTTTGCTTCTTCAACCGTTTTTGTATCTTCTTCCGTCTTTGGATTAAATATAAGAAGCTTTTCCAACCATGATCGAGCTTCTGTTTTCTTATTTAGACGAAGATAGCATTTTACAATCATCAGTTGATTCATGGTGTAAAAATTTGGCTCAAGACGCTCTGCTCGCTCAAAATAATCAAGAGCCTCCTCGTATGACGATGAAGGTGGTGTATCAAATATAGCACTAGCAATTTTTCTTTGATACCAGGGAACATCAGCAACAGTAAAACACCATCTTCCAAGCAAATGATAACATGTTGGATCTAAGGGATTAAGCTCAATTGCTCTCTTGAAATGATTTTGAATTATATAAGCATTTGAGATTTTCTGTTTTGTTCCCTCATAATCTCCTATTCTGCTCAGTGTGATGGCATACCACTTATGACAAGCGAAGTTTTCTTCATCACAGGCCAACGCCCGCTTTGCATACTCATGTGCCTCATAAGTTAAAGATTTTTTACTTGTTTCATCAGTGACAGAAAGAGTGGCAAGATCTCGAGCAGCTCTTGCTAATCTCCACAATAACCCAGCATTACTACAATCTTTATACTGGGAAAGGTAGGCGAATAGATTTTTTACAACTTCAACTTCATTGCTTTCTTTATCTTCTTTTGATTGGTATAGCTTATCAGCATGTTTTATAGCCTCCTCCTCAATATGGCCAGATTCCAAATTTGTTGCCTCCATCTTATCTTCACTTTTCCAGCCAAATAAAGACAAAGCCAATAGTGGAGGTACTGGGGTTAAAAAATGCCGAGCAAACCTTTGCAACCTTGGTACAACCTATCAACAGAACAAATAATCAGTAGGAAGCTCGTTTTTTCTGCACTTTAGCATCATGTAACACATGAATGAAGAACAATACCACATATATAGAGGAAATACAGAACTTAAAACTAATGCAGAACTTCGCTACAGGTACTCTGAAATTAATGCTGAATCCTAGATTTAAAACCCTCTGCTGTGAAAAAGCAAACAATATTTGCATTGGGGGAAGTAGTGTAATTTGATTTGATATTTTGATTTCATGTGAAATTGTAAAGTTGAAAGTTCTATTAGCAATTAACTACATTTTAACATATAATTGTCAATTTCTTATCTTTTCAAGGATGTATAACTACTAAGACACTAAGGCATAGGTCAAAAATCACACTTTTCATATGCTGAAAAACAATAATAGAAAATAAAGTGTCACACCTTGATATTTTACGATTTTTCTGTTACTTTAAAAAATCCATATTTTCCGAAGTAATGCTTTTATCAATAACCTCTCCTGATATAAGTGATATTACCCAGCCCATCCCTACTTAAGTTCTTCAATAAATTTTACCAAGCTTGCAACTACGAATTATTATTGCTATTTTTTTCCATCATTTCAATCAACTTCTATAAACATATTCACAATCACGGAATTTGTAGTTTAGCGTATAAGCTAGACGTTTGGCTAAACGTTTCTGTTCAAATAAAAGCCGTCTTTTCATCGTATAAAAAATGTAAAAATACCTAAAAGTTTATCTAAATTTTCGTTGTAACATTAAAACGATGTTTACACATAGTGGTAGCCTTTGACAAACGTTTTTGCACGACAATCGATCTTAGACGCAATAGAAATAAAATTTCATACCTGTCGAAATTTCCAATATTTCAAATATCTTGTACCTAAAACAGTGTTGTATATTAAACGAGAAGAGAAAACCACACGTTTTACTTTGTTCATCCAACTCATTTTGATTTGTCGATCACGTGTCATAATCACATAAGTTGACATAACGCCAGCATAATAACTCCAGTTTATCGCCAGTCAGGAGCATGACCACTGACCTCTAAAAACCAGTTTACCCAGTGAACCCAGTGCGTCTTTTTACCAGTTAAGTGTCTGGTTGGTTTTACCACAGTTAATAAAATATACATGGTTTGGAGACCATATAATACTACAATACAACTCATTAACTATGTTGAGGCACATTTATGCAAAAAATTGTTCCTTTCGCATCACATGTCTATTGTATTTTGCACAGATAAACCAAAAGCAATCTTATAATTAACATATTTTTAAGTCAAGGTTGATGAGCTTAGCAAGACGAATGCCATTGGTACGTTTGGCTAAAATACAATAGACACGTGACGAGAAAGAAACCATTTTTTGCATAAACGTGGACAATAACATAGTTAATGAGTTGTATTGTACTTTTATTTAGTCTCCAAACCATGTACATTCTATTAACCGTGGTTTTACTGACTATGGGCCTGCCGCCTGTTCATATGAGCCGGGCCAGCCCGGTTGAGCCGGGCTAGCTCGCTTTTGCTGTTTTCATATGAGCCCGTTAAAGGCGAGATCTCGCTTTGTTCAGGCGAGATCTCGCCAAAGCCGGGCTGGCCTGGTTCCATATGAATGCAATTTTACAAATAAAGTAAAATAATATGTGAGGCGAGATCCCGCCACTGCCGTACTAGCCCGGCTAAACCGGGCTGGCCCGTCTCATATGAACAGGCCCTATAATACTGATCCTAGGCCAACCGTCACGCGCAGTAAATTATATACATATACTAGTAATCACAGATTAGTGATGTGCGTTCGGAATGTGTTGATTTCGGTTAACGATCATTAACAAAAATGTTAACATTATAACGTCACAGGCTCACAGCGTATGTGATTCAAAAGGTTTCTCGCCAAATGAGTAATTTTGATGGCTCATATGCTTTAATAACAAAATGTCAAAATACAGTAAGCACATGGTCTCCAGTTACTATGACGACACATCAGAACGAGGGAAATCTGACATCGCAAATCTCGATATGACACGGCTAGGAAACGATCTCCTTCGTCGAACGCATTAATTATATTTCATAAAATCAGACAAGGATCTATCTATACCTTCGCTAGAAATAAGAATCGCTAGAAATTTAGATCAACAAGTAAATATCGGAAGGCTATTTCGATATTCGTCCACCCATGCACTCCAAAACCTGGAGGCACGTTCCCCTATCTCCTCAGGATTCCAGGATGGACCTCTTGTTAATAAGAGAGGAGGGTAGGAAATAAAATGCAGATAGATAAAATGTAAATCCCAAACTACCACAAGTGTTTCTATAACTGTCTAAAAACACAGGAAAAAATGGTTTCTATTTCTTTTATATATGTTATATAATATAACTCAATAAAAAGATTTTGTGTAAGGGACTGGTCATAATTTAGCAGGGGGGGTGGGGAGGTGTAATTCAATATTTTAAGGAATGATATTTTGCAACCCTGTCTTGCCTTATCCACAAAAAATCATGCCCCCTCCCCTTGTTCGAGACGGTAAAAATGCCCCCCCCCCATCCGTCAACGTTTTGATAAACACTGCTTCAAAATGAGAAACTACTGTAATCTGCACCGTCAATTCAAAATAGTAATTACACCTTCAAAAATTTTTCTGACAACGTTTATATAAAGTAATAAAATTAATTTATATACGTCCACTTATATATATTCCAAGGGTGGGTAGACTACAAGTTTTGTGTAGTTCGCTACAACTACTGCTATTTTAAAATAATGTAGTCACCTACAACTACTGCTATTGTCAAAAATATGTAGTTTGGTTCTTTTGACTACGTGTACAGCTATATCGCTAGAAAAATGTAGCGAAGTATTCGCTACTTCGCTACAACAAAATTCCTGGTATCCGTGTTTGTAATTTATATTGATTTCACATGTTTTAAACATATGAAATGTTAAGCATAATATGCTCATATATTCTGATACTATGGATTAATGGCGGATGAGCCAAAGAATTCTAGAACAAAATGTGGGTCCAAACGAGATTTGACATGGTATATTAAATGACTAGTTTTGTATTATAGTGTATGAACTATAGAGTATATAGTCGAGGGATATTAAAAAATCGAAAAGTGGCGAATAGCGATTGTTGTTGAAAAAGTAATCAACTACTTCGCTACTTTTAATATAGAAAATATAGTTCGCGACAACTTCAAACTACCAGTTTTAAAAAGTAGTCTATACAGTTACTCGCAAATTGTAGTTCGCTACAGTTGCAAACTCCAACAACTCCGATACTACCCACCCTTGACATATTCATATGTTAAAATTTGGTTTTAAACATAATATGTTAGTTATTTCTAGTGAAAGACCCTGCTATTTAAAATATAAATATTTTAACACAGTGACTTATATAACTTTTCATTTTAAATTCTATAACTAATTTTGTTTAATGTTCTAAGCAAAGCTTATGCAGTGCAACTCAAAGTCTAAGCATGTATAAAAGAAATAATTACAACCAGAAATAAGCAACCCCCCCCCCTTATAACTGTCTAACATTTTATGAACCCCCCTTTTTTCTGGCTAAAAAATATGTGACCCCCCCACTATTTCCACCTCCCCACCCCCCCTGCTAAATTATGACCAGTCCCTAAATACTGATAATTCGATTCAATCTCAAATTCACATCAGTTACATCGTGGCGAAATGGCAGCGAAATATAAAACCATATAGGTAGCCCAACAGTCAGCTGTATAGTATGAATGTACGATACATATAGTATAAAGTATATATTATAGTATATATGCATTTACCATAATTAATATTTGGCACTCGCCTAGTTAATCAATATAACATTAACAACTTTTGGCGTTGTTTTCCTCACTTGCACTTTTTAGAGATTTCAACACGGCAAACAGTTGAAATAAATTTATTTATATGACTTTATAGTTGCCTCCAAAACGACAATGAAGGATGTTGTTGTAGTCAAAACAAGTATTTGATTGACGGCATTCTTTATTTCTGATCAAAAGTTTGTTTGTCCCCCTCCCCAATTCTTGGATAGTTTGACATTCGTGTGCGCATATGACGAGAAAAAAGCAATGGGCCTCGGTATGCAGAAGCACGATGAATGTTCTCTACTCTTTTTTTAAAACAACAAGTTGTCTTCCTTTTTCAAGTGACCCTCCATTTTTTTTTCATTCGTACATGTCTAATGATATTTTTTGATTTCCTTCAATCTGATTGCCGCTGCATCCTGCAGCAACAGGCGCCGGGCTTTTTACGATATCGTACCACAAAAAAAAATAAAACCGGTTGTAGGTGGGTCCCATTGGTCGGTCCGCACTGAAAAAATATTTTCTCTCGGTTAGTTATTAGATCTTGTTGAAGACAGACTGAACCTACTAAGAAAGAAATGTACAACTCATATTCCGGCGTCTACCTTATAAGCCTGGTTTTCATATGACACCGACCTGTTGCCGACTCGTTTTCTGTAATCATCCAAGGAGAAAATGATTTCAGAAAGACAAAAGATTTCACTCATCAATAATCACCAACACTTTGCGCACGTCCTCGTCGTATGGGAACCAGGCTTTATACTGTTTGGGGTGTTCTCATATAATCTAGTCGGTAAACGTACGGTAGCCAGACGCCAGTCGGGTAAAAGAAAAACATACCCTAGCTCCCTGCTCCCTTTCTAGGTGACTTATAATTGGCCATGGCGCAATCATTATCAAGTTTATGTTCTGAATATTCTAAGGTAAGTCAGTACTCGTTTTACGTCTTCATGAAGTATAGCTGTGCTATTATTTTAGTATTACTTTAATATTTTAATCAATATTTCAGTATATACCACCGCTTTAGAGTATAATTTTAGGCCCCATTCAGGAATCCTGCTTGGGTTATGACAACATTTACGGTGTTATGTGTTATGGTGGGTTTAGTATACCTATATGAGATTATCATGTATGTAGTGATCAATGATGATATATCGGACTTGCATGTGCTTTATTTTTAGTCCACAATTTTTTTTCGCCTCGTAACTGTTCTACACGTCTTACCCGACTTAGAACTTATCGTAATAATCGTATATATGGAACGTTAATTCAAGCTGATCAGGCTAACCTTAATTGCGTGCTATGGATTAAAAACAGGCAGCTCTTTCGTTCATCTACAAAGAATAATGTAGTTTTTATGCTAATTTCTATATTTAGTGTTGGTATGAGCATTTTTCATTCTTAATAGAACGTATAGTATAAATCATCAATCATCAAACAATCATTATGTATCTCCTAATCATATAGCTCCCAAAATGTAAGACAAACAGATTGAAAAAGTTTTATCCCATACGTGTATCTCATCTTGTTCCGCAAGAATGTATACATAATTTTTAGTGTAACATATAATTATATACTTTTTAATGTAAAGGTTATTATAATTCAGCCTTCTATAAAGCTGTAAGTCATAACTTTAATAAACTATCTATCTATCTATCTATCTCATCGCATACAAGGCAAAAAACGCTCAAAAATAATGTTGTGCTACAACCCATGAACAATACTGCAACATGCATGTTGTTGACAACATTGTTCATGGGTTGTAACACAACATTGTTGAGGCCTGCTCTCATCAACCGGGAACAACTTGAGCGTTTTTTGCCGTGTATATAATGAAAAGTGAAGATATTAAGAGTGAACTTATTAATATTTTCTACATTTTTCTCGAGGAATAATTTATCAGCGTGTTGTCATATGGGTGAATACTTGTAAGACTGATTTGGAGAATTGTGTTTGTTTTAGTATAGTTCAGACTTGGAACTCTGCCAAGTATCGAGCTAAGTATATAAATTCTGCTCGATTTCCATCAACCATGAACCCTCTGAAATAATAACGTATATTTCATATACCTGCTCAAACCATTTTAACAACCAGAGTCAAAAGCGCTGCTGAACGATCAATTAATGTGGGATTTAACCTCCAATTTTAAACACATGCATACATGGCTGATTGGGTGCATGGTTTAAGATCTTTGTTTAAAACTGAGAACATACGTACGTACCAAACATCGGAATCGATGCTTTTATAGGCCTTTATACTGATGAGTAATCCCGGTGATGAATGAATAGATATCATAAACCTCGAATAAAACATTCAAGATACCCAGAGTAACCGAAACCCCGGCCCTGTCCAGGCCTAAATGATACAATCAATACAATTATTGAGTGTATACTACGCCATTCCTTCGTTAATCTGGTCGTAAAACCTTTCAAACAACGAGAAAACTCTTTATTACAACTTTTCTATATAAAAAAATTTACAGCCGTTGATCATTTTTGCATCGCACATTTTTGGTTGGTGAAAATAGAGACTCACGCACGAGTCATAGGGGGCCATAACAGCCTTGCAGTCAAATCAGCATGCCGATTAATTGGTTTCTAGTGTTTGTACTTTGTACTATAGCCGAGAAAGCTTTATTGTCTACCGATCTTTAGGATCCTGAACATCCTAGAAATCTTATTCCTGAGCTGATGCGTCAATTTTATCACATGGAATGGGTGACAGGAACAGGTGGAGGCATTAGCATTAAACATGGGTAAGCATCTGATTTGAAAAATTTTGCTTTAGTAGAATTTTTGTACAATTTGCGAAACGATATTCAAACGAATTTGGGTAAATGGAAACAATAAGTACAACAACTTACTTAATATAATGGTCCACTTTGAGTTTGGGTTTAAGTAACTGATTAGCTTGTAGGTTTGCCTTTGCGTTTATTTACCTGATTGAATATTTGTTACTTGCCATTTTAGGTATCGAGGGTATAACCATGCACTAAAATATCTTTTCAATATCTTTCTCACGATAGGGATGAAATATTCATTGCTCCTTCTGCCGTTCAGAAGGAAAGATTGAAGGTCAGTATAGCGCATGTTTAAGCCCCGTTTACACTACTCAGTCTACACTGGATTTATTGGCACGGCACGGTTAAAATGGGTACCCGTACCCATTTCATCCTTGCCCGGCCTTTTTTTAGGCAAATGCTTATAAATTCGATAGATTTAGGATATTTGTATTTTGAGAGTAAGCATGTGCATGTATGTTCTTTCTAAAACGTGATGTCTTTGAGTGTTGTTCTTATATAAGAGTATTGTGTTAAGTGCATGTATAGACGTGCACTACTTGTGCGACAAAGTTTTATGTTATAAAAAATACACTCTCAAGTTTTGACATTCGTTGAATTTGGTGCCAGTAGGCCGATATGTTACGGCTGGTAAGTTGCGTGACAACTATCAAGACGAATATTTATATTTAACCCTCTAACTTGTAAACTGATCTCCATTCAATATATACTGCATGATAGCATTCCTATGCTCCGACTTCATCGGCTTTCAATTTCCGTTCGCGTATATAAAGTGAAAATTCTCCTTTTTTCTAATGTGCTCGTGTACAGCCAGATGACTTGTTCGTGTGCGACATCACCGGAAAAGACCTCAGTTTTCCTAGTCCAGCGTAAGTTGGTTTCGTTAGAATTCAACTTGGCTTTCTTTTTAAAAAAATACCATACCGGCATACGTGATATAAAAAATATCATCGTCTTGACTTCGGTCAAGCAGGCGAAACCTTTTCAGTTCTGAGATATTGAACATGTTCTACCATGCATGCAGCGGTAATTATATATATATATATAGCCTATATATATATAGCCTATATCTATCTATATATATATATATATATATATATATATATATATATATATATATATATATATATATATATATATATATATATATATAAATAAATAAATATATATATATATATATTAATTTACAATCTTAAAAATATCGCTATATACACGGTGTTTCATGCACATGCGACGATAATCAGGCGATGTATATTTACACTGAATTAAACTAACGGTTTATTACGAGCGCGAAGACATAAGCGACACATATATATGGTATATATATATATATGTATGTATGGTATACATATCTGATGTCGCGAGGACAAAAGCGATACATATATGGTCACAGCTCACGGAAGTAGCCGTAACAAGACTATATATAGCTACATAATTATATATTAATTCTCACATGCACGCGCAGTTAGTGATTATAGGTTTAAAATAAAAAGCATACTATTTTTCCTTATATCAGGAAGAAGCTAAAGAAAAGTCAGTGCACACCATTGTTTATGAATGCTTATACTCTGACAGGTTATATAATGTCCATTTCTTTAACTGTACGTGACTGTGACATGCATGAGATACATGCACCCCTCCCCCCCCCCAATTTCAGGATAGGGACCCTTACTAAAGGCTAATTTCCACTCCGGAAAACGAACAGCGCATCGGATCGGAACGAAAGATAATCCGCGCGTGCGCCGTCTGTTGAAATTTTTGGCTTATATTGATCCGAAAGCGTCCGCGAGACCGGATAAAAAAAGTTCAAACAGTTTTAACTTTTTTTGATCCGATTCGAAATCACTTCATAGATCGGACCAGCTCGGAAAAAAATCCGATCCGATCCGCTGCTCGTTTTCCGGAGTGGAAATTAGCCTTAAGGGGGAACAAATTCGGTTTCAATCATTTTTATAGAATAAGCATATATTAGTTTTTTTCTTCTATACTAATTCACTTTTATTGCGCCACAGTGCGTACCAATATATCATGAACATCTGTAAGCCTGTAATTATCTTGCGAAGTCGTTAATAATCTTAACATTATTTCAGGAGCAGGAGCTGTGATTCACACACACTCCAAGCATTGCGTTCTGGCCACGATGTTATGCTCTGGAAAGGAATTTCGTATTACTCATCAGGAGATGATCAAAGGGATGAAGAAAGCAACAACAGATGTTAATTATAGGTTGGTAATGAGCGTATTATAGGAATGAATCTCTTTTACTAGCTGTTGAAACTTTAATTTTTTTATATTAAATCAAAGTATACACGTCTTATATTTATATACTTAATTCCCTTCAGATATGACGAAGAGCTGGTTATACCCATCATAGAAAATACACCACAAGAACAGGACTTAAAGGTGCACATGCATGCCTAAAAAACTATTTGTGTCTCTGTTTCCTTTTGGACTATCGGTGACGAAGTTCAGATAATTCAGTTCACTTCCACTGCACCTGTACCATCAAGGGAGCATGAACCAATTAAATGCGACAGGTCTATTAGATTAACCAATTCTCGAGCGTAATAGGTCAGCCAGAAGTATCGGCACTCGCGAAGTTAAATATGAAACTCGCTGTTTTCTGGTCCCTTGTAGAGAGTGACTTGTCTTCATGAATATAGTTGAAGTTAGTGGAGTCTGTTACATGAATCGAACTAAAGGTTGTCTTTTCCATTATAATTTCTTATGAAGGAGACCATGATGAAAGCCATGCTACAGTATCCAGATTCCTGTGCGGTTCTTGTTCGACGGCATGGAGTCTACGTGTGGGGAGAAACTTGGCAAAAGGCTAAAGTCATGTGAGTTCATGGCTACGTCATTTGCTTTTAAGCCGAAATCTTCATTTCTTTACTTATCTAGTTCGTAATGTCTCCGTTCATGTTTTGACTGCATGGATGCCACGAAACTATCGCTATTTTACTAAATCTTTCCATTCATGAGCCTCGCTCATGCAAGGAATAATTATAGGTGCAAGGTGCCCAGGGCGTTCCGTGAGACACCCTCCTCGAGAAAACTTTAAATTAGGGCTCTCTGAAACCCATCAATTTTAGCGGTTTGTATTTATTTTACGGCGCTGTTTATTTCGCAAAATTGGGCGATTTCATGGAGTAATTTCACAAAAGATAAGGGCAACGCCCTGAAAATATTTACCCATCAATAACTTTGAATTTACTCTCATCTTTTATCGCCTTCAGGTGCGAATGTTTAGATTACCTGTGCGACATTGCTGTGAAGATGAAACTTCTTGGTTTAGATCCAAAAGCGAAACCAAGCGAGAATATGCTCACAGGATTTTAACATGAAGTGGCAGTATTCCCATTGTAAACACCATATGCATATATTCATATCTACGCGTATGCGTACGTATCTTTTAATGTGTACGTGTCATTTTTTAGAGATTATCTTTACCACCTTTGAAGTTCGGTTTGAATTCCCGACTTTTCCGACTCCGACTATTCCCATGCAGCGACTTCAAATTTTTTTAATACATGCAATTCATTCAATAAAGCAACAAGCGTTCGCTAAAACCAGAAATAAACCTTTATTTATATAACATGTAATATGAAAATACAATTTTACTAGCGCACTATTATCATAACTCCAGTATATGAAGACATGCACACTTATTTTACTTTGAATGTGAAATGAATGAATAGTCTTTAATTTTTTCAAATAGAATATGGAGTTCTTACAGCCTACTAAACATTATACGCTTCATAAGAACTATAACTGCTTCTTTCAAGTTTCAAGATATAAAATTTATGTATTTTATTTTATTTTTTAATACGTTAATTGACAAAATATCATCTTCAACCAAAGCATTACACTTTGTAAAACACCAAAATCCTCAAAAGAGCCAGGCTTGATCAAGATGCTGACATATATTGATCAATTTTCAATTTCCTATAAATTATTGCAAAAAAAATTTAATGAGTTTCGAAGGTGATTGGTAATTATATATTCATCTTAAACTGCATGCATGGGACAACAGAGATCTAAATATATCGAACCTTCGTGTCGTTAATTTGATATTCAAAATCAGATTCCTCGATCCTCTGCGAGTAAACAGCACTATCAGGACTATTGAAGCCAGACAATCTCCAGTTGAAACGATCTGTACCCGTGGTTGGTGATGTCGGTGAATTCTGATAAGAATTTAAACGCCACGCTAACTCCTCTTTTTCTAAAGAAAGTCTTTTTGACGTCGCAACCTCTCGATCCAGGCTCAAACGCAGTTTATCTCGCTCCAAAGAAAGTTGTCTAAAAACAGATTTCTTTTATTTTTAAAATACAGTCTTTCGAAAATATTTTATAAAATAAATTAATTCATGTACGAAAACGCAAGCTTGTATAAATAGTTGACTGTTCCAATAATGGGCGGCTTAATTACACTACGTTAAATTGGAAAAGACAAACATGAATATATATATATAATATATATATAATTATATATATATATATATATATATATATATATTTTACCTCTCAAAATAAGCTTTATTCTCAACAACGAAATTCAAGGATTCCTTTTCACGTTCCAGTAAAGCTGCACGTTCCTTGATTTGTTGCAGTTCGTCAATCTGCAAAAGTCAATTACTTTTCAAACTTTCCATTCATCGAAATCCCAAATGGCAAGGCAGGTAACAGTTTAATGCATACAACGCAGTACTATATATAGTCATGAGTATGCATGAAAATGACGAAAAAGCAACTATGGATGCAATAATATAGGAGGGGTTTACAATAACCACACTGGTTTTCTAAAAGAAAATTTAAGCTCGTGAAGTTTTTTTAATTCTCTGGGGGCGGTTGTAGCTACAAAGTAGTCATAACGTTGAACTACAATTAAAGTAAACTATAGTGACAGAACATGGCTAATCAGAATCGGGGATTTTGAAGCCATGCATGCAACTACGATTTTATACTACTCAAAACGTAGTTACGTTTTCTACACCTGGCCCCCGGTGATCTTGTGTAAATGCAGCCGAAATCGTGCAAATATATTAATTCGGTGCATGCATCGATATATGAATAAACCTGGATTATGTATTTATGTATTTGGATTATGTATGTATAGGAGTGAATTTTTTATACTCCATGCACAGATCCTGTGTTGTTATAATATTAGTCAATATATACACCAGTCACCTTATGCTGAAGCTCAGCATTACATCTTCGTAAATTTTTTACTTCGGAATTTTTCATCTCCAAAACAAACTTCATACTCTCAAGTTCATCCGGAAGACTCTTGTATTTGGCAATTGCGTCCTGTAACAAAACTAAACTTATTGAGGCTGACCAAGGATGTATTTTTTCCAAATGCATGATGTCGGATTTATTCCACCGCAAATATTTTTCAAGAAAGACTTATATAGCCTGGTTCAAACACTTCAGATTTCAAAGTTTTACAATTTCCATTAACAGGAGTTTTAACGACTTAAAAAGGAAGTATGCCAGCAGGCGAAGTATATAATGAATATAGGCCACCATAATTCTTTCTTAACCTGAATTCGTAGTTCAATATCTCTCTTTGCTTCGTCCTCGGTAACTCTCAATTTCTCCTCCAGTTCATTACAAGCCTTTTCTGATTGTGATAAACTTTCCTGAAAAAAAATTTAATAATCAAACATCGCACTTCTCATGCATTGCATTCACGCATCAAAAACGCTCCGGTTCATTTTCAATTCTTAAAACAACACACTCTGGTTCAAGAGGAGGTTGGATCTACCTCATACAACATTCATCTATACCTGGATTCGTTCAAATTGTTCGTCGTAATCAGCCTTGATTATTTCAATCTCTGCATGACGTTCTTCCACAAGATCTGCATGAAGAAGATTACAAAACGTTTACTCCTATATTACCTGTTACCCAACCCATCCCCCCCCCCACGTCCAATCTCCCTTGTGAGGTCACTGGATGAGTGGATGACCAATTTCACCTGGTTATATAAAACCTACCATCGACGTGTTTTGAATGTTGGGATTCCAATTCAGCGATTACATCTTTGTGTGTTTCATTGATCTGAGCGATATCTTCCACATACGTTTCTTCAATCCTTTTCAACTAAGAAGAAAACCTCGAATATTGGTATCACCAACAAAATTTTAACAATACCAATATACAGATTAACTCGTAAACTTTATACAAAAATTTCTCGCCCACATTCATGACCGGATGGTACAATTTACAGCCCATGCAGTGATATGACGAATTCACTTAATTAAGGTTATCTTTACAGGTAAAATCTCTGCAAAACTCAAAACTCTGGCGTATTCCAAGCGAGAATTAAGGGGAAAATGCTGAAAAAAGCTTTAGATATCAAGATATGAGAGATAAATGCATCTCATGAAATGATTTATTTTACCTTTAGGTCACAACTATGTTTGACATCCTCCATTGACTTCATATGTTGTTTTCGTACTAAATACGTAATAGTTAAGAAAGTAATGATAGTTATATAGTAAATCATTATTTATTTATAACATAAATATTCTACAATACTTCTCTTTTATAAGCTTTTACGTCTTTTTATAAAATTAAATATTATATCGTGTGCATAAATGGCAGTTGTTGTTGCATATTTTGACTTCACTTGAAAAACTTTCCTATTGCACACATTCGTATAACTAGCTATAGAAATTGCTGGTAACATTATTTATTTGATATTCCCACCTTTTTCTAGATCTTTCTTATGACTTTCTTTCAGTTTAGCCTGGATTATCTCTTGCTTACGTTCATATGCTGCTCTTAATAAAGCAACTTCAACAACGCTGTCACTTTTTGCTGACAACATTTCCTCCTCAAGACGAGCTCGTTGGTTGCTTTCTTTCACTGAAAATTACAAGGCAAACAAGAGAATTATCAATGCATGCACACATCATAGGATTTCATCATGCATTTTATCATTAACTTACCCAACATATTTTCAGTCGAGTGATATCTTTCTTTCGTAAACTTTAGATTCTTTCTTAATACTGATATGCTTTCTCGTTCTACATCAACCTACACAAAAACGATGGATATAAATGGCACATTGCACAGTCAATGGGGTAATTAAAGTCAGGGATTTTGTTTGTTGTTTTATGGTATCACGAGTTTTCTGATACATTCATTGATGTAATACTGAAGCATTAATTCTATTTGAAAAAATATGATGTGCTGTGAACATTCTCACTTTATCTGACCATTTACTTTATATTAGCAAAGCAGTTATGTGTATTCATTAAAATGTCTTACTTATTCTTATGTGACCGTCTCAGTTAAATTGTTTTTGTAGTCAAAACTGAAGTAAGGCATTTTAATAAATACACAAACTGCTTTGCTAATATAAAATAAAGCGTTTTGATGTTTAAAGTGTACAATATACATTGACGTTGAAAAAACATGATTGAAACGCCCTACTTCATCTAAATATCAAAACTACGTGATGTGAACGTATAGTTGTCATGCATGTGTAATCAAAACATTAAAACGCCCTAATCATGTCAATGACCTTGTTAGGATATTGTGCATTCAAAACTTCTTAATTTATACCAACAACGCATGCAGTTAATATAATTAAGTGCATTCAAAACATTAAACGCCAAATATTGTGTCTTTTTACTATATTGTGAAACCTAGTTATAATATGCATCAACACATGCAGCGAAACTTACTTTCTGGGCATAAACTTGTAGAGCAACAAGACAAGATTCAAACTCTCGATTTCTTTTAACCAAAGATGATAACAACAAATCCTCTTTTCTTTTTTCTTCTCTCGTCTTCTGTAGTTTCTCTTCTTCATCGTGTTGCAAAGTGTCAACTTGAATTGCTATAGAATGCCTGGTAACTTCTGGAGTTTGTTTTAATATGTCAGGTGTAGCAGCTGAACTGAGACAACTTTTCAGCCCAGTGCTTGTATTTTCGATTTTTTCTTTAACAGGTCTCTTCTTAACAGATTCATCTGAGTTTTGTCTCTCTTTCACGGACAACTGTTCGCCTGGTTTTATTTTCCGTGGCTGAAGAATTGATTTACTGTTTGTTGAAATATTCTCGCTCACACTACTAACTGATAGTGGTCTTCTCAAACCTAAGAATTGTATAAAAATGCTGCCATTAAAACCCGCAGGTCAACTGCAATGTAGAGGCTAAAAAGTCAATATTTATCTAGTTTTATAAACTGGATTTTTGTATATGCATGTAAACGCTCCGGCGACATAATCGGGCTTTTGCCACCAGGTAACCAAAGCCCTGGTTACCTACACCTCCTCGGCAAGGCCACATCAAAGTATAAAATCTAGTAGTTGAAAGCTACGCCTAGGCTCGTAAACACAAATGAAATGTCCACACACGGTGTGGATTGTGAATACTCGTTCTTACTGACGAAAAGCTTTGATCATGATTCACATTTTCGCTCTGTTGTAACACTTTGAGTTGCTCTTGCCCGCCTAACCCGACTATAGCTACATATGCCTACGAGAAAGGCAGCACTTTGTAACCTTATGACATCCTAGAACGTATAGAGGATTATACATGTCCATGCTGTGTGAATGGCTACAGATCCTGATTATGCCTCGTGTGATCAAAGTATAAAACAGTCCACATTAAAAAAATTAGGAGACCTTCGACGTTTTAGACAAATACATATTTCACGAAACTGAAGAAATCCGGTTGAAACGTCGAAATTTTGTCATATATTTAAGAAAGATTATCAATCACACAATGCGTAAGACTCGCCGGGATAAACAATAACATCTGCATGTTGTACGCCACACAACCCTCGACACAACCTCCTATTTCAGATGACTACAGAAATACACATGCAGCTATATAGCCTTAGTAGCCGACTTTATCACATCCATACATAGTTTATCCTACACATAAATTCAATATTTCAACCTACGCAAAGTTCCCTCCATCTTATTAGAAAAATGAATCTCAAACGATCTTGCGTCTCATTAGTCGCTTTTAAACCATAATTGCATACACTGAATTCTCTTCTAAAGCCAGCAAAGACGTGCCGTGCTATGTCTGAAATGATGGTTACGGCAAATACGCCAATTTTTTTTTCAGTAAACGTCACAAAAATGATCAAATAAACTTTTTTGACGTTCTGATTGGACAGTAATAAAACAATTAATGAAATAAAATAACCACCGATCAATATTATGATTATCGTCGCAGTAGGTGAGAGCACAAACATTGCAGGCAACATGAAATAAGAAATATTCCATCATGAATCAAATGTTATCCAATGGTACAAAATAAACAATCTCAAAAATATATTTATTCCATCAGCTTGCAGAAAATCTACAATCTAATCTACAATCAAATGGATTCTTCTAAATATAAAACGGAATATTTTACTGTGTTAAACGCTGTAATGAATATCATGTTAATTATATAATGAATACAGCGATTGAAACAAAATATCCTAATTAACGGGTACAATCTATGGTCGACGCACACGCGCCGTATGTCCTCCTCTTAGGGTCAGAGGAAAACGTGAAGAGCAATTATATCAAAGTTATTATATCAAAGTACTTACCGTTTGGTGTTCAGCCTTTGATGTTGAAACGTTTCTTAATTTGCTCGTGCGAGGTTTTATTTCTTCTTTAATAGTGGAAGGTGTAGAAAGATTTTTTGTGGATATAGATTCATGTCCAGCTAATTTTGACACTGCTGATACCGACAAAGTCCTTGCTTTAGCAGAAAGTGATTTATTTGATGCCGATGAGGTTGACAGGTTTCTTGATTTACTCACATTTTGTTTTGTTTCACTTTCTTTCTGATAATTCTTCCGAGACGGCAACGAGGACACTGTACTTCCAACGTCACTTTGTTTATCAACACAGTTACTACCAGATAATGGACTTAATCTGCTTCTTCCACTGGTACCATTGAGTCGGGATTTTTTCTCGAGACCAACAGTTCTCTTGGTAATCGGTGTGCTGGTGAGCCGTTTGGCGGGTGCTGCGGATATTTTTGATGAGAGTGGTGTTGCAAATTTAGACGGATTCAATTTGCTTTTACCCAATAGTTGAACGTCTTTAACATCTGTTGACACACTCTTTGACTTCGATCTCATGGTGGACTTGGTCGCAGTGGCACTAGCCAGTACAGACCGTGGTGCGACGACACTGGTTGATTTTGTCCTACCCTTTTTGTCGATCACATTATTTACGCCAGGTTTATTGGTAGATTTTGAAGTTTGTTTTTCATGCGTAGTGGTTTCTGTTTCTCTTTCAATTATTTTCGGTTTTTCTTTCTTATTGCCAGATATTTTTACCAACTTTGACTTAGAACATTCAGTAGGACATGGTAATTTTCTTGGAGTTTTTGTCCCATTCAAACGACTTCTTTCCCGGTTTGATTTGACAGAACCTACAGACGAAAGACTTTCCACAGAAGACCAAGATGATTTAGATCCCGTTCTAGGTCTTGTATTTTCACCGTCACTTTCATTCATACTTGCGGAGGAAGCATTCAGATTTTGCAGATCAGTGCATGAAGGAGTCGGTTTTGTCTGCAAGTCGTCACTTTTAACTGTTTTTTCATTCAAGTCGTTTCCTGACGTTTCACAAAGTTGTTCACACTCATTCCCTGCCCCAGGACTCTTCGCACGTACCAGAAATGTCTTATTGAGGTTAGTGTCTTTATCTTTGTCTAAATTTGCTGGTGCTGGAAATCGAGCACTGTTTATGCTATCCAACTTGATAGATTGCTTGACTTCGAATTTAGGAGACAAATCACTACGAAGGTGCGAAACGTTAGGCATTTTAAATGCGATGTCCTCGTTCTTTCTCTCATCATTGAGTGTTTCATCACACACACTCCTTCGATCATTATCCTTTAAAACTGGTGAAGGACATATATATGTTACATTGTTCAGTTTTGAAAGTGATGATGATTTTGTATTTCGAATGTTACATTTAAATGGACTGCTACTAAATATACCAGGATCAGCTTTCTTTTCGTTAATTACAAGATCTGATTTTGATCTTGGTCGATACTGATCTTCAAAACAATCACTCGCGCCGTATTCCTCCCAGGCTGGAGGTGACAGCTCTTCTGTCATAGCTGATTTCGATGTAATTTCATGTAAATCCTGTTCATATTCATTCTTAACAGGAAAAACATTTTTAGGATTTACAAATATTCCATGAAGTTCTTCACATTGAAAATACCTAACTCCAGCCACAGATCCATCATTCTTACCACAAGGATCACGTAACGCTATTCCACACCAAACACCTGAACTAAATTTTGTTTCACCAATAAACTTTAATACTCCTGGTTTTCTCTGCTTATTTAATATACATATTACAGGTTCTTCTATTGCATCTTTGTAATTATGCTTTCCTGTAGCCATCTGAGTTAGGTACGCAACGCTCTAAAAAGATAAAAGTCCGTTTCAGAAACTGTAAATTTAACGTGCATGAATATATGCTTTGGTAATGAAACTGAAATAACTGTTACCATAATAAGTGAACATCGTTACAAATTCTCATGCAAATTAATTATGTTGTACTTGCACCTTATGTAAAATGTCACGAAAAATGATGTAACATAGAAGATTATGGTTGAATCTTTGCTTGATATTAATTGAAATAACTTCTCTAGAAACTTGTATCTCTGGTTACCACACAATTAATATTAAAACCTGCATGTTTTGAATAAGTAAAACATTTGATAACAGAAAATTTTCCTCTTAATAAGAAAAATTTGTGTAAAATATTGTGATCCCAATTTACTATTACTTCTCCAGAGCTATAGATTATCACACTACATGCTTAAAGACAGGCATGCAATTTACTTAAAGCCCAAAAATAAACTTAGGTTATCATACAAGACCTGCTTTTGTTAACATGTTTGGTTACAATGTAACAATATGTTGCATCTTTACATAACTAGATGTTTTTTATGATGAACATTGGTGCTGCAAAACTGCTTTCTACTTCCAAACTGCAACTATGTAAAATTGAATAAATTTGGAGCTTTTCCAATTAATTAGCTATAAAAAGTGAAACAGATTGGTTACCACTACATCCGGGGACAGGCTGATAATTAGTGAAAATAGGGAAGATACCTAGGGAGTACGTTTAGGACCACAAAACTACCTTTAATTGGGCTTTGTTGCTGTTGAGCAAGAAAATGTTTGAGATTTGATAAGATATTCAGAGATATTCAGAAATCACCATTTCATTTCAGAGTTTCACTAAAGTTAAAGCACCTAAGCACAAATATTCCAGCCCTATATAATATCTGAGATGGCAGCTGTAATAGCAAGAATTGATCAACCACTGATGTAGAAATACTAAACAGGATGTCTTAACTGTTAGAAATTTAGCGCTATACTGTTGTATTTAGGAATAGCACATTATTGAAGTCAAAAGCTTGACATAAATAATGCCTTTCAGATCTTTAGCTAGACCAACCTTTTTTTTACCAATCATGCTTTTAGACTGACTTTCTTCATCCCAAAAAGGTTTCAGACCAACAAGAAAAGATGGGGGTGTGCCCCTGTACATAAATCATATTTCTTAATTTTGAAAAGGGTTTAATACGCTATATACAAAATAAGCTTTAATACAAAAGCAAGGTCATGACCCAAGTGTATTGTTTTCCTAACTAAGCTTATTCTCTCATAGGATAGCATTATATAAGTTAAAATTAAGGAATTTCTATCATGTATGTTTTGAAGATTGTTCTTTTCATCTTTCCATGGCTTGTATGAAAGATCTAGGATGACAATTTCTTGGTATTCTTAACTATAAACCAGTATTTTAGCTGCCATCTTTGTAAAAACTATCTATAGCTAGATCTTGCATGTTCGACGTACATAATTTATGATTAGAACAAATGTATTAGCAAGTACACTTTATCTCTAGCTCATGTGATATTCAAAACGCTTCTTCCTCACATTGTTTGCACAACAGCAATATAAAAACAGTGAAATTATCCACAGTTAATAAAGATCCTAAAACATATTTTATTGTTGACAGAGATAAGCTGGGGAGCATATATTGTATATCGACCGTGTGTAATATCCTGTCCGGATATTTCATGTTGTGTTAGAAATAAATAAGTCAGTCCAATATTGAACGTCGATTGCATATAAAACGATTAAACACTTGTAATATGGACTTTTTATTTCCCACTAAACAGCAATGTTATAAATTACAACGTGAACTGCAGTTTTACGAACTTGTAATATTTTTCTCTTGCCTGTCGGCACTTCAAGGTTATTAAAAAGTGTTTGCTTACCATTTCCTGTGTTCTTTGTACCTCTGTATTATCAGAAATCTCAAGAATGATATGCAAGAAATGTAAATATTTTACTCGGCTTGTTTAATAAAAGAGAAAAACTGTGAATAAATACACTTCTTTCTTCGTATCAACGACCTGCACCAGTCACTGCATAGCACTGCTCGCGAAATACACGGTTGTTTATATATTTTCGTGCGTGGCGCGTGGGTTCACGATGTAACCTTAACTAAGACATTTAGAGCCGTCGCCAAAATCCGATTGGAAGAACGTTAACTGCAATCGTTGGCTGCCACCATAATTGAACTAAATTCACATTGTTTGCCACAATTAATTAATTTTGCTACAATTAATTATAGAGACATTCCTTGCAAACCTTTTGCCCCATGTTATTGTCGATTGGGAAATTTTCATCCGTACCAATTTTCCCCTTACCGTACCAAGCAGGGCTTTGGTTTCAAAATAGCCTTTGTATCTAGACTGACTGGACATCCAGCTTTCATCAGACACACTCACTAGCCTGCTTTTACAGACTTAAAAATAAACACTTTCTGTTTCATGCAACAGCAACACTATACGGAAATTCAAAAAAGATAACTGACCCTATATTTCCAAGCTTTGATTATGCTTTCATAGACGATAAAAAGTTGTTCCAAACCGTTTCTCACAACATTGACACAAGGCACACGCTGCGACATCTATAGCCGCAGCATAATGTTTCCACTGAGAGTATTTCTCATGTTATCAGTACATCGAACAACAATATCACACTTGGTTCTCGAATCTTGATCAACCGCAGAATACTGAGCAACAAAAAAAGCGTGCTTATTCTAGGATATGCCCAAATAAGAGTTATTACACATGATTTTGTAAAATAAAATTCATCAGTCAAAAACTCTCCCGGAATGGATGGGTGTGGGAATTTCAAATGTCCGCAATGTGTTGTTCGCCGGAGACCTGGGTGGTGGGTATAGCGCTTTTCCAGTCTAGTAAATAGTATGGTTACCGTGGTGAAAAAGCGGCGTGTTTTAAGGTGTTATATATTATATTGTATTATAGGTTATATTGAATGAAGGGAAGGATAATTTCACACGAAAATTGAAGGTTAGAAAATTGAAAATCTAAAAGTTGTCGTAAAAAAACCTGAAACACTCTAGAGGGCCGAGGATGACAGGGTCTTGGGTGGATATTGGGTGGATACATGCTTCTATGTTTTATATAACATTGCTTGTATTTTAAAACAGGGGGTTGATGACTCTGAATGACAAGGCCGATTCCTTAAAAAAAGACCCTGATAGATCAGTTCGTCGAACTTTTAAAGATAGAAATTTGGGCAACATTTTCTTTCATCCGATCGTATTGAGCTGTTCCAGTTGCAATGACATGTTGCAATGATACCAAATATTACGAGTGCAATGACATGGATTGCATTTTTTTATATACGTCGAGTAATATACATCGAATAATAATACAATAGTTAATGTTCATCATATTGCATGGATATAATGTAGATAATGGTATCAAAGACCTGCTGATATGTTTACATAACTGCGTGTAGTGATTTAAAGATGACTATATATTCACCTGACGGTCACCAATGACCATGTCACGATGCATGATAAATGATATAGAGATATACGAGGTCAGTGACAGTGAACTAACCTGAAGAATTAATCCAACGTTGAATGTATCAGATGCAAGAGGATGTGAGAATCTTTTCTCATTCATTTATTTAATTTGGAGTTCGACACGATAAGAATCTTGCTTTTTTTAATTGAAGCCACACGATAATTTATTAAATGCATTTATGCTCTGAAAACTATTAAACGCTGCCGATGGAATTGCGTGTTTAATAGCTAAAAAAACCAGTATATTCTTTCAAGGACCTCCACTCGACGTATTATTGAGTTCCGAAATTCCACTTATCAAAAAGTCAAAACTATAATCTTCTTTGACTTCATGCAGCCTGATTTAATAGAAAATCCAATCCAAAAACTCCCAGGCAAGTGCTTTTTTTTAATCGTAAAATTGATTCCATGCAGCTCAATTAGGCCCATCTTGCTAATTATTTGCCCTACCCCACTGACATTCCTTTACTGATATCTGTGGCAGCGTTAGCCAACGTCATTGACCACTCAGGAATATGGTCTACGACGTACGTTAGGACAGCGTTTACACCACACCGGTTGCCTCGTCACGATATTTTCGTGTTAAACATTAAAACAACGCGTATAGACTATAGTTGCAAATGTTTAATAATACAAATCTACAAGTCCTGCATGTGTTCATTAACTTCTAACATTAAATTTCTTACATTAAAAACTTCCTTTTTTAATAGTAGCTACAGAATTTGACCCGTTCCGATGGCAACTGGTGTAGTGTGAACAGGCCATATAACCCAGTTCCAATAATAAAAAATATTGAACACACCTTTAAAACGCTTTACGTATGAAGCAAGCACTTGCTCGTATTATCACCAAATGGGGTAAATACAAAATATATTATAATACACTGATGTTTCCATATGCTATATACCTCCTTGCATAACCCCCACAGAAAAACATTTATAGTTTATTATTCACGCTACTACATGTCTTCAGCTGAAGATTTAAGCAGAGTGTCTCAAAAGTATATAGCTTTTGAAACGTATCAAACGAAAATTGTAGTTTCATGTCAATTTCGTTTCAATTTCTTTGTATCTTCTTCTTTCTATGATTTTAATTAGAGCTTGGCAGGAGTTGGGGGTACGTTTTGGGGTTGCTAGTGCATCTTAGAGACTGTATAGGGTCAGATTGAATGTTTAATCTTCTATGTTAAATGTTAAATGTTCCAGAAATTCCAGTGGTGATGCTACAGAGCAGTGGGTGGGTGAAATTACCAGCGGCAAATTCCACATTTTCAAAATTTTAGCCGCTTTATCGATAACGTACATGATTGACCTTCAAATACCTGTCATTATGATAAATGTTCAACTTAAGATACCTGCGATTATTAATGAACACATGCATGCGACTTACCTTGAAAATACAAATAATGCTTTGAGCAATTTCGTTTATGTTCAGATTATAAACTGTTTCAGATGAATGATGATTTTGACCAAAATAACACATGCAATAACAATAATAAAGTTAACAATACTAAAGCGTTTCAAGAGAATATTCATTCTCTTATAAATCATCATTGCAAGCGTCGAATCAATGAAAGCGTTGTTTCTCCACCAGTTTGATATATAGCAAATTATACAGCACGGATTCGGAAATAGGGTGCAGCTGCGAATGACATTTAAGATTTACGAAGTGCAAATGCTAGCAGCATATTGTCATTTTCCACGCATAGTAAACATGATAAACATGCAATGTTTCTGAAACTAATTTAGTAGCAGCTGTCTTAACAAGACCCTCCCTTCCTACACCACCTTCATTTTGGCAAATCGTACAAAGCAAATAACTACTTCAATTAAGGCGGAGTATAGGAGTTAAACGTTCAAAATTTCTATACTTAAAAATAAAGAATCGCGGGGCATCTTTTGGGCTAGGGGTTAAATACCTCTGGTGGCACAGTAATTGCGTGCTAAAGGCGACATATAAGATGGATGATGACAAGACACAGCACAGTAATATATGCAGAGTCCAGTCCGTCTCCGACTGTTGGCATGCACTAATCACTTCATGCAGTTATTGAAACGAGTGCCAAGAACAAATACCATGCCATGCACATTCTGCTGAAGAATACCATGAAAAACGTTTTTTAACTCTGAGTTTGAGTCGTTGTTGGCAAAAATTATAATTTAAAATATATCTCATATTATATGAAGACAGTACGTCAACTGTACATTTAATGTCCTTTGTTTTTACAAGATTTTTGTACATATGTAGTTATGGATGGGTTAAAATTTTTGAATACATTTCTTTCATTAAACTAACCACTCATATAACAATGTCATATAACAACACAGACAATTTGCAACCCAGACGACTTCTGAATTGTGTATTGGCAAAACAGGTATTCCGAAAGACCACATATATATTCAATCCTGCCAACTCTTTTACAATCGATAGAGGAATGATTACATCACCACTTGACTTAACTGACCTCAATGAAACGCTGGCCTTAGAAGTTTGGACAATTTTCGCAGGAAGCGATCATTTTAACTGAATTATTTATGCCTCGATGTCGTCTCCAAAATATTTCTATATATAATGATATAATGAATAAGATATAATATTGAACAGTCCAGCGATTCGCGATTCATTGAGGCCAGTAGATGGGTGTCACACCTTGATGACTGACAAAAATACCGGTTTAAAATTTTATAGATATGTAAAATTACTTCTTTCATTTTATATACGCATAAAAATTGGCAGACTCTTCATACACCAACCGGAATTTGATAAATCAAACGATGTGACGATGTTGAAATGCCAAATGAGTTAAAATAATATTATAACATCAGTATAGATTTGCGGTTGAATGAAAATGAATGGTAATGACTGTAGCGTGATCATGTGATATTATAAAACATCCTAAACACGGAAATTATAGAATGAAAAATGATTTTAGACTAAATTCACTTCTTCAAGAAGTTCACATTGCGTGACATTATTGTGCCAAATATCAAATACCTGCGCAATATAAACTTTCCCTCGCGTAAAATCAGAAAGAGCCTAGCATCAAAATCAAGTGGTGAACCGGAATTTCTCTTGCACAACAAGTATAAAATGATTTTCGCATATTCAAAATGAAACCAAAGCCACGGATATTTTTAGAAGGTCAAAAATTTCAGCTAGGTAATTGTAATTATACTTCATATTTTCATAATATTTCTGAAAGATTGATATAAAAACACAAAGACACGACAAATTATATCTTTATGAAAAAATTTGTTCTTTGGCAGTACAATTTACTGCAATATAGTGAAAGAATTTAGATCAGACAAGCGTTTATCAGTGATTTTAACAACTTTTAGTATGACCATGGCACTGATGGCAGGCATATAAAGAATTTTTTAAGGATTTTAACACGCGTAAACCTCTTAAAAAGTCCTAGAAATTTTTTCTAAAGAGGCACTCCATTGTCGCCACCAAGACGACTAAACACTTTGTTGCACCTCAACAGAGGTTCAACTTATGCTTTTAAGAAGAGCCACAACGTTCATTTACTCGTAAATGGTAAAAATACACTGAACATACAGTGCTAGAGCGCGGAGTACTGAGAAATATATTGTATTGTATTGAAATATAATACATATCTTGAATAACTTTTAACTCCTTGTTTGTATTGAAAAAGACAGACAAGCAAAAGCACTCCGATATTATGGCTAGTTTCTGAAATTGTATACACAAAAAATATCGTAACAGCGTTATAATAAGAATTGTTTTGCTTTTTTGCTATTTTGTATTGTAGTTCTGCCAAGTGCCGTAGCCAGCGAGACGATTTAGGATATTTTATGTTGTTATAATTATTCGAAATCCAATTCAGAAATTGATAATTTCATCAATCAGTGATTTAACAGAGCGAGTATCACCGGTGTGTACTTATTTTCGAACAACGAAATATCATGTCACACTAAACAAAATCGCAATTACTAAAATAGTTAAGGCTCATTTTACACTTGCGGGGCTCGACTAATGGGTTCACCACTTGATTATGGTATTATTTCCACACGTATTCGGTTACTTGAAGCATTGAAGGTGATTTAAATGGAACACAAGCAAATGAGATAAGAGTTGTAAGGATGAACTACAATAGCAAACGAAATTAGTTTATTGTGTACTTCGTACTGTATTAATATTATCCATACTGAATGTCGACTGTTCCTTGCCTTTACAGTCTATGTGGTAGCTCCTGCATTTTGCCAATAAATTAGGTGGTTTCACTTGCGGTTGCGGATACACGGTGTTGGGATATAATGTCCAAGGGATACATGATGTGTATCTACACTGTGGAGTAACATTGAAATGAATGATTTTGTCGATCCTTTTTAAAGCTGCTACAATGCAGCTATTAGCGATGATGGTATCATATTCAAGTTGGAAATGGGATTCCAAACTTGGCACAGAACATTGCTCCATATTTCATTTTTCCCTCCTTTCATTCCTTTAGTATAGGAAATTTTGGATAAAGGATCTCCTTCTCCATTTCTGGTGGAATTGATAATTTTTTTACCCTCGTAACAACGTCTGGTTTGAGACTCTGACGAATCAGAGAGCAACATTGACTTTTAAGAGTCGGTGGAGTCCGTGAAATACTTTCCATATGTTTATAAATTCTTAATTGGCGCTTTCTCGCTAGGTCAATAGGAGTTTCACCATTTTGTTCGTTCCGACATTTTAACTTAGCATTAGCTTGTATAAGTCTTAATGCAGAGTCTTGAAAACAATAAAATGCAGCGATATGTAAAGGAGTGTCTTTAAAGGATGTAACCGCATTCACATCTGCACCATACCTACAACAAAATAGAGAAAGTATATAACAACATGAACCAGTTAAGCTGTATTCAAAAATATAATAAAATTATTTTATAAAAGGGATTAGCGATCCAGCCGTCTGTACGTTTGACCAGGATTACAATTTACACGTCTGCAAAAGAGAAAAATCATCCATACCTAATCAATGTTTCCACATTATGTAACCTTCCTTTAGAGACTGCAAAATGCAATGGCGTCCATCCTTTCTCATCTGTACTATTTACATTACTTCCAGCATTTAGCAAAAGTTCAATGCACGACGACTCACCAAATGCTGCGGCATGTTGCAATGGAGAACCAATACACTGAAAACAACAAAATCAATCGATGATTATATTACGATGTTTCAAATAATAACAAAATTAGCTTTTGTGACATCACATCCACTAGCATTCACTTTTTATGCATCTTACACTCGTACACAGTCTCGTTAACAAATGCATGCCACACACATACACGCACATACTTTAATAGGTTATATCGTTCACGTATGCTTCATTTTCTTTCTAATAGTTGCATTCACTTTGTTGATAATATTTTGTAGGATGATATTATATACTCTCGACGTATTTAAAAAATTCTAAACACGATGCTAACATTATATACATGTATATGACAACACGCGCATGATTTTAAAATGGTCATTCCTAAAAATAACAAGCGTGATGCAGATGAACAATCATAATAGGTGAACAAGTAACTCAATCTTAGTGGTTCTATCATAAACGATTGTGGCATAAGAATAAATAAAGGCTTGTAATAATAATAATAATAATGATAATAATAATAATAAGGGCTTTTTAAACAATAAACTATTACTTTGCGCAATGCAGGATGGAAATAAAGGTTAATTTGCAACGCTTCCAATGGACCTCTGCTAAGCAACCAAGTTAGAGAAGATGCAAAGGGATTGCCATGAACTCCATTTGCATTTGATACAGAAATTTGATAAACAGTCAGTCACTACGTTCTCGATTAGATAAAATCCCTAAAGGGAGTAAAAATTGGGGCAACGAAAGAGGAAAAAAGAAGATGAAGAGGAAAAATGTACACATATAGAATCCTGGAAAATGACAACTCTAGGACAGATCCGACAAAAAGCACTTGATATATGTGTCAGAAGGAAAATGTAAATCAATTACACACGGTAATTTGCACTGTTGCCAAATCATAGTTGTCGTCGTTCACTTGAGTGTCATATAATCATAGAGACACAAGTTCACAAATTCAAATTCTAATATATTCTGCGAGAGTGCCGCTACGAATTCAATTTCTAAAGTGTCCATTTATATGATCCAAACTGGAATATATCCAGGAAAAACTTTTCGCGTTCGGACGAAATAGCGTGCTTTTAACGAACCGAGATGAAACCATTAAGTGTTTGACGTCATATTCACTTGTGAAAACGCTATTTGCACATGGCCAGATGTTCAACGAAAATGACCTCACATGCTGAGGAAATGTGGTTATATACGCATGAAAGCGATTCTGACTATGGGGAATAATGACTGGTGATCTTCCCTTGTAATATTATACTTTTATTATATACTCTTCAAAGTGTGGTCCATTGCAAAACTGAGCATTTCAACACGAGATCAAAAAATTGCTAAATATATAATCGTTTGACCTCAACTGATTCTAAAGTAGGGGAGGAAAAACTCCTGTAAAAGACAAGAAACATAATAAAATTTTCTCTGTAATGAAGTCTGATTGAAAAAAGAGAAGATGGGAGTGAGACTGAAGTCTGGAGTAGAAATGTTCATATTGCTTATTTCACTAAGTACTGTATCTCAAGGTTTTTGCCTGAACTTTAACGAAGATTTTCTCTCTAAGACATGCAGGTGTTGATATTCATAAAACAAAAATTGGGTATTTCAAAAAAATTAGGATGAAACCACTTCCTTTTTAAGAACCACAGTAGGTATACAATAGGATAAAAGCAATTGGGTATTTAAAAAAAAAGGTGAAATTACTTTTTTTTAAAACAAGGTATACAATAGAATAATGGTAATTAGGTATTATTTAAGATCTAGGTATACAAAGGAAAATGGCCAATGTGGTTGGTAATCATGTGGTTTGGAGTTGGACACCCAGCAAAGCAAGTTTGCCAAATTCCCATCCAAATTAAATAAAAACAAATAATACAGCAATAATTTCCTAAAATAGACATCTGTAGCAATGTGAGACTATCATAGAAACACAAAGGAGAGAGCTTCTAAACACACTAATAATACTAGGCATTTTGTAATCTGAATATATAAGGAGTGATATATTATCAGCAATTGCTTATTTGCCATTATACATACTATATGTTTGGTGTTCGGGTTTGTATTATCCATAAGATTATACACAAATAAAAAACAAGACTATACCATGTGCATTCGCTCTGCTTGCAATCATGGAAGGTTTTGTTTGAATTATACATGGGGACAAGTACAATATATATTAGTACAATATATAAAACAACTACGTACTAATTGTATATAAGAGCAATATATGCTGCCTATTCATACTGTACAGCACAGAACTAATTGTTCAGATAATGTAATCCATATTGAGCAGAGGTTCTGTGACATTTGTTTCTAATATGGTAAAATAAAACTTTATGAATTTAATGTTAAATGTGGCAATGAAAGATAGATTCCCCTGCTGTTTTGACACAGCCTCATATCTCAATGGATATGAATTGTTTTAAATTGTAAATATAATTTTGACCCTGTTGTTAAACTTGGTGACATAGGGATGGTAACTATTACATAATTATTTCCAAAAAGCTGCTGCAATATGCTTACTGTCAAATTTTGGTCCTACATAATTCAGTAATCAACAACTGATGTCCATGCTTGTGACATTGTTTATACTGGTTATATTGCATGCACTAGGGTGTACAAAATATTGTTAGTCACATCTCTTATACTTTTAGTAAACACATATATTGTTGTATTCATGTGTAGAACATTATTGAAGAAGCGCTTGGGATCTAGTCTCTACTGTTCACAGCGCGTTGTTGAAACATGAACACATTTTGTATTACCTGAGAAAGGAATTCAACCCATTTTTAATTTGCATCTTGACCCTAATATTTGATTTGCTGTAATCAAACCCACAAATTTATCTAAACCAAAGTTAACTTAGGAAATTCAAAAATATGGTACAACTAACAAAACGGGATCCTAAAATAATTGTACTCTTCTTAGCCTTTGGAAATGTCTATAGTTTCTTCAAGAAGATGCATGTGTGCGTGTAGACGTCTGTTTTAACAGCGAAACATTGCTGTCAAAAATGTAAACAAAATTCCTTTTTTGATATATTGTTTGTTGAACACAAAGAGTTAGTACATATAACATAACGCTTCATTTTCATCTACGTCTCTTATTTCTTCTCCACATGAACAGGCCATTTAGACCACAGGAGAAGAGACTTGAAAATATTCAAAATTTGATATGAAAGACAAGAGAAATGTAAATAGCATTCATTATTTGATCTGGTTTAATTTAATAACTTTGCTATGCTCAACCAAATTCAGCAAGTTCATGTAATAAAGTGGCAAGGTTGGGCGTATACGCAAACAAACTATAACACAGCTCCTTTATATAACATCATTGCAATCAATAAGACATATTGATTACATAAATTTGAACGACATTGCACACATTTGAAAAGTGTCAATTCTCAACGGCTAAGCTGAGGTATTATCTGATCAAACTCACAACGGAAATGATTATGCGAAAGGTCTAGATTACTAATTTGATCGAACTGCAGGAAAAATCTTGAAAAATCCTAGACGACCATCATTCGTTTCAGATATAAACTTAAGAATGATGTACATAATCAGGTATTTTTTTGAACTTAAATGATTGGCAAGCGTGGTTTATAAAAGACAAGTGAAGATAAATATCTCGCGTGTTTAAAGAGATATTCGGAAGGATTACGGACAAACGGGCGCCAAACTTTCGCAACATAGGAAAGTAAAGCGTCCTGCACCAAAACAAATGTTTTTCACTTAAAACATATTTAAATACTTACAAAACAATTCAAGTGCGGAAAACTTTAAATTGAGTGTCTTTGTACATGCTAACATAACCATTATTACATATTGCACGAATAATAATCTATACAAGCGAGGAATGTAATGTGAACAATATATAGCACGAGCTTGCTTGTTGTTACTTTGCAATAAAATATAAATTAAATTTCTGCTAGATTGAGCTAGTTTGAGCGAATTCAGCTGGTTTATTTCGTCTTCATACTAAGTTATTTACAAACATACACACAGGGAACTTGCTGTTGTAGGCTTTACCACCAAGTGAGTAATATACGAGCAAATCTGTGTTCGATGCACGATTTGTAGCGAACGCAGCCGTCAATTCTCAGCATTTACTTCGAGATAAAACGATAAATAATGATCGCTTTGTAGCGACACACATTAGAAAACATGTTCAGCTCAGTGTGAAAGGAAAATTACATGCTTTCTATAAAAATACATGCATTCCGATAACCTGTTCTTTTCGCGACGAATCTCAAGTGCCTTGTCAAAAGAGAAATGCAAACAGAGCGAGGTCAATACTATCGTATGAAAAAACATTGAAACGTAGCTGAATGCGATTATCATGATGATAGAGATGAAGTAAAATCAATGTTTCGAATGTTTGCTTTCGGTACATTGCCAAATGTGAACGTTTCTAGTTACCTAATATGATAGGAAATGCCTTAAAAAATCACAATGAACAATTTAACCTTTCGTTCTAGTTCACAACGCGCTATTTCAACCATGCATATTACACTAGCTAGACTTGCTGTCTCGTTTGCCGTTAAAGACGTTTCTTAATAATACGAAACTGGGAAGTTGTGCGGGTAAGATAGTGAGATAAATACTCAATTATAACAAAATATGAAATGTCGCGGACATTATGGCGTCAAGCAAGATGCAGTGGGTTGGCTAAGTATTCAGATCTCATGGCGGGTGCTTAGATATAAACAAATTGGAACAAAAATAACACGCTGAAATCAAATACAATCGGCAAGACAAATCTTACATATGTTTTCCTTCGCCAATTTCCCAACTTTAGTTGAAAATAATAAGTAAGGTGTCACTATAGTATAAAGGTGCGATTTTCCACATAGGTATTATATCTATATCTGTGATTGTTCGTCGCGAATTATAAAGATTTAAGAGTAATTATTCCAATCATGTACGGCTCAAGCTATCCCTACATTTAGCGTTATTCAAACGTATTCGATGAAACACTGAGGCAGTTTAAACGTGCAGACGAGTAGATAAGTACAAAGCAAACGGCGGTGTGTAAAATGCACAAAAGATGCGAAGAATGCGACCATCTGGGTTCAAATAAGAAATGATCGACACTTGAATCGCAACAACAAGCTCCTTCAAACATTTTCCTCTTACTGTGGAAGCATTCTCACGCGCAGCATACAAACTAACATTGAATGACATAAACTTGTAAAAGTAAACATAAACGACATATGAACTTACTCTAAAAGCGCCAGTTGTCGGCGGCTCAACTTGAGCGTTGTATTGAAGCAGTAACTTGACACAAGTTGAATGTGCATGTTTCGCAGCAAAATGCAAAGGCGACCATCCTCCCGAAGCAATAGCATTTACATTACTACCACTTTGTAACAGTTTCTCAACACAATCCGAATGACCGTTTCTCGCGGCAAAATGTAGTGCAGTCATTTGATCTGTTGATACTGTATTTGGATCAGCACCGTAGTTTAAAAGCATTATCAAACACTCAGTATATCCACGCTCTGCCGCTTCCATTAGCGGTGTTCGGCGATCATACGAGGCTATATTCACATAAGCATTATGTTCAAGTAAGATTTTAACACACGAACATTGTCCACTTCTTGCGGCGTTATGTAATGCTGACTTGCCATGCATTGTAAATTCATTTATAAATTTAAAAGCGCCTGCTTTCAATAAATTCTTCAAATCCCTTTCACAACCTTTATAAGCGGCGGTAGCCAAACGAGCCAGTAAATCTTCGTCGCTCATGTTTCTTTTTTCCCAATGTCGACTATGGCTCGTTCCCATAGCTCATTCACACAACAGAAGAGAAACTGTGCTGAGAAGAGTTGAAGCGACATCTACGACATCTTGGCTCCTTGTTTCGAGTACCAGAGCCAGAAGTCTAGACAATCTTCGTGAACACTAGGCCCTGCGGCTCCATCCGTGCAGATAACAACATGGCACCCAGGGAGGGGACCCTGAGTAGCTTAATTATGATATGCACGCAACAAGTGCAAAATAAAAGGCGAATAATAAGAAACTTTAAAAAAGTACCCCGTTATAAGATTATAACTGCTTAGATACTAGAATTAAGCGATTCCTAAAATATTCAAATTCATATTTCTTAACTTGAACAACGTGTTTCCCTTGGCAAGTTAATTTAGCTGAAAAAATTTTCAAACTAAATTAATTTCACAATAAGAGGGCAGCGCGGCATTACTGAATGACTCAATAATTTTTTTTGTGCTAATATTTACTTTCTCTTATCGCTGTTGTTTTTGTCAAAATTTAGAAATATGATCCGTTTCCGGTGACAAATTGTGAATGAACGATAGCTCGGAGATCTAATTTCTTCCCTGTATTCTGAAGAAACGAAATGAATGGCGATGTTTGGAAAAATTTAGGAAGGTAAAGAATCAAAATAAAGTTTTTAAACGTAAATATTACACGACACAAAGCTTGCCGTTTCCTTTTATATGCAAAGTTTACCGTCGCAGAGACGCCAGGAAGTAATGTTGACTCCCAGCCGCTGCCATGCTTCTTTTATGTAACGTAGGCTCGCTTTGTTCGAATCTTAAATCATAAATAGTCAACTTTTTATGTCATCTTATGGCATTTATGGGCCTCGTTTTATGTTTATAATAGAGAAGTGGTCTTTTATATTACACGTAGAGACTTATTACGTACAACATGGAAATGTAGACAGTAGACTTTTTACTCAAAAACAAAATTTGATGCAAGTAAGGAACATTTCATTGTCGTTAATGTAGACTGTAGAGGTCAGTAAATTTTAATAACATATTTACATCTACATTATTTGCCGCTGAAAATCTGGTACATAAAGAGTTGTGACTGCAGTGTACGCATCAATACATCTTCGAATAATTATCTGTACTTGGGCAAAAATGATTTGCAAAGTCCATGTAGAACTTCACATGCAATTTGAATAAATTTCCACACAATATTAATAAAAGTGTTCGGTTCTCATAAATCATAATTGCCCATTAGTGGGATGTTTATTCGTACAGCTTTACTCATAATTGTTTAAAATATAATGTTAGTTCATCCCACATTACCGGCTAGACAGCATGTTTCCAGTTGTTTGTAGATAATATTCCACTTCATGCCACCTGGCACAGTGGCACCAAATTAAATTTGCTATATCATGCCCCTCCCCAAGGGAACTTCAAGCAGCAGTTGTAGAAATTCACATGGAGTACTGTTGTTTCTAGAAATCTCTAGGTACAGGACACTCCTGAGATTCAGATTCCTCCTAGTGGTTCTAGTTTATAATAAACTTTATCCTTCAGACATAGTCTCTTTTAAAAATGCAAATTCTTTAGTTCTCAACAAGGGTTGTATGTTTTCAAAATAACACCTCTGGTGTATGTTCATATAGCAGTTGTTTTCCAGTCACATTTCAAATCAGGCTTTTCTACCTTGCATGTTAGTTGCCTATTGAAGCACCAAAGTTAAGAAAAATCACATTGTTCAGAAATGAAATCTGATAAAACAACTTGGAGACCAATTGCTTTAAATATGAGATGAAACCAACAATAATATCAGGTAGTTGCTGTTAGATCAGAAAATGTCTAAGAAGGAACTGTGCATATAGAAATCCTATTAATAAAATTCCTCTGACATTTTTGGTCAAAAGCAAGATGATAAGCTGTAGTGGTTTATGTCTATCTAGGTACGGTACCTAAAAAGGTTACAAACACTTTTACCTTTTTAGAGAATGATCTTTATCAGGAGTTTTCAATGTGCACGAATGAGACTGACCAAAAATATACTTAATAATTTTAAAAATGTGCTTAAAAATCTCTTTACATAAGAAAAGGCAAAGTGGTTCCCATTTGGAACATGTGATTTTTAGTGAAGTTTGCATAAGTTACCATTGTCCTTTTGCCTAGCTAGTCAGTTTTTAGCACTACCTAATAATATATTTATATTTATACTACAGAGTTCTAATAGATGTTGCTACAATGTTTGAACACTTTGATCTATACAAATTATGATGGTCCTTAGACTCATTGGAATGCATAATTCCAATGTGGATAGTGACTAGAGTACTACATCTCTTCACATATAGACTTCCTTGAGGTTGTCAACGACTTTTAATAGGCCTCCTTCACTTGTATATGCCAGGCTAACTAAGTCAGGAAAAATGAATTTTAGTCACAGAAACATCAAACCCAAGGCACTTGTCCAATTGAAAAGTATACTTTTGCCTTTGTTTATTCTGATGAAAGACATTCTTTCATATCTGGTACTCTAGCTGTATTGTTTTCACAAAACCGCATTAAATGTACTCAACTGTCCTAAATATTTATGCACAAAATGTGCTAACAAAAGTGCTCCTAGTACTGTACCTCCACTCTTCAATTACTATAAATGAACCACTGAATTAGATCTATGAAGCTCAATTCATAACCTTCAACTAAACCTCTAAAAGAGCTTTTCTCTTTGGGGGACCAGTCTTTGAAAATCACTAGACATGGTAAAGCTAAATAATAATACGTAGGTCATGTTAGTTTCTCAACGTTCTTAAATTGATATTTACTGGAAATTTGTCTATCTATGAATTAAAACTAAACTACATACTGTGCATCCAATATCAAGTACACAAAACAGCCAATGCCACAAAGGGCTACACTTAGGCTATATGCCTGTATAGGCAAACGAAGTAGATATGGTGGTGAGTACCTTTGTAGTGAGTTGGAGAAATACCTCCTTGTTGCACCCACACTAAATCACCTTTTTCATTCCAATTACTATATAAAGCCATCATGTATTTCTAATATGACTGTAGAACTGATATGAATAATTTTATCAGCATATTGATAATGGTGTGTCAATATAGTGATTGTTTAAGTTGCCAGACATCTAGTGCCATCCAATTCCCGTCTGGTCAACATCCAGTGTCAATGAGTATTTGAGACTCTCAGGTGGCGCTCATGTGATTGTCTTAGTATCATTCCTTTTATAATATCAAAACATAAATTTAATCTAATCTGATGATTACTGGTATGCTTTGCAACCCGGAGCTCTTCCGTGTGCCTGAAAACTAGGATACATTCTTTTCGGACATTGTAGTCTGTAAACAAACCTGCATTTTTTGAAAAAAGTTGTGTCATAACATACTAATTTGCGATATATCGTAGGAGGAACATGTAGACGGTAGAACTTCAGATAACAAGATCTAGGTGCTTTGGTAAAAGTATACGTCCTGTCTGATAGTCCCGACGGCACCAGAAGAGGTTTATGGATAAAAGAATAAAACAATAAAAGAGCTGGCATTGCCATTGCCCAAGTGTTCACGTCATATCCGCGTGTACCCGCAGTTTGCACATTATTAGCCAAAGTTCTGTATATTCTGTTTGTCATTTCACAATTCTGAAATACCCATATTTGTATGCGTTGCCAGTTTACTATGTAACATTAAACATGGAGATGATCATGTTTCACGAGGCTTGTATGCATTATATATTGGGTAATGGGTATATCTTGAGTTATGTGGATTATGGAAGTCATCCAGGTTTTAGAAGTATTTTATCGACATTGAAATCTGAAATATCTAATGCGATATAATAAAAATAGAAAATGATGTTAAGCAGACAATGTTTGGTATGAAGGTAGGCAGAAGGTTAGAACATTAAGACATTTACAGTGCAACTGACGGCATTAAGTATTTCTGTTTATATTTTAATACAAAATGCTTCTATCTTTGTGTAAATAGGAATGTTTACTCTTTCCAATGTTGACAATTTGAATTATATTTTCTATATCATTATATACGTCAAAATATAGTCATTTCACAGACTAGCCTTCGATTCATCTTACTTTGGGAAATAAAGTCAAGTTAATAGAAGCAGCAACTGTTTTATAGCATATCAACCCCAGTCCTCCAGTGCCAGTGCAGAGATTGTGATACACACTGTAATGTGTTGTTTTTCCCGCTGCTAAGGCCTCTAATGAGCTCCTATATCATCAGCTTTTTTCAAGAACGTGTTGCCATAAATATCTTCGTAAAGTTTTCACCGACCTTTAATTTAATAAATTATTTGACCATGGAATTTGAAATATCTTATGATAGTCATAATTAATAAGTTCTGTTAAGTGGATTATTCTTCCCATGTTCACTCTACTTGACTGTAGACAGAACGTCTTGCGCGGAGTGATATTTCCTTCAATTGGAATGAATTAGTTCCGCTTGCACACAAAGAGGTTTATAGACCCGATGCCACCGAGCCAGGGATATAATAATAGGCATGCTCCAACTCTCGCTTCTGTTTATTTTTTTGTAGAGATCCGCTATATTGTATAGTTTCGTTAAAATTGCAAAAAATCTCTAAAAAACGTTTCTCTTCAAATTTTATTATTTTAGTCTACTAATAGCACTATAGTAAAATGATAAATTAAAGAATTAATAGTAAAAAATTAAAACACGTAAAAGGAAAATCATTTATCCAGACTAAAAGTCTCGGTTTAATTCTTTTAGCCGACCAAGAATTTCCGAAGTTGACAACCACGTTCCTTTCATTAAAGTCTTTAAATAATTTCTAATAATAAACATGGCGAGAACAATACCCGCCGTAGTAGATACATGAATGTTTCTCATCACGACTACGTGACAGCCTCGTCTAAATAAGACATGCATCAGAATGTATTTCTTAGATTCTTTTAGTTATACTCGCCCTACATACAAAACCAATCACTCTTTTCCTTATGAGGAACGAGGTCACGTTATCTGCAACGTCATAAATCGTCGCACTTGATTACAGGAAGCTAACTTACTCAATACACATTGTACATTATTTTTTCCCCATTCCTTATCTAACCAAATGGTATCGTCGAGGTTGAATTTTAGAATTTGACTTGAATATAATTTATTAGAAAATACGAAATTAAAAACTTGGTGTGGGCTGGGATCGAACATGTGGTGTGGCATACTCGACGACTTCGCCACTGAGTTCTCGCCATATTTACTTCGGCAAAGATTTAATGACAATGTTATTCAAATTGGCAAATATAGTTGTTTTCAAGAACTGTAATATTAGCGCTAAAGAAATGATTGGAATATTGGATATTTATGCCTCAAAGAGTTAAATAAATCAATGGGATTGTACAATACAATTCCTTCAAGTTCCCACATGGCTACCGATGTGTTAAACTTTTTTAATCCCCATCATTCTTTTAACGCTCATGGTACAATAGGTGTTAGCTGTATATCCTGGTAATATAAGCAATGATAAACTCATGACGTCATGCTTTAATAGTTCATTCGATGTGAGTTGAGCTCCGATTTTGATAATAGACTTATATTAGATTTAGCGAATAACAATATTTTTTCTTGTATTAAAAATACTTTTTACCTCTTAGTCATAAAATATTTTTATTTCCAGCAATTAAGAATTTTTTCACTATTCCTGACACTCAGACCAGTGAATTCCATAGCTATAGTCAGCTATAGAGCTGCATGTGCGAAAGATTGTGTTTGCAAGCAGGTTACATACTTGAGTCAGCTTCACCAACCTCTCACACTATCAATCCCAAATGGTAAAATCATCGATTTTATTTACAACTTCATTCAATTTAGAGTCTTAGACCACATCCGCTTTGAATTGCATAATTCAAAAATGAAGACAAGAGTCGTGTTGTTAGGGGCCTTGTAGCCTGAGCCAGTAAAGAGTATTAACAATGGGGTGATGTGAGAACAATCTCGGCCAACCGTAAATTAAAAACTCCACCTGGCTTGCAGTTGCATGGGGGAAGTGTTTGTCAGGATAAAAGAACGTTACAATAGACCACGTGATTTTTTTGTTAAACTATCTTTTGTATTGTTTTCAGGTTAGAACTGTATATAAGTATGTGTGATCATCATGTCTGAATGGGATAGTTCCATCAGCACCTGGGTAGGTTTATCTTAACTATATTGTACACATAATATGCACGGGCAACGTCCTCCTAGCATAGCACAGTTTCCCGTTGTAATTATACCATTATCTTTACTGGTTACGTCATGATACAATTGACATTTATGATGAAATGACATCGCCTCGTGCATAAACATTTTTCTTATTTCACCATTACTATTCAATCCAATACGATGATGGGATAATTGTTTGTTATGCCAAATCATTGTCAACATGCAGTCTTAATAGTTTGCATATTTGCACAAACATGAACAGAAATATGAAATAAATCTACGAAAATCTGATCATATAGTTCGGCTGGTATCATTCAAATTTCTAATAACGTAATGTGAAAACAAAATTAATTTGTTTTGAAGGATCTTATTGAAAAAGCCTGCAAGGAAGCTGGTAAAAGAAAGAGGGACCACCCAGAAAAAAGGTATTTTTAATAAGAACGAATTATCAGCTTATATTGTAGTTGTTGATAAATTAAAGTCGGCCAGAAAATGGATTATAGTGAATCATCATTGGCAAATAATTTTTATCATGATTTTCACAGTTTAATATCCTCCAAAGCTTTTCCTTTTTTTTGCGCAAAAATGCATTTTCTCCAAAAGTTGGACAAACTGATCTTCCTTATACAGTATAGTAGAAATCAGATATAGATCAGTGGTAGAACAAGAATTTCGCCTATACGTTTCGCGTGAAGCATGATTTGGTATTTTTTACCCGTGAAACGTGCTAATCTGTGATACATGATCATGGGTTACGTGAGTAACGTGACCGTGAATATAACTCCATATTTATGGTTGACGCATAAACTCAGTCTAGAAGCTATTGTCTTTTAGTTTTTCTAAATTAAGAGCAGAAAAACATGACTGACCTTAAATGCTGCACCATAATGTTACAAACCACTATTGCACTTAAATACGCCGGATGAAACGTTTTAAGTGAAACATGCAGCACTGAGATATTTTAGGCTAAATATAAGAATGTGTAACTAGGAGAAGGTAATTCTTGTACTTTTAATTAAAAGACGTATATTTAGTTTTTGCGTTGCACGAGTGCTGGATCTTTCGCCATAAAGAGTGTTCAAATCTTTGTCTATTCCATATTTGGCAGTAATAAATTAATGCTAATGATATAAAACGTGATGAAATTAAACCTAAGTACCAAAGGAACAAGGCCACAGACAATGAACGCTGGGTGTGATTCTAAAAAAATTGCCAATTAAGATATGTATAATTTGGATTTATCGCCTATATATGCAAGTGATGAAAACGGCATAAAAGTTATAATGCAAGACGAAAACAAACTGTTTCTATCTTCGTGCAATTGTGGAAAATTGTATTTATTCCTCAAAAAAATTGTCCGTCTGTCAGTATAATGAGCTTGTTTTAGCAGTGTGTCCCTGTAATGCAATTTTTTCTACTTGTTTGAACTTCGTATTTTGAAGCAACGAATTTGTATGCTGAGTTTTGAAGTGTTCCGCTCGCAATGCTGACATTCTTTGCAAACCCTGTTAAGGCATATTCAATATGCTGCTGATCCACACTGTCATTCTCATCTTGAGAAAGCGGAAATACTTCACATGGAATTTTGTGACTTCAAAGTATTTTGCGCGACCTTGGAAGGCATTTTAGGAATATCTCTTATTTTTGTACTTTACACACTTACATTGAAGAATAATGTACCACATTTTATTTCAGGCAAAGCTTGCTGGAACGGTTGTTAGATTGTTTTGTTGATTCAGTTGAAGGGGCCCCAAGTGACAAGGTAATATTTGTCATCAGCACCTCGCAGTGGGTCAATGTACTTATAAATCCGCTTTGACAGTAATTAATGACAGTATAAAATAACTAGCGTCGGACTAGTGTGTTGTTCAACACTAAAATTTGTCTCTAGAACAATTCAGTGTAGAAAATAAACTTAGAAGTAGGCATTTCAAACTTAAATGAATTGAACTCAAAATTATTCGTAGTTCAAAATCAGGACGCTAACAGCCTCTAAACCGTCCATTGTCCACATCCCTTCAACGACCACTCTTTGTTCATGCACAACTAGGCTCGTAAAAAGGAAACGACCCGTCCAAATTTTACTTGGAATGAAGAACACTCCCTTAACAGCTTAAACATTTGTTCTTTTGCAGCGTTTTCGTCATGGTGTTCACCTTCTTGACAAAGTTGTTTTACAAGATAATCTTTCAACATTGATCGTAAACTTTTATCCAGTTAACGAAGGGTATTCACTTATATTGAAAAGCCCTAGTGGAACAGGTACGATGAATCATTCCAGATGTAAAATGTAAAATGTAAAAGAAGACTTGATATTATAATGTTAAATTTAAAATTTATTTAATTCCAGAATCCGAAACTATTCGACTTCCATACGAAGTAAGATAATATCTCACAACCTCCTTTATTAATGGCGTTTTTTACACGCTGTACGATATAGGCGACTTATAATCCAGATTAGTAAATAATATAGGATAGAAAATATAGCAAATCTGGTTAAGAATGCTTATTAACATCCAAATTCGTCTGGATTGCAACAAATCGTTTTAAGATAGGAACTTAATTTCTTTTTCAAGGAAACAGAATTTCTTGATTATCTTGATGCTCAGCAGGTATCCATCAAAACGAAAAATATTTTTGTCAGATTCATTGATTGTTATCATAGAGATAATAGACATTTTTTCTATCATTGTTATGTATACATTTTTTACTGAACGGTGGTTGCTGAAAATGCTGAAGTGTATCTGATACGTATATGTGCAAAATACCTTTAAATAATGTTTCTTATTTAGCTTCCTCCGATGCTGGTTGATTTGCTGGAAAAATCCAAGGTAAGCACCTTTCCCATGCACGAGGCTTAAAGGTTAGAACGGGTGACTGGTGCCAGGAAATACGATCAGAAATATTAGCCCATTTCGCAATTCTTTTTAAAATGCATCAACTGAAGGCTTTGTTGAAATTTTTTTACATTCGTGATAATTTTAGTCTGAATAGGTGTTGATCTGCCGCTATAAGTAATTGTTGATATCTCGAAGCAATAATCGCTCATGGTTTTTTTCCATCAGGCGAATGTTTTCTACAATGGATGTGTGATTGTTGAAGTTCGTGATTATCGTTGTTCTGTTAATCCTAGCAGTTACGATACTTCATACGTACTATTACGTCCAACATGCCAGGTTGGTGAAGTGTTTTTAACATTAAAGTGTAATTTACACTATAGTTATCTTAACGAATACTATAGTATTAATATATACGTGTATATGAGCTGACTAATTTTCATTTCCTCTTCAGACTCTTATTGCTGATGTTAATGCCCTAACGTGTGATGGAGAATGGCTTGATGAGGATAAGATTAATTTGGAAGCAGAACTATTATTAAAAACACAAAGTCCATTATGTCTAGATCCTTCACCGGAGATCTTCAATATTGTCAACCAAATGCATTTTCACAAACACAAATATAGAAGTCAGTTATTACAAAGGTTATTTTCTAGTTTGTTTCAAACCAGTATATTAGTTTAGATAATCGTACTTTTCCCCCGATATTTCGACCGTTTCGACAATTCTATGGTTTCATATTTTTCAGAAGTCACAAACGTCGTTTTCGCGCATATATTTCTCAAAACCGGCCATCTATATCGGCTCCTTCATGTCTAAAATTGGTTGATTTCTTGGCTCATCACAAACATGCCCAACCTCCTGTTAATTTACGACTGTCAAAGTCATCGTACAGTGGAGTTGACACATGGAAACAACGTACATTATCGTTAGCACCACCAATTGAACCAGTACAGGTAAACAAAATTAAGATAAGGCGGGTAGGCATACATTACATTCACATGCTTCAGTGGTAAAATTAACTTTAATTTTGCAAATAATTTCTCTTTATTCTCATTCATTACTCTATGCACTATAAGGAATGAATTGTCTGGAAAATGATGATATATATTCTCATGCACAGGTGATGAAATTTTCTAAGAAAATAGAAGCGAGTAAACTGGATCCGAATAGCGCTCCCGAAACAGTGCAAGAGATAGTTTTAGAAGCTGAGAAAACAGAGAATCGTAATTGCCATTGTCGTGTGATGATTCAGCGTCGTCCTGCGGATCTACAGTATTTAGGTGAATTATATTTACATGAAGATGCAAGCAGTAAGGAAATCACTCAAGATAAAGGGAAATGCTGCAAGTAAGTCAACCTTGATGTATTCCCCGATTGTTTCCGCCCAACTGTGCTGACATGAAAAATTTCAATTTTAGGAATTTCGTTGTCTATTTTTATTAATGTCTTAATTGCCATCGTCCATCAGCCATCTGGCCGATGACATCCTTCATAATTGCAAGGATTTTTCACGAACGAAATTCCCAATAGCCTGTTCAGGCATCTGTTATAAATCAACCATCGCCCTTCTATATTTCAAGAGACCTCTCGATGAAGAAGTATCATATTTACAAACATGCAATTATGCCCTCGCTAATGATGAAACTATTATCCAAATAACATGAATGTGAATTACTAGAACCTAAAATAATTTTAATTCGTTTTATTTTAGGTTCTTCCTTGGCAGTAAACTGAGTGCACAGAGGTTTGTTCTATGTAATAATCATCTTCACCCATATGGAACCTTACAACCATTTTACCATAATTTTTAACCTCAAATATTCGTATACAAGTGTCCCTGGCCTATCTTTTATAAACCGCATCATAAATATCGTGATTTTTTTGCCAGATATCTTCAGCAGTTTCAAGATCTGTACACAGAGGAAGGCAGGAAGCATGTGAAAATTGCCAATTTCATCCCGAGCCAACAACAAGCTCGAATGCAAGCACAAAACAAAAACAAAGTAAAATCTGAACCAAATAGAACACCGAGTCCATGTCAAGGCCAAAAAACCGAAAATAAAACAGTAAATGGAAACGCAATCCCAAATCATCAGGGTCATCCTAATCCCGGAAACAAAATAACAGTGAATTCGGTTGTGAAGAATAATGGTAATAATGTCACTAGTCAATCGATTTCTGGCAAGATTCCAATATATAATACATCAAGTCTTGCAGGAAATAGTATGGTTATGACTGGGACGAACGCTAATCTCGCTGGAATGACAGTGCAAGGTATAATCTTTTAACCATTTGTATAATTATGGTGGCGGATATCCCCATAAAATATGTTTGCAATTATGAGGTTTATTCTAGCATTTACTATCCTTTCGTTCCTTAAACATGTACTTCAGTTAGTTTCTCGAACCGAAACTTGTAGAGTCTTGCCAAAAGAAAAGCATAAACAATCCAACTAATTTCAACGGCATGTTTTCGAGTGGCTTTCACAGGTGTTCCTTTCTTTGCAAATTAGCAATAGCAAGCAAAAGCCTTTTTGTCTTTAGTCCATGCATATATCTATATTGTAGTCCCGGCCTTTCTCTTCTCAAATTTTAATATTTTGCAATGTGTATTTCGCAGGTAAGCAATATGTCACGGCAATTCCTGTCGCGTCCTCATCAGTACAAAATCAACATGATGCAATACAGCCAGGCGCCTCATATCAACAGAATGTTGTTGGAGCATATGTTCAGGTAATCAGTGAAATGTTCATTATTGTTTCTAGGAATTATTTCTTTAGTAATACGCATATGCCTAGAATTTAGATAAAAAATCTTAAAATTTAAAGCTAATCTTTTCTTGTCTGTAAAATTCCAGCCCAAGGTTGTAGCGTTAGGAAACACAGCAATACCTGTAGTGACCACGCCTATCGCCCCAATCACCAGTAAACCAAGCTCTGGTGCCAGACCTTCCCTTCTCCAACCGAAGTTTATAACGACAACAAATATAAAAAACGTTGCTCAACCGATACAGCCTGCTGGTCCAGGATCTATTACCTTGATACAGGTATGGTGACATATCAGGTCTTATTTCAAAAGACACCAATGGAGGCCCAATGGAGAGATGAAGTCCACATCATGAAATTGCTTTAAATATAAATATAATTAGACGTATAGTTGTGATGTTTTCTTCTTCAATTTCTTCTGTTTTTTTTATCTCCATTCTGTTGATTAATCATGATAGGCAAAGGCATTGACTTTTGTGAAATATATCCAGCTGTTATCAAGATTTTCATCAAACATTTCACGTGGATTAGCCTCTCTCTAAATCTTTCTTCTTTTATTTTTTATTTTTTAGTCTGCAGGAGGTGACCAAACGCGACGTTTGTTACCAAGCTCCATCGCGTCTCGAATACTCAAAAAACAGGCCCACGTAAGACCCGATTTAAAAAACGATCATTTTAGGTTCCACATTCATGTGTTCCACACACTTTTAAATAAGGGTTTCGAAATATTACCTTGAACAACAAGATGTGTCTTGTGCATCTCGCTATAATATGACGTATATACATAGATCTATATTAAAAACATCTTGTTGAAAATATTCTCCAAAATATTGTTTGTTTCTTTTATTTTTTATTAGAACAACGTGACAATACAAGGACAACAAGTTCAGATTGCTCAAAGATCAAATAACGCTACAATTGCGGTACGTTTACACTGGTAAAAACAGAGACTATTAATAATCTCTACGAGTGTAAACTAGTTTTGTCCTTCTAGCATAACTAAACAGTTATCTTTTTCTCAAACTGTAACTTACGTTTGTTCGACGCATTGCTCAACACCAGTCTCGCAGCTGGGAATGAAATGTGAACTAGCAATTTGAACATTTTTTCGCATAATAACCTGCGTAGCGGTGCGCAGGTTAAAAATTATTTGTTTTTCAAAATTAACCTTATTTACGTTCTCCTTCACAGCAGTTGAGTGGTGCAGGTATTTTACCTCTGACACAACTTGGTATCAATGTTGCCAGTCCTCAACTATCTGGTAAGAAAGTTTCTCAACAAGCAGTAACGTTGTCATCGTCGCTAACACAGCCAATACTTCAACAACAATCTCAGGCCAGGCAACTCACAGCTGGTTAGTCTTTATTGTTTTTCCTAAAAAAAATTGTTTGATCTGCCGAACCCGAGGGCCAATCGCGAATGCCTAAATTGAAAAATATTTATTCCGTTTCAATTCAGCTCCAGTAAACACGTCAACGGTAGTAACTATGGTAACTATTGGCAATGCAGCAACACCCATTGCAACCATGACTCCAGCTGGTAATAGATCTACGTCAAATCTTGCTCCTATCGTCCCTCTTCAGGTAAAATATTTCTTAGTATTAGATATTTGTTAGGTTAACAAAAAAGCAAAAAGGCTTTCACAAAAAAGCTTAATTCCAGCGACCTTCGCGACATTGTATAGCAGTGTCGTCATTGCTTCGCCGATCTGTATTATTCTACGTTCTTCAATCTATCGATAATAGACCTTATGCATAATGACGTAACAAGCTGTGACACCTGCAGGGAATTCTGGTCTTTGTAGAATTCCCCGTAGACGTCACGGCTTGATACGTCATTATGCATAAGGTCTATTACATTGCGATGAATGTAAATCCAAAGTAAACATAATTTAATTTTTTTTAGGTTCGCATGGTACAGTTTCCACAAAGAGCCCAGACGTTGCAACCACGGCAGATCGCTCTACAACCTCAAGTGAATCCTACAAACACAGGCAGAGCGCCTGGAAGACCAAACTTAAGACGACGATCATCACATCAAAATAACACTTCACAAAAGTAAATATTTATTTCAAGGCATGGATGTGCATGGTGAAAAACACATTTCTATGAAAATTGAAATATGTATATCTCAATGGAAAAATAACCTAGAAACTTCTTGTGGTAAATCGGTATGATAATAGGAGAAGAAAATACGACAACATGTGTACTGATTTCAAAGGCTTCTAAACTCGTAGTATTTTCAATACCATAAAAAAAACAATAGAAGACAGCTTGAGATGCACCCGTGATGTACAACCGTTTACAACAAGTGTGACGGCGAGAGTGTATATACAGCCACGTCTTAGACCAATTATTGTGATCCAAGTGTTTTCTTAATGCTGACATTTTGTTAAACTTATGACATCTTTAGACAAAGTTGATAAAGTTACATGTACAACATGTCGGTCGAAACAAATGTAACTGTCCATTTGTTGGACTCAATAATCCTTAAACGTTTCTTGCAATTGAGTACTTGATTGTAATTATATAAAACTGGTCCTTTTATTTGTACAAAAAATTCTTCGCCTAATTTTTATAACAATAATATCATAAAATATTTTAGTATTTGAAAATGCATCAAAGCATTCAATTTAATACTAAACAAACTTTATGCTTGTATATATTGTTGTTATATTTCTATATTGTTCTATACTCGTTGGAAACAATAAAACGTGTTTGTAGGTAGAAGAATTAGCTACCAGACGATATCCAATGAATTAGATATTTTCACCAATTTTCTCTCAAGAAATGAGAATTGAGACATATTTCCTTGTTACTGTAAGTTGCGTTATGAGTGTTCACGTTCAATAAACAAACTCAGTAGATCCAGACACATCAATTTTGGTAAAAGTTTGGCGTTATAACCTCAAGCCGCGGTTTGCGTGTCAAAATGTTTCAGCTTGGCACCGCGGAGGATTCTGTTGTTTTTTTTTGGGAGGCAGTGGTTCATGTTTTGTGCTTGATCCTTAGCTTCATTAAATATTGGCATGTAGTTCCAGTCTTCCAGAGAAGTTCGTTCGACAGAAACACGTGAAAACTATGTGTAATTTACTCACCTCAATAAATAAATCCAAAAAATTACAGCCCTACAACACGAACAGCAACCAGAACCAGAAGACGTTGGTGACTTGATTTTCAGAGGTTATCAAGTAACGCCAATAAAAAAACCAAATGATTTCTGTAAATCCACGACTGTGCGTATCAGACATCATGATATTTCCTGCAAAGCTGTGTTAACAAGCTTCTGAACACTTTTTGCCCTTTTTTTCGCTTCGTTCGTACATTTTTTTACAAGAACATCAGATGGTAACGGAGTGCCGCCTAAACAACGCGTAAGATTCTTCATTACGACTTCACATTTTGCACTAATTCATGACGAATAGTCATTCTGGGGTGGACTATAGGATACAACCGATAGAGCTAGTATGGGCGTTTACCCACAATTAGAATAAAACGCTGAAAAAAATGGGAAACTCTGTTGCAAAAGTAGTATAGGAGAGTAAGTTTCCATCCAAGGGATGATCATATATGCGAAAGATAATCTTTTTAAAAGAAAAACATTCTCTTTAAAATGAGACCCAACTCAAACTATAACTACACAGCTCCTAGACTATCATGTTTGCTTTCTTTGGTAAAAGCGCAAGATTACTTCACTTTCGTTACTACACACGAATGACATGATTAAACTTTTAACTACTGTACCTACCTGGTTTATGAACAGAACAAACGTTTCCTTCAGATGTAACAACAATAGTCATCACTCCAGTTGCTAAACTTTCTTCATCATCCGTAGGATCAGAAATAACTGAACTACAAATGCATAAATGTAAGATCTGTGGTAAGATATACCATAACTCGAATGGCATTACAATTAAAGGCCCATACACACCGGACGCCGATAATATTATTAATATATTGCTATATATATAAAAAGGACTGCAGAGGATTGCGGAAAAGAACACTTACTTGTCAATGATAGCAAACGTTGAAGCTATTGGTTGTTGTTTCACATTCAATGGTATCTCGTTTGTTTCACTTGGTTCTGGGGTATTTGTTTCTTCGTTGATTGTAATCTCATATAATCTCGCTAGATGATGGAATATTATATTACCAACATGTTAGTTGAAAGTTTAGTTGGAACAATTACTTTTAGACCACAAAATTGTGTCGCTCCTGCACGAACCAATTGCGAAGTCATGCAGATGAAAAGTAGTCACAAAAACATTCTTTCACATGAACTAAGATTCGTAATAAAAACCATTGAAGACAACGAATATTTTATTGTTCTCTGTAGTGCCATATCACTTGAATGAAATATCTTTATGGTTGGTTTTGAAATCAACTTACAATCACACATGAAACATTTGAACAAAATGAACTTTAATATACAAAGTTAAATGTCACTTACTGTTTGAAATACCACCAAGAAACGCAATCATACTGGCATCGGCTATATTTCCGTCGTAATTTAGACACACAAGATCAACGTACAAACACCAAACAAGCTAAAAAAAACCAACTAAGTTGTCACTGTGAAGACAATGTAAAAATCAGTGTTTAAGGTCCTTTTCTTCTCTCGTTTACTGTAAAAGAAAGAAGATGACAGACTACCAAAGCGATATATTTTTGTGATAAAGTTCCTTCAAGCGCGAATGAATATATAACTGCTCGTTTTACGCCATTACTTGTCTTGTGTCACAAGCAGAAACAACTTGTTTTTAAGTGAATACATGCCACGTTTCTGCAAATTTCATTACCTGACCCTCCAGAATACATAATTCTTCCAGGTCGATCATCTCTGAACTGCAAAAAAGGATAAGCTGACGTTAATGGACAAAGAATTTATACAGACGGAGGAAGTAAAGCAAAAAAAGCCTCGTTCTTATGTTATTTGTTTCCTAGATTTGCTTGACCAGTTGAAAACGATCGAGATATGTTCATTTATGAACTGTAGCTTCGTTTAAGGTTGACGTAAGTACAATCTAGTCTTCATCCCTCATCTTAATGAAGAAGTTAACTTACTTTAATACAGTATCGGCAATAAACTGACTTAAAACTTGGGCTTGTTCACTCGGAGGTCCAGGACGAAAACGAGGACAACACAATGGAGGTAGATCAATATTAGGAACTGAAAAAGAAATTAAAGCCCAAAGTTAATGCAGTGAGCTGATCATTGAAATTTTACTGACAGCATACACATTTTTGTTTTAGTACAATTTTACTGTGATAGCAATATAATACTCATGTCTTCAGCTTATGCATAATAAGATAGAGACACACACTAGTTTAAACACTGATAAACAAAAAAAGCAGTAGTTAAACTCCCTTTATAGGCTACATGTCCCATTAAACATTGCATATCTATAACTCATCTTTTTAACAGGCATTGCTTCAATGAATAATGCTATAATGATATTCATTATAGACATATTGAAGATGTAGGGCTATTTTGCAGTATTACTTGATAATTATTATTACCTATGAAACCTTTCTTTGGGTGTTCGGGATTTGGATTAGCCAATTCCTATCAATAAAAATTACGGTCAAACTAAACAAAAATTAAATGCTTTTTGTTTCTTATATTATTATTGTTCATGATCATTCTTACTGCCTTAATTCCACAAACTATGGTTGTATTCCCCAACTTTACAATAGACGATCCTTCCGCAGTTGCAATTGATCCTAGGGTGAGACAAATTCTCTCTTATTTGTGATGCATTTCACTAGTAATTATTGGGGGGGGGAGTGTTATATATGCTTCAGTGATGAAAATGTCCAATTTATTTATCCACATACAGGGACTATGTTTTTGGTGAAAGCATAAAGGAATTTGGCTTACATTGGGGAGGCTATATCTACTAAGCACCACCACATCTTTTAAATTCAAAGCCTCTAGACCTTTGGAAACTGCCTATTATTAATATGACTAACCAATGATAATATTTAGTTTGTGTTGCATATTTGCTAAATTTCATGCTTTATTTTTCTGGCCAATAACAAAACAACTTCAGTGTTACATGCCCCACACTGCCTGTTGCCCTTGTAAGTATTCCTGCAAATTTCTGCAATATAAAAAATATTCCTACCAATATTGATGACAGTATTTCGAAACTGAAGCAAATTTCTGCCATCAGGTCGAATATCTTCCTCCTGAATCATTCATAAATAAACAGCATTATATAATAATATATCACATGTGGTAACAAGGGCTAAAAATTATACCCTTTATGTGCTAATGTGCAAATAAAGTACGGTACCATGATATTAATAAGTTGATATCTATTGATAATCTGTTTGGCAAATGTCAATTGACTGATTTATGTGTTCAGTATTCAAGTCCTTATTCATTAGACGACCTTATATCATAATGCAAAAGATGTATTAATTTGTTGTATTTTTTATACAATACGCTTAACATGCCTCGAGCAAAACCTATTCTTTGACTTTTAATTCCGATCTTAATATCCCAAATTCTAACTTCTAAAATACTAATTTGTGGATAATTTAAAAGAATAAAGACCATACCAAAAACCTTCTGTAATATTCCAAAGGCTGTGCGGCCCTATAAAATAGAAGTCATTGTCAGTAAGGAAAAAATTAGGCAGCGCAAAGAGAGGTGAAATTGAAAATACTAAACGCAAATTCATACTTAAAATCTGCCGCCATTTTGAAAATGATTGCAGACCACAAAACACAGCGGTTTCATGCATGAAATATCTTCCTGACTTCCTCAAATGATTCACTTTTTCAGTGGAAAATTGACAACCTTGTTCCTAAGGTTTTTTTGGTATTTGTCTCTATTCTCAGCGTTATTTTCTAGTCTGCGATATTGATATTCATATGGCTTGTAAAGAAAAGTCAGTCTGCTTTGGCTGCAAAATGCATCTTCAAGCTCCTTTTATAAAATGTGTAGAATGTTCAAAATCAACATTGATATGTTTACATTGCTTTGCTCAGGGTTATGAGACTTCAACTCACCATAACGACCATTCGTATGAAGTGATCTCCTTAGACTTCTGCCTCATTGAACGTACATGGACAGCATTGGAAGAGATGGCATTGCTCGACTCTATTGCTGAGTGTGGTCTTGGCAATTGGAATGATATTGCATGCCGCATAAGAACAAAATCTCCTGAAGAATGTGAAAGTCATTATTTAGATAACTATATAAATTACCCACAACAACAACTTCAAAGAATTATGCAGCATACAAGTCCAGAAGTTAATAATTGTTATCGCATGATACCATATGAGCCAAGTGAGGATCCACCACGACCAAAGGATGACCCTGGACAAGCTACAGATATGGCTAATTATATGCCATGCCGGGGTGATTTTAATGTTGAGTATGATAATTTTGCTGAATGTGATATCAAAGATGTTGAATTTGATTGTGAAGCTAGAGAAGATGAACAACTGAAAGTTGGTGCAGTTGAAATTTATCTCTCTCGTGTAAAGGAACGATGTTATCGTAAAAGAATTATCAAGGATTATGGTTTAATAAATGTACACAAGACAGAGCTTATTGAACGAAGCTTCTCAAAAGTAGAAAAAGATTTGCGTGATAAGCTGAGGCCTTTTGCAAAACTGCATAGTGCAGAGAAGCATGAGCAATTTATTCAAGGTTTGTTATTAGAACATTACTTGAAACAAGAAATACATGAATTGCAACTTTACCGAGCTGGAGGACTAACTTTGAAAGATAGTGCAAATTTGTATCAAGTATCTCAACAAGAAAGATTGAAGCATATCAGCAAAGGTAGCATGGTGAATGATATATTAAGTTTGTTTGAAGATAAATTTGCCTGTCAGAACTGGCTGCAAAAGCAGGCAATATCACAGAGTACAGCCGCAGTTGTTCCAATGCCCTTATTAGGGCGTAAACCTGCAACAAGGCTGGACATTAGTGGAACCCCAGGTATAGAAAGATTAACAGAAGAAGAGCGTGACTTATGTGCAAAGCTAAGATTTTTACCTCATGCTTATCTTCAGTATAAGCAAATGTTGATTAAAGAAAATCAGTTATTAGGCTGTCTAAAGTTAGCTCAGGCAAGAGCTCTTATCAAAATTGATGTGAATAAAACCCGAAAGCTGTATGACTTTTGTGTCAGGCATAACTGGATTAACCAATGTGAGAATTAACTTATATCATTGTGATCTGTTGCTTCATAAATTTTAATAAATGACCATAACCTAAAATGATATAGCCTATTTCCTACATATGTCTTTATTGAGCTGTTAAAAACTCCAGTTGGGGTTGTGGTACCTCTTCAATGTTTTCTGCTCCTAACCATAGCATGAACCTCAATACACTTCTAGGTATGCTCCACCTATTTAAACAAAGGTATTCCAGGGTAGGTAGCACATAAGTAACCTAAAAACAATTTTCTAGAAGAGGGCAATGTGCCAAGTAATTCAGACCAGTAGTGTCTGTCAAGTCAAAAGGAAGCAGGGCTTATTGGCAAGTTAATAGACTGAGGAAATGTGCGTTCGTATTCATCAAATGTTCATAAAAAACGTTTGACATGAAGTAAGGTCCATTTTTGCCCGTTCCGCAAATCAAAGATTTCCATGGTTTATATTAAAACACTCCAGTGAAGTCGGGAGATCCGAGTCACACATCGCAACGTTCCATGATTTGGTGCCTCTATAACGTACCATCTCATCATGATTATACAGTATATTCAGTTGAAGAAGAGCACGCAATCAAAGAATCCATAAGTAAAATATACTGGTATATATATTTCAACTAAAACTAGGCTAAATAAAAGATACATTATCTTGAACTAAAAAATGAATTTTGGTACACATTAGTCGTAAATGTTTCGAGTTTCTAGCCCTGTTTACACTACACTCGACTTATAGGCACGGCATGGCTAAAATCGGTACCCGTGCCCATTTCATATGTGCTCGGCCTTTGTTTTGGTAGCCTGAACACTTATAAAATTGGGTACGGGTACCAATTTTAGCCGTGCCGTGCCGATAAATTGAGTGTAGTGTAAACGGGGCTTCTATATATGTACATCTCATATACTTAACATGCTCTCTCTCATCTCTAATGCTCAATAGAAGAGCTTCAAAGGATTTCAGGTCCTATGATAATACATCATAGATTATACAACACATTCAGAAACTAATTTTTAAAACCGTTGAACAACTTCAACCGCAGAAGCGATAAATTAAATCACTACAAACAACCTACAATGAAAAGGTATAGCGATGTCGGGATACCATATGCTACTATTTTTTACAAAGTTGCTTCATTGTTTCTAGTTAAAATGACAACGTCATTGTCCAATTTGTTAGTCTAAAACGCTTATCGACTCTTTAGATAATGGAAACAACACAATATGCACGTTTATGAAGTGAGGTTCATGACACTGACGAGATGACATTACCAGGGGAACCCATTTCACTGAGAACTTTATCCAACCACTGCAAAGGACCATGCAGATGGATCTCAATCCACGATGGCGTGCTCGTAACATCTTGACGATGATATTCTGCTCCCCAACCTTTAACAAAACTCATTCGGATTGTACACATTTTAGTGAGTTCATAAACCGCCTCAAATCCATGATGCACGGACTGCGAGAGTAGTTGAGCAAACTCTTGATTGTTGAAGATTTTTAAGGAACAATTTGAGGGAATTTTGCACACTGTAGTTGGATGAAAACCATGATGATGGTTACAATTACGACTTTGCACGAATATTGCACTTTCACTCAGGCACTCGGCAAATACTTCACCACCGACATAGTACAGATGAACACCTTTCCCAATGTGTTTTCTCGTATTTTCAATGGTTGAATTACGATTCACGTTTGACAATAAACCCAGACAGAATCTTTCTGAGTGGTTTGTGTTCGGGTCAGTGAAACCATCAACAACAACGCTTGTTGTGTGGCAATGAAATGGCTCACCAACTCTTGTGTTGAGCTCATAATATGCAATAGTTGCCCAATTACGTGGTTCTTGGTAATTCACAGCAGCCATATCACCTACACAGATATTTTTTAAGTAAATAACTCGCATCAAAAAGAGATTTTTGCCCGACGCAAAATGTTTACCAAAAAAACAGAGCAGAACAAGTCGCAAATTACTGGAAAGTAATTTGTAACGAAAAAGTTGTATACACATAAAGCAATCCTTACTATTTGTAGATGGTACGGGAGAAACTGGTGCAATAGGCCCAGGAATAGTTCCTAATTCCACATCCATTTGTTCTGGAGGACGAGGTGAGCCGCCATCTTCTGACATACAACAACGATCTGAAGAAAACACCATAAAAATTACATGTAAAAACATTTTGTTGGATGATGGATGAGAGTCGAAATAATTGAAGCCATGGCTAAATTTGTGACCAACGGATTACATTGTAGATCTATTTTTAAACTCTCGTTTTTTTAACTTTCGTTTCCTTTATTATTAAGGTAAAAAAGAAACTTTTGTGTTTACTTTACAAACATCAAGGACGTAGCCAGTGGCAGTAGGGAGCCGTAAGAGGAATTTGTAGTGTCAATTTATGCTTCACTTCGAAATAACTGCAGTAAAATTATTTTGCACCGTCTCTTACATGCTGTTCTTCTATATACTATACCTGGGGCCGGTTGTATAAAACTCTTTACATTTTGAATAGTTGAATCCCAGTTAACTCTGAAATACACAACTTTGATCTGCCAATTCTGTCCTTAACTACAGTTAACGGGCCCCTGTAGTCTCGCTTCATGATGCCCCTTCGTGAAGGCGTTGTCATTTTTAATGCACTGATACATCTAAAGTATTCCCTTGTGATTGGATTCAGAAAAAAATAAATCCAATATTGGAGCAAGTCTGAGCCCCACCAGAGACCTGCACTTTTTAATCATCTTTTATATCAGAGGATTTCAGATTTGAAAATTGTTTGTAATCTTGCATATGACACTGCATAATAACTCTCTGGAAAATATTTTCCTTACCAATATTCAGTACCTGTAGGAACTAAACTTATTACGAGAAATTATATCTATTATTTAACAGTTTTAAGATTATGTATTTCATAAAAATTTGTCTTCTCTGACCACACCGAAGATTTTTTGCATGACACCTCAAAGAGGACATTTTTAACTACCAAAAGAGCAAACTTTGAATACTTGTATGGTGTATGTAAAATCAAATTTTGATTGATTTAAAAAAATCCTTACGAACATCATACAAGGAGACTAAATGCAGTCAAAATGAAAGTCAACAAAAAACATCAAAAAGGGAGAAAGGAATAAAAAAACAACAACTTGTTTTTACTGGATTGTCAATTGTGTGATGTTGTGATTCAGTGCGATACTCCCACAATTATGGTATTATGTCTTTCACCACTATCAATCTTGTGACAAATTTGAAATAGTTTTACCAACTTCCCACGAGGGTTCCACGAGGGAATATAAAACATTTTAAAAGAAGTCAAAACAATCTAACGTTAATTAACTCTGTCTTTAGGTACTTAATTGTAAGTTTGAAAAAAATAGTACTCAGTTGTTTTGACTCTTGATAGTGCACTGCAGAGCCTCCAAGACAACTAAATTTAATCACAAATTCTTAAAGTGATTTCCCTGTAAGCCGGACAACTCTTTCAATTTTTAAATCAAATGGAACAACAGCTTAAAGTGACAATAAACAGCTTTGTGCCGCAGGCAATTAAGGAAAAATACACAAAGACGCAGACAACTGTCTCGCCGTGAATTTAACTTCAAAATCACCTTGCCATATGTATTTCCGTGACTTATTTGTTATCTGACAAGTAATATCTTGTTCCATTATAACCTGTTATACTATTGATACAATTCCCATTCAGATTTTCCAACAATATAGCGCCAAATACTATCTATACTTCAGTAAATCTCTCATAACATTTAAAGCATGGGATTTGAACTTGATATTAAGAAATGAAAGTAGACTAGAAGCCTGGCAGTATTAACAGAGGGAGAGAACATATAATAGAAAAAGGAAATAAAACTTGTAGAATGTGTAAAAGCGCAAATATTAGTTTCCAACAATCAGTATATATCATTACCTGGCATTTCATAATGACTGCGAAAAGGACTTGGAATATCATCGCCGGGCGTTTGTCTGAAATTTGCTGGGAATGAAGCATTGCCAGGCATACTTGGACTTTCTTGAGGAGTTGAGTGATACGGTGGTGGCAATCTTGGGTGCATTGGAGGCCATTCGCTGTGTCTCGGAACCAACACTGGAGGCAAAACTGAAGATAAAATAATATAGCTTCGTTCTAAAAAGGAACTTTATCATATTTCACTGTATTGAGAAAGGCAAATATTAGTACGATACAGTGAAACGTGGCATGAATTACTTTATGTTTAAGTTAGGCGTACAGCTCAAAAAACAATAGACAGCTTTAAATATAAAGCCGCCAAACACAATCGCAAAATAAAAACAAAGAAAATTAAAAGTGTCAAATCAGCTATGTCTCCTTGCGTTTTAATACCTGGGCTTTCAACTCTTCTGTAATGGTACGGATTAACACACACTTCTTTTTGTTTCTTGCCAAAAGCATATTCGCAAATATCCAGTGGTTTCAGCTCATGATGGCTCTGTAAATCTGGCCAACGCCACACACGACAATATATAACATGCGGAAGGCCTTTCCTGTGGGACACTTGAAGTCTTCCATCTAAACTACGTGCTATTGTTACGCATTTTGCCGGCACGTTAGGGTTAGATAACGCTTTTTCCAGTTCTTCAAGAGCCCCCTTGTTCTTCTTTAGTTTCTTGACAAGTGATTCAATGGCTTTCTCTGCCCATTTTTCCTCTTCGTCGCCTTGCTTCCAACCCAAAAGGCGTTTTACAGCTGGTGATGCAAACGCAAACAATGAAGCCATTTTGAAACGTCGTCAATATTATAGATCGTAAGTTATATCGCAAATAATCAAAGCAATCTGATAAAGAAACGAAGAAATATTGAATGAGATATGGCAATTTAATAATATAAAGAAACATAAAGCGTTTGTTGTTAAAATTTCAATGTTGTAAAATGGTGTGTTTACGTTCTATGAAGCACGCGTCTCACAAACAAAGTTTGCCTTCGGAAATCGCATGATTTTCGTAAATACGAATCAAAATATTTCATACCGTTCAATCTAAAATCCTTATTAGTTATTCAAGATTATCCAAGAAATAGTCAGTAATTTCACCAGATCTCTGGTAAACCAGCTAATATTGTAGTCTTGCCTTTCTCATGAGCGATGTGAGAGCTTCTCCCTTAGCTTGGGCATGCATGACGTCATCAAGATGGCGCCGTAATGTCTAGTGAGGTATAAATTGCTGGCTGTATGTCTCACTAGGGGGTTAACTCAATATCCTGTAATGACAAAAAAGAGCTTGAATAAAATATTCTGCCAACGGACTGTCATGGACCTACTCATTGTAGAAAGAAAAATAACATAATTAACATTCTAAGTGCGTCATTTCTTTTGCTACACAATATTAGTAATCAACGTTTTTAAACATGAAAATGTTTATAGCACAATTCGAGTATTTTTGGTGCCTCTTCAGGAAATCATCAATACTGCGGCAAAGCTTCCTATATACAGTCAAGGCTTTGCGACATCAGACCAGAAGGTGTATACATATTATTATACAAAATTAAAACAAATTAAAATAGGGGTTACAATAAACAATGCTTACAGCAGCCTTAGACTTTGTAACTCTAATGTCACTTAGCCCAATTAGCACACAAAACATTTGAGAAATGAAAGGAGTGAGGTCGGAGGATGCTCTGTATACTTCCGGAAATACACATGCCTCTTTTAGTTTCCCAATATCTATCAATGAGTAATGACGTGTGAACAATATATGTTAGTAATGGCAACGAAAAGCACGTCAAACACCGAAGTATACATGAAAAATGGCTTTTTGTATTCATGCTAAACAATTGGTAATCAATCGATCAGATTTTGGATATATACTGTGGAGTGACGCAAACATTTAGGCGATTCTGATTTTGGGGGCCCCAGAGGGCCTTATCAGCTGCCCCCCATCGCGACCGGATAGCTAAAGGAAAACGGTGCGCCAGAGCAGTGGTGACTTAAAAAATGCAGGAAAAAATTGATTGCGACAAATCTTGATATTTATTGCTCTTAAATTATTTCTCGATCGAAGCATGACAATAGAACGCCTGACTTGCAAGGTTGGACAAACAGGGCTCCAACACGAAATACATCGTAAATGCATCAGTTCGTTACGACACAGGGATACACACATTCAGGACAAACTTTCCTCACAAGGAACTTTCCAACAAAAATCTTCGGTACGAGGCTGCAGTAAATGGCCTGTACGACTGTACATACTGTATAAGAACAATATACACTGTCACGCACGCAAAACCACTAAGTTTTAGGACTGTGCGAGAAAATAGGAAAAAGAGGTACACGTGCAAGATTGATTTATTTTAGAAACTATGGAATGTCTTATTAAATATACCGACAGTTGTTTTCACAAAAATTTCCACAAGCCTGGAGTTGCTTATCCTTCTCTATTTATCGCCACTTACCTGCCAGGAGACGATTGCAATTAATTACAGTTATGATGTGTACAAATATACGCTACATGACTGTATGGCTATACCACTTTGTCACGTTATGAGTTTATTAGTGAATATTACAGTTTTATCGACCGTCAATTATTAGTGCTAGAAATTTTCCAAACTCCTAAAATATATCTAAGACGAATTAAGAGAAGATCTTTGCCCATTTGAAGCCAACTCCAGATAGGAACCATTTTTGATCCTAAAGTAAAAATATAGCTGTTCTTGCTATAAATCTTTATGAATCAGGTTAAACGGTTATAATCTCGTTCCCAAAGTAAATTTATACCCCCCCCATCAACCTTGAACTGTGAATATGACTTGCATGGTTCTCCTATTTTTGGCAAGTTCAAGATGTGCCCTCTTTTCAGCAAAGATGCGCTTTTTGTGGCGTTACGTGGCGTAGTTATTGTACTGAAATTTGTAATTATGAAAATGTTACAATGCAGTGGCAATGGAAAAGTGCACAAAACTGCGAAATCCAACCATTTTCGTGCATAATGAATTTTGAGTAGTATTTGCACGCTTTGGTAAATTTCTTAATAAATTACTCAGGCGAAAGTGATCAGTTTTGTTAGTGCAGGAAATGTCGTATCTGAATCCGCGGGGTTGACGTTGTTAAATTTTGCCTTGTCATGAATATTCGACTGCGCTCAATTGCTCCAAATATGAGCCTTATCTCGTTAGTTAAAATTATCTGAATTTGGCAGAAAAAAATTTCGCTTGGCTATTTACTCTAGCCATAACAACGTTTCACGACTCAGTATTATCGTACAACTCAAACACTATTCTGAAAAAGCATCATGAATCATCACCATTGCTAAGATCTATTATCTTAACGGTAGATACCAACTAAGAGAGGAGAAACTCGCAAGAAAAAAGGAGATATTGAAAGAAAACTGTTAAGAACAAAGGAAGACGAAAAGAGTCTTAAATTCACGAGTTTCGAAAGTTGACGCACACGAGCAGATATCAATGAGGTCATACCATCAATTTCCTGCCAATTTACTGCCACTTCAGTGATTGGAATGTTTAATCTTTGTGCAATGTAGAGTAACTCAACATCAAAGGCCCTATTTAAATAAAACAAAAACGTTTGAAAAGTCCCAATCAAACGCAGTTTTTTTTACGTTGTATTTAACCTTTGTAAAAAACCTCTGCTGGGGTTTCGAGTTTTGAAATACCGTAAAGTGTGAGAAGGAAAGATTTATAAGTTTTACTCCAATGCATCCTGGAGTGAACGGATCAAGCAGACAACACTGGTATTGTATGATCTGATCAATTGCTAAATGTGGCTCTGTCTGTATAATTTTGGTTTTATGGCTATATGTAGGCTTGCGTAATAATCTATTTCTGAACATCAAATGATGCAATTACTTCTCTAAAAATATCCATACGCCAAGGATCAAGAGTCTAAAAAAGGTGCTAGCTATATAATCAACTTACCATCTTTCAACGTGTAGAGACGTGAATGTCAAAAGAGCAGCAGGTCTTGTGAAAAGTTTGAAACCACACTAAAATACAATTTATCATCTTAACGGAATCATCTGCGGTACTTTTTGTTAAAAGGCATTTGAGATGAAGTAGAAAGAGACGTAATGTAGTGGGCCTTCATGGAGGATTTATTTGAGCCTGTTTCAACATAAGAACAATTATCTTGCGTAATGAATTCAAATATAGTCAAAATACTAACATTGGTTCTTACATCAAGCGCAAGCCCCCGTGGTCAGAATTAACTGCTGTGATTTTGTGACCATGGTAAACTATAAACTTGGTTGTTTTAAGTGTGGGCAAATTGAATACTCTGGGATTGGGAATGAGGTTTATATTGGCTGAAAACAAATACTGTACTGCTTAAGTTACTGAAAAGTCAGTAACTACGGTAAGATGAGGAAACTCAGTGAGTCAAAAAGGAGAAATTAGGTAACATATAATCTACAGATATGGAAGGGACTAGACTGAGTTCCGAAATATCAACTACTCGAACCATCTTGACCTTGTAGCTCAGTTGGAAAAGCATTGGACTAGCAAACCAAAGGTCGCGGGTTCGATTACCACCCCTGGTCAAGCTAATTTTTCAGCTTGACCAGTTGGTGACTCAGAGTAGCAACATCACATTTACATTTAACATATAATCCATTTACCTGCGTGTCTCTGATGCCTCTGACACAGAGAAACCAAACAAGAAAGTGAAAACCATACATCAACAGATTTCGAAGAAGTGTTCGCTAAATTAGTGAAACAAAACAAATCCAGCAAATTAAATTGCATTTAAAAAATGAAATGAAATTTTATTATGAACATTGTTTACAAACCTGAGCTACAGCTTCATCTTGAAGATGTGCTCTTGATCCAACTGATATGGCAGGATCACATTCCTAAATGTAAGAAAATGATAAAACTAAAGTGGGTTCAACAGTCTTTTAATGCATAGTCTTTGTCATGATTGTAGGGGTTTAGTATTTCATTATTAGATACTGGTACAACTACCAAAATACAACACAAGAGCTTTCAAAAATTCATATCAATTAAATTTATGATGATAAAAGAATCATGCTAAATGTTTAAGTCCTTTTTCTTTAAATGAACTCATGCAACATTACAAAATTAATGAACTACATTTTCCATTTACCAAACTACAGTGCAAAATCAACATGCTCAAGGCTTACTGCTCAAAACAAACCTTTCCATTTACAATTTTTTGAAGAGCATTTTGTACTTTAGTAAGATCTGAGAATTTGGTCGCTCCATCAGCATCAACCATAAGAAGTTGTTTGCCACGTGAACTAAACATCCCCTATAAACGAAAAGACATTAGTACTATGGCCATAGGAATGCTAAATTTGAAGGTTATATCAGTACAAACTGGATGAGTAAAAAGAAAAAACATTATTTACCAAACGAACAGCTCCACCTTTTCCTCTATTTTTTGTAAGGGTCAACACTCGAATCAATTCAACCCCATATTTCCTCACATACTTCAAAGCAACCTTCAGTAGGAACAGATTTGAACAAATTGACAATTTTGTAATATTATTTACTTTCATATTGAATTAGTAACTAGTAACCCGCCCTTATCAAATTTAACAACATAAGCAAACTCAATACTGCAATACATTGTACCTGGGTGGTTCTATCCTTGCTTCCATCATCAACAATAATAATTTCATATGTAAATGAAGGTTCATGTTTCTAAGACACAAAAAATAAAGAACTTAATATTTAATAATATTGATAATTACAATAATTTCATAATTTATTATCCTATTAGCTCTTCTTACTTTTCTTTCCTCCAAGTATTCAAATGCCTCATCTAGCATAACAGGTACTATCCAAAAAGATAGAAAATAAAAGTATGAAATAATTCGAAAATTTGCAAGTGACTGTGGCTTTATAGTAGTCTTTTAAATAATGCTAAAGGAAATGAATGAATAATCTTGATATGGAAGCCTTTTAAGCTACAAATCTTAAACACCATTGTTTAACCCACTTAATAAAGGACGGAGAACCTGACAAGCTGGTCATAATCACGTGACAATTAATTAAAATTTATGAAACCAGAGTTATGAAAGTGAAACCACACAAGACTTTAGATCAATGACAATATGTACAAAAACATTGTGATTTCTATCTTTAGGGATGACATTGTATGGGTGAGCTATGCTATTGATTTGCCATAGCTATTTTCACCACCACCACTTCCCCCAGCAAAAAAAATCCCCTTACGACAAACTAAATACGTGGCAATTGTAGTGGCGCCCACCTCCCTATGTAGATAGACTACTCTACTTACACCTTTCCTCTTCATTGTAAGAAGGCACAATTACAGACAATTCAACACTTGACTCTCGTTCCAGATAAGGAAACGGAATTTTAGCATTCTCTTTTGAAGGATCAATAAAATATTCTTCATCTGGATATCGTTTTATCGTTGCGAACGTATCACTAGTTGTTGCATATATAAATACCACCACCTAAGAAAGGTTTAACGAATATACTGAATATATATGAAAACAGCACATACACAGAAGAGTTAAACCGAAATAACATACCACTAAAATTCCAAGAACTACTAAAAGAACGAAAGCGCAAAACAAACTAAGAAAAAAGTCCATTAGATATCACTAGGAGATATAAAATACTATTTCATGGTTTCATTTCATCAGCAAGTTTTTGATAACGAGCCCGCCATATTTACTACTCTCTGTTGAATACTTCATGTCTTCACAACAGACTGAAAAGAGAATGTATGGAAATCAGGGTGCCAGGTTTGACGGTAGCCTACAGTCGTAGGTAATTTGGCCTCAAATATTCACAAATCTAGCAACCCTGTTTGCCTCTGACTGAAATGGCTTTTCAGCATTCTTGCGGTTGGCCGTGATATTTAACAATTTTTCTCGAAAACCTAATATTTGTAACTGTCCATTTTAATTAAGTTTTAGACGTAACTAGTAACTACACAGCTTCGAATTAGAACTCTGTTTACACGATCCAATACATTTGTCTAACTGTGATTTGTCGAATCCAATTCAGATCAAACTGTGATCCAATTCATTTCTCATGGTCATGTGAGATCGATGTTTTACGATTGGTTGACTTACAATGTATATGGGTAGCAAAAACTAAAGCCAATTAATGCAGACTATGCAGTACTACTTTACCAATAACAGACTAAACTCCAAAGCCAAAGGAGGAATACTAAATTTAATAAATTTGCACTTGATAATTAATTTTGGTTTTCACCTTTTCCACGAATACTGTCACCTTTCAAGGTTGTTTCGTATTATGACATTCCTTATTAAGTCAGAATCTTTGTTCGATTTATAGATGTATATACGGTTAAATCTAAGATTATAAGATTTATATATTATGCTATGCAATTCTAAACGAGAAATCGGCAATGGCTGATGCATTAGGCAGATGTGTTGAGTAATCAGTAATTAAAATCTCAAATCAGTCATAAAACTCATAATCATATGTAACCTTTTTCAATAAGTTTTACAACTTGTTTTTGTAGTGGGGCATAATTCATTGTATTTCCATCGGAGGGATGTTTTACACTGAAAACTTGCCATCCATTTCCTCTGTTAGTCAAACAACACATAATGATGGCTCGAGAATCAGCAGCTTGACTCATTTCATCGCTGCACAATTGCCTGTCAGGGAATTTCGCATCGAAGAACTTAAGGTTTGGATTGGGGTATTCGGAGATATTGTGAGCATTCCAAGCACTTAGTATAAACACCAATTTGTTTACGTGTGCTGGGATTGATTTCATTGATACATTGATGGTATGATGGCCACATCGCTTTATGTTATCCATGACATCACCAGAATGCTTGACTGCCGAGGATGTACTTGATGATCTATTATTATAGTCAACAAATTCTACAAAATCTGAGCCACTATAAAGCAATACAGAAGCATCTAGATAATCTTTTCCATGTTTTGGATATCCCCATTCGAGATCAAAAATGACATCCTCAAATTCCTCTGGTAAAGCATACAATAAAACCAGCAGGTATATTGTGCTATTCGGCATTACATGGTAGTCTTTTAACTTGCGCTGTTGGTCATTTTGGCTTTTTACCTAATGAAAATCAATAAAAGAGAAAAGTGTATGAATAGTAACTGGCAGCAATGACGGTGACGTAGCTTACTACAGACAACAAAAAAGTACACCTACTTTAAGTTCGACGTCATTATATAAAAGATACTGCTTGTTAAATGGTACGTTTAGTTTGCCCTCGATTTTATCTTTTAGACTCATAATTGTTTGATCAGGATTGAAAACGAAAGTAGCACGCTCTCCAGATAGCGTAGTAATGACAATGTGAGATGACGCTTCATCAACGGCTTCACCAACGGCTTCACCTCCCTGCACTGTAGGAAAAAGGAACTCTAAAGTCTCGATATGGTTTTTGTATTGGACATTTTCCTCTTGAACTTCAACATCACATTGTGAACACTTTTGTCTGTTTTCAACTGACGATGTTACACACTATAAACACGAAAATATCACAGTACTCCACTATAATATATATAGTATATATATACAATGTATACTATAAGTCAGTATGTCTACAGGGCAGAATTGATTGGGCCTGGGTGATTATTGACCAACATTGGCAATGAGGATTCAATTCATTGGCTTCATGCAACGAAACAAAATAATGACCACTCGACAGGGTCCAGGGTAAAAATGGACTCAGTAAAAAAGTGTTTCGGTTTGAAAGAGGTGCCAGGTGGAGTAAGACACTGTGGGGGCTGTTTGCGACTACTGTATCTATAGGAATAAAAGTTAACTTCAAAACTTAGAATCTTTGCACCAATTAAACTAAGCACCCACGCTTCTGTTTTTAACCTGCTTTGCCTGACTCACAGGCTCGGAAATTGTCAGGGACAACTGTCCTCCCAATGGTGGCACCACTCAAATTTTATGCCATCATGATCAATATACCAATGAGGTGGAAGTAATTCAACGTTTTAGGTTGTTACCACCGTGAATAATCTGACAATATGCACCCAGGGCCATACCTTGGTAGGGGCATACTGTGAAAAATATTCCCAACCACTTACTGCGATTTCCAGTTGGGCCTGGAAGGCTGGGATTGCAAAAGTTTGATGTCTGTTTTGTAGTTTGAAAGCAATGTTTGTGAGTTGCAAGTTGTCACCAAGTACTTTGTCAACTGAAAACTGTGACTTAAAACTATAAATAGACTACAGTGGAAATGGCAGCTGTTCATCACTTTCACATTTTCCATTTATATATAGTCACAACATTGATAATTTAAACTTGACAACTTGGTAAGCCTTGATTATAACAACATTATATTTAGATGATGTCACAAACATTGCTTTCAAACTGCAGAACTTAATAAACAAACTTTTGCAATTTCACACTTAATTGGAAATAGCAGTATCAAAGTATTTATTTTATAAAAGTAAAAAAAGAGCTCAAAAGTCCAGATAAACCCTTCACTGCACCCTGAACACCACCTAGCTGATATATTATATTCATATGTATTGGATAACAACTTCATTACTTCATCAACTTGACTCACAGATTGATCTAATTTGAGATTCTTTAAATTAACTTTTGACAATTAAAGCTAGAGCATATATTCCTTCCAAACAAGTAAAATTTTGGACTAAGGGTACCTTCCTCCCCAATTAGCTAGCATTACATCTAGCACAGCAAAATTTGAATGCACTGATAGACACAAAATAAAACTGATATACAAAAATCTCCGTGATGTATTGTCCATCTTCCTATTACCAACTGGTTTGACTATATATATGCGTGTAATAATTAATTCCTTCTGTCCCAAGATCTTGAGAGGATGAATACACATCATTATATGTTGTGGGCACACTGAATTTCAATCCATATGCAATTTGCATTGTACAATAATTTATATATAATATATTGAAATGAACTGAACAAACCTGGAACCGATATATTACTCAACTATTTGAGCTACATATATACTTACTCTCAGGCAATGAAGTAAAGCGTGTTCCAAACAAGCTTCTGTCAGGTGTTCATGTGGGAACTCTTTAGAAAGCTTGTCTTCACCGCAAAGTTTGCAGATCATGACTGCTGGAGCTAGGAGTCACTTCGATAATCACTTCCACGAAATTTCTTTCAGTAAATTGCTGCTTGCATAACTCTGGTGCGACCGACAAAACGAAAGTAAAATCGGATCAAATGTCTTAAATGATCACGTGAACACCAATGATTCCATAGTGATTCCAGGAAGAACGGAAGAAGGGAACGCGACTTCCGACGAGGTCGCAGTAAAGGAATCAAGAAACGAAAGTCTGGATATTGTTGGTTTATGTTTATCCTGAATGATACGACGGACTGTCGAACTTTTGGGTTTAGGATTAATTCCAACTGAGTATGTATCAACAATCAAGAAATCTTATAAAACTGTTCTTAAAATTAGTATATGTAATTGAATCATGAATCTCCAGATCTTGTTATTTTTGTACAATATCAAATAGATATGTTCACTGTTCTCTTTTTTCGTACAACGCTTTTTACGAAAGCTATTTAGGTGTAGAAACTACATGAGAGGACACAGTTAAAAACTGATAACACGTTTTCCTTGCCCTGCAAAAAGAAAAATATTCACCGGAAGCGTCGCTTCATAGCATGATAATGCATGATGATACTCTCAGGCAAGTGGCAACCCTGGTAGTAGCACTGCACTGGAGGTGGCAGCTAAAATATGAAAACTAATATTGCTTTTGAATATTATATATAATTTCATTAGTGTCAGTCTTAAACAAAATCATATTCAATAGATCTTATAGCATTTGCCGCATCCTAAATCTGCCAGATCTTAATTAGCAGATCACATGATCAGCCCCTGTATATATATTATTCCATTTAGTGGCCAATGTTTATATGTTTGTGATGTTGCATAGTCCTTACTAGAGAGACTGCCTACTAATATAAACAGTACATAGGAAGGTTAATTGTTTCAATAAACATTAAACAATTAGTGGGATATATAGCTCTCAACATCCTTGTCGTTCTGAAGGTGTGCATTCATTGTTTGGTATACCAAAATGCCATGTTTGTCATTTTGGAGGTACTAATTATAGTTATGGTACATTAAGGTGTGTATATTAAATATATTTACAGTCATGTCAGAAATCCACAAAAAATGTAATGATATCATTGTTGAACATGTTCAAATACAAGCACCATAAATTAAATATTTTCCCTTTTGGAATTAGTTTTGTTTCTCTTCATCATGCAGCAGAAGGATGAAAATATAAAGATTATGAGATCCATGTTAGTCACATCAAAACACAATATATTACTCAGGTTCGAGCAGTAAACTGGTGCCTTTTTTAACCACTTCTCATCAAACATGATTAAGATAAATTTCCTGTTCAGTTGATATTCATTTTTAGAATTTGCTTTCTCCTAACCATACCCCCATGGGTACATCTAATATGTTTTCGGTTATTCACTGTTTGCTGATAGTTAGTCTTAGCTGTCAGGCAGTCAGTGCTGTAGAAAATGTAGAAAAATGATTGACATCCAAAACAATCAACTTTCATCTTATCATCATTGTCTCTTTTTATTAATTTTATAATCTCCTTTTATTTGTGATCACCAGGTAATATTGCTTGTTATGAAATGAAATGAGTGCTAATATTAACGACAACAATTCTCCTGCACAAGAGCAAGAAGATAAAGGATCTCAGAAGAATGATTCACCAGAAGAAAAAGCAGCCCAGAATGATGCAGGTGCAAGGCAGCCAGAGGAAACTCGAAACACCTCATCAAATCAAGGCGAAAACAATCAACACCAAACGAGAAAAGACGAAGATACTTCAAGTCAACAAGAAAGCGATGGTCGGCGTGATATGAAGCATAACGAGACAGTTGATACATCGCCATTGGAGGAACATCAAAAGGAAGATTCGATAGTGAAACACAAAACTGGCTACACTAAGAATGAGCAAGTTAAAGTCGACCAAACCCGCCGTGACAATGATGAGAGGGAAAGTCCTCCTTCAACTACGAATGAAGAGCCTAAGCATGCTGCAGAAAGTAGCAAGCGTCAAGGAGGTGCTAGCATAAGAAACCACCCATCACTTCCGCACAACTTACGATTAAAGCCAAGTGATTCCCACAATATCTCGGTGAGACTGTTTGCTTAAAAATTCCGTTCAATAATATTCTTCAGATTTTGCATCATCTAAATCATCAATTTGTAAGAACGCAACGTGTATACACAAGGTGTTCCTAGAAATTGATGATTTAATTCAGTTCATTTAAGTTTGTAAGACATTTTTCCGTTACTGATGCGGAATTTATTTTTAGGTGGATTTTTATGTGTATGTTCACGGCAATAAACCTGTGGATAAGGTTTACCTTTTGTTTAACAATGGAAGCCATGTATTACTTCATAAGATAGATGATGATAGAAAACTGTGGCATTACCAGTTGTTTTCAAGTGATGACTTAAAGAGAGAGCGCATTGAATACCGGTATCGTGCTGTCATCAAACGTGACTCGCATTTTCCATTAGTCGGGAAATATTTCAGCAAAGATGATTTAAATATAGAAGAACTTGGTAAACGAAAAATTGACTCAAATTTGCATTATGACGTATTTCATTCCCCTCATGACCAACGTTACTATATGGAAAGCGTTGCGCAGTCCATTATATTTTACACGAAATGGCTTCTACCATCACTACACATATCAAATATTTCACGGATCCTCCAGCAAATTGAGAAAATGCGTTTTATGTATTTGGATGGGAAGAATGTGAAAGACTTTATCTCGTGGATAATAAATCACGTTATCCAACTATCAATCAATGATGTACAGCGTTTATATTTATGTGTTCTTCTCGCTCATCTTTGCGATTCTCATCATTTCAGTTTGCCAAACAAAAAAGAAACAAAGGCCGCCTGTGATCGTTTACTTGCGTGTTTTAGTGCTGATGTCAATTCTGTCTTTAAATCTCCTCCAAGTGTCAAGATTTGGGAAAAGCTTGCAATTGAACTGGTTAAACACAGCAGCTGTCCTGGTTGGCTTAATCTTGCTGCAACATTTTACTCTTATTTAGGCGTAGATTACATACTTCAGAAGAGATACTTTTTTTCTACGGCGTATAATTACAGTGCCAGGGAATATCAGAATTTGATGGACTTACTGTTGAGGAATATTGATGTGGATAGCAAAAACTACTCGTACAAACGTTTGTTGAAGGCGTTAATGGAAATGGCGCCAAATAATGACATTGTGGTGAAACTTTACGATCGACCTGATATTGATAAATTCTTCGCAAGCGAAACTGAGAAAAAAGACTTCTTTGTCGAATTTTACCAAAATATACATCATAAAAGTAGTACAAGGAAAGATGTCGGAGCGTCATTGATTGAATTAGTAAAAATTCCTCAGGAGTTACTAAGAAAAATGTATCGCCCAGTTCATTCGTCTATGTTAAACTTCTTGAGATCTGATGATGAAATGGAAGAGCAGCATATTAAAGCTTTCCTCGACCTTATGGTTCTAGATTATTGTTTGCAGAAATCTGATGTGAATGACTTGCTTATTGAAATAGCAAAATCAAAGTTGACTTCCCGACACAATCTACTATTAAATATTCTTAATATGTCATTGTTTGAGGATAATTGGCGTGACACAAGTATGGTAGAAAAGGTTAAGATCTGTTGTACCTGGATTACTACGAAAGTGGTAAATGAAAAGGGAATGAACGATGGAATGGACACAACGACTGCGGTGTATCATGGTATAGACGTGGTGATGCGTTGCTCTCTTAATAAATCCAACAACAAACTTGCTGAAGAAGTTTCAAAGACGCTGATTCACGACATTCTCAGGAATGAGCCAAGTCTTTCTATTCTTAAGGCTTTTGTTAGCATTGAGAAATATTCGACCGTTGTTCAGAATTGCTACAAAGCCAACGTGAAAAATATCTTCAGCCGAGAGCCACGACTAACAAAAAAATCAATCAAGGTGTTGGAGGAGTTTACAAACTCCAGGTAATCACCAGGTTTATCATCCCAGACATTTATCTGTATATTAGAAAGTTACATAGACAACACTAATCGTTTTTAACTTTGTAAAAAATTCACGCAAGAAAAATCACATTTATTTTCAGCTTGGGTCATGAGCTTCTATTTTACGTGCTGGATGTAATAGATATCCCGACTATTCCAAAGAGTAATGTGGTCGATGAAACCGCTTTCAGAAGCGTTTTAGAATGGAGTGATGTTTGGGCAATTTTGTTTAAAACAACTGGTAGGACTAAATTAATTTGTACTTCGTCTAGCAAAGAAGGACTATGTATAAAGATTAGATATAAACAGTGCTCACACGTCACATTTTATTTATTTCAGGATCTTTCGAGCGATATCAGAAGTTTAGAGATGGAAAACTTGTTTGTCAACAGTTGAAGACGTGCATTGAAAAAGGCAATGTATCTATACAATTTCTTCAAGAAATCGAGAGTAACATTGATAAAGTTACAATGCTATGTGCAGGTGAGAGGTTCTGCAAGTCAACCTTCTCTATGGAAGGAAGTAAGGCGGGTATGGTTGCAAGAATTTCTGAATTGAAACAAATCGTACAGGATTGTTCCGAGAAGTTCAAGTTGCTAGGGTCTGTGATGAACTACGGCAGGAAAATATTAGATGATATTCATTCCATTGACGGATTTCAAACGCTTATTAAGGAATTCAATGAGCGAAACTCTAGTTGGCAAACGAAAAAGATTAATGATCTGCAAGATGATGCGTTTTGGGGGCCATTATTTCATCTCATCCAACCTGCGAAGACGCTTCAACCATTAATGAACTCCTTGTCTTTTATGACCATTGCCAAAAAGGGTTTGGAGGAAAGCAGCTTTGATTCGCACGAAAATAAAGCAGCAGCCAGAATTAGAGATTTCTATTCGTTTATAAGATTTCTTACAAACAATGCTATTGAGAAACTTCAAGTACAATGGAATCCAGTGTTGCATGATCCTGGATCTCTCAGTGTGGAAACAATGAAGAAATTACTTGGTACCTTGAAGAATCAAAACAAGCTGGATGAGGAGCTCGAACTGCTAGCAAAATACTTTAAGCGATCCTTCTCTCCTGATGTTAAAATTTACATGGAAGACTACATGAAGTATCCTCGTGTATTGAAGCAAGTGCGACACGTTATTGGCATTTTGGGAATATTTGGATTCGCGGATTCATTAAACGAAACGTCTTCTCTTTCAGATTTCGAAACGACTTTGGTTAATATTAACAAACTCACTTTGACCGCACTACACAAAACAATCCAGGAGGTGACAAACATAGTTTCACCTTTTTCTGGAGAAGTTATAGATCACGTGATTGAGGAGCTCTCAAGATCTAGTGTACTCCTTGATTTCATACAAGAAATTGTTGACGAAGACATTCGTTTTCTTATTGATGCAGTTGAAGAGCATTCGGATCAGTTTGTATCCGAATCATTAGTTTCCGATCTCATCGATGTCCACAGGTTTTTAGCACCTTTGATTAAGACGAAAATGCAAGAGAACTGTAATGCCGAGGACTTTCTGAAAATGTTAAAAACATCATGTCTTGAACATAAAGATATAGCGTTTAAAATTCATCAGAGCAGCACGAATGTGAACAGTCTTCGTGGGTTGTATACGAGTATCGCGAACCGTGGTGAAATTACTAAGGAAATTATCGGTAATTGCCTCAGGAGAGGACTCTATCATGTCTCGATAAAAGAAGGTAAATGTGAAGCAACAATGAGTTACGAGAGTGAAGGCAAATCAGTTCCCAGCAATTATATTCTGCCAGATCTGCACGACCTTCGGAGCCGTGCCCATCTTATTGTTAGCTCTCACAAGAACTCTTTCAAGTTTCCTTCCAGCGATTCAAAAGTCAGTAGCGTGGATATTGATTTTGAAGAATTTATAAATCAAATTAATCTCTTGACGGAAATATTTACCCTGCTCTCAAAGTTGCGATCATCGGGATATGTTAAGTATCGCGATTTCGAGACGGAGATGAAAAGCACCGAGGATCTTCGAAACTATCGAGACGGTTTCCAGCGTTGATCTGGAAAAATGGGAGAATAGTTTAGCAAAATGGCGTGAAAAATGCTATTTACTCAATTACTACAGTTCTGATCAACTCTGCATTCTTTACGATTTCCTCATGAACAGATCCAACGTTAACTGCGATGAAGCACTTTCCTTAATTCATTTCGTGAACAAAAAAATCACTAAATCACAATTGGAACAACGCAGAGAGAAACCAAAGACGTTGGGGGAGTCTCATTCAGACGACGATCCTTCCTTATTTCTATCGACTATTTGCCAAGCTTTAGAAGATATCCAAATCAATTCGGAACATATCAGATGGATACCTGGGAATGATGAAACCCAGTCGTATGTTCGACTCCAGGCCACGGTTACTCCAGGGGAAATTTTTGTCGCCAGTTTGGAGCCACACAGTCCATTGACAGCCAACGTCGTGCTCACATTATATGAAAATACTTCAAATGCGTTCCCAGAACCGCATCAAATCGTTTTCTGCCGTCCCGACACGTCATGGGAAGAAATCCATCTTTTACTTCGAAGATGCTTTACTCTGTCACAATACCTCAATCACCACAGTTTGTTCTGTATCGCGAACGTTGAATTACTACCAAATGAATTGCAGTTCAAGCTTGTTAATGAAATCAAAGAAAAGCAGAATTTTTGCCAAAGCTCAAAGGATACAAAATCTAATGTTAAGTATCAACTTGCCTTGATTTGCCGCGGTGGTGCCCACCATCACATCGTGGAACAGTTTTCCGAATGTTCCCACCACATTGCTGGAATGAGTGATCATATTCTTTCTCGTCGTCTCAAATCTGGTTGGCCCAATGTCAAAATGATCACGTCCACACTTCCAGGTCTTGGCAAAACAGAACACATTAAACGGGAAGTCCAGGAAATGGACAAGAACATCGTTACCTTTTCCATCAGCGGCCCGTTTGAACCAACTCAACTCATACAACGTTTAAAAGAACTCAATCTTAAGGACTATAATTGTTTACACCTTAACATTGGCGAAGTAAGTGATCCGTTGCTATTGGATACGTTCCTATTTCAACTGGTTGTGACTGAAATGGTTTCAGCGGGAATGCAATTTTATCACATCCCGACAATTCCTGTCTACATTGAAATAGCAAATACACTAAAGGATCGCCTGAGGGAGTCGTTGGTCATTTCAAAGTTTTTCACTCGGATTCACTTGGATTGGCAGAAATACAAGGATCTTTTGGTCAGTTCTGAAATTACAAGTAACGTCCAAGTTGTTTGCCAGTATTTGGATATCTACGATCGGGGATGCATCGAAAAGGAAGAAGTTCATTTCAGTGGACCAGATAAACCAAAGCCATTGCCAGCACGTCGTTGTCAAGAACTGTTAGCCAAACATTTTTCGTCCAGTGTGGATGTCACGTTCACTGTATTGAACACTTTTCTCGGAGTCTTTGCGGACCAGTTGTTGAAGTTTTCCAAGAGTGCGTATTTCAAGATCGCAAATCTGAAATCTGTGTTAGGAGAAGGAGCTAAAGGTGTGCGCGCAAATCTTTTTGTCGCTCTTCTAGAAGTATCAAAACAGTTTGCATCGCGTGCCATAACAACGAACCGTTCGTATAATGTACAAAAACTCTCCCATGAACAATCTCTGAAAGTTTTGGACAAGGCAGTGCCTTTCTCTGCCACATCTTCGCATGATATGGTGAAACGAGTGGAAGGAATGATACAATGGCAAGACGACAATCATTTGTTGGTCGTGTTCCATGCCCAGAACTCGCAATCAATAACTGCTGTTTATCGGAACAAATCTCTCGTTCCCTCGAGTGTTAGAGAACTACTCAACAGCCAAAAAGTAGGAGAAAACAAGGAACTTGACGACTTTAAGCTATTATCTCAAGAACAACTGCAAGAAAAGTTGGAAAAAATAGCATCCACTAAGCTGCTAGTCAACCAAGACAACCTGTTTGCAACATACGCATTAACTCCAGATAATATGCTGAAGATGATATTGATCGTATTACGAGTCCGTGCAAATGTACCCGTTATCATCATGGGGGAGACGGGTTGTGGAAAGACCAGTCTTGTTCGTTACCTAGCAAACACATGCGGGGTGCAGTTCTTTGCATTTAATTTTCACGCTGGAATTTCTGAATCCGAGATCATCTCGTTTATAAGGAAAAAAGAAAGCTCAGCTAGGGATAAAGGTGGTCAAACGTGGATTTTTCTTGATGAAATAAACACCTGTGATCATCTTGGATTGATCGCTGATATCATGTGTCATCATTCTCTACTGGGACGACCTTTGTCCAAAAACCTGGTCTTCCTTGCAGCTTGTAACCCGTACAAGTTACGTCCTGAAGAACATATTACGACAGCTGGCCTTGAAGGCAAAAATGTGACTGATGAATTCTCTGGGCTTGTGTATCGTGTTCACCCACTACCTGAGGCTATGATAGATTATGTTTGGGATTATGGTTCCTTATCCCCGAAAGACGAACACGACTATATTGAGAGAATGGTGAGTGTTTTGCCGAACAAACGATATGAAGGTATGTTGGTTGATTTGCTCGCTACATCGCAAAAGTTGATCCGCGAGGCAGAGAAGAATAACTTTTGTGTCAGCTTGCGTGATGTACACCGTTGCATTCTTTTGATCAGTTGGTTCGAGGAAATGCAAGAAAAACGGAACAAAATAAGTAATTCAATGGAAGTTAACAGCAAGCCATTCACGACGGCTCACCACCTTAGAAAATACTTTATAATGTCAGAACGGTACAATAAGAAACCGATGATTAAGAGCATCGTCCTTGCCCTTGCTCATTGCTACCTGTCCAGACTACCAACTGCTGAGTTGCGGGAAAACTATCGGGATCACATGATAAAGTTGTTCTCTAAAAGTGGAGTCGTGATGAATAAAAGTAATGAAAACATCGATAGTTTCTCCGCCATTGTACGTATAGAAGAAGAAGATTATTTGGATCGCATGGAACTTCCATCGGGCACAGCAAGAAATGCGGCTCTTCGTGAGAATGTTTTTGTTATGCTGGTTAGCATTCTGAACCACATTCCCGTTTTCGTTGTTGGAAAACCTGGCTGCAGCAAATCTTTATCAATTCAGTTAATCCGAAGCAATCTGCGCGGACGTGATTCTCGAGATCCTCTGTTCAGAGAGTTGCCACAACTTTACGTCGTCTCATATCAGGGTTCAGAATCATCCACCTCCGAAGGAATCATCAAAGTCTTCGAAAAAGCACGAAAATATAAATCCCACAACCGAGATGGAAACGTTTTGCCGGTTGTCTTGCTAGACGAAGTTGGATTGGCTGAAAATTCGAAGTACAATCCTCTCAAAGTCCTACACAGCTTGCTTGAACCCGGGGAAGGAAAAATGCCTGACATTGCAGTCGTGGGTATTTCAAATTGGTCGTTAGATGCTGCTAAGATGAACAGAGCGATTCACCTCTCAAGGCCAGAACCAACAGTGGACGATTTATACGAGACTGGATATTCACTTCATTGGGCTGATGGTGGATGTGATACTCAATGCCTCAGCAAGAAAGAGTTAAAGTGCTTAGCTGAAGCCTATGTTGAATATCAGGCGAAGCAGATTCACGCTAATTTCCATGGTCTTCGAGATTATTATTCCCTTATTAAGAGTTTGACTGGCCGTAGCTCCTCTCAGCAAGTCAATGTTGCATTACAGCGTAATTTTGGCGGACTTCGTGGTGGAGTAAACGATGTTTTAAAGCTTTTCCTCGACAAGTTAAAGACGTTAATGACAACGAATGGTGAAGACATAATTCCAGTAACGAAATTGATTGAAGAGAATCTTACCGATCCCCATGCACGTCACCTTATGCTCATAACAAGCGGAGATTCAGCCATTGGTATTTTGAAGCAAAGCTTAGCTCAGTTGGAGAGGGAGACTATCACAATCTATGGTAGTCGTTTCGAAGAAGACCTCTCCGAAGAATATAACTACAGAATCCTCAGTCGTATCATTCTTTGCATGGAGCGTGATTGTATCTTGATTCTAAGAGATCTTGAAAGCATTTACGGAAGTCTGTATGATATGTTAAACCAAAATTACGCCGTGGTTGGTAACAGGAAAAATTGCCGCGTGGCCCTTGGGGCATATAGCAACCCTATGTGTCAAGTAAACGACGGTTTTCGGTGTATCGTTCTCGTTGATCAACACAAAGTAGATTTTTCGGATCCACCATTCCTCAACAGGTTCGAGAAACAGCTCTTGGGTTTCTCCGACGTTCTAACCGTCGACCAAAAGAAAATTATCACCGATCTTGATAACTGGATTAAAGATATTTCCACTGTGGAAGCTTTGGAATCACAGTTCTATGAATCAGATATGTTTATTGGTTTTCACGAAGACACTCTCCCATCGCTTGTCTTACTACACGGAAGCGACACAGATAGCTCGCCCGACGAGATTTTAAAGAGATGTAAAGATGATTTAATGTGGATTGCTTCTCCCGACGGCGTGCTTCGGACTGAGAGATGCGAACTTCTAAAAAAAGATTCAAAAGAAGTACAGGATTTAAGAGATGAGTATTTTAAGAAGCCAGTACACCAAGGCTTGGCTGCTTTAATGGAGCACATTATGGTAACCAACAATCAGGATTCATCTTTCTTTGCTAGTGATGAAATTGGCTCTAAAACTGTCGTCGTGACATTTTCCAACATTCACACCGATATTGGTCAGTGTTTAGGCGATAGTGTGCAAAGTCAGGTGGAACGGCTGAGTGCGTACAAGTCGGAAAAGCAGTTAGCTTTGAGAATTGATGAATTTTGGAATCACCCAGAAAGGCAGTTGTTAGTTTTGCAATGTAAGCCAGAGCTCGATGGCGCACATTTACTGCACGCCCGTTCAATCATCGAAGAAAAGCGAAATTCATACAAGCGGTGTTCATCAGAAAATAGTACACAAAGTCCCAAGCATGTTTGTATTGTAGTGCATCTTCAACGTGGTGAAGACACAAATAACATTCCCTGGCAATTCAGTTTCCTGTGCGGTTGGAAACAAGTATTCCTTGACGTTCTTGAATCCCCTCGAGTACCACTGAATGAATTACTTGGAAACAGTATTCAGAAACTGACATCTGATATTTGGCCTATTCGTAAGATTGTGCAAAATGATCTTTTATGGTGCTTCTCCCGCATCAAGTACACTCGTTGCCAACGGCCTCTCGATAGTGTTTTACACATTGCCAAAAGTCTTTTCAGTTCCGATGAAGTGTACAATGTCATTGAGCAACTTATCTTGAAGTCGATTGATTTTAATGTCTTTGAAGAAGCTTGTGGTGGTCGTTTCGGAGAAAGTTGGCAAGTAAAAGTTGCTTCTGACCGACAATCATTAATTAATTCATCCACTCTTTACTGTGCAATGGAACAATTCGTCTCTCGTTTGGTCCAAATTCCTCTCGCAAAGATTGTTTACTTCTTAGAAAAGGAGAATGCTTGGCCACCTCATCTAGCCAATGATAAAAATCTATCTAAATTTGAACACATTTGGTGTAAACACGTTTTGAATGAAGCCATCGTAAGGATTTCAGAAATTCCAGAGCCACGTGGAGCTGAATCATATGTTCTGGAAAGCCCAAGGCTTGATCTTTGCTTACCTTTCAGTCAAATAACTATCAGAAAAGTTGACAGCATCAAGAAGTTGTTTTTAGAAGAGTATGCAACACTCGTAGGCAACGAAGATAATTTGAATGAGAGTGGTCAATTAATGGAGACCATCCGAATGGAACAGTTAAAGCGGTTTTCTGAGATTATATCAAACTTGGCTCCAGAAATTCATAACTTTACCTCCATCAGTTGCAATTCGTATATGGAAGATCTATTTGATTTGTTGACTGCTGACTTCTGTCTTGAATTGGATCGTTCTCGTAGAGTATCTGTAGCACAAGCGGTTTTTGTATCCGAGATTAAACAGAACCTTCCAACGAACGACATGCTTGAGTTTTTTACACTGCTTCATTCGTTTGCATGGATTCATCGGGAAGAGATTTTCGCCATACTGAGAATGATTGATTGTTGTCAGTCTTTCATACGGCTTGATGTTCTTTCAAATGTAATTGATAACACCAGTTTAGAAGAAGTTGTTTTTGTGAAAACTGAACAAGAGAATATAAGCGATGCATTTGGGAATAAGCAGGTTGTTGGGTCTATGACACATTACAACAAGAAAGAAAGCGGCCATTACACGTACGATGAACAGGAGACAAACAAAATAGACGAGAAACACGAGAACTCCCTAGAAAGTGATATAAATCATGTGACCTATTACGAGACGGATGAAGCTAGCGAAGCTACCCTTACCAATATGGCCGCTGATGTGTTGGAATTTGAAGAGTCGTTGCAAAGTGCTCAAGTGAAAGACGATGACGTGAAAGACGATGACGTGAAAGACGATGACGTGAAAGACGATGACGTGAAAGACGATGACGGGAAAGACGATGACGTCATTTCTGATGGAGATTTGAACGAACCTGCAGAAATCTTTAGGGACATCTTAACCACGGTATATTGTGAAGAAATGTTTCCAACACGAGAAACTGTCGAGAAGAATAATGGCGGCCTTGACCAATGGATGCGAAATGCAATGTTGCTGATTTCTTTAGCGTCTAAGATCAGCAGCTGTTCTCCTGCCTTTTTTTACCTACGTCTGTGTATTGATTTTTCACGAATTATCCTTACTCCTGCCACTTTAATAACAAGGATTCCTTCATTGTTTACTTTGGGGAATATTGGTATTGCTCTGAAACCCGAATACCTAAATCATGATGAATCGTTTGAAAAGATAACTGATCAACTGATTACACCTTTGGAACAGGAAATGGGAGATAAACTGGTTGCACAAGAAGCTCTACATGAGTTCTCCGCCTTGTTTTATGGTCGTTGTCTTGAAACAAATGTTGATAACCCTTGTGCTGGTCTAATAGTGGAACGCGTGCTATCATTGAAACGACCGGAGTTGGTAATAACTATGCGTCTGGTTGTCCTGCGACTACTTACGGCAGAGGAAGAATATAGCCCTGGAATATTTGTCAACATCATCATCAATCCGAGTGTCATTAAGACTTGTTCTTGTCTTCAGATTATTGACGAAGTATTCAAGGATAGGTTTTCAAGTGGTTTCATGCATAATGACTCATATCCTGCTGTAATGATCTGCGATACAATTCAAACTTTGTTGCATTTTGAAGAGCGGTACAGCATCGAGGACATCAACAGCTCCGATTGCGAACTTCTCATGCTCACTAAATCTGCAACAACACTGTTGGCGGAATGCGGGGAGGATAGTTGTGGTCTAACTGTGCTCTCATCAGTCGCATTTCTTCGAAAATTCTTCACAATGTTAGCACTATTTATTGCTAAAAATCCCAATGCTCTTCAAGACGATAGCGCTCATGTCGTAACAGAAGTCAACTTGCTGTTAAATAATTCAATATCATCGCTCAAGCTATTCTTTCTCAAACAACTTTCAACGCATGCAAATCTATTTGATGTGCAGAAATGGTTTGCTGGAAATAAACATATTCCCACAATGGAGCCGAAACTCTGGTGCAACAAAGAATGTTCGTACAAAGCTGTGTTTTCATCTGTGCTAAAATACCCAGAGTATAATGAAGCAGAGGAAGCGTACAGGGAACTGGTTTCTAATGAAGCGCCTATGCAGAATTTTTTGACAGAATGCCAAAGCTCTCCTAAACATGCTTACGTCCTTCTCGGAGTCCTTGTTAACATGGTTTACTTGAAACGAGCTGTACGAAAGCTTTCTGATAAAGAAGAACAAGTAGTTAATTGGTTTGTAGGAAAACTTACACCCTTTCCGCTGTTATATCAACAACTTTTGTTGAATGTTCTAGGACGTCGTGATTTCCGGTGCTCGCAACTGCAACTGTCACCTGAATCATCAGTGGATGACGTAGAAATGGCCTTATTAATTCTTCACATCGCCTGCGTTGTTACAACAAGTGCTTTAAATGAACGTTTACCAATGTATCGATACTTCACGAACCCTCTCGAATCTGATAATCCTTATGTTCTAGCTCATGGAAATGAGTTGCATTCCGTGTTTGAACTCTTACCATCGATTAAGGGATTATTTCCCGTCACATGTACGTGTGGTTTAAGAGTGGCTTTGAAAGATGTCGTCGTTGACCAAATATGTCCACATTGTAATCAAGACTTGAGAACACCTCAGCAACACCCCAGCAACACCTCTCCGACTGACAAAGTGCAAAAACCAAGCAAGAGGGATAGAAATGAATGGGATGCCTGTCCAAAACACATGAACCCAGCCGCCTATCGTGCATTACGCATCATTGTCTACTCATCCTACTACGCCGGCAACGCTTTTTCGGAACGTCTGAAGACGCCAAACTGTCCGCTGTCTTGCGTGCGCTATGCGGAGACGATACTCAATGTTTAAACCCTGGCCATTTGTGTTTTGAAACTGTTAAATCTGATATGTCACATCTGATGACCATTCTTTGTTGCAAGAAGGAGGTTGCTATCAGAATCATGCATATGGTGGTTGACAGATGTTCAAATCTTATAAGAAGAGGCGACGCATCAACCAATAGAATGTGTCAACAATGGGAAACAACATTTACTAAGCTCACGAAACCAGTTTTTCTAAACGCGCGTGCATCTTCCAAAGAATTAAAACAAATGAAAAAGCTACAGTATGGGGAAGTTGATTCAAATCATTTTACCATTGAAGACCGTATTCTAGAACTGGACGATTACCCTTCCGAGTCAGAGGAACAAAATCAGCGACTAAAGAGACTGTATCGCCTTACGAAACAACCAAGCTTTGAAGATTTTCGTTCAGCGTTCCTACATGCTCCAAAAGCACTTCAAAGAAAACACGGTTTCTTGGCCTTCTTCTTTGCAACGTATGAGAAACTTCCGATGATCGGTCACTTGTATCACTTATTGCAATGGTGTCGGCTCGTAACCTCAGCATTAACCCATCGCATTAGCAGAAAAGAAGCACAATCGAAATCCATTGCTGATTTCATTAGCGGTCAACTTCTAGAGATACATCGAAGTCAACAAGAGATTGGCATTTTAAAGGAATCGTTCACAGGTTTCAAGAAAGCGTGGAACGAAATGCGACAGCTTGTAAATGAAGAGCTCTTGGGTGAAAAAGTAGACGAGATGCCGAGACTAAGAGAGTATGATTGTGTGGCTTACTGTTTGACAGAAAGTGATTATGGTATCTACCTGCTGACAGCTATTAGAATTCTCGTTTCCTCTCAGAATTTTATTCTGGATGAGATAAACTCCCTTTCGTCCTCGCATAAATATCCAGCTCTGAGTTTTCTTGAAAGGTACAATGGAAGTTGTATTATGGCGACCCCTATTCAAGATGTTAAAGAAAATGAAATAATAAGTTTCCAATGGTCAGATGATTTTTTTATGTACGCGCACAACAGTCCTGTGTATGGCGAGGGCGAGAGTGTCAAGTATGATTTTGAGCGCATGGAAATATCAATTTCTACTAAAGTCGCGCTGGGAAAACGTTTCTTGACAGGAACACTGAACAAGTTTATATTCGCCAAAGAACTGTTTCATTCCTGTGGCCCTATACTGGACGAGATTCGTTCACTCGTAACGCAGAGCTCAAGCTTGCCGGACGAGGTACGTAATGGTTTGTCCTATCTAAAAGAACAGACGATCAAGGCCCAAGTTCTCCTACAACATATGGAAGTGCTCATCTTCGTTCTTAAGCCCAAACTGGCAGAATTGGATGTGGATTTAACCTTGGAAGAACTCGTTGAAAAACGGTTACCAATGCTACCAAGTCCTTTTCCGGTCATACTTCTACCACAACCTAGAAGTTCCATCAAGATCAAACACATTGCAGCACTTTACGAAGCTCTTGAGGATATGTTGGCTGACGGTGCTATAGAAGGACTTGCTAAAAGATTTAGTATGACATTACCAACCGACATCAAACAGAAATTAAACACAATTCTGGACGAAAAAACTGGGCAAATGAAACCGCCTAATTTTTTGAGAGCTCTTCGTCGCTTTGTGTTCCGTTATCTCTCGTCTGAAACAGAAAGATACTGGCCTGGAGAGACAACTGCATTACAATCCTGGTTGAAAGAACCTTCTCTGTGGTCCCCATTCCAACAACCAAACTTGGATATAATCCCGAAAGAAATTACTCTTGAATATGTCTACTCGATTGTAAAATATCTTGAAGAAATAGAGATGGTAAGAATCTGTTTTGACATGTTAAAATAGTATATCCCCCCTGCATACAAAGTGTACATGATCTGGTTATGGTAATTTGAACGCCTGAAGACTATGAACCGTTTGTACAGCACATTCATGTGTGAAGTGATTATTCACTCTGTTTTTACAATATCTAACCCATGCGTTTGGGGTAGCCTTAGCGAAAAAAACTATTCATTTATGTATATGTTAGGAAATTCTCACAAGAGCCACTGACACTGCGAAGCAAACCATGCCAGCCTACATATCAAACTAATTTTTTCTCACATGCATATTCATTCTTTTAGCGCTCATATATAATATAATCGTGAGTGGGCGGTTGTTGCCTGCGGATCTTTTTTTATTTACCTAGTTAATATCGTCAAATTTTCATTATACAGAAGAGGAAAGGCGATAATAGAAGATTACAAGTAGGAAAACCTCCCGGACAGACTAAAATAGTCAGCCAACATGGTCGCACCCGAAACACGAAGGCGAAACGACAGAGAAATCTAGGGAAATCTTTAGCTTGATTTATTTTAAGCTCTTAGTTAAAGCAATGCCTTCACGTGATTTAAAATAATAACATATCATTGGAATTATTAAAACTTCGCATAATTATATGAAAAAACTATTCTGATAAGGAATTGGTAATTGAAGAATTTTGATAAGAATTGGGAGACGTGTTCATAATTATGTAATATTGGTGTTTATTGTCAGTTTAATATTGCTTTAATACAATGGTCACTAGTTTAATTTCAGCAGGAAACTCCAAAAATCTGCAATATACTGTTAAAATATTGCATATGAGAGCAGTATTTGGCGGCGTTACTAGTTTATATATAAATCATGTAATTGAAGTGCCTCAGCTGACATTGCTTAAATCGTAAGCCGCGATTTGCATTTCAATTGTCCATTTATTTCGAGAAATTGTATAACGTTCTCCTGAATTATATTAGGTTGTCTTTATCTAGACAAGTTATTGACGTTTTTGCTATCTATTCTTATTAAAATTACGCACTAGAGGCAGTCAGGGGAATGATGTTTAATTAAAACTCATAAAAATATCCTAATAGGAGTAATGCGTGTGGAACTGTGGGATGCTCCTGAAGAACTTGCGCGAATCAAGCAAATGTTTGCCAATCACACGCTAAAATACTCAATTTTCAATTAGAGTTTCCATGGTTTATATAACGCAAAAACTGTTGAAAGCCTTTTTCAGGAAATTGCAAGTGAATAGTGTATTTCATCTTTAGTTAATAATGTTGCCTTGCAATGGTATAAAATCGATACTCTTATCTTCAATGTTTAGAACGAAATTAATTGATTGGTTTCATGAAGAATTTTAATCAGTGATTTGTCTGGGGTCAGTTGAAATGTTTTGACGCTTGTGCAACACAGGAGTGAGCTATTGATATAAAATTACACATATGTATTGCGGCTAAGCACAAAGTCAACATGCGCATACAGTGAAAAACTCTGCGATGATCAAGCTAGCGGTCTCGACTTCGAGTTGACCCTCCACTAAAACTGTATATGACTTCACATGAAACCCAAGACATTGCCAAATGAATTACTGAACAATGCAGCATTTTTTAGTTCCAACTCTGTTCAACTAAAACTATATTTTTTAGTTCTACTCTAGGCATTTCATCTAATCGTTTTGTATAGAAAGTATCGACGGAAGTCAATTGAGTACAATTTAAGATCGCGCAACGAGTGACCAATTTTTCAACTCCTAGCCTGTGGGAATAGTGGGATAATAACATGTGAAGGATAATTCTGAATAATAGAATTCAATTTAGGTTACTAAATTATTTGTGACATCAATAATGTCACAATACATCGATTATGATGACATTAAATGACTTAGAAGTTATGACTTTGGCCGAAATAATTGTTAAATTGAAAATGCATACCCCCCACCAACTCACAATGAATCGCGCGTAGTCCTACTGGGGAAGTCAGACCAAGTTTTACAGTAAATTCTCAACGAAACAAAAAATGAGCATTAATGGAACTAATTTGTGATGGGAGAATACAGAAAAAATCTGAAAACAGTTCTTTTTCGATCCATTTAAAATGATCACCACATTTTATCAGTTCATTGTGTCAGAGTAGACACCGCGACGTTCTTTTTAAAATTTAATGAAACTCGCTGTGATGCGCTGTGTTCTATGAAAATAAAACGAGTAAGTTTTAATAAATTAGGATAAATTTCTTTATTTGTTTTAGCCTTATTGCACACGTTAATCCTGTCATGACAACCATGTATAAAATATGCTGGAAAGAAGATTGATAATGATATCTTGACTGGGCTTTCCAGATATGGCTGTTTTTATCAATTATATTATACAATCAATAATTTTCTCTTGTTCTCTATAAGCTAGGAAATTTTCTTTAGAAATTGTAACGCCAGGCTAATTGTTTTTATAATTAAACATTACTCATCTTATGAGAATGGAAATTAGCTAATCACTAACATATGCTAAGTAATTGTGATATTACATTTTGGGCTTTTCACTTATTTATAGCGGAACATTAACACCGGCCACAGCCTTCGACAGAGCGGTTGCTAAAAAGGCGTGATTCTATTTCTTATGTACCTGAGGCTGACATATACTTAATAACTCAGTATCTATAGTCAAAAAGAAAGCGGTTTAGAAATGGATCTGTTAAATATCATCATCGTTTCAATTGGAGTGTTGGGAACAGCGAGTAACGGTGCTTTACTACTTATCTTTTTAATCAACCCGCTAAAAACATTTAACTCCACTTCAACTTATTTCATCAAAAGCCTGACAGTTGCAGACTTTGTGACCTGCTTGATGACAATCATATGGGGATTTGAAAGTGCACCATCTGAAGGTTTTCTGCGCACATACTATTTTATCTTTTGGATGTCCATTCAAATATCTTTTTATCTCATATTTTTTATGTCGGTAGAAAGGTATATCGCTGTTCATTATCCTTTGAAGAAGCAACTAATCGTAACAAAACCAAGAACGTTGGCTTGCATTTTCATTGTATGTTCTTTCGCAGCGATTTTAGCAGGCATCTCAGAAATCAAGACAATTCGGAACTATGTACGTTTCAGCGTATTCTCTCTGTTTGATGTCATTGTCATTTGTATCTTCATCGTGTACATAAGAATTATTTTGAGCCTGAGAAAGATATCCAGAGAAACAAGAAGCAATCTTTCTATCAGCACACGAGGTTTAAGGCTGGAGAGGATAAGGGACGAGCGACAATTATTAATTGTTGTATTTGTTATGTTGACCATATTGGCTGTAACTGTCCTTCCTTACACATTTGCTTCGCAACTTCTTCTGGTCGATCGTTTGTTTTTCAAAGGCTGGTCAATCGACAAAAAAGTGTTAGTAAAATTTCTCAAATATTTTTTTCCCGTCGAAGTTGTCAATTTTGCCGTCAATCCAATAATTTATGCAATAAGGTTACCAAATTATCGGAGATCTTTGCTAGCATTGGTTTGCTCATCTAGACGTGAAACAAATCAAGAGACAACACAACCGTAATCCTGTCAGCATACTGGTATTAGTGGTATATATACATAAAAGTAGTCGCTGACAAATAATTTCTAGAACGATGAAAATTGAAATCTTAATTACTGTCTTAGAATGTAAGCGTAAAATCTAGTACCAAGGCTTTTACTTTAAATATAATAGGTTCCTTTGTGAAGTGCAAAAACCAGAAAATGACCTCAAGGTAAATAACATCAGTGATTGCTGTGTCGGGAAAATTGTGGTATACGGTAATTGCAACTTTGGAGTTGAGACTTTGGAGTTGAGAGTTGACGAAATTTGCATATCTCATTATCTCCCTATATTTTCCCTATGCTATATAATATATATAGCTCACGATATTTCGAGTATAGACCTTCAGGCTTTGCAACTCTTTGGAAGAGTTTCTGTTCAAAACGTCAAAGTTCTCATTATATTATTGAGTATGCTCTCTGTGTCTGAGAGATACTTTTGGGGAGATTGCCGTTGTTGCTTTAATCAGTTTAATCATATATAGATATGACTTGATAGAAAATAACTAAATTTCCACCAAAACCTAGCAACGATGCTCGTGATTGCATGCTAATTTTTCAATATGATAATTGCTGTAAAGTGAACGTCATAATGAATTGAGAAAATCAAATTTGCAATGTCAACGGCGAATATGTAATAAAGTTTATGTGCAACAGAAAGAAATTATTTGCACACTTAATATCCTGGTAATTCTGCATGAACAAACACATGTAATTATATAGTTGATAATCAATATAAAATTATTAGGTTGGGATTCGAACTCTGGGCCTTGTTATGTTATTATGCAAGTCACCGTTTAGACCTTTTTAGGCACATTAGCGATCGTATAGTCCATTGGCCTGGTTCGAACCTATTCAAATCACACATGCCGAGTGTTCAAATGTCGAACACGCATAACATGGTCATCTAATTGATGGTGACGCCACAATTTTGCCCCACCTCTCAACTAAACTCCCCTCCTTCTTGGATTAAGCGCCCTTTTTCGCCTTTGAAAAAGCCTTCAGAGAGGAAAGACTTGTAAGAGAAAAAACGATACAAATTAACACCTTATCGTACCTTCATTCGTAAAGTATAAAGTATGAGCAGTGGAGAATAACAAACCATTCGTGTTAGGCTATATTGTCCTTTTTAGTCGCTTGGTGTCTTACAGTATTAAAGTGCAATAGCTTACAATAGAAATCCGTCGGGCAGAACTGAATATATAAATTTCAATCCCCCCCCCCAATGATCGTTCTAGTTACACCCCTGAGGAGAAGGTATTAAATCTGAAAGTATTCCGAATTCTGAAAGTATCCTCTTGTAACGGCATCAACCCTGCCCTGGGCTGCAATAACTACACATGACAAATAAATGCACTTTCAAAATGTACTCTCAAATTAGACGTTATAATCAATATGTAATAACAGTTACACACAAAATATAATATAATGTAATATGATCAAAATGATATTAAGGCAGCTCGATACATACGATGAATCACGAACGACGGAACAAGTCCTTGTGGGTCGCTTGTTTACAACTTTCTTCTTTTCAAATAAAGTTCTCCTACTACTCACAATCCAATTAAACAATTGTGTTTTAAAAAACAAACACAAAGCTTTTGTGTTTTGTGCAGAATGATATTAACACTTATTTTGTGAATAAAAAATAAAACTACAATTTGATGCCAACGAGCTACCTTAAGTCAAAACACAATCTCTACAGACATTCATGCAGTTACACTTACGTTTTGGTATTGCAAGTTTTCAAAATAAATTCACAGTCTAAATACATGAACCTTCCCACCTACTTTGGCCTACTGTAATTTGTTGTTTTCTGGATGTGCCAAGTGTATCCTACTTTTCTTTTTACGGAAGATTGATGGATTTTTAAACCATGGATAATGAAATAGATTTATTATACTATCCATGCTACAACCGACTATATCCTAAACTGTGCCATCCTTTTCCCCACCATTTCAAGACGAATGTCAAAAAACTTTCTGTTTCATGTTATATCATCTGAATTTGGTTATACTTTGAATACGTAAATAATAAATAACCACTAACTGAATGCTTATCACACTTACAACATAATGGGTTAAAAACATGCCCATACTAAATCATGATGGCAAAGAAATGTCACTGAAAAAGTAGAGGAAATTGTATCATCAAAATCCAAAAGTTTTTATAAAAATTCTAACACATTCATCCTATGTTTGAATCTTGTTTGCATATAAATCACTTTTCTTGTATCACTATTGCAAAGATCCACATCTTAGTTTGTCATATTTGAATCATTCTGATTCGGTGTAACAATCACCTTGCTTGAATGAGTTGCATCTTCATTTTGCATATTTTGTCCCTTGGTGGAACCACCAACATCTGATGTATTAAATGGTTCACTTAGGGCAGCTTGATCTGGCACATTGATTGGCTTGTTTGGATCAGCTTGACTGGGCTCATTAGTTGCCTGGATGATATCCGCTTGATTTGGTTCTTTGGTTGGCTCAACAGAACTGCTTTGATTTGAAGCATTAGCTGCCTTGGTGACATCCTTTTGATCAGATTCATTAGTTGGCTGGCTTGAAGAAGCTTGATCTGATTCATCAGTTGGCTTGCTGAGATTGGCTTGATAAGGCTTGTTAGTTGACTTGCTTGAAGCAGCTTCATTTAATTCATTAGTTGGCTTGCTGATATCTGCTTGATCTGGCTTGCTTGAAGCAGCTTGATCTAATGCATTAGTTGACTTGCTGAGATCCCCTTGATTTGATCCATTAGTTGGCTTGGGGAGATCAGATTGATCTGCCTCATTAGCTGGCTTGCTTGAAGCAACTTGATCCAATTCATTGGTTGGCTTGCTGGGATCTGCTTGATCTGGCTTGTTAGTTGACTTGCTTGAAACAGCTTGATCTGATTCATCAGTTGGCTTGCTGAGATCAACCGGATCTGGCTCGTTAGCTTGGTTGGTCGGAGAAGATTGATCAGAGGCATTAGCTGGTTTACTTGAATCATTTTCTTCTAGTTCATTAGTTGAGTCAGGTAACTTTCGTTTTCGTGCAGGTTTCTTCTTTTTGGTAGTTTTGGTTGAATCATCAGTTGAATCATCATTTTCAACATTCTTTTCACCAGCATGTTTGCTCATGATATGACGATTAAGGTAACCTGTTTGAGCAAATGTTCTACCACAAGTCTCACAAGGATATGGTTTATCTCCCATGTGTCGTTGTCGCTTGTGATGTCCCAGGGCACTGGACCATGCAAAGGTTTTCGGGCAGAATTCACATTTAAAAGGTTTGTCTTCAACATGTTGCTTTCGATGCTCACGCAGGTTCACAGACCAATAAAATGCCTTGTCACAAATGTCACACTTATAATGTTTATATCCAGTGTGGGTATTTATGTGTCGCTTTAAGTCATATGATTGGGAATATGCTTTAGGACACTGATCACATTGGTATGGCTTTTCACCTGTGTGTGTTCTTCTATGGCAGATCAGACTTGAGAGATGGGAAAGTGTTTTATTACAAACCTCACATTGAACAGCCTTGTATGCTTTATCACAAGTATGTGTTGACTTATGGCATTTCAAACCAGGTGCTGAACCATACTTCTTATCACACATGTCACATCCAAAAGGTTTTTCTCTTGAATGTGTTGCTTTGTGCAGCTTTAATGAACTTGACTGGCTAAATTTCTTTTGACAAATGTCACACTCGTAAGGTTTTTCTCCAGTATGGGTACGTGAGTGGTATCTCAATGTAGTTAACCCTGTGAATGATTTGTCACAAACTGGACATTTATAAGGCTTTTCTCCTGTATGTTTTCTTTTGTGATATTTCAAGTCCGCTGATTTGAAATATGCTTTGTCACAGAGGTCACATTTATATGGGCGTTCACCAGTATGTTTACGTTTGTGACGGACTAAGTCACCTTTCTGAGAACAACCTTTGCCACAAATGTCACAAATATATGGCTTTTCTCCTGTATGCATGCGTTCATGGCGGACAAGCTGGTGCGGCTGTGAAAAGCTTTTGACACAGAAGTTGCAAGAATATACTTTTGAATCTTTTCTATTTGAGGAAGGCAATAGGTTTAGAGTATTCACCATCACATTACCAAAATCCGAACTAATTTCCATGTTTTGGGGAGGATTTTCAGTACTAATGTCCACATACTGGGTGGTTTGCTCAGGTATTTCATTGTTGGCTAATCCTGTCAAAAGACTTGCTTCCTCCACTCCTTGCTGACTAACAACCAAACTAGGATGTAGTTCTATTGATGTATTATTTTCATCGTTTATCCCTTGATTCAATGCAACTATTCCTTCCTGAGCTATCACTGTAAAACTCTCCCCAGTTGACTCATCAACACTCATGGCTTGGCCAACTGCCTGAACACTCTCCCCTTGTAACCTGTGATCCCCTGCTAAAGCCTCTTGTACTGCATTAACAATGTCTGTCAACCCTATATGTACTATGGTTGACCCAGCATTATTAAGTTCGCCGCTTGAATTATCTTGCTCTATCAAATGAGCGTTAGTATCAGCCTCAAGCGGCTGACTAATTTCCTCGGGCATTATACAACTTTCTACGGCTATCTCTTTATTAGGCAAAGTTTCATTTGCCATCTGTTGAAAACGAATCTCCTGTAACTTATTTAATCCTTCGTGAGAGCTGTCTCCTTCAGTTATATACATAGTTTGTGCAGTTACCTCGACATTGTCTAATACCATGTTTTCATCTGTACTTGCCTGTTCTTCAGCCACATTCTGAGTTTCTGTGAAGCCAGTATCTTCGCCGCCTGCAGGATTTCTTGTTTCACCACCACTCATATTTCGCTCAATTTTTTTGTAAAGAACTGAAAAACCGGACTTCAAAAATACTCAGATTAACGATTGATGCTTTAGGGAAATAATCAAGGACTTATACGTAAATTTTCAATGATATTTCAGCATAAAGTCAGAGTTAATTTAAAGCAATCAAACAACGGCCTTCTCGCAGAAAACCGCCATTTATGTTTGAGCGTGCGTGGCGCATCGAGATCAGTGGCGTGGCATTGGACTCACTGATCTAAAGGTGTGCAGCTGGATAGTGAGGTGTAAAAATGTGCTGTAATGAATAATAATATTGATACTAATTACTATAAAATGCTACGAAATATTCATTTTTTGGTAGCATCAAATGGTACGAAAAATACGATCAACATCACAAGTTGGTTTGTTTTAAAATAGGAAATATTTTCTCTTCCTTGACTACCGAGATATTCTATTAAATAAGCACGATAGCGTTGTTACTTTGCAGTCTCAGTTTGTTCTCTTTATACAGAGGTGAATGTACCCTGAATTAAATTGCTAGGAGGTAGTTGAGGGAACTAATCATGAGGTTTAAAATTTTGAAGATGCAAGTCAGGCTTGGGTTTGGCTTATCAAACCTTACCAACCTATTAACACAGGTGAGATGTGCAACTTAATTTAACTTGCATCAACTCACATTCTCATGTGACCACTGCCCATTTACACTGAAAAATGAAAATAAAACAATTGTTTCTTTCTATTTACATGTAAGCATATTAAACATGTGGATATGGGATTATCATATAGTAAAACAACCTAATAAATGTACCATTCTACAAACAAACTTCTGACATTACACCACCTCTAATTGCTAATATGGAATCCTTACATCAATCATACCACCAAGCCTCAACAACCAAGGAAGGAAAGTGCAAAGGCATGCAAAACTCCCCAAGTGTCAATCAGTTATCATCCTACTACAATATATAATACATTGTACTTATTCAATTCAAGCATATTGATGGTCCTTTGTTTATAGTTCTACAGTTTGTCATTAGAACTGCTTATGTTTGTCCTTTTTATCCCTGTTATATACATGAAGAATTGCCATGTCCTGCAACTGATGTATACTATTCCAGGAAAGTGAACAGCTAGACTTGTTCGGGATGGTGCTGTTTCACATGTTTACGTAAACTTTTTCGCCAAGCAAATTCCTTGTTACAAACATCACATTTGTGACTTTTGATACCATTGTGGGTCTCCTTGTGTCGTTTCAAATCGTATGACTGAGAATAAGCTTTTTCACACTGGTCACATTGATAAGGTTTTTGTTTGGTATGTGTTCTCATGTGGGCCAGAAGCTTGGATGGTGAGGCAAATGCATTCTTACAAATTTCACAGTTATGTAAATTTTCGCCACCCTTGCTAACTTCGGCTTTTTCAGTTGTAGGATTATCACCATTTTCTGAAATAGGCTGTTCTGTTGTTTCATCATCATCATTACTTTTGTTTTCATTTTGGTTAGCTAGTGCAGCTAACGTTTGTCCACACTCAAGTAGAAGTTCAGCAGCATGTTGTTTTTTATGTTGACGCAAACTGCCTGACCAGAAAAATGCTTTGTCACACATATCACACTGGTAGCTCTTTACCCCACTGTGGGTCTGCTTGTGCCGTTTCAAATCAAATGATTGAGCATAGCTCTTAGGACACTGGTCACATTGGTATGGTTTCTCTCCTGTATGTGTTCTCTTGTGGGTCTTGAGCTTAGAAGCAGTGGAAAATTTCATGTCACAAGCATCACATTCATGTGATTGTCCTGCCAAATGTTGTTTCTTGTGTTTGCGTAAACTGAATGCGTATAGAAATGTTTTGTTACATTGATCACAACTGAAATTTTTTTCTCCACCATGACTTTCCTGATGTCTCTTTAAATCAAATGACTGGGCATAGGCTTTCGGACATTGATCACATTGGTATGGCTTTTCACCAGTGTGTGTTCTTAAATGGCATTTCAATTTATACATGGTTACAAAGCTTTTCTTGCAAACATCACATTGATTTTTCGTAGGGCTAACAGCTTTATCTTGAACATCATTATCACAATTAGGACCAGCATTTTGTCCATTGCAAGTGCTTTTATGAGTATTCAGGTACCCTAATGCAGCAAATGTCTTTCCACAATCACATTTAAAAGGCTTCTCAATTCCATGAGTAGTCTTGTGTTCTCCTAATGCACTTGACCATGCAAAACTTTTGTCACAAATGTCACACTTAAATGGTTTGTCTTCAACATGCTGTCGTTTGTGTTGTCGCAAACTGCCTGACCAAAAGAATGCTTTTTCACACAAGTCACACTTGTAACTTTTGACGCCACTATGGGTCTGCTTGTGTCGTTTTAAATCAAATGACTGAGAGTAAGCTTTAGGACACTGGTCACATTGGTATGGTTTTTCTCCTGTATGTGTCCTCATATGACACTTTAGTCTTGAGGATGTTGTAAATGTTTTTTGGCAAACATCACAGGTGTGTAGTCGTCCATTGCATGATGGATTGGTACTGGGTGGTATTACTCCGTTGACTTCATCTTCTGTGTGCTTATTTTTATGTCTGTTTAGGTACCCCAAAGCGTTGAATGTCTTTCCACAAACATCACATTGATGAGGTTTATCAGCATTAGCTTCAGCATGACTTTTCTTGTGATCTCCAAGTGCACTTGACCAAGTGAAAGATTTCTGACAAATATCACATTTGAATGGTTTGTCCTCAAGATGCTGCTTCTTGTGTTCACGTAAACTGCCAGACCAGAAAAATGCTTTGGAACACAAGTCACACTGGAAAGAACGGACACCACTGTGTGTTTTTTTGTGACGTTTCAGATCAAAAGACTGGGCATATGCCTTGTCACACAAATTGCATTTATATGGCTTAGCACCAGTATGTGTTCGTTTATGACAGATTAGTTTTGATGATGTAGCAAATGCTTTGCTACACTGGTCACACTTATGAGGTCTGAGACCTGTATGTGTAGTTTCATGATAACGTAAACCAGGCAAAGTAAAAAATTTCTTATCACATTTGTCGCACTTATAAGGGGTAACTCCTGTGTGTGTTCGTATATGATTCTGTAAAGAGACAAGGTTGGAGTATGCTTTCTCACAAGTACCACATTTGTAGGGACGTTCTCCAGTATGTTTCCTCTTATGAATAACTAAATATCCTGCATCAGCAAAAGACCTTTGGCAAACATCACAGGTGTAGGGCTTGATGCCTGAATGTGTACGCTTATGACGAGCAAGGGACTTGGACTGTGAAAATGATTTTTTACAGACACCACAGGTATAAGGTTTTTCTCCAGTATGTATCCTTCGATGACGTATCAGATCACCTGACTGAGAGCAGCGTTGTCCACAGATGTCGCAAATATATTGTTCATTAGAATGAACTTTTTTGTGTCGATCTAAAGCACTTGCCTGTGAAAATGACTTCTTGCAAACATCACAGGCATACGGTTTGTCGAGGGAATCAATACTTCCATGTTGTGTTAGCAGGCTGGTAAACAGATTTCCGATATCAAAGTTGTATACTTCGTTGTCCTGAGGATGAGGCGTCGGATTCATACTGGAGTTTATAGGAACAGGGTTAAAATAGGGAACATTTCCAGGGATGTTAGCGCCATAATATTCATTCATTTTCACCTCCTTACTCCAGGTTTACGCTGAAATAATCTTTGATTTAAGGTTTTCAATATTTTAGCAAATACAACAGAATGAAATAAAGACAGAACAATTATTTTCCACAACGCGCTATTGCTATTCAGGATATTTTGAGCTATCCATCAAATATTGATCACGTGACAGGATATCACACCCAGTCACACAGTCCAATCACAGTCCGCGTTGGAAATATATGAAGTATGACGCAAGGTCGAGTATTTACGGATTGCGGAGCATGTACACGTAATTGCGGACATCTAACACTGCAACTCGTAAACATTGGACTAGAATGCGATGATTTATGACTTGAGAGATTTTAGTTTCTCACAGAGATAATTTAGCCAGCGTGGCAACCGTGATTTAAAAAACGTTTGATTCACTTGACTGATTATAATTGAAAAAGAAATCAACAACCTTGTTCCCAGGGCATTTCCCTTTTTGTAAATCAAGCGAAGAATTCTGTTCCATTAAAAAATCCTGCTCAATGAAGTAATAATGTTGTCTTGCGATGCGGACTAACAGAGCATGCCACCTTTTCACAATCATCCCAGTGGCCTGATCCAGGCGCAAAATAGCTCTCCACCTCAGCACTTTGTTTTAAAAAAAAATTTACGGTGGCCAAAGAAGATTTCGGCCATACTGGCAGGACTAACTACAAGTCATTTACTCATTTTAGTTTTGCACATGTAAGTCTTATGTCCTAAATAATTTATAACAAACATCTGGGTTAAGTAACACAAGTTGCCTTTCAGTTACACACTGTTTTATTTTAGTTCTCTGAAACTATCCTAACAAAATCCGTTAAAAGTAGTTCACAGTTCAAAATTTCAAGAACAACCCAATTAAAATGTGACGTCTTACTCGTGTACAGAAGTGGTATAGATAGTTAACGCAATACAACAGGGTGCATTATTACGCTATAACCTAATATTTAATGGTTTGCATTTTGTATCATATATGTTTTTAGCTCTGATAAAATTATATATATTATTTACAATTACAACAAAAGTCCGCCTAAAGTCAAAGGCACATATCAAGAAAACATGTGATCAGTAATTAAACAAAACTCCTTATTAGTCATATAACTATATTATAAGTTAAATATATCTTACAATATCCAGCATCTTGTGCAGCGACATCATGTCAACTTTTTCTATAATTAATCTCTAAAATATTAAGAACAAAGAGACAAACTGTAAAACACGTGAAGCCTGTGTATCACATTTGTTAAGTGGTTTTCAACGAGTCTTTAATCTTTAGTTTTGTATCATTTTTGTTAACCGAGGATGATGGAGCCTGGGCCCGTGCCCCATTCAGAATTAAATGTGAAGTCATGCTACATCTGTTTTTATTTTAGTAATTTTGCATGCACCTAAGCTGTGTAAGGCAATTTCTCCCAGACCCTACTGGCTTAAAGAGAGAAATCAGCTTCCACTCCAGGCCCCTAAACTCCTCTGTAAGGCTCTGGACGTAATCGACAGTACTCGACGAGTCAGACGCCAAGAGATTCTTTTCATATGCCCAGCATAATTTGTAATACCATGGATAATAAAAACACTATAACTATTCATGTACGAGCACTTACTTCGAAGATTCTGATAGAAGCGATTTGAAACTGATTGTACTAGAAGGTAACGAGTCAACATTATCCGAAGAACTCGATTCGTGATCATTTCCCATCTTTTTGGCCAGATCACGAAATTTCTTCACATAATCTACGCTATTTTCATCCATTATATCGCAGAACATTGGAGCAGCCTAAAACAAGTTATATATTTAGCTAGTGAAGATGTTTAATGCGAATAATTACAGTTAACATTTACAATTAACCCGCTTACACTGGAGATGTGTCACAATTTCTAATCTAGGTTAATGCCAGGTACCATGATACTCTGACATTCCTATAAGGTTTTGAATAATTCGACTCTTTGAATATTCTCCAAAGACGTGCAGCCTAACCAAATAACTACCCTTATCAAAGAAAACCACTATATATACATGTGAAATTAGGGTGCAATCAACTTTCAAACAGACTGGTGCCATGAACTCTGTACCTACATAACAACATCGCGGTCTGCAGACAAGGTTCGCAGTGAACAATAACACAGTGAAGATTACACACCTGATTGTATTTCGAGTCAGAATCACTTGCAGCTCCAGCCTTTTTAGGAGTATCCTGGAGAAAACATGATATTTACTTTTAGTACGAAATACGTGCATTTACTGTAAATATTTGCTTACGCTTTTAGCCGTTATTTTAATAGAATGTATGATTAATTCACTCACAAGAACACTGCTTGGCTTTTGTTTTACAGGTGAGGTTTCCAACTGGGCTAAAAAATACAAGACATTAAGACTTAGAGACTATTCTCGACAAAAAGATTAATAATGCTCCAGAAAAAATTGAATCAACTTACAGAAAAGTGTACCAAGCGAAAAATCAGTACTCTGAAATAGTAGAAAAAGATTTAGAAGGTTAATCTAATTATACTTTTACTTTTTATATTCTATATGCTTATAAATGTTTTTTACTTGCAGTTACTTGGCAACAAACTCAATAAGGAAACAAATATGAGCTGTCAATGTCTGCGTGATTGAAATCCAGCTAAGCATTTTTATATTTACAAACTATTGCCCCACAGGGCTTATTTACGAAACTAATCCATATAGAGGGTAAGGTCTGGCTAGCTCAGAAAATGTTTTTCTTCGTTTAAAATAGCGAGGGCATGCTGCATATGCATGTATTTCTAGTCCATATAAATTTAATACTGTGCAATGATGCGAGTTGATTCAACATACCTCTTCATTTAACCAACCCTCTGGCGGAAAATTTGATAAATGCGAAGGAGACAAAAATGTGAGCGGATCTTCATCCTCAGAAGACTTCAAGTTATCGAGCAAGTCGTCGGTTGGTTGAACATGATCTTGCTTTGTACACTCAAGATGTTTAATGGCGTCGTTCAAGTTTTGAACATCTTTAACAGTTTTCTGAGCATGTCCTGAAGCTACCCCACGGTCAATTTCCTCGGTACGAACATGACTTATGTCTGACGAACTCTTATCAAGATTTAACGAGTTCGGTAAAATTAAGCTTTCTAAATTTTCGGGTATATCTTGGCCCATAGCAAGTTTAATCAAGGAGTCGACAGACAGATGCTCAGTAGAGGATATTGTGGCTGCACTGGAACATGATTCTCCATTGGAAATATTGGTTTCTTTTGGAAGAATTCTTCGTGGTTTATTTTTCACCTCTGTAAATATTCATAAAGACAATGATAGTGCAAGAACATAGGTGAATTCATAGTTTAATGGTACTACTTTGAGTTACCAACACAACAGGGTAAAATGAAAAAATAGCTTGACCATCGTGGGAGCAAATTTTTCAGCATGCCGATTGGTGGCACCACCAGAGTGGCACCACAAGAATATTCATAGCGGGGCGTTTAACATTACGGTATTTTTGTCCATTTTTAATATTGAGTTTGTAAAAATAAATTGGCGACTATAGTCTTATTTTTAGTTTAAAGGTTCGTCACCGTAGCCATATATATATATTGCTGCAAAGCTTTCAGTCGTCTGTAAAAGCGGCATAAATTGAAAACAACCAATTTAAAAACTTCTATTTAACTGCGAAAAAAGAAGTAATACGGTAAATGCATGTACTTTACCTGGATTTGTTAAACAATTCTGATTTACCAGTCCTGTTGGAGAAGGCACAGATGGTAGGGGAGATATGGTTTTAGCAGACGGACCCACAACAGGAGCATATGGTCGTGGTAATAACGTCCTTTGAATAACAACACGAGATGATTGTCTCTTCCTTGATTTTGGCAAAATCGGCGAAGGACGTTGAAATGAGTTGATAGGAGTGAAACTAAAAGCACGATGATTGCCAGACTTTGATGAAGAGTTCGTTGAAACTTGATTAATAATTGGACTTACAACAGTTGGAATGATCACTTCTTGCGGTGGTTTTGGAGCGAGTGGTTTCTGAGTTTTAGCCGTCGACCTTGGTTTACTGACCTTTGTTGCTTTGCTTTCAATCACAGTGGTGTCTTTTGGTTTAGATGATGCCATGTTTACAGTTTCCTTTTTGTTGTTAAAACGATATTCTCCTGTGGCAAGCTTCACTAATTGCTCTAAAGCATAATTTGTTTCTTTCTTAGGTTCACATTGACACATACTGTAGCCTAACAATATCTTTCGGGGATTGTTCATTTTACGATAGATGTCAGCAATCATTAGACTGCCACTGTTTGATCTACTCCATGTTTCCTGATTAAGAGCGTCGTGTTTATCTTCGCCATTATGCTTTGCATCTGCCACATTTTCAGTTTGTGGTGGGCTGTTACTGGTGGTTTTGACAGACGATATGACGACGTCAGACTTCCCAGATGCCTTGCAGACTTTATCCTTAGATGTTTCAGTTGATCGAGAAACTTCATCAGTATTCGAAGACACTTCATTAGCTTCATTGCCTTGTTTTCCTTTGGGGATTGCTTCGCTATTATTTGTTTTACTTGCAACATTCTTAGAACACGACTGGTTAACATGGGCTGATAATGAAATATCAATGTTATCTTGTAGCTTCCACTTGCAAAGTAAAAATGACATGAGACTGGACAAAGTTTTTCGGGCGGAAACAACGGTCCGCAATCGAGGGTTATGGGCTAAGCTTTGAACCATACTCCAAGTTTGATTATCACGTGGTACTAGTTCGATCATAATTTTTTGCGGAACTTGTTCCTGATCCTCTGTTGCGTTAGTATTCAGTTTCTTCAAAACTCGACACGTGGGAGCACGGATATTAACATTTCTGCCATGATACCTAATCGTTGTTTTTCCTGATGAAATCAACTCTGTAAGCTTCTTGCCATCTTTTTCTTTCCAACTACGAAATTTTTTACGCAATTCACCATAACAGATCAAACTACGAACTTCGTGATGAGTTTTCTTCGCGTCAGATGGATCTTGAGGTTCAGGAATATACTTTGAAATTTTATTCAAAGTTCTATAATAAAAATGACGTACTTGATCTTTATTTCTAACGGCAGCTGATAAATCACCACGACGTTTTTTAAGATAGGTTTGAATTTTATCAAAATCTTTGCTGTGTTCAATCAATGCTTCAAAGAAACAATCTTTTTCTTTTGAAGCCCAGGACTCCCATTGCCGCTTTTTACGAGTACAGCCAGTTTCCAATTGTTTGTTTCCTGATTTAGAAGATTCTAAAAGTAACATGCAAATTATTGTCAATGAAGAGTGCACTGATATAAGAGCCAGTATGATAATGCAGTATGAGACAGGCAAGTTGAGACAGGCAGTGCAGACAGGCAATATGAGATATGCAGTACAAGGCAGACAGTATATGAAAAAGACAGTAAAAAACAGCTTGAGAAAGACAGTAAAAAAAGTATGAGAGAGACAGTATTAGGCAAACAGTTAACAGTATGAGACAGGAAATAAAACACACCCTGCATACAATAGGTAGTATGAGACAGGTAGTATGAGACAGGCAGTATGAGATTGGTAGTATAAGACATGCCATACAAGACTGGAATGTATGAGAAAGGCAATATGAATCAGCATGAGACCAGAAGAACAAGTCTGACCATATAATACATGAAGTACAAGGAAATAGTGCAAGAGGGGACAATCTTGCCAGTTGCATCCCATAACAGTATATTGTTAACAATGTTGTTGAACCTTGTTGAATCATCAATGTTAACACAATATTGTTAACACAACAGTATTGATGGTTCAACAAGGTTCAACAATGTAACAGTACTGTTCACAACATTGTTTACTCCTATTTTTAACAACTTCCATCAAAACTGATGATTTTTGTCCATGTACAAGTAGAAGTTTGTGTTACTATGTAGTTTGTCACAGTGCAACATGAGACATGCAATATGAATCTCACAGTAACAAGCATACAGTATAAGATAGGAAGTTTAGTATGAATGCACAATATGAAACATGCAACATGTTTTATGAATGAAGCAATGCCAAGCATACAGTATGATACAGGAAGTATAATTAAGACATACAGCACCAGAAATGTAGTATGAACACACAATATGAAACAATATGCAACATATATTATGAATCGGGCAGTAACAAGCATATATAGGGCAGGAAGTATGCGAAAGGGCAGTATAGGGAATGCAGTATGAAAATACAGAAATACAGAATGAAACGGTCAGTACGAAGAAAGCAGAATGCCCCATAATCCTGTTACCAATAGAAAATGATTGATTGCACATCTCAATTTATTAAAGATGACATTGTCATTAATGCAAGTGCAGTTCATTTGGGTTTAAACAAGTATTGGTGAAAAATGTTAAGAAAAATCCTGCCACTAACAAGGTGCTGGATATACTTTAGCATGGACTTCACAAGTTAATACTTTAACCCCTCTTGCATTCCACTCCAAATTCAACATGGCGCTTGTGAAATTACTATACAGACAGAAGTGAACTCCAGTATCATACCTGGTGTTACGCTAGGCGATCTTTCTGGAGTTTGAGTCCTTGTTCGTTTTCCTGGTCTTAAATTACTTCGTGTAATAACTCCACAAGACAAATCTTTACCATCAAAGTTTTTATCCTGTCGTGCAATCTTTTTTTTCGGTTCACCTTCGTCAACACCGTCTACACGAGGCTTCCTCTTTGAATCATTTTCAACCTTCGAGATCTCTTTGCCCTTGGCATCTTTCTGCTTTGCTTGACGACCAGACACGATGGAATGATTTTCTGGACGTTGGGAGGAACAATCTACGGTCATCCTGAAAGATAATAACAAAATATAGCTTATTCAAAATGGGTTTGTAAAAGACAACAAACTCACAAGCCTTTCAGATTTCGATGCATGCAATCAGTTTGTTTTTGGCCATATTCTTAGCTATTTTATTTCCTATTATCACTAATAAAATCATTTAATTGACAGTAGAAGCTCTAAAGAGTACGTTGAAAGCTAGGAAATAAAATAAAAGACTATAAAAATTTGTCATGTATTATTTCTGTTTCGAAGCAGAGGTGGAGTCGCTTTTGATTTCTGCATTTCGCTGGCGTCATAAAATTCTGCCACAAAAAATAAATACTACCACTTACGGACATTTTTTACTAGCAGTTGAAGACCGGGTGTTCATCAGTTTCGTGCAAGAAAGGAAAAATACTGATCTCCAATAGCTTTGCGTCTAGCAAAACCATGATCCAAAGGCAAGCAAGTAGCCTGTCAGTTGACGCAAGCGTAGAGCGAATAAATGATTAGTTCACACACCGCTGGGAGTTGAGTTACGATGAGGAATTATTTTACGAAAAAACTACCTCAAGCAAAGTAAAATGTTTAATCTTCAATGAAAATGCATTTTACTTTATACAAAACTGGTAAATCTGTGTTGCAGTAGCGCTACAATCCTAAAACCTTACCATAAAACCAATACACCAGTTTGACTAGTTGATCTCAGTCAGAATATATTATCGTTTGGTTACTATTGGTGTTTACTATTTCTGTTCACTATTTCTGTCCACATAGTTTGTTAAATGTCAGACTCAGTCATCTATTAAATAAGTGTGAACCTTTAAATATAATAAATATAATATTGCAATACAATGAAATACTAATTACGGAAGATATTAGTTAATGTAAAAAAATAAAAATATGAATAGTGAATACATCAATGAAAATAATTGATGTTCCAACTTCCAAGGTGGGTGATAACTTCGTAATTTATTTTTCTACATTTATATCTAAGAAGTAGACCAGTTTTCCTGCAAGTTATATTAATTTACAGTTATATTTCATGAAAAGGCATGTAATTTAAAATAAAGTAAGAAATGTATACGTACACAACCTCCAGTTTTCTTCCATGACCATGAAGGCTTGAGCAATACTGTGAAAGACGTTGATCAATGATATTAACATTGATTTCTTGGGTTAGGATTGACTAAATTCATTTATGCTACACAGAGAGAACATTTATTAAATAAAGCCTTTGAAAATAATATTACAAGCAAATGAAGCAATAAATCCATAGCTATTACCTATCAATAAAAATACACTTTAGGTTTCCCGCGATATTTTGTTTATACGCGCTTAAAACCTTCGAACGGAAGTCAGTGACTGACGGAAGTAGACACAAACATTACCTCGCTCCCCCCTCCCTAGCAAACTCCAGTGCCTCCTCTCCTCACAACAAACAACGAAGGATTTACTGGTAGTATAGTTCAAATGCTGTTGCTTATATCGAACTATTTGAAACATTAAGGTAATTTATTATACGTACAATACTACACAAAATTTTCAGGTTTTTGTTTCGTGAGAAGTTCAAGGCCCCGTCCACACGATGCCGGAAAATTTGAAAACGTCTCCTTAAACTTCTCCACCCTCCCGGCCCATGAAGACATTTTGTCGCTAGGTGACAGAACAATGCGAGTGATTTTGTATTTCGACAGTTTCAAAATGGCTGCTCAAGGCAACATTGAATCTCTGATAGAACAAAAAGTTTTAGAAGCTGCAAGCATTGTAGAAGAGCAGATAGATTCAGAATTAAACCGGCTTGAAAACCTAAAAGAAGACGACATCGATGTAGTTCGAGAAAGACGTCTTCAACAGCTTAAAAAGCAACAAGTGTTAAAACAAGAACTCCGAAGAAAAGGTCATGGTGAATACAGGGAAATTGCCGATGAAAAAGATTTCTTCGCTGTTTGTAAAGAAAGTGATAAGGTGATCTGTCATTTTTATCGCGAAAGTACATGGAGGTGCAAAATTGTAGATAAACATCTTACTACGCTGGCTCCTAAGCATATCGAGGCAAAATTTATAAAAATTGATGCTGAAAAGAGTCCGTTTCTTGTGAAGCGTCTTCGAGTTGTGGTTTTGCCGACAATTGCCCTTATTAAAGATTCAAAAACTGTTGATTTTATTGTTGGCTTCGATGATCTTGGAGGCAGTGACGATTTTCCTTGTGAAATGTTAGAGTGGCGAATTGCTTGTGCTGGTGTGATTGACTATAATGGGGACATTAGTCAACCACCTGACCCAAAGAACAATCAAAACTCCACGAAGAAGTTATTTCAACAACAAAAAAAGATTATACGTGGTGGAGGTGACTCTGACGAAGATTCTGACTAGCTATTAAAATATGTACTTATATACATACAGTTATGCCTTATAACATTATTTATCTTAGTTCTCTTGATAAGCAATTTAAATAAATTTTTCAATGCTTCAGCTGGTATTATTTGATGTGTTCCAATATAACCAAGCCGGAGCAGTGTTTTAGCATCTTCTAATAACTTCACATCTTTTGATGTAAGCCTGGCAAGTGGCAACTCATCTTGCATGAATGTTGGACATTTTTTAAAAATGGTTGCACTTATCAAGATTCAAAAAACAAAAGATTGCATTTATTTGATGGGTGGCAAAAAGTGAGGATGTTTGAAGAGGATGTATTAATCTCTCATAGCCACTAATATAATGTAAAATTTGTTGATGTTTTACAACAAACAACCCTCAGTACCTCACTATAGAAAACTGCATACAATTGTTCTTTAGTGGTTTGGAAATTGCATGGTACCGTATCAGGCTTTATCAATGCTTCTTTCTACTTCTAATTTACTATCAAAAATTTTAAAAAGAAAAAACTCATTTCTACTATTAAAATTCTGCAGGTCAACTGCAATTTAAAAGATTTTGCCCATGTAATTACAATAAAATGAACCTCATCGGTAGTCAAATTTAAAGCTACAAATTTTACCTAATCTTGTTACCCAAGTAATTTAAATTCTACCTTTAATAATTGGAGGGAGGAATATATATCAACTATGCTCTAACAATTGTATTGGATTTTGTTTTCTTCCACTGTACAATCCATTTTTTCATATATTTCTTCTCTAGGTTCCTGGCATCAATCACAGACTGAGGATCATCCTTATTTTTGTGACGTAAATCAAGATGATGAGCACCACCTTTAATCATAACAGCAACTAATGATTCTGAGATACTTTTAGTCACTCCTCCACCAGACCAAGGATCTAGATCACCGTTGCTGTAATAAAATAAAGAAGCCAATTCATGCTAGACTTTATCATTCTACCAAACTTTTTCTGCAAACGCAGATAGAGTGTAAGCAGTACAATCTCATACTTTATAATAGTGAACAGCTCCGCAGTGGCCGAAACACTCTGGTGGCCGCAATGTTTCAGTCAACATGGAAAAAAATCCTCTTTTGCCTCATGAATATCCTGGATCTAGTTACTAAATTATGCATTTTTATTCACAACGTTCAACACTGAACTTTCCATAACTACAAGTCTACACCTTCATAAAAAGCAGGGTGATACGTGACTATCTGGGGGTGGGGAGGTGGTGTAACATCCACGTTTCACGGACTAACATGCGTCGCTAGAGTAGTACTTTGAAAGAAATGTGCCGAAAAAAGGCCCGAAAGACCAGTGAGAAAACATGTCTGAATATCGAAAACAACTAAGCAAGTTCACCAAAATTATACCTAAACTTTTTACCTACACTCGTGAGGAGATAGCGACCAACTTCGCTTTAACCAAACACATTCCCAAAACCTGGGTTGCAGCAACCCATATCTCCCCGCACAGTGAGAAGTAATTAGTCTTATAAAGACCATGCTCAAAATAGCAGTTATCCATTTTTTAGGTTTGAAAATCATTTGTACCTGAAAACAATATTACTGTGGGACGAGATCTTCCTTCCACCATATTGTACTTCAGCCCAAAATTGTCTTGGCATCACACCCCACCACTGGTCGCATCCTTTGGCATAAGCTGAAAAATCCCACTACAAAACACGGTATACTAATTATTCTAGGACTTTTTAACCTCTAAGGAGAACATTTACGTAGGCGGCATTTGCATCTAAGCCACCGCTACTGACAATTATTACGTTTTACAACATTTCGAAACTAAAATTTTTTACTTTTCATAAGATAAGGCCTTTGCTTGCTGTGATGTTGTATTTCATGAGGCAGTTCATTCCTCCGGTTTGTACTCCTTTTTATAAACATTGTTCGACAGATATTCTTTCCATCCATAGACCATAGATTGTGTACAATATATTAACTTTAATTAAAATAGAATGCAGAAAATTTTCTTACTTTGAAAGGATAAAACATGTCGTCTTTTCCATCAGCACAAAGTGGCATAACCATCTCAGTACAAGCCTTGAAATAGGAATCATAATTATAGACAAAAGAACGAGAAATGCAGGAAAAACAACTAGAGCTAAAATTTTTTAAATAAAGAATGCCCTATTTTGGGAAAAAACAAAGAGATGAATTAATACATACTTGAAAACTCCATCCTTTATCTCCCAAATCTTTAGTAGCTTGTTGTTCAATATCAAAACACTTGGCGCCACCGGTGTAATTGTAGTAAACAGAAACAGCATCGAACACTGCTTTTAGTAATGCGTCCCCCGTGAGTTTATCATCTGTTAGTTTTTTGCAAACAGCCTAAGTACATAGAACAATTAAATAGACTATTGTAGCTATACTAGATTGTAAAGAATAAACTGTAAGTTTATTTTATCTAAAATAGATGCATAATTTCTCAATATGATTATGCATGCTTAGTTAAGACGTCAGTGCGTGTCTTGTGTCAACTCTGTCGTTGCAATCTCCGACGTTGAATATGGTTTTTACCATATGTGGTAAATGTGGTTTTTAAATTTAATATAATGTCTTAATGATGACAGAGTTACCTTAATAGGCCAAGCTGGAAGTGGTTCAAGGAAGGAGGCTGGGTATGGATAGTTAACTATAATAGAAATAAAACGTAATGGATAATTTGTTGTACTTGTAAACCCTAACTCATCCCACATTTAGAGATACAATTTTTCCATATGATATAAGTAAGCCGATGTTTATAAGACATAAATCGACTATCACCTGGGTGTGTGCATATACCTGACATATTAATTCTTCAGTTAATAATAGCTTACCCATGGCTAAGTTCACCCACGTCTCGCTCAACCAATCACGAAATTTATAAACATCCTTCTGGGTTTTTAATGGTTTGCACAAGTTAAAAATATCGCTCAACTTTTCTCTACCGGAGCCTGAAAAAGAGAAAACGTATAAACCTTGCGTGGTCTAATTTGGAATATTACCCCTATTTTAAAACATACGACTAGGTCCTAACAATAAATACACGCTGCTCTCCTTGATAATTCTGCCACAAAAACGTCCGGATCCTGAGAGCCTCGCTTTCGCAAAACAAACCAGGAAATGCAAACATTCACATTTTACTGCAGCATATTTATACATGTAATTCAGCAACAAAGGTTGACACATTTTATAAACCCAAAACTTGGTAAACATTGAAAGAGTAAGGAATGACTAACTTAACTTTATATACTTAAATACCTAAATGAAGAAAATGACTTGCAAGCGCGTATGAGTGTGACCATGGATGGGGGATAAATGTAGATTTCACGTCACCACTCAATGCATCCTTATATGCGGGTCAATACAATTGAAAGAGAATAGCAATTTCGAACAGCAGCAAAGAGAGCAAAAACTAGATAATTTTGTAGATTGAAATATCGAAAGCTTACTTGATTCACCATCATCAAAAACGATACTCCAAGATTTCTTAATCAAGTTAAAACATGTTTCACCCTCTCTTGCAAAATCATCCGAAACAATTTTATAAAAAGTCTAAAAAAAGTTATTATTGAACATGACTTACAGCCGTAGAACTTTGTGGTGCTACGATATAAAATGTTTTCATCCTTAATTCAGTGGCATGCGATCGTTTCTAATGCTTACTCGTCAAGAGTTTTTAACCGAACATATATAGAGGGATTTATATAGAAAACTAAAAAAATAGAACATACACTGCAACACAATTTATTACTCTGTTCTATATATGCAACACATGCAGTTTATCAGATGTGACCCGTATACCGACCTTCACAAATTCCTCAATATGGCAATGCGCAACAATAGCTAGTTTATAACAATGCGAGTCAATTGTTGCCATACCTCACAAGGAGTGATATTCTGGAACTGAAGAATTGGAGCTGATGACGCAATTGCACTGGAAAGTGAAACATGCATTTGAAGTTATAAGACGAAGATATATATGTTTGACACTAGCAAGCAAGATCTCGCCTTAGGTTGAACAGTATTCGTATCATTTACAAATCAAAAGCAGTTATACATCCCGGCGCGAATTTCCGATATAGAAAACAGCGGTTATTTAGCCGCCTCGCCTCGTACAGTTAATTTCGTCAGTTGACTTCGTAGGACTAAAAGTCTGAACCTGTGTCCACACAAAAAAGATCTTTAATTTTTACGAACCCAGCTATGACATTTGGAAATTTCATCCTAAACCAAGCAGCCAACATGCCTGTTAAAAAACGAATATATTATGGGGAGCTGTGACTGTGTCGTACAGTATTTTTCCACGAAGCAAAGTCTGCATGCGACTTTTCTATATTAATAAAACATGAAGTTCCCTGACCTTGGCTTGGGTTCACGTGCGCAATAACGCAATATTTAGCCTTTAGGCACATGCCTAACTGTAGAAACTTTCATTTCTTGCAAAAGGACGAGACTCTCTCCCCACTCACCCCTTGACCCCAGAAATGCTAGAATACATTACCTCCATATGATCCACCTAACGCAATTACAGGACTTTTCTTTGTACCATCACGTGTTTTCTAAAAACGGATATACATATAGATATTTATAATCATGTGAAAACCATGCCATAAATACTGTACAGCTAATGCTTTCCTTTGTTTGACAATTCATGTCATTTATTTGCTACACAAAATTTTTTTGATATTTGTACCCATTAAAACCGTATTACATGTAACATCTTTAGGGAGCCCCAAAATGTAGCTCTATGCAACCGGCCCCTGGTCTTCTGGTCAATCCTTGCCTGAATTGTTTGTAAATTTGTAATGCTGTAATTCCAATGTGTTTAGGTTGTTTAGATTACCTTGATATGCTGTATCATTGTGGCAAAGTCAGCAAGGGCCTGTTCTGATGACAAGAATCCCAAATGACTGGGACTCTATAGAAACCAAATGCATTATTAGCAACCTTGAAAGTGATAATCAAATAATTTGGTTCTAAATACCAAATTGGATAAAAGACAAAAACTGCTTTACCTTGTATGATGTATCACCAAATGGAAGTGACTCCCCATAGAATCTGTGTTCACCAAAAACTAACATTGCATTAAATTCCTCAGCAATATCCCACATGAAACCCTAAATGAGAGTGACTTCTCTAAACTCTTGTTTTCTACCCTAACTTCAACTCTATATAAGGTCTATTCTAGTGAAATGAATACATAATATACTTACTGTATTATTACAAAACCATGTGATATCCCCTTCATTGCCACAATAAAATAATATTGGTCCTCCTGGTTCCCAGTATTTATCACTTACAAGATATCTTTGCTTAAATGTTTCTTTTCTCTCATAACTAAAGTGGTCCAGCTGCAAAATTAACAAATCTATGAGTGCTCATGCAATATTCTTGGTAATGAGATGAACCCCATTTTTTTGGCTTGTCATGCACCCACTCAGATATACCCTACTTATTATTACAGTATTTTATGGTCTACCTAGGTCAATCATGACACAAACTTTACTCATTAGTGAAATAGTGAACCCAGTCAAGTGATAAGGTGTGCAGAGATTGGGAGCCTGGAAACCAAAGCACTGGATATGTCTGGAAGCACCCATATGGTTAATCATGGTTTTAAAATCACAAATCAATTATCTATGACAAATATGACAAATGATAACAATATTAGAGTAAAATGAAATTACACTGCGTCTATTTCAGTGTAAACTTCAATCAAAATTGAAAGTTTTTTCGGGTTCACTAATTCAAAGGCAATATACTTAGAAATTAGAATATTAAATTTAGTTTAGACACTTCCATAAGCTCGTGACAAGCCATTTCCTGGCAAATTTATTCTATTCAACATAAATAATGGCTGACCTTTTGATCAAAATACTTGGTTTCATATGTACAATATTTACATTCTGATTTCTTCGCGGTCCGGCTTGTCGTCGATACGGGCTGTCGAGGGAAATGAGCTTTGGGATTAAAATATCCAAATACTTCGTTTATAGATAAGGCAAGAAGGAATACACAACAAAAATATTGATAAGAAGCTGAACCCATGTCGTGAAAAGTGAAAAACAGGTACCAGCAGAACGCAATTTATTCCTGTTTGACAGAAACTGTACGCTCACAATCACAGTCACAGAACCACTGTGATTTTACCCATCCTCGGTCACCTGTTGCAATATTGTCATTTGTCATATGCACATCACGTGCGTGCGCCACTCTCTCAATCCTTTGTCAGGTGGTCATTGCATAGTAATCTGGGGATAGTAGGGAGTTTCAGTGTCGCATGCACAATGTCGTACGGGTATTTCCGCCTTCCCGTCAAAACTAGCACGTTCTACACCATTGTATTTTTTAAACACGATGGAAAATAGTCAAAATACTTAAACACTGGTTTATTTAATTTGTATTATCCCAACTTTATCGAATACGTTTTATATGATATAATATGAAAAAGAACTGTTCTCAAAAAGATTTAAAAAGATTGAAAAGTTTTACACAGTAGTCGTTCTTTGTACAATACCGCGCATCTAAAAATAACGAAACTAGCAAATATTGATACAAAATTAATTTCTCCTTCAAAGTACCATTGACTCTGTTTAAACGCCATTTTTCAAGTAATCGTCACAAGTCTAGAGAGGAAAAGAAAAATAATTATATAGTCTCGTTTTAAAACGTTGCTGCTATAAATGGGCAAGGAGCTGCGACACTACCCGGGAGGGGGAGGGGGGATATAAATTAATGTCTTATCTCTATTCTATGCGAATTAATAGATCATGCATGTGAACTACTGCCACATCCCATAGTAGTTAGAAGCTACAATAAAATAGACGTAAAAACTACGTTTTTTGCTTACCTTTGATTTAATAATACTTTCAACATCCTGCAACGAAAGCTCCACATATTTCACTATACGACCGGCAGAAAAATTATGCGAGCAATGTAGAAGGAAAACGAAGCGCTTTTCTGCATCATCAATTGCTGCTGTACAATCTTTTACAATGGTGTCGCATTGCGGTTTCAATTCTTCAATGGTTGCTAGAGGAAACTTTAGGGAACTGGCTATTGTCTTGCTGTCGTATTTTTTACACTTCAATTGTTGACACACTTCTTGCTTCTCCGAATCCTTCAAAATACACTTCTGAACACAATTCTTGATAACATCAATTACAGTCGGTAAAGGTATTTCAACCATTATCTCAATGTCACTCGCAGTCATTCCGCTGCAGAAATGCGAATAACATATCTGTGTCTTCTCGCTCTCCTTTACACTGCATATTCCACAAGATGGTATAATTTCCAAAACTTGATTCTCATTCAGTCCAACAAAGGTCGCAATTTGTTGTGTTGTTTTATAAAAGCAGTAAAAAAGACATGTACTTGCTTGGTTTTTGGGTGTAATCTTGGGTGGTGGACATCGTGTTAAGAAGTTAGAAACCATATCTTCACTTAGATCAGTTCTGTTAACATTTGCAACGATTTGAGATGGATTTACAAATCCCTTTTCTTTCTCCGAACAAACACGGTAAAGTAAATCTTCATTGTTTAGAAGACAGTTTCCATGCCAGCCTTTTTCTAAAGCTGTCGCCGTGATGATTTTCCCAAGGTCTTCTAGTGTTGTATGTAGCACAATCTTCATGTCAACACATGTCTGAGTGTTTAAATCATACATCGAACCTGCTTCATCATAAAGTACTTTGAGTGTATCTCGACCTGACTTGCAGTCATTTATTACAACTGCTATCGCGTGTTGTTTATCGGCTATACATCTGAACCATTTCTCAATTGTGTCTAACGCAATTATCAACTTTTCTTGCAAGTATAAGATGCCTGAGGTCGTTGCTGTGTTGATGTTTGCCAGAAAAGCTTCAATTGCGTTAACAGGGGAGGTGTCCGTAAAATTTGCTTCAGTTGTGAGGTTTTTAATTCCTTCCAACATGTCTAATATTGTTTCGTTTGTTAATAAATCTCGTGCTGGTTTCCAGGTCTGCATGAAAGTGAAGGGTCTATTTAGTGCCATAGAAGGAAAGTGGTAAAAGCATATTTATCTTTTTAGTATGTGATGTCTCACTACAAAAACACCGACAATAGTATATTGATGTATATCAGTACCGACTAAAATAACCAAAATGTATTTTTGAATCAATTGAATAACTCAGATTGGTGTCCAAAGTCCATAGTGAATTGAAGTAAAGGTTGATAACGCGAGAATCACATGCAGGAACTAGCTGCTGCAACTTATAGTACGTTAGTCGATCAATTTTTTATCAATGAATTTTGCCAGGTATTGAATAACAGTATAGCTCAGAATCAGATAAAGCCCGGTAAACGATATCTTATTATATTTTGCATGTTATACGCGACAATGTATGACTTATGTCTTCGAGCAAAATAACTGTTGAAAGGAGGACTTTCCGTAAATTATAGTTGTCTTGGAAATATAATTAACAACAATACCTGGTCATAAATATCCTGAAATAGTGGGTTAACCTCCGTAACGATGATTTTCTCAATTTCGTCTCTTGTACCAGTTACATTTAATGCTGTTTCTTGCATATCATCTGTTATCTTCTGGCAATCAGATATTTGCTTATAAACAGACCACACAGACAAAGCTAGAAAACAAGAGAATTTAACGTCTGTTAATTCACACTGGTCCACGTTTGTTGGATGCAATTCATTTCTGATGCCGGATGTTTTATAGCCTGCTGGCTTGCGATGTATATAGATTGGCAATTAAATCAGCTGACTCAAATGACTATTGCATGGTAAACTAGAAATGGACGTTCCTTCCATTGATGTTCGTAGTCACTTCGTACCTGTGTATAACCCATTTACCACTGGCCCAATTAATTTCGATACAAATGTTTGACTTTTGGCTGCTTGGTTAGACTTATGTACCGCTTTTGCAGCAGTTTTGATTTGAGCTTGAATCTGTTTGGTCGACAAGCCTTGAACATACGCGAATTTGTTGTGGATTCTTGGTTGATTAAGACCGTTTGGATTGGCGGCGGTTCGTTGGCCCACAAACTTGTTTTCAAAATCAACCTTCATCTCTTGATAAATCTACAATCATAACATAAGATGGGTCACTTACATGCAGAACTGACTCCAACTTTCAATAATATTCCTCAAGTTGTGCATGGCCAATTTTGACTCAAAGTTGCGTCTATTTTTGCAATCTGTTTTTACAAGTTGGCTCTTTCTTATATCCTATGGACTATAGGTTGCCTGATCTGCAGGGTGTATAATAGATTAGGCTTTTCGCTGAGTAACTATAGCTTTCTGCATGTGTAGCTAATATGCAGATCAAAATTATTAGCAAACATGCAGTAGTTCTGATAAAAAAAATCTTGGTGAGAATCTCTCACTCATACCTTATTAACGGCAAATCTTTCTTTCAGCGGTACATAAATTCCATAACCAATAGTCAATGCCAGGGAAAAAACAAAACGACCTGTACCATCCCACGTCCACTTATCAAAAATCCCTTGGATTGTTGGACTTGATACAATCTGATCCACTGTTGTCCTTTTGTCATTTACCATTGCCTGTGCGACGAAAGACATGCACAATTATTTCTACAAACGTTTGTATATATATATATATATATATATATATATATATATATATATATATATATCGTATATATATACGACGTCTAAAACACATTATAATAAAAACATTGATGACTAAAAAAATGGAAAAACATTAACATTTTAAAATTCTCTATAGATCTGCGATGAAAGACTCACCTGAATTGTAGATGACCTCTCTTGGAATTTGGCAGAAATCTGAACGTCCACGCTCTCAATCCCCTTTATGAATCTATCCACATTCCCATAGATTGTATTTATGTCATTCAGTATTCGTTCATTGTTAATGTTTGCAGATTTTCCGTCGACTTCATATTTGAAGGCTGAAAAAAACCGGATGATTGAGAAGGAACATGTTCAGTAAGAAAACGTTGAGAATTTCTGGTATACTGTACGTGGAACTTCGCTATAAGCCTACGCATAAGAATAAATAACAAAGGTCGTAGTAAATTGACGTCAATTATGATTTATGACTATAATAATTTATTGCATATTATTCAAGACGTGCGCGGTCGATCGGTCTGAAATGGTGACTGGTACTGTCATAATCAATTACAAAATATAGATTGTATTCCCATGCAATATTCATTTACCTCGCAATAATGAGGCGTCTATTTCATCTAACTGTTTCTTCATCTTCACTTTTTCTTGATCCACATAATTCTTATTATTTTCAGAACTTTGACAGAGAAAATCAGGACAAGGAGTCAAATAAAGACATCTTGGGTGTTTACATGGCTTAGGACGATAATCTTCACATCTTCGAATAGCATGGTATACGGTGACACCCATACTCGCACCATAACTGCTCCAAGATGCAAGTGTTAATCCTTTGCTGATGCCAGAGAATAGACCACCTAAATTGTAGAGTTTATTTGTTAATTTGCTGAGCGGTAGTAGCTCAAGTCTTTGCTCAAGGGTTCAGAAGTACTTTTAGTGCGCTCTTCTTCACACGGTGGAAAACAACCAGACCGGCGCTGTTGTACTTCAGTACGTACAGACAGCTACCTGGTATTTCAGGTTGGAATGGTGGTTCAATTGAATAACATTGAAGATGTACAGTTTTTAGGCTTTCTACAATGTATATATTTTAACAAAAGTCATTGCATTTGTAACTGTACTGTGAAATTGCGTCAGGCCTGTATCAATACTTACGTTTCTGTCTGCTATGAGGATTATGTAAGGCAAGTTTCCCTGTTTTTTGGGCTTGTATTTCTAGAAACAGAAATAACCAATAGTTAATATGAAGGTGTTTTGTCAACATGATCAACAAAAATTCAGACCATGTTTCTCATAAGACTTATCTTCGTGACATACATTAAGGTTGACGTACTTCTACTACGAAAAATGAATATTATATACAATATAGTCGACACCCGACACTGACCTTTATCTTTGTCCAGGCGAGGAGATTTAATTTCAATACCTCGGGCTGAACATGAGTCATAATAAAATAAAGCAACAAACGTCATGGCAAGTGCAAGTGATGTGGCCTGAAATTTTCCCATCTCCTATTAAAAAAGTATAAAATTGTAATTGGTGGGCTGTTTATTAATTATAGAAGAAATATTTTTAAAAGTTGTTGAATAATAATTCACTTTCAATATCGTTAACTGAAGACATTTAACGGGTAAAAACGCTGGTCGTAGCCGCAGGGACGCCGGACGATGCGAGACGGGGAAATATTTTCGTGAAAGGGTACAACTGTTGCTGCTTTCCTCCCTGTTCCGGCGTCTCTGTCGGTTGATGAAAACAAGAGCGAAAACTGATGTTGTGCAACTGCAGCATCCCACGAACATGGTTGTTATCATGCGATAATTATTATTTGCTATACATGGTGACTCTCTCAACATCACTGTAGCGTGACCATGAAGAAAAACATGTCTAAAACAACCATGGCTCTACAAATATTCTTCATCCAGAATTGAAATGTTCCTCCTACCAGGCAACTACAAATGCTGTGAAAACGCGCAAAACAAAGAGGATGTCCTTATTCCGTCATTTCCGTGTAAACACAACTAACACTACATTCACGACTCTCCTGTACCGTTTCAGTTAAAGTAATTATCGACATTGTGCCACGCTCTTGAACTCCTTGGAGGGGATGTGAAGCAAGAATTCTTATGGAAATACACACATGCACATATATGTAAATTATGCCGTATAGCAGCATACAATAGTGAGTTTGGGAAATACAACGGCAACGGCAACGTCCTTATCAACAATGGCATTAATCCTTTTAGAAAACAGAAAATGTTAATTACGTGGCCTTCAACGTTGCACACTGCCGTAGTTGCTGAAGCGGCATCGTGACTTACCAATTTCACGGTGCATGACAACGCGGCAACATGCAGTTAATGTGTTCGATGTTGTTTGGAGTGTTCGACCATATTTATAGATTTATAATAGTTAATAACTGTTTCAGAGAAAGAGGAAACTTGAAGGGGCAGTCCATTCTAACTCGTATTTTCTTTGAATACCACAATATTTGGTGAAAAATTTTGCTATTGCGGTTGCCGTTATCATTTCCCAAACTCACTAATGGTGACTTCGCTATACGAAGTATTGGAATAGCCTTTATCGTATTCAATAATGGGCTTATACCTCGAAATACACGTTTTTTACGGAATCATTATGCCATGTCACTTTCCCGCCGTGTTTAAAGAGGACTACAAAGCTTCATATTGTACCCGTTAGGCCCATCAGAACTGCGGTGACCCAACTAATTTTCGAGGCAAGCAAGAGTTCGCCTGTGCGTTTGCAAATGAAAATCAAGTCCTTTCCAAAGCTAGGCCTAGATCATTCCTACAAGCTTGTAGTGTAAACACAGATATAGTGACTTAGTGAATAGTTAACTCTCTACACTCGGATGTCAATTATCATTATGGCAGAGGCACGAGGTTGGGCACAGGCAACTTGGCCGTGCCAGTCGAACTGATCAATTTGAAGCGACTTGCGATGTAAGTCACCAACTTTAAAAATTTCCAATTTAAAAATATAGTTTTGTTCTACAGATTTACGTTTCTGTGTTGGCTCAGTGATTTGAATATTGAAATACAGATCAATAAAATACAGCGGTATCAATTTCCATTAACAAACGTTAACAAACGCCATCAATCTTTGCTAGCTAAATCACTGTGTTATCAGATCGCAGGTAGACAGCAGGCACATACCTTTAAGTGATTTTCTTCGACGATGAAATGTTGTAGTTAACTGCGCCAAGCTTGACGTTCTATTAGATAATGATCAATACTGACCATAGTCCATAGCTTCATTGACGTCACACGCCCCAAATACTGTAGTCATGTTAAGAGGGGAAATAAAGAAGTCGTGGGCATCCTCCTACAAAAACCAGAACCGGAAATCCCATTTCTTGCACCTTCTGACGCACTTAATTACATTGCAACTTTGGTATTATACACCTTCTGTCTATGGTTCTTACGATAATGAATGGAAGAAACGGATTGTTAGCATTCGGTTTAGCTTCTCACTCATGCCTGAGGCAAAATTTAAAAACTTGTGAGTTGCGTGAGGATCGAACTATGACCATCGACGATATTGACGTCAGCATGTGTGACAAACATGACGTAAAGCAATTGACGACAAATACCATTGTGACGCGAATTTATGATTTAAAATTTGAGACTTCTTGATATTCCGCGCTGGTGGCATGCTCAAATACAGAGCGCTCTTCGCCTCGTGTGCGGCGAGGATGTAATTAGAAATTGCCTTTACGCATGTGCGCATATTAGCTCAGTTCTGTCGTACTTGGAGATTCATTTGGTTTTTCTCATGCAGGTTTGATTACTGACAGTAGGCCTAAACCTCATCCCAAATGCTAGTCATGTGTTGGTCTTCATTTGCAAACAAACAAGGAATAAGGAATCCTTAATATAAATACGTTCTAATTTTCTATTGTCTATATCGATATGATGCGGCTCATAATCTTGAACGAAAAACTGAACAGAATTATAGCGACTTGCGGGCACTTACAATCATTTTTTTTAATTTAAAAATAAATATAGCTACATGTACATACAGTAGCGTAGCCAGCCTGCCGATTTTTTCATTTTTCCCGCTATGCTAATATTTTGGTGTCCAGTGACTGTGAAAACAATAGATTTCTAAAGACATGAATAATAATAATACCTCGAAATTTACATAGCGGGACAAAAATCGTCAGGCTGGCTACGCCACTGTGTACATATGTAATATATGTTTTTTTGACAGTCAAAGATAACTCAGAACGACCATCAATCACAAACAATGTCTAAGCGGTCGGTAATTTATATACAGCTAATCACGTCACGGTTTACAGTTGAAGTATATCAACGCTATATTGTATCTCTTATATACAATAATTATACGTACAGTAAATTCAAAATGCGTGCATGCCCAGATCCACTATGACGGCGTGGTGGTTCATATTCAATGGTTAATTGTACTAGTATATGCTTGATAACCATATGTATATATTTGAAAAAGTGTTTTGTATAAAGGTGCGCAGACGATTCTTTTTATCGTAATCTCAGATCAAAAATCGCCACTCGACGCAGCTGCGTGCATGCATGATCAGTAAATAACACAAAAGCTTCAAGTTATATATTTCATGCATATCTTGATTTATCGATGAATGATCAACTGCTAGAAATCATGATACACGTTCAGGTTCAATGACAGAATTTTATCCATCGTTTTCTTTTGATCTGCTCTGGGCAAGGAAGTTAGTTAAAGAAATTTTAAAAAAAGTTCTCGGTTAGCATTAAATGAATATTTCATAAGAAAAAAAATATTCATTTTGTCATTGACATTGTAAATTCTGCTGCCACAAAACATGCGATATTCTGCATTGAAAGGAATAATGTATCATTCATTATTAGAGAGAGAGAGTAGTTTGTATATTTTCTTGTCTTTTGTTCTTAAATCTCCTTTCGTTTTGTTGAATTCGTTGTTTTTCATATTAATCACACTCTGCAAAGACGATTGTACTAATTTCAAGACGATTTTCTTGCGGTTTCATCGTAAAAACAGTTCAATCAATACACATCACGAATGTAAACTTGAAGTATTGGCAGGCAGCTATAGTTTGAATATAGTAGGGTTTTATGATGCCAAGCAACGCCAAAGTTCTGTTTTCAGTATGTAATATAGACAATATTGTTAATCAAGTACGTTCAGACTCAAATATAACGATATTCAATTACAGTTGCAACACTCAGCCATCAGCGGTTGCCATATAGAATAAATAATGTAATAAATAGTTTATCCCCGCCAATAATCTTTATATGTCTCTTGAAAGCGTTTTAAGGCCCACTGTATATATATTCATGAGGATAAAAATTAGAAAAAAAATTAAACTGGATTATGGAGTGAATTTGAAAAGATCACATGCAAGTTCGGCAGTCATCTAACTCAGCTAAACGGTTTTGATTGCTGCTGGTTCGAAATAAAATTATTAAAATACAGTAGAAACAGCTGGCCTTTCACGACAGTGCTTTATAAATAAGACATTATTTTGGGAACAATAAATATCAGGCATATTATATTGACATAATAATACATATGGATTGCTGACTAAACCGTGTGGACACCTAGGCAATATATTCTAGTTTAATACTTCAAGAAACGGCGAACATCAGGCTTTTGTTTTCTATGGAGGTACGTCACTTTACTTTATTCTGTAATATGCCATGTTGAATTGTTGACCATGTGTAGATTATGTCATGTATCTATCTCTAAACATCTGCTTAACTCCCGAATTTCGTATTGAGTCGATCAGAGCAAAAGAATACATGTTAAACGAATTGAAAATATAGCACTGTACACGATGATTTCAAGTCAACAGGCATAGCTTATCTCTGCTCTGCCAGACTGTCATAATTATTTGAAAAACTATTTTATTTGTTGTAGAAAGTCTGCTAGATTTTATTCCTTGATGATTTGCATACGTTAAGCGTGCGTTTTACTCTTAACGGCTATATATAGGAAATATATTTTTCATGCCGACACAGGTTCTAAAAATTTTCATTTTTTTGAAAGAATTTCATCGTTGATTTGCACGTCCAACGTGCTTCACAAGTATTCTCATGATACCGCTTTTATTTCCTATACGAGACTGCATGCATGGAAAATACGAACGGAAATATATTATAACAACTTTTATGTAAAGGAGTCGCCGACACAAGTATAATTCCCTAAAATTAATTAAAGAATATAGAAAAGAAATCGTCTCGCAAGCTTTCGTTTCACAACATTTGCTTCTACTTGTCGATATATATTGACTATTGTAGTTGTACGCAACCAGATCAAAATTAAACAATAAATCTACACTGTCGCTTATTAAACAAATTTAAATATTTTCAAAGTAAGAAGCGTCAGTCACAACATTTCAAGTACGCGTCCTGATCTGAATGAATGTTTGGTCTTTGCATGTAAATGAAAAACTATATTTAAGCACAAGGCCGCAAACAGCCCGAGGTCAGAGGAATCATCAGTATATACTGATATAATACCGCATAACGGCATCAAAGTATACCGAGAATGAAAATGATTAGTGCATGATCGGTTACACGATTGTTCTGTGGGAGTCTACAAAGTAAATAGCAGTATAGTACATTACATGTATGCAGTGGGAGTCCACAGCAGTACAGTAAATAGCCAGTCCTCGTAGCCTATTGGGACGGCAATATAGGCCCGAAAAGGTAAAGCATCGTTTCCCTAAAATTGGTTTTGTGACTGTTTGATTGTATTTGTCAATTAGTTATATATATTTACCTTGCATGCAATAGTCACTGATATCATATGCTTTTACTTTTTAAGGACAAGCTCACAGAGGAGCAAGTGGAAGGTATTCAGTTACTCCCTAGGTTAACGTCTCCCGAGACTCCCCTCATCTAAGCGCTCGAGTTCAAAATTTGCTGAAATCAAAAATATTTAAACATATCAATTAGGACGTATTCTATTAGTTGAAAAGTTGCCCGTGTTTCAATTTCCGGGAACTTGCTTATAATGTTTGTGCACAGCTTTTGATTAGAGAGCTTGCATTTTTGACGCGTGGGCCTCCAAATGCGTTGCCATATCATATGCCAGTTCTGATTAGCTCTAAAACAGCACATTTTGCATTTATCAACACTGACACGTGGCGAGTTCTAATCACATCGCACTTCGACGAGCTGCCAGAAACGAGAATGTTCTCAGATACAACATTGATTCATGCGAGGTTTCATCGCCAAAGCTATAAAAACGTGAACGATGGAAATGCATGCACAGAGTAGAACTTGGTTTTCTGCGATATTCGGTATGCACTAGAGCTTAATGAGACTTACAGAACTTTATACTTCGTAGAATATCGTGATGCATTTCGATTTTTTGACAAAGATGAAAGTGGATATATTACAACAAAAGAACTTGGTTCGATCATGCGCAGTCTTGGTCAAAATCCCACGGAAGTTGAACTACAAGATATTATGAACACAGTTGATTTTGACGGTAAAAAAGACAAAGATATCTCATGAAAGAATCGTTTAAACATTCCTATTTTGCATCACACCATTATTACTCTGAGCACCATGCAATCTCGTTAGATCCATCCTCAAAAAATGCGTGGTACGTGATACTATTTTAAGCTATATTTATTGATTTTACAGGAAATGGCACAATTGATTTCAACGAATTTGTGAACATGATGATAAACATCAATAACAATACTTTGGATGAAGGAGAACTAGTTGAGGCATTTAGAACATTTGATAATGACGACAAAGGATATATATTTTCTTCAGAATTACGTTCTGTATTACGCTATATTGGAGACAATATCCCAGATGAAGAAATTAATGATATAGTTAAAGATGCAAGACATGGCTATAATAGAAAAATCCTATTTGAAGGTATTTTACTGACCATTCCCTGTCAACAAATAGTATAAGGAAGATATACTATAAGGTACCAGGTTTTATGAACCAAAGCTGCTTTTTATAGATTTTACTTTCTATATTTTTACTTTAGACGTTAAAAAACTCACTCTATATTAATTTTTAGAATTTAAGCAAATGGTTAAACCGTGACCACAGCAGTTTGGAAATCCATTCAGTTATCGTGCACTTGTATTCAAGATTGAGATTGGAAATACTGGAAATTCAATAGCTTTTTATTCCACTGAAAATGACGCGGAAGCACGTTTTATCATATCTAGCTTTGTTTCAGTAGAATATTTAACTGAGAGCAAGGAACTGCATGTCCGCCATCTTTGATTAGTTTTTAGCAGTTTATGAAATTCCTTGTAGCTCTCAGGGGTCAGTTGTATAAAAGACTATACAATAGTTAACTTTTAACTGTAGTTAAGGGCAGAACTAATTGGCCAATCAGAGTCGTGTATTTCGGAGTTAACTACGCTTTAACTATGCAAAATATAGTTAAAGAGTTTTATACAACCGGCCCCAGATTGATTTATTTCAAGCGTAAATTCAAGCATAGTTGCCTATATATATGTATAGTAGATAAAGTATTTTTGTCATATTAATCCTTTATGTATAATGCCTTTAACCCATCACAAGTGACATACATGCACTGACCCGCATCAATTCAAGATAGTGGAAATCTTAATGATTGTTTTCAGACAATATGGTATACAGGGCGTCCCAAAGAAAGTCCCCTCTATTGAAATCAAACCTTTATTAGAATCTGATTGCCTTGTGATAAACCCATGCAATTGAAAACAAGACGCTTTACTTGAATGCCTCAACCTAATAACAATGCTATTTACACAATACTGCGTTGATCATGCATTCGAATTCCAACAAAAGCTTCATTTCAATAGGGAAGATAAAAGAATGATACGACAACTCTGAAGAAGAACATGTTTCTTTCCATAGAAGTCATTCTCGCAGTAAGACCAACTCAATCTCAGTTTGGCCACATCCTAGAGGCGTAGCCAGTAGGCTGCCCATTGTATTGAAATTCTAAGCCCTATGCACCTCAGCAAAAATTAGGCAGCGTATGCGTATCCTACAAGTGTACATGCAGGTCCCTTCTTAACAAAAATTTTGACTCCGCACGTGATCCTCTCGGCGCATTAATGTAGTTGGATATTAGAAAGTTTCACCGCGCATTTGAGAGATAAAGATAGCATCTCAATTACTTCTCCTGTTAATTTAAAATTTACTCAACATGTGCGGCCGCCTGCTGCTTGGTATTACACGAATGCAACCGTATTTTAGAATAACAACTATTACAATATATTGTTTACAAATATAACACCTATGCATGCGAACAAATATGTTATGATATATACTAAATACTCAACAGTCAACACATTATAAACCGTCAACTTACAACTCTTCATTGTTAGCTATTAATAATCAGTTTTCAAAAGATAATTCAATGACGCCTATTAAATCATAACACACTTTCTATTCTTAATCCCTGAACACAACATGACGAAACATATTTTCCAAAAGCAGAATAAAAACCCTAACAAAACATTAAATCTAAAGTCACACGTATCCCAGTTCGCCTGTGGGTTCAAGCACAAGTAATTCTTCCTTTGCACCTTCTTTCGCTGAATCCCTGTCAACTGACGGCATCTCCCAATAACTTTCATCATCAAACATTTGTACTGGCCGTGGTGGATAAAATATTTTCTGCCTGACAATGAATCCAGTAATCAAACCAGAAGCAGTGGCTATACCAAGAGTGACCGCAACAGCTGCCAACTGATACAGCGATTGCTTGGCCGCTGTACGATGACTTCGGGCCTCAAATACGGTGTTTAAGCTATCGTTGTAGGTATCTCTCGATGCTAATCTTGCGCAGATAATTCCTGCAACCCCAGCTAACAGCGCAGGCATGCCATGTAAGTTGTTCACCCCACAGGTATCATGAATCTTCAAGGTGCCATTCAGGAATGGAGAAACATAGTTATAACCAAGAACACTGAGTATACCAGCCAATGTGCCTATGAGGAGGGCACCCCATGGTTGAACGACCATGTTAGCTACAGTACCAATTGCAACACCTCCAGCTATTGTAGCATTTTGTACATGAACCATGCTCAACTTTCTTTTTTTGTTGACCAAAGGTGAAAATGCAAAAGTAGTGACACAGCAGGCGACAAGGGACAAATACGTATTGATCACAGTTCGTTGTTGATCGTTAACGTTGGGTGCCAAAGCGCTGTTGAAACTTGGCCAATACATCCAGAGAAAGAGTGTTCCAATTGTTGCAAATATATCTGAATGATAGACCGAGGCTTCCTTAGGATTATTGTCAACATTGTTGCTCCTTAACATGAAGCTGACAGCCAGACCAAAGTAACATCCAAATGCATGTATTATCAACGAACCACCAATGTCTGCAATCTTTAGTTTTTCTTCAAGAACGAAAGCGTTTACGGAGTACATCAGGATCTCGAGAATACAAATAATGAAGAGCTGGAAACGACTAACTTTACCGAGGACGACACCAAACGTTATTAAAACCGCAGCAGCCGAGAAATCTGCCCCAATAAGCTTGGAAATATTAAGATCGATTGTAAATCCTGTCGTTCCACCATGTTCAATACAACCTGCTATGATTATATACCACTGTATCGCCAGAGCTGAGAGAAAGAAGTTATAACCAATTGCGCCATATCCATATTTCTTTAGAAATGTCATAAGAAAACCAAAGCCAACAAATATCATAACATGAACATCCTGAAATACTGGATAGCGGTCTATGTTAGATATAGATACACCTTTAATATCTTTTTCTGCCTGATTCGTGTCATATCTAACTAATACTCCGAATAAAATAACGAGAAGAACTTGGAAAGAGAGAGTCAGCAGAGAAACCTTCATTTTGCTAAGCCAGTTGTTTGGATATGCACCAGAGAACAGACAGTCTTAACAAAATAAGATTAGCATTATCACAAAAAGATGCAAATTGAGTTATAATTGCAGAAATTTTTTTAACCTGACATGCAACAAGGTTCTTCATTTTAACCATACTTACCAGATTGAGTTCGGTCACGATATCAAATTCAATACTTCCCAAACACATTCAAAAGTGAATTTGTTTAAGGGAAGAAAATACAAAATTCCTAATGGGAAAAATGTGAGAACGGACGCAGACCTGGTCGGGAAACGTCGGTAATTTCGTGCTGTTTCTAAACCGGAATCCCTTTACTCGACATGACAGCTCAAACGGAACAACAGAACGTTCTACATCACAAAGAAAATTCTTCTCACAGAATGCTGGATAACAAAACATGGCCTGTCGGAAAGCGTACACGAACATCGCCGGTGAGTTACGACATAACTGGCATGACTTCAAGGAACAAATAGAAAATGGAACCAGATCATTATTATGTCTTTCTTCTTTCATCTCAAAAACATGATTTCTGTTTTATTGTGATCACGAGGGTGGTAGGTCACGCGTGACGATCAAAATATCGTATCAAGGAATTTTAAAAAATAAGGAATTAAAAAAAACAATCTGCATAGCATAGTCTATAGTCTATACCTTATTTATTTATTATTATTAAAAACAACATTATTTTTGCACATTCAACCTATATATAGAGTTATACAAGTTTATCAATAATTACACATTACAGACTGTCCTCCCGTCAAGATAAAACAAAATATTTTTAAATGCCGATATATACATGACACATGTAAAATACATATAAAATGGGATATAAATGTTCTGAAGACTTCAAATATCTGCATGTCATAGTATTATACAATGATTTTAATTGTATTTTCAAAAACTTCCGCAAGAGACTGCTTTTACGAAGCCCGTTACATTTAAACGGCAAAATATTAAAATTTAGATAACCTCTCGCGTACACAAGTTAAACGTAAATATTTTGGATTAAATAATAATAAACACGTAGCTAGTTTATACATGTATAAAAACTCCATCCTTGTATGACTTGATGGTATACGAATTTTATTTTATTTTATGCTTAATAACAGCTTAAACGGATTTCATAAAACCAGCCCCTACATATATAGGATGAATGCAATCAGAAAACAGCGCGAAATATTTTGACATTTTATGAACCAAGACATGTTTCCAAAACATAGCTTGAACTGAAGCACTCTTATGTATAGCCATATATGTAGTCTGGCACAGATCTTTTCTAGCCATATATGTAGTCTGGCACAGATTTATAGAGTTGTTTAATTGAACAAAAGAAAAAGGAAACTGCACTGAAAGTCTATGAACACTGAAAAACAGTCGCGACATCTTAATTCATTAAAATTTATATGATAAATGTCTATGACTATGGTACATAAAACACAATAAATGACGTGCTCTAGGAGGTATATAGTCACCATTATACAACGGGGAAATACAACGTGGTCTAGCAAACACCTTTTCAACATGATAATTTATTGATATACATACGAACTAACTTCACTTTCCTTTTCTTTCAGCCATTATTTCCTCAAGCTGATCGCGATACATGCGATATTTCGTCAATACCTAAAACATACACATTTTAAAGCATACAAAAACTAAAAGAAGTATTGTAGAAGCTACGAGAGAGCAGTTCACACTTTTAACATGTACAGTCTTGAGGAAACAAGAAAGGGACGTACAGTATATTTATACTCACCCGTTTAACATATTCTTTTTCCTCCATTTCTAAGATCTTAATAAAGTTTTGTAGTTCAGGTATGGAGAAGGCCTCCCACTGAAAAACATATAAATAACAATTTTACAATACTAATAGGTAGAAGTAAAACTTACTCTTACATATGTAATTGCATCTAGGACAACACTAGTAGGTAGACATCAGAATTTCATAGCCATAAACTATATTATTATAAAATTAACCACCACTTAACATACCATGATATCCCCAGTTTCATTTTCTTGTAAACAGAATGAGTGACTTCTGTCAGAGCCTCCCCAAATTAAACGTAACACCAACGGTCTTTCTTCATCAGAAATCCTGCGCAATATCACTGTAGGAAAACAAGTCAAATAGCTCATTTCGCTGCTCACAACCAGGTATAGTATAGTGCATGTGGCTAACATATGGGTGTGTTGGAGAGGAGAAGGCTTTAGGGTCAAGCTTGTAGCTACCATTAAGAGCAACATTCTTAGCTACAGTATATAGTAGAATAAGATATCATATTTATAAGAGTACAGTACAAAGCTAAGACCTTACCATTATCATCATCTTGGTATCTTTCATAAAGGGCAAATTTCCTGGGATGATCAGAAATCTTGTATTTCTTCAGAAGAGCAACAATTACCTTGAAGTTTAATAATGAGGATTATAATGATTGAATCAACACTGTACTATACAAAACCATAGTGTACAATAAGCAATTAACTTACCTGTTGAGCTGTTGTATCACTAGTAATGTGCAAGGCCTTCATAGTGTTCGGAGGAAGGAAAAATGATGTTTTTGTTCGCTAGAGTGATATGATTTTCAAATTAAATACACATTGATTAAAATAATTTTATCTAATATTTATGTTGCTTTACTGCACCATGCGAAACATAAATCATATGTCATATCATTGTTGTACACGTGTATACGTAAGAAAACAAAATGTGCTGTAAAAAGCACTAATTTGAAACTTCTGGAAAATGATTACACTACAATAGAGTTGACTTAAGAGTTGACTAAAGTCTTATGGCACCTTTGATGATGAAGTAGAAGACCCTTCTCTCCTCCAAGATACAGTTTCAAAAATTGACAGTGGTCTTTCACCAGCGACAATATTGATTGGACGTAAAAGATTCATAGCAACACGTATAAAACCTTGGAAAATGACATCGTTTGTTGAGTTGTAGCTCTAAGTAAAAAACAATGTAATATAAATCCTTCTGTTTGAAATCACAGTTATAAGGTTCTGCACAGTCTGCTGCTTATGTATATGCAGATCAACCAGAATGTCAAATACATACCAGTGTCATAATCAGGCCAAGACTTGTCTTGTTAAATTCCTCAATCATTGCTAGTAAACCACTAGGTGATAAATCACTAGGTAATACAGCAGGGGCATTTTTCTTCACATTCCCCTAGAAATATCAATAGGTTTTTAACAGAAGAAGTATAGAAAACAGAAAGGGTTTAATTAATGAATACATATGCATTTCACAGTTTCTACCTGACTTAGTATTTCAAGGGTCTTCAATGTAATCTCCTCTCTGCTCATCTCTTTTGCATCATGAATGAGACCTCCGTCACACTCTAATAATACCTCATCTTTGCACCGTAAATGGCAAGTGTATTTACATCCTGAAAAAAATGGTATGTAAGTCCACAAATAAGTCTTAGTGTTTAGAAGGAATAGAGACAGGGGCACCTCTTATGCTGTATTACTATTTAACTCATTAATTTGGCTGCTATAGTAAAAATCTGACATGACACTGGAAGAGGAAGTAATTACCTAGCAGGAGGTCAGTAAAAGTATGTTATTACTATAATAGTAAATTCATTAACCATAATATTCTCTTCTTGAAACTATACCTAACACACACAGTAGGGATAGAAGAGAGTTGGGAGAAATAGGTACCTGATATAACTACCATAATAATAGGTTGGGTTATGACTTTACACTGTATAATAATTGACCCAATAATCACAATATTCTCTCTTTAAAAACACAGTAAAATAATCTTGGGGGGGAGGATAAGTTAGTACATCTCATAAGTTAGACTTGGAAATTGGAATGTATAAACGCTGTTTTATTACGATATTAAATACAGGAAGTACAAACATGTGTATATAATGTGTTAATATATAATTTCATTAATTAATTATATCTACAATTGGTATGTACAGCTGAGTGCTGTATATTGAGAAGTAAAATACTTATTACTACTTATACTCAGTAAAATATCACAAATAAGGGATAAAAAAAAAGAATTTCGCGAATTTGTGGCATAGTCGATCAATATTAACGGCACAATATTAAAACACTTGTATTTTCTAAACAGCGTACATACTATACTTACTTTGACAACGAACACCTCTCTTTACAAAACCCCACATCGTTTCACCACATAAATCACACCATGTTATATAATGATCGGTATGTGCTACAAACACATGACCACCGCCTTCAAGCCGTTTATGTGCATCTTTGACTCTCTTCACATCATGCAAGTCAAATTCGCCACTATCATTCTCAGCGATGCTTCGTTTACTCGCTAATTTTCTTCTCTGCTTGTTCGCCCGCCAGTTACCAATGTTTGATAGGAAATCTTTGATGACATTAAAAGATTGTTTTGATGCATGATCGCCAGAAATATTTTCTGGAACAGAACGAGATCGATATAAAGCCGCGGTGTTATAAACCTCTCCTGCTTTCAAAGTCGCCATTTTCATATCCTCTTCCATCTCGCAAGCATGTCCATATACAAAGACCCTTTACTTTATATCCGCTTACGAATTTCCTCTATTAATGCGAGCTTGTCTTAAATATAGAAAACAAGCGTGACAAATGCGTTATCTCTATTTATCTGTTTCTTTTCTACAGCAAATATTCTTTTCTTGAAACCTTGGAATGCAAACATTCATAATTTTCAATGTTTACGTATAAGTTGATAACGAGGCTTTCTATATTAGCCACTTGATGTCACCGCCTCAGCTCCTCCCCCAGCCACTGGGTGCTGGGACGCATATTATTCATATATTGTTCATGTTTGTTATATTATGTTCGTTAATTGTCATATGAAGAGCAGTCCTATAATAGCAAATTCAATAGTGGTGTTACCTACAATAACATCTACATTGTCATCATGTGTTCTCCTGTCTGTAACGTACAAACCGATTTGATGGGGACGAAAAATGTGTAAGTAAATGAGAAAAGCAGAACAGCGCCCATAGGGAAAGCCTTTCAAAATTCTTTTGCAGGGCCTTTGCAAGACTCTGACTTCGTGCACGTTAATACAATTGCAAACATCTTTTAGCGTCTACAATGAGATGGTCTGATGGTGCTATTGAAAACTTAAAAGCAATACTCGCTGACAATAGATCCGAAAACTGTTTTTGCACGTCATACGTGTTTTCTGATTTTTATAAAAATATTACATTACAGTTTACAATACGAACATCCTTGTCTGGCTTTATCCTTTATCTACTACATTACTAGAGTTAAATATACATGAAGAATACAGGTGTATCTTTGCAATTCTCTATACTTTTTGCAAGCTACTTTTAATAATTGTTCATTTAATTATGCATTTGATTTCTATTTATTTAGCTGCATGGTATCTTCATACAATGCAAATGCTCATTATTGGGTACTGCGGTTCCAGGCATCAAATTTAATCATGAAATATATGAAATACTCGATCAACGATGTTTATGTATAAAGTACACATTGTACAAAATCTGCCTGTCATGAAACGGCGAAACCATTTGGTTTAACCATTACGAACTGGTCATCTCAATTCCAGAACCATGTTCTAAAACGTAAAACAGCAGAATTAGCATATAGCACGCAACGCACGCACGTATGCACAAGTCTAATCGACATTCGTCGTGCCTGTATAAACCTATCAGCGACGTCCGTTGTGAAAAACTAGATTTGATACTCAAATGAATAATTTACAGTTTTTCAAAAGTGACTCAAATAATAGATCTAGCGAGACAGGAAGGAATGGTATAAATAGGACTTTACTTTATATCATGCATGGATTGCCATGCATCAACATTTAATAGTTTATTCTCACCATACCTTCAGTTGTGGCATCCGTCGACTCCATATTCTCTATCTGAGGTGAAGAATTTTCTGGATCTTCTTTATTATCAACACTCGTTCTCCTTCGTTTCTTCAAAGGAAATCCTTGACGTATCTCACTAAGAAGTTTATCAACAATACATTCGTCTTCTTGAAATTTTAATGTACTTCTTACATCATCTTTACGTTTTTTCTTGTTGTTCTTTTCGCTCTCTGCTTTTGCCCGTTTTGCCTCTTGTGCTCGTCGTTTCTCATTATCCTTCAGATGATTAAAAAAATCTTGATCATGCACGATTATTTCGTATTAGCTATTTACTATACCATTGCTTCATTCTCGCGCTACAAACACCTGCATGCATCGCATGGGTGTATAAAAAACCATGCTCGGGAACTAGAATTTGCTAACTTACCTCTACTGCTTTAGTTAAATTTAGACAAAACGTCTTGAAAGTATTTAAGATATCATCAAGTTTTAGCTTGTTTTCATCTTCACAGAGATAATGCGTTAATTCTTTTGTAAGTTTATGAACAGATTTTATTTGTCCTTGAATTTCTTCAATTTCCTTTGCACATTCCTCGGAAACAAAAAGAATTAAATGTCGGTAAACATGGCTGGGGACCTGGGGTATTAATACCGCATGCATGATAAACTCGAGATGATGTCCTCACTACATTATATTTCGCGCGTAAACTGACATGTCTCACATGCGTGCACTACTTGAGCTACTGCAATGCATCTGGTTTACATGCATCTGGTTTACATGCATCTGGTTTACATGCATCTGGTTTACATGCATGTGAATTTTCATTTGAAATAATACCTTCAAGAAGGTGTTCATCAGGTTCTTGAGGTCGCCGTCGGCTTTTTTCACATTTTTGCGAATATTATTGATTTTTTCGTTCCATTCCCGAACATCAGCAGATAAAGAATCGATAGATACTCTAATAAAAAATAAACTGGGGGTAAAAAACATGCATGTCGTAAAACCTCTGTCATGCATGTGAGGGTGACACTATCAGATGAAATTGATAGCTTTGTCAGAAGCAAATAAATACAACGAATTTATGATAGCATTGTTGTGATACCATTCTGGTTGTTAAAAAATAAAAACTACGTACTTTGAAGCCATATCTAAATGCGTCATTGCTGCTGGGAAGGAAAGGATTTGGGCACGTTTCGCTTCTGCCACCTGGAAATATAATACACATGAAAATATATCAGGCAGAAAAATATGTTCATACGAAGCAATATTCTTTTACCCAGAGAGGTTTTTCGCCAGCAGACGTAACAGGGAAGGTTGGTCCAGGAGGACAATCATCAAATATTACATCATTCGTGTCACTGATCTGACCATGATCTGACTCAGATACTCCTTATTAAATTCATATAATTAATCAATGCCCAAAAAGCTGATCTTCACCAACTTACCTCAACTAAAAAGTGCATGAGATTCATTCTTGGTTTATTTGCTTTAGTGTCTGTAAGCTTCAACAACGAAGTGATCTTGAACGCTATTGCATTTCCAGCATGCCCGTCCTGAGATAGTATATAAAAAGTTTACGATCATTTAAGGTGGTGCACATGCAGTCCGTAATGTATAAACAAACGCTTTGTTTGCAATTTAAATTGTTATATCTCTAAACTATGACGAATTTAGAATATTTAACACCATCTTCATTCGCAATGCAAATCATTCCTCTCACATAATCATGACTTACTCCATTTAAAAAGTTTCCTATCGTCAATATAAGTTGTAGCACTTCAGGTAGAACTTCGCTTTCCAAAATATCTAAATGCCATGAAATATATTTAAACCAAGTGCTAGTTAGTCATCGTTTGACTGTACACCAGGAGTCATCGGGTAAAAACTTCAGTTAGAATTGTAGTAAGTTAAATATGGCATTGAGGGTTTGCCAGTCTAATAATTGCCTAATGACATAGCTATATGTATAATATCCCAGTTCAAATGCAGAACAATGATACAAAAAATCACATAAGTATACCTGATGTAGCTTTTACTAATGCATTGAGACCAGGTTTAATAATTTGCATTGCCTCAGCGAACTCATTCTTCAGTAACATACTATTAATACGAGTCTGGTAGAATGGAACTGATATTAATCCAAAAAGGAACCTTTCTGCTGATCCTAACTTCTCTTTATCATCATTAAAATCTTTCAATGTTTGAACCTGTATCAAATAACAAACGGTTTAAAAGTGGGCAATACTCTTCCTTGTGCAAAACATTGACGACAGAAGATCACGTAAACAGCAAAATGTATTAAATTAAACACAACGGGTTGAAGTCGATTTCATTACTTACGATTGTTTTGTCTGGAACAAACTTCAACAAGCTTTTGAGGTCTTCCACATCAAATTTTTCAACGTCACATTGTCTAATAGCTTGCACTATTGTGCCAATAGGCCTGGAATACATTTATGCTTTCATTAGCAACCACCCTCTGATAGTGAAGAAATTCTACAGAAATAGGACACTCACATTTTAAAATGCCTCAGAAAAATATTAATATTCAAACTCTGTTTTGAGTCTAGGAATGTGATCTAAAAAAGATATACGGTAAGATATAATTCATTGAAATATAAAATGAAGTACAAGTATTTTTTCAGTGAAACAAAAGCTATTTGGTTTTCTTCTTCTACATTTTCACCTCAGTCTTTGCTTTCTTGTTTTCAGCTTTCGCTTTCTTTTCCACTTGTTTTTGCTTAAATAGTTCCTCCTCAAGTTGAAAATCCGCCTGTAATGGCGGGAAATTCCAAACACTAACCCACACACAGTCTTTATTTTTCGATACAATAGTTGGAGGTATTTTAACCCACTGAAATTTTCTCATTTTGGATTTAGCTTTAATTAAGGGAATAACTGAAGTATATGGGGACACGGGTGTCGCTGGACTTTGTCCTAAAGGAGTGCTAACCGATGGTGAAAGAAAAAATCGTGGTATTGGAGTGCAAATACATGGTCCCGACGATCCAGGCAATGGTGGAGGGGGAGGTGGCCCAGTTGATCCAGGTAAAGGGGGAGGGGGTGGAATTGCTGATCCAGGGAATGGTGGAGGAGGGGGTGGACCAGCAGATCCTGGCAAAGGGGGAGGAGGAGGAATCACTGATCCCAGAAAGGGAGGAGGAGGTGGTACAGGAGGACCTGCAGATCCAGGCAAAGGTGGTGGAGGCGGGACCGTTGGTGGTACAGAGCCTGGAAAGGGTGATGGAGGGATGCCTGAGCCAGGTAACGCAGGAGGAGGAGGGGGGAATGGTGGGGCAGGAGTTCCAGGAAATGGAGAAAGGAAAGAACTCGATCCTCCCACAGGTGGTGGTGGAGGAGGAGGCGGAGGAACAGTTGATGATGATGCTCCAGGTGCTGGAGTGTTCAATCCCGTTCCTGGAGGTGGCATGGGTGGGAGTGGAGTTGACGATATTGTTGTAGTGGATGCCTCCATATTCTCTACCTTTGACTGTTTTGAAATCATTGATTTGAGCATTTCTAGTTCAGAATTTAACAAAAAGCCTCCTTGTTCCTGTCTTTTCATGTTGGAACATCGCTTGATAAACTTTTCAATTGTTTCCCAAACCACATCAACCAAGTTATCTTCTTCAGTTAGTGCCAAAAGACTTTGTAAAATGTGCAAAAAGTTCGTCGCGTAAGGTTTGTTGCTGATCTAAAGAATAAGAAATTCAGTAAATTGTCACATGTTCTGAACGAGGCAACAGCTTGCTCGTTGTCGTTTTTGAACACTGCATTTTTCACAAATCTAAATTGCGTATTTGGTATATATAGTTTTGTTGCGCAGCATCTGAATCGGTGCGTTGCAAGTTCTCAATTCTTGCCATACCTGCTTTCTGTTTAAAAAAATATATAAACCATTGAAATTTCATTTCCATGCAACATTGCAAATGTTTAGTGAAATTTCCGTCAGATCGGGCATCGAAGTGAACTCTAAAACCCCAAAATTACAAAATGGAAATCATGGGACTTGGGCAAGCTGTACCTGTTTCAACAAAGCATGGAAGATATCCACGTGACTGTTTAGATCAACGCCCTCTGGTGTGGTATAGTCATCTTCATCCTTCAGACGTTCATCTTCAAATACATCCAGCTGAATTCTTAATTCGTTGTCATCAGTATGTCTTAAGTATAAATCATCATAAATCAACGCTTTTATACCTAAGGTGGACAATTTACTAAATATCCATTGGCGGTGACCAATAAAGTAAATATCTTCCCACTGACATTTTATGGGTCAATTACGGCTGACTAAAGAGCAGGCATTAGTCCATGATAGAATATAACAACTATATAACTATATCACTTACCGAATTTCACCTAATATATCCAGAAGCTGAAGACCTAAAAAGAGATTAAGATATTCCATGAGACACTAATCGTATTATGATAACTAACTAATCAGCAAAACGGAACTCACCAATAAATTCATTTCTTATCCGAACTCTCTCGTCAAATTGATCACTAGCGATAATAATTGAGTTGACAAATGCAAGACAAGTGGCTTTATACGAACTACTTTCTGCATTCTTTAACTCGTTCACGATGACACTAAAGCGATAACGTTGACCTTTTGTTGACTGTAACGAAAAACAAAGATAGATCAATATCTATACTCCTTATATCACGGTTTGTACTCAATGTTTTGTACATAAATGAGAGAGCCATATATATTATATATATACCAACCAACTGGAGTGAGATCTCCAGCTTGTTCACTGAAATATTGCGTATTTCGAGTTTGTCATGATGTCATATCAGACGAACATTTTTTCATACGACCGCCGGGACATTGAACGAAAAAGGCGCAGTCACATGATTACAAAGTATTTCATACCCCAGCTTGTATGATGTGTGGTATAATTACCTTATAGTGCGACAGAGCATCAACGGCCATCTTGTATCCCATTTCAGAATAAACACAAAGAGCAGAAAGAAGTTCAAATACTTGTTTCTTCAGCATCACATTATCTGTATCCAAAGCTAAAGAATCGACAAAAATAAAGTTCACAGTAAATGGGAAGATTTCAGTTCTAACAACTGTATAGTACCTTGAGAGCCATCGTTTGTAAATAAGTTCGAAAAATAATTAAAGTATATAGAATTTAGAGAAGGGCATGCAATTTGCACGTTAAATATATAGTCTGTAAAATGCTTATTTTTAATATTTCGTATAAAAATAATTTTGCCTAAAGCAATAGCCTTGTCTAAAGAACGAAAGTGTTCTGTAATCATATCACGCATTGAGTGTGGCAATAGCTAAAAAACAAGGAATCTTGTGGCTTTTATCCGGCATTTCGTAAATATTTGAGTAGGTTAAAAAAAATATGAAACAGACGTGATTACAATGGAACAGACGTGATTATATGCACCCTTTAATTAAGCTTCTAGCGACAGCCCTGCCAGGTAAGTTAACGATCTTAGCACATGCATGAACGCGATTTGTTTTTTTTAATAACAGTTTTTTATGGTAGGATATCAGGACAATACTAAAGATGTTACTTGTCATCAACTGTTTTCATAATTAATATGAATATATTGTTTAAACCTTGCATGAGGAGACGAGATAATTCCTTATTTTTTAAAATAAAATCCATGCCAGTTTTTGTATTCATAACACTTCGAATACAAAACATGCATTCAAGCTGCAAGAATGCATTTACAACACTGGAAATGTTTTGTCTTTTTCCAAGATTCTCAAGTGCCAAAAATAACGAGTCTAGTCCGCCATGATCTAGAAACGTTTGCACCCACACGGCAGAAGCTCCGCGAAGCGTCGTTCTCAAACCAAAATAATTTGACACACATGGCTTTTGTAAGGAACGGGCAAGGTACTTTGGATCCTTTCCACAATCGATGTTATATCCTCTGTTACGATTTGATTCAATTTCTTTAGTTTTATTGATAACAGCAGTCCATTTACTGCGATATACCGGATCACGGGAAAACATGGTAGCCACTTTTAATGTCTCACCAACTGCATGTTTATTATATTCGCTAGTTAGTAAGTTGTGACTTTATAAAATCACGTTTAGATGTGATGAAGGAATGAACTCAATTCATAGCCGTTCATGCATCAATTTGACCCACATTCAGTCACACACATGCACATGCATCATGTCCTTTATTCAAAAACGTTCGCAACATCTGTTTAAACTTACATCCTGTGGGCATATTATGCTTGTTATTTGAGCTGAAAATAGCATATTACTGTATCCATCATTTTTGAAACTAGTCGAGGCAGAAATAACAAATAAAACTTATTTCTTCACTTCACCAAGTGATGACAGACTGAAAAAAATTTCATGCAGGAGACAGTATATAGTAGTTCAAGCAGACTCTAAAATGACAATTAAAATCTGCAATATTTTTAATATAAAGTGATTGCTTTTACAGAAATAATTTCTGAATCAATAAGTTTTTCTAAAGTTTTCATCGAAAACAGCGGAAAAAATCAAGTGCAATCCATATGTAAACTAGACATGCATGCTCAGACGAACTACAGTATAAGATGAAGTTTTTCTGTTTGGCCGCGTTTGAATTTATCTTTTTTTCCAATGGCAATGTAAGTCCAGGTGAATGATCATCTCTGGTATAAAACAGAGCTAACTTCACACAGAGATCGCAGAACAGCCACATACAGACCAGGGGCGGATCTAGGATTTTTCAAACATAAGTCCAAATTATGAAATTTTGAGAAAATTTTTCAAATCGGCAGATCGGAATTTTGATTATTTCGGCTCATTTTAGGGTTCATCACAATGCCCAGGAAAGACATACTCGATTCCGCTTATTAACAGAGCTGGCGAGGGTCATATTTCAAAACACGCAACTTCGTACTCCCATATATTATCCCCTTATGATAGCAATAGTTGATTTAACACAAATTAAACAATATCCTCAAATAATAAAAACAGAAATATTTCCATTGCTTCGCGTAAGATGCATTAGGCGTACAAGAACTTTACAAAACCATGCTAATCATAACAAACATAATATGCTATAAATAGACGCGAATATTATAATATGCATCGCAAACTTGAGTATAATGCAAATTCTCAAACACTCTAGCGAGTGTTGAGTAAGTAGGCTTTATCCATTCTAGTGCATTTTACGACAGGATAAGTTTTATAACCATAATATTATGAGCATAGGAACTACTAGGAAGATTATGATATATAAACTATGTATTGATAATTGATCAGGTTACACAACAAAGCGGCATGAAATCAATAACTGTGAACGAACTTGTCACATGCATGGAACACTCCTAAATCACTATATTTTTAGGTATATTGCTATATTTGTTATATTATATCCATGTTAAACGTTTCTCTTACCAACACAGTCTTTCATGTTCAGCAGGGATATCGTGATTAACAAATTCCCTCGTCTATTGAAGTCTAACATCAACACAGTTGCTCGCATAAAATCGCTGCTCCACGATAAAGTTTATCAAGAGCCAGTTATCTTGAAAAGTCCTGCTTCGAATGTCCGCGTATCAAAATAATTTTCAACGATAAAGTTGTAATCGTTTGTATAACAGAATATTAGAAGTGGAGAGCCTGGCTTCGTTTAATAATAAATTTTGTAATGTTATCATTCTGAAGACAGAGCGATCGAACCCCGTTTAAAGTTCAAGTCAGTCCGGCCACCCCGCAAATCAGTCGAGATAAGTCCGGTAAATTCAAACTGACCAATCGCAATGCAAGAAATGGACTGATTTGGCCCCGTTAAGGTTCAAATCAGTCCGGCCACCCCACAAATCAGTCGAGATAAGTCCAAATGGCTTATCGACCAATCAAATGAGCCGGCTGACCCACCCGATTCTGCGAGTTTTTTGCGTTTTACCGCTGCTCTGAATAAAAGAATATTGCTTTTTTGAAACTGAACCCTTTAAACTGGACTATGACTTTAATTCTTATTACAATCATGAAGGGGTTAATTATTCATATTTCAAGATAAATTTGAATATTTAATTATCATTTTTACTGCCAAAAATACGTAAGTCGCGCGACTGACTGGACTTACCCTAGATCCGCCCCTGATACAGACTCTGGGAACGATTTTGCCAGGTTGTCTCACGTTTTGAATGCATGCAACAACTCTCGGGGGGCAGTCTTGGAAACACGCAGAAGTAAAAAATGTTCATTCTCGGCAGCTTCTTCCGCAGCATCGTTAAGGCTAGCTTCCACTCAGGAAAATTCTACTTTGGATCGGACAGGACAGGAAAGTTTCCTTTGTATAAACGCCGCCTGAGAACTCACCGACAAAGGAAATTTTCCTGTCCTCTCCGATCCAAAGGAGATTTTTCCTGAGTGAAAACTAGCCTTTATACGAGACAAAATTCCATGATTAAGTATTCTTGTACCGCACAGATACCCATGAGGTGCCGGTATTATGGAATGGGATGATAATGAATTATCAACTGGATAGCGTTTACTGGATGACAAACGTTAATTACATTCGCAGCCAGTGAACAATGTGGACAACCCCGGCCAGTTGATGCTGAGTTGCTTATGTCTTTATATACTGTGGCTGAAACATGTATTGACATGTTTGCAATAACTCCTTCTTGTAAGAGAGAGACGCAAAATACTTAATTCACGTTATAAATAAACTGTTGTGTACGAGTTTATACCTGTGCTTATGGCAATCCTAGTACTGCATCTTCTGAGTTTTTCACACCCATCAATTATATAAAAACTTTCCCCGAGCCACCAAAACCCTGTGCCGGCAATGACACGAAACTGTTATCTATAGACATACAGTATACCTAAGACCTGTATAAGGAATGCATGACCGTATGAGCTACTTATGTCTTGTACATAACCATAGATATTTTATTAATCTGTGGCTACGCATCCCCTGGAAGGCTAAAATGTTTAAGCAACAACAAACGTCTATATGTAAATATCAGAAATTGACAACAACAAAAAATAAACATAGAAATTAGGGTCAATATCTAACCGTTAAGTAAACTCGACAGAGTTCCTCGTTCACTGAGCACGTTATCCAGTTCAAATGAATGAATCATGGAAGTAAAACTAGAAATAAACTTTTCACTTCCATGGCTGTCAAGAATTGATTTAACTTTCCCTGAACCAAGAGTTTCTAATATAGACACAAGTATGCCCAAGCCACGCAGCCTGAGAAAATTTGTCTTCCATATTTGCGGACCCTCAGAGCAATATCGTGTATCTTTGGCAGAAGGAGCCAGCTTGACTGATTCTTAGATCAATTCTGATTATTTATAACACAAGTTAGTGAAGTTACAATCATAGGTTTCAACAAGACGAGATTTAGCTTCCAATGCCGCCTAAATCTTCCCGACAAACGTCGCTCTCAATATGGTGTACCGCAAAACAGTTAATCATTTCGAAATGCAGACAAACTTATTAGGTATGCAGTAGATTTTCGGAAACAACAAAAAAGTCCCCTTTGGGAATCAGAAAACATTTAAATTATTTCATCATGCGTGCAAACAATTAAAAGTGTGTGATTATAATTTCAATAATTTCTATAGTCAAAAGTTAAACATATTGATTGCAAGAACTAAAGTGCAAATTAACTAGGAGAAAGACCTAATATAAAAAATTTAAGCATTGCAAGTAGGGTATCTTCACAAAACGGAAGAATGTTTCGCAATATTTACTAGAGCTATGCCGGGGTTACAAGAACCGCAGTATATGGAATTAATGTAAAGAACTACGCGCAATTACGACCTCGCAAAAGGCAACCCGGCTTACTGGTGTACTTGATCTGAATCTAACCAGACCAAAACAAGTGTAACCGGCCAACTATTCAATCCTTGAGACGTTTTTAATGCGTCGGGAGGGGGGGTTTCTATAATAAAGCGTTAACCAGGCGTACATTTGCCTGGCGTATCATTGTTGAGTAATCTACGTATTTCATATTGCAACTTATTTTCCACTTTTATAAATTGATTTCAACAATATCATGGTCATGGGTGGGCTGTACAGTACGTATTTAATGGAAAATCAATATGCGTTAAGATTTCACATGTTGACCTGGCTTGTCTGCAATGAATTGTAAAGATGCCTGGTTTAAGGTTACTTTTCATGCAAAAACCAGGTGTGCATCTCATAAAAAATAACTTACTGCAAAGGTCGACATACTGCTGCACACACTATAGTCATTAACTGTGATTTAAATTATATGCAAGAATTCTATGGGCCTTGAAAATTTTAAGTGTTCTATAAACAAAAAAAGTGTGCTCCTTTTGGCTACTCAGCATTGTCAATTGAACTTAATTATGGGGTACCATATTCATATATTCGGCTATGCCTGGGTAAATTCTTTTAAAAACAATTTCACTTTCAAAACAATAGAAATCAGCCAGTCAGCCTGGCATAATAAATCAGCTAGCCCATGCTACTCAGCTATATGTTTCATGTGATCATTGGTAAATTTGGTAGTATGGTAATATGTTTTTAACTTTCATCCACTGTGTATGAATAAGTCAAGAATTCCGTTCTTGTGTGGCATGCAATTACACATGCAATACCTAAATAAAACCTTAGTTAGATACAAGATAAACAATTGATCTTCCTTAAAAATATATATATATTTATATTTCTTATGTACTAGCCCAGAATGTGAATTTCACTATTAAAACACACAAGAGAAACCCTAACACACAATCTTAGCATATCTAATACAGCAAACAATACACAAGTAAATAACAAGAAGTATTTTACTCATGCAGCTAGCTGTCACATTTCTCATGTATACTGTTAACATGGCAATTCATGTATTCATGTATACTGTTAACTTTCAGATGAACATCATGTGTAGGAGCTGCCTCCTCAAGATAGCACATTGAAGGTAATTAGCTACATACAATCATACAATGGGAGTAAAGAATTGGTTCACATCTGTACAAGGGGTGTATGCATCCAAGAGGTTCATGTACAACAGGTGTACTAGCTTGCCGACTTAGAACAAAAGCACTGTGCTTCTTCGAGGTGTGCGTACGTGGGAGCATGGAGGGGGATGTACATCCATGGTCTATTAGTTAGAAGAGTGTGAAATGTAAAACTGGTGTACAAACAAGGGTATATTTCCATTAGGTTGTAGGTGTGTACATCCTGACAGAACAATCAAATTACTTAATTACTTTCTTACATTAGTTGTGCTTGTTGTCATGTTGCCATTTTCTGGTTGATTTGGACAATTAGAACCCGGCCTGTACAAGTTTTTTTTTAATTAAATTAATTAGAATCATAATAATAAAAAATACCCTTCATTAAGCCCTGATTGGTTCTAAACGAAATGATTCTAATTGACACCCAACATTTATAAACTTTTCTCACCTTTGGCCAATTTTTGAGCACATTCCTTTCTTTCCACCATTGCCTCAAGACCATTTTTTGAGTTCATTACGGCTTTTATACACGAAACACATTCAAGAATTTCGTACGTTTCGCGAATATCATAACTATGTTTACTTGTGAGGTCTTCTAAAGCGTCAAGTAGGTAACCTAAACCTCCTTGCCTTATAAATTCTTTCATCCATTTTTTAGAACAGTCCAAAATCTTATGTTTAACGGCGAGAAATATCTCGATTCTTGTACCAATTTGAAGAAGATCGATGCATTCGTCTGGGTCGAGATCATCATCTTTTAACGATTCGTGAATGCTGGACCTGGCGAGCTTGATTAATCTCAACCATAAATATTTAAATTTGTACGTCTGTGAATGCACTTCAGCCATATCCTGCCAATACGATTATATTGCTTTTTAAGGGTTTACTTAACTTAACTAACGCTGTTATATGTTTACCTTGTACTTACCTTATACCATTTTGTCTGTTTCAAAGTAATAACAAGGTATTGACTAGTTATTGTAACTTTCTGAGTATGAAATTCTGACAACTATTGTAAGTATTTTGTTGTTAATTAATGACAAATTTTTCATAATATCTATCAATCAGGCATGACCACTGGGCGTGACGCGCACGGAAGCAATGTCGGGGGTGGGTTTGCCCTGTTAATCATTAAGATCAATGAGTTAATATTGACCTAATAGAGAGGGCACTGTTTATATGATCTCGGATACCAGGGACACCATACTCCCCGAGATACCCTGGTAAAGATGAAAGATCATCATTTTCATATTATAGCGGCTGAAACGTAGGTGTTTTATGAAAGGTTTTAAACTCGCCTCGGCTGTTAGGATCAAACTGGGGGTAGGGACACCCCCAGAAAAGAGGGTAACCCTAGTGGTAGGAACTTTTATCCATGTAAACATTTTGTCTCGGCCTCCAGGGGTAACTTTTCTAAGTGTGAACGCTGGACACTGGTGAAATTTGAGATCGTTCTTAGTCAGCGCACTTCGGATTTCGGAAGGTGGTCTGAGATCGATCTGAGCATAGACAATACGAAAGACCACTTTGAAAAGTACGTTTACAAAAGATATCTTCATATCAAACTGATGTCGGGGGGGGGGGGGTAACTCGTTTTGAAAATAATAATACACCAGATAATTATTGAACTTTATTAATATTATTATAATCACATGTTATTTGGTAAATCATGATGAGAATGTGTAAATTGCAATGCAGCATTTTACATATTTAAAGTATTGTCGGAAATTGAATGTCTACAGTGTTCACTGTTCAATGATTACATTAGATTATCATTGATCATATTTTCGCCTGGAAAATCGCTCGTGAATATACTGAATAATCGTTATATTATACAACATTAAGCTTTCTAGTTGTAGGAAAGGGTCATCCATGTGGAAAGGGGGTGGTTGGGGGGTGTACGGTTTCATGACTCGGCCACACGATGCCATTCTGCCAAAGCACGTTGTACTGTTTCTTGCTTTAGTTGGGGAAAATGGACTTTATAAGCCTTTAAAATTTCTTCATCATTTTCCAATACGGTTGTCAGCAATTTTCCATCCTCATTCTCGATCATCAACTTATTGTTAGTAATGGCCACAGCATGTTTTCTTGGAAACCAAATAGCACGTGGGGACGACGTAAACGGAGAAAGGCCAGCAACTACCGTTCGATAAGCATCTTCTCCAGGCTGTTGGGGATCGTGCGGGTTTTGGGAGGGGTCGAAAGAATAGAAACGTCGCCAATGGCCTATGAAGAAATCAAGGCCTTCTTTTGGTGGGTTATTAGTTCTAAACCTGTCACCCTCTCCGTGCATGCGTAAAATCAGTCCATTATTAAGACGAATATATTTGTATTCCAAAAAGCTATCTCTGAATATTGGAGATTCTTTGGAAAAATTTATTGAAATTGCACGAAAAGTTGGAAAGCCAGTACCACAATCAATGAGATGAATATCAGTCTGATTCTCAAGGCCAAATATTAACACTAATGCATGATTGTTTGGTGTAGTCATCGTGGATGTCACTCTTGAGTTGAGCATTTTGACAGAGAACCCCAGAGCCTTAAATAAACCCCATGTGAAAGGTGCCAACTCACAGCATAAACCACCCACACCCAAAACACATCTTTCTTTTATTTCCTTATTTGATGGTCGTTTATTTCTGTCTGAGGTACTGAGCATTGAAATACTTTGAAAAGCAACATTCTCATGGATAACTTGAACTATTTCATCCACAAGATTCTTTCTGTCATTCTTCAAACGTTCTTCAAAGTTTTTTATTCTCCATGATTCCTTAAGAAGGTCCTTTGCCTCATTATATGTGAACATTTCCTTCTCTTGGTCCATTTTTCACAAAAACCCTATGCTGTACATAGAGAAATGGTACTATATTAAGTTGTTATTCCTAGCTGTAGTTAATTCCTAGCTTTAAAAGTAAAAAAATAAACTGAAATGCAGAATCCTGGAATGCTTATTGTCCTGTCTAAATTAGCATGATATGCAAACAAGGAGGCATTTTGTTTTAAATTAATCGGTATATTTCTTTACATTTTTCAGGCAAAGCCAATCAGAATGCCTCATTTTGTAATGCTTCATGTAAAATGGTATATAATGTACCTTTTTATCGGAAGTAGTCAAATTTTATGCATTCTGATTGGGTTACTGAAAATGTAAACAAACTTGCTGATTAGCCTAAAACAAAATTCCCCCTTGTGTAATATGCATTAACCCAGGGCCCATTTTAATGTGCCGTCACAATTGGCTTTATTTCATGTGTTAGAGAGAGGTAATTTAAAGTTCTGTCAACACAAAAGGATGCCTGAAAATGCCTGAATGTTTTTGTTTTAGTGAAGGTGGTGGTGTGGTGGTGGTGGTTAAATGCATTATTATTTACTTGTTAAAAGTGATTTTATGGGCCATGCAATTGCCTATAATATAATAGGTTTTGCCATAGTGCTCAATGGATATAAATATACCAATATATATATTTATATATTGAAATATATTATGCTTGATATGGAGAACTTACAGTTTGATACTTACCGGACGAAAAGTTTTTCTCAAAGTCACAGTATATGAACGACGCCAAATGAATGCCCCTCGCTTCTGTCGGTTTCTGCTGGTGCGCTTACGGCTTATACAACACCACAACACCACCGGTACAACATCTGTCATCTGGGGCCTTTTGCGGTTTTGATTTACATCTTTTTGTCTCGACTTTTTTGTCGCGTCCTTTTTCAGCAAAATAGCTCTGTGTCATGCGTACCATAGGTCGTGTGCTAGTCAACTCGAAATCGAGACTGATCGATCATCGGAGAGAACTCTTTACTGTATGTGTTAGCTTTGTTGAAAATTCGTACCAATGGTAATCATCCCTACACTCAAATCACTGATCACGTTATGGTTTTCTTTTATTGTTATTGTATATCTTCTTAAAGTGAAGATCAAATCATTCAAATGGTGAATGTATGGTAATATCATATGATGGTTACAAATGTCACAGCTGGGAGCTGCCCTCGCTCGCCTCCGTGAGCAAAGGGCACTGGGGGCAGCAGTCCCTGCTGACCCCGTGGTTCCGGCGCCCTTAATTGCATGATGATAATAACTTAAAACTTGCCTAGAAGGTTGAAAGGTTGAGTGTTATGTGTCTGCTAAAATATATATTCATGCACCTTTTAACTTTAAGGTCAACCCTTCAGGCCAAACATGGTTTACACGAGCAAGTCGAAAAAACTGAAGTTAAGATTTGAAAAAAACATTCCATTTCAAGTTTTTTTTGGACCACCTAAACGAGAAGGTACACTGATGCACGAGCTATGAGCTAAATAGAGAGAAAAGAATACCTAGTATTCGGTATTTGTGACACTATTTGTGAATGATTTGGTACAGGTCTAGACATGCAAATAAGTCTGCGATGTTTCTTCCTTCTTTTAGTAGGGGTATAACTTCAGAAATCGTCCATAAGTCGGGGAATGTGGCCTTGTCATTAGAGAGCGATTTATTAAATGCGTAAGAGGACCAGATATGATTGGGAGACTGTCTTTGAATTTAGACGTTTGGCTATAAAAAAACAACTACATCGCCCTTGTCTTGGACTATTTTTCACACTGCAAAGTTTTCAAACCGATGCTTATGCGCGACTATTATGACCAAACACGGGCCTTTTTAGTAGAGCTCTGAAGACAAAAAATAAAGATATGGCCAATATTCTTTAAGAATTTATTCCATAAATAGCCATAGGTAGCGCGGATTTTTTAAAAAGCAATTTTTCGTCTTAAAAACGGCGTTTTACTCATTAAATTCCCTAATGACACCTGCCAAGCTCGCCGGAAGTCATCACGCGCAGCCGGCAGCCGGCGCGTATTTGTATAATTGAAGCTCATCTGCCGAAAAATTTCTCGCATTCAAATTAACACGCATATTTGGGCTGCCTATATGATCTTATTAGTGAGTTTAAGATGCACCAAATCTACGACGCGGACGTGAAGTAATACTTCTATAATTTCCACAGTTTCCCAACAGGGATGGAATCTATAGGCTCTTTTTGATAAAGAAATAGCTCAGTGTACGCCACACATTGAACTACGACACCACACATGCGACAATGACCTTTGAACCTCAACTGAATTCAGTTTGTCTTGGAATGTCTGTTAGTTTTGCCGTACAGAAGCTAGCAAATTACTACAAAAACGGCAGAAATAGTAAAAAATTCACAGGAGTGTGCATGACGTGTACATTTCGGGGAAATTTGAGCACTCAAAAATAATCCCTAGTTACACTTCTTATATTGGTTTTGCCCACGTTTTTGCCGCGTATTTTCACCCGTTGTTGCCTTTGAAACTTGATATATGAAGTAGTAGTTAAATGTTCTTTGGAGCAGTTTTATAGAAAGGAATGTCCAAGAGGTCATGATTTCTTGTCGAACGATCGTGTATGTCGGAAACTACTTCGAGTTGTGAGAGAGGCTGATTGTTTGAGGCTCTCGTGGTCTCCTTCTTCTAGTAGGGGTATAACTTCAGAAGTCTTCCATAGGTCGGGGAATGTGCTTGTCATTAGAAAGCAATTTATTATATGCGTAAGAGGACCGAGTATGATTGGAAGACAGTCTTTAATCACACGCATGCCGATTTTAACTGGTCCTGGTGACTTATTACTTGGCATGGCCATGAAAATACGTTTAACCTCTGTACAAGTAACGGATTTAAAATTGAACTGTTGATCAGATGGATAAGTTGAAATTGAACTGTTGATCAGATTGAAGTCGAACTGTCGAAGTGATTGTATTTGGAGTTTTAATGATCTGCGTAAGATTTAATTCAGTACGAAAATTTATTGCCAGATTTGCATGCATGTCCGTATTTAATATCCAATGGAGCCTCATTGTTTAACTAACGCGATTCTATTGTTGGGAAGTCATGTCTTGGGCAAGTTGCATCAGTGTTACGGTAAGATTGGCGGTGTTGCACTCCGGCGTTAGATTCGAAAGTGCTGCAGCCTTGCAAAGAATTGGTTACTGGTGTTCAGAGCCGTAACTATAAGGCTTGCCTGATGATCGTCTTCGACTAACACTATTTCATTATTTTTGCTGTTGTTTTGTTCCATACAAATTTGGTCATTAGGCTTCGGTATTTTGTAGTTAAACAGATGGCAGCGACTAATGACAGGTGATTTGCTAAGTTCAGTATTGTCGTTCATGCAGATGAACCATTTCGATATGAATGAAATATCTCAATTTCTTGTCGAAGGCATCGAACTTTCCGCTCTAGACATGAATTTCTGAATTTTTTTTCTTCAAGATCAATTCTTAACAGCGCTATTTCATTCTGCACTCTGCAGATTGGATGCAGTCGGTGTTGATACGTTTCCCTGAAACTTCATTGAGCTTTGTATACAATCCACTCTGTTTTTCAGAATTTTAATCTCCAAACTTAAATTGTTCTCACTAAGGTTAGCACTAGTGCTTTGATAATCTTCAATGATATCGTTATTACCCGAAGTAGAGGCAGCACAAAGTTATATTAAACAATTTTTCGCCTGTGTACCGACATTCCCACTAAAGGTTAGGGTGTTAAGCTTACCAGGGTATATACCATATGATTGCAAATTCAGACGAGGAAGAATCGAACCTTCTAGCACGGCCACCCATTTCATACATATTTCACATGTTTATCAAAAACAGATTTGATAAATTCTTGCAATTGTCGTGCAATTTTACTCTTTCTCTCCATCATAGGTAACACATTAAAATCTAGACACTCATTGAGATTATTGACACAAACATCAATACGACCTTGAACGTGACTATCCGCTTTCTTGTTAACGACTTAAGTAGCCCTATATGAGGGGCTATGACCTATATATCCCTAACTAATTGTCATTTTGACTATTAATTGAGGTAAAAGGAGTATGGTATGAAATAGGTTTTTGAGACTTTATATTTCATACAAACACAGCGTAATGATTACATTCATATTTCAATCCCTGTAAGAATCTCAAATTGATTGTGAAAATTGTTGATTGGAACTGTAAAAAAATACATAGGCTATATATAGCCGCGATATACTTTAGATAATAAAAAACTATTGTTCCATGTAATATATTTATATGCATTATAGTTATCTATTATCAGTTATATTGCGTTTCGGCGAATAAAAGATTCTTGACACACTTCCCCTTAACAAAAACTTGAACCAAATTTCGCTCATCTCCAAGAAAGACAAATTTATGAATCATATCTTCGACGGTTTCAAAGCCAAAGAGCCGTGTATCGTTGGAGACACTCATGCGAATTCGAAGCGCGTCAAATTGGAAGCCAATATCGAAACCCCCGACTTTATCTTCTACGCCACAAACTTTCGCCGAACCACGAGTTGCTAACGATATTACGTCGTTGTAATGGAAAGACGTTTCGCATTCTTTGGCCATGTACATGTTATTGGAGGTAGAAATGGCAAATCTCATTGCATTTATCATCGAAGGAGAGTAACCACCACTGCAATCAGTTCCAAGACCAACTTTAACGCCTTGAAGGTTAGCAGCTGCCATACTACCTGAGCGGATTGAATTATTGGAATTTGGACAGTGTGCGATTCCGGCGCCAACACTCTTAATAACAGACAACTCCGCGTGGTCTAGGAAAATTCCATGTGCTAAAATAGTTTTATCCGTAAGAATACCGGTTGCATTGTAGACATCGGTGTAGTTCTTGGACCATGGAAAACATTTGCGTACCCATTCCACTTCAGATGGACATTCGCTAAGATGTGTCTGGATTCTCAAGCCCTTCTCCTTGGCGAGTGTTCCAAGCTCTTCAAGCAGTACTCTTGTGCATGTCGGTGCGAACCGTGGTGTGATAATTGGCTCAACCAAATCGCTTTTCATCTCGAACTGTCGAACACGCGGTTGACAAACGACTTGGTAGCAGCGATATATTCTCGAGTCCCCTCACGGTAATAATCTGGCGAATTTTGATCCATATTGACTTTTCCAACGAAAGCTCTCTGACCCAAACGCGACGCTGTTTCGGCAAGTATTACCGAAGCTTCTTCTTGAATTGTTGCGAAATACACAGCTGTGGTTGTGCCATGACTTAGAGTGGACGAAACCACAGATTCGTAAACTTTTCTAGCAAAGTTAAGATCTTGCCCTATTTTAGCTTCTAAAGGATAGGTGTAATTCTCAAGCCATTTTAATAGGGATAGGTCAAGTGCAAGTCCACAATTAGGATATTGTGAGGCGTGAATATGAGTGTCAATAAAGCCCGGTAAAAGAAATTCGTCATGATCTCGCAATTCAATTACTTCGGTCACATCAAATTCCTCTTTTGCCTTGTTTAAATCATCTAAAACACCACGATAGACTATAGTTCCTTGACGGTTGATCACAAGTAACGCTTGCTGGTTAATTCTCAAATTCCTTGATTCATCAGAAGAGCAATCGACAATCGTCCCAGTGATTGCGAATGGCTCCATTTTTATGTATCGGATAAGCGTAACTTCTAGCCCTTGTTTATATGCAGGGTCGCCACATTTAGCTCTATATATATAGATATGGAGTAGTAAATTCGTTCATTTGGCTACTGTTTAAGTGAAGCCAAAGATAGGGGAAATGACCTTATGCCATAATGACGTTACACGCCGTGACACCTGCAGGGAATTCTGGTCTTACTAGTCAGTAGTCACGGCGGGAAATTTTGAAGTTTGAATTTTTGGCCGTGACTACAGCCTCACGCCGCATTTTCTTGTGGTACCAGGAGCTATCAAAAGACTCGATTTTGTAGTTTACATAACAAATTCTTTATTTAATATCAACCACAATATAATAATATATCAGCTGCCTATTCAGAAAGCTAGTCAGATCACCGAGTCGAATATATAGGTATATTGAACGTATATTTGTCCTTTTATCGCTCTCGACTCTAGTACTTCATGTCAGTGGGTGCCACACCTTGCCGACGTCACGGCTTGATACGTCATTATGCATAAGGTCTATTGAAAGAGCTGCTGTAGCAGAATTTGTGTTGTCAAGAGGTGGATAAAAGTGATGAAAAAAATGACGATAGACACATTCTCAAATAAGAACTCCAAAACATGGATATAATTCATAATGTCAACAATTCATTGGCTACCATACAATTGTCTATGTTCAGTCCATAAAGATATTATATTCTATTTGAATATTCTATTCTATTCATTATGTTAAAATAGACTTGTTAGCACACTAAAGTTGACCGCCATGTTGAGGAATAATTGTTGATCATGCAACAAAAATCCCATGATAAGCTCAATGTAGTATAAGTTCTAAAAAACATTAAAACAACTTGTAACTCTCTGCAATAATATTATAAAAGCAATTTGATACTTCAAGAAAAATATTGAAAATAGCACAAACTAGACGGGCAATTTTTCTCAAAATTATTGACACCATTCTCGCGAACGTGGATTTGAAAGCAGTCAATTCAACGGCCAATATCTCGGAAAATACCTGGGGATCACCGGGATCATTCCAGCAGATTTGAAGCTTATATGATTGTCTTTCGAATTACCAAGAATGAAAAAAATCGAACCACCGGAATTCTAGATATTTCACTTTAAACCTTGTAAACAGATTTACACCTAAGTCGTCAACCATTCATGGGGAGTCGACCAAGTTTCAAGCCTCAAAATGTTTAAAAAATAGACTGATATAACATTTACCTCTGAGATTTTTGCAGAAACCGCTCGATCTTTACTTCTTCTGTACTGCACTCAAAAATTCGCTCGAAAATATAAATATTTATATTTCGCGACGAATGAAGAAATTATAGCCAAAAGTTTTCTAAAACGCGATGAGAAAATAGGGCGATCTCGGAATGAACGATGATAATAACTTAAAAAATTGCCTAGAAGGTTTAAATTAAGGTTGAGTATTATGTGTGTTGCTAAAATATATACTCATGTACCCTTCAAGGTCAACTATTTAGGCCAAAAATGGTTTACACATGCAGGAACTACCGGCTGCCTGGGAAACTATGTACTGAGCAAGACGAAAAAATTTCAAGTTTTTTGGACCACCTAAACGAAAAGGTACAATGCACGAGCTATGAGCTAAATAGAGAGAAAAGAATATCCTAGTATTCCGTATTTGTGACAGTATTTGTCAATAAGTACAGGTCTAGACATGCAAATAAGTCTGCGATGTTATTGAGTTTCGAACCCCACGCAAAAAATAAAATAATTCTTAACTTCCTTAACAGGTTTCAGTAGGAAGTTGATTTCGTGCCTACTGTGCGCAACTTATGTTTATTTAGTTGTCTGCCATAGACATATAACCAGTTGCTTCACCAGTCGTATTCAGATCATTGAGACTGAAATTTAGTTCTCGCAAACCTTAGCATGCCTTTAAGGTGAGTTCAAGTTAATAAGTTTGAATGAGTTAGATTACATATCGATAGTTTCTGTGATTATATATTCATATTCATACCATACAAGCATTATTTCATTGTGCTTTATCAATATACATTTGCTCTAGCATGTAGATAATCTTGAGCAGTACGTCTTAACTAATCAGTTGTCCAGGAATACTTTAAGTAAATGTGCGCTTCATAAATTAATTTTTCTCCGTCTATAAACTTTGACTTGGTGGTGATTTTGTGATCTTAGGGCGAATAACTTGTAAAATAGACGATTGTTTATTTGATTCAAGACTTTGCTGATGGGAAGGAACAATCCATTAACACTTATAGTATACGGAGGAGTCTGAATGACTAATAGTTCTAAAATAGCAATATAGAAGACGTTTAGTTTTAAAGTTTCAGGTTACCGCGGTGAAATATCTTTACATGCAGGCGCATCCCTATATATACGTACATATACACTGCAATTATTGCAGCCAAAAATAGTTGAAATAGTCAAAATACTTATCCACACAGCTAAGTGTAAAGAATATTTCACTTATTTTCTAAAATATACTCGACAAAATTTTACATAAATACTGGTACTCAGATATTGCTATATCCCCTAGTTCACTTTTCATTTTTTATATAGCGCGAGAGAATTTTTTATCGTGTTGCTCTTAGTTCAGCAATCTTTCTCAATATTTCAAAGAAAATGCATGGTTGTGGATGATAAGAAAGATCATCCTGAAAGAGCTCGGATGCCGTCACAAGTTACCGAGAATGATGTGTGGGAGGACGTGTCTCCCAGAGACGTGATACCTTACCTCATATCCTGTGTAGAGAAGTACGATGTCCCTATCGCATGGCATGTTATTGTCAGTACGAATGGTATTGGTAATGTCTCAGATGCCAAAGTGCGGGAGGCTATGAAAGTTCTTAACGGTTCGTGTTGTTCTTTTCCATACAGGGAACGCTAATATGCATGGCTGCAATGCACATTATCACAATATTTATAGCATAAAACCTAAATTTTACATTTCACGCACTGCGCTAAGTTTAAACAACACTAAGATTGGTTTTCATCGTAAACTTACTAAACTACTCCCATTTTCTGTGCCAAAAAGTTTACCATACAAAAAACTGTTTCATGTGCTTTTCAGCCTACTCATGCCACATATATTATATTATGGTATAGCTATTTAATAACTTGCATGCTCGTAATATTTGGTAAATAAATTTATAGATGGATTCAAGGACAGTCGTTTACATTTTCGTCTGGTATGTTTTTCTTATTTGTCATTAAATTTTTGTTTATATACACAACCATGCATTGCTTATCATTTTCTTCATCGAGAAAAATATGTTCGTCAACCCCACATGTCAAGTCACTACATCTTATTAATCACATGATTTACGCAAAAGGGTAAGTTTGACCCCTGCCGGGAACCTTAGCTTGTTGGTATTTCTTGCAACGTTCCCAGAATGGTTTTAGAGACGAAATAGAAAGTGCATGAGATTCTATTCTTTCCTGCCCTAACAAACTATATCCACAATCCTGACATACTAATAGACGTTATCGTACTTTACTTGAATCATCCATAGCACTCCATTCAAAGAATTACTAATGATGACTGGAACAACGCATGTGTTCGTGAAAAATCATCATATATGGAAAAGCATGCTATAACACCCGCTACAGTTTTGAATTTGTACACATGCACATTTGATCTAATTAAAGATCAAATTGTGGGAAATGCTGCATTACCATGGTCTTATGATCCTGACAGTGTTTACAATGGTGTAGTTATACATCCGGAAACACTGCCTGGTGGAAGTATACAAGACTTGAATCATGGCAAAAATCTTGTTCACGAAGTAAGAACATAATATGTCATCACTATACCTTTGTCTTAATCATTTTTATTTTTTTGTAATGCGAACATGCAATGTATACAGCCATTACAAGTGAAAACAACGTTAGCCGTTGGAAATTCCATCTTAATACAGGAATAAATCGATTTAATTGAGCATTTTTTCATGTATCAAATAAACGGGAAAGATTCATGGAAGTAGTACAGCAAAGGACTCTGATTTCTGACAGACGTTTTCCCTAAAACTGGAAAAACGACTTTTTCCCCGCCTAAATATAATCACGAACAATTGTTAATTTATGTCAAATTGTACCTCAGGTTGGTCATTACTTTGGTTTGCTGCATTACTTTGAAAATCGGGTATGTTGTATCATGTTAGTTCGCCTTAGCAACTACTTCACTACCCCGGCCATGCATACTGAATTGGCTATGCAATCTTTTTTATTTTAAATGAGAAATGTGATGGGGCTGGTGATATGGTAGACGACACTCCAATTTCAAGCCGAATTTCTTACACTTGTTCTGAGGAGGAAGATTCTTGTCCAGATCAGCCTGGTTTGGATCCGGTACATAACTTCATGGGATGTAAGTATTTTGACTTATTCAACTAGCTGTCAGAAGAAAGCACTTTCAGGAAAAGACAAAGGTATCAATTAGGTTTGTCTAGTAAAAAATGAATGTCTTCAATGACATGTATAGTTAGGGTGGTCTATTTGAAACAACCATATATACGTTTGCAACCCTGCATGTATATAGCGATAAGATAAATCTAAATATGATGTATATTTGTCATATATGATGTCCATGCAATTATGTCTTTATCCGCGCCTGTGAATAGTTGTATGATGCTGGACTAAATGTTTGTATAGCCATGTCATAGTTATTTTCTATTCATCTTGCAATGCGGCAAAAACGGACATATAGCCGGACATGAAAAACTTCGATTCCATTCTGGTGCTTCATGATTAATTGACTAAAAATAAACTAAATATTGAAATATTCATTGGTTAGATGCAAAGGATGTTTGCTTGGTCAACTTTACAAAAGGGCAGTTGGAAAGAATGAGCTGGATCGTGGATATGTATAAAAAAGACTTGAAGACCATCGTATACAGTAAGTAAACTTATCATAAATTGCAAATACATGTATATGTGTTTTATTTTGTTGGTTTTCTTTCACTGAACTCCTGCCTTAAGTAACCACTAACAGCCTCACGTTTATTTATCTCAGGACCCTGCAGTATAGACTCGGTATTTCGATGGAGTGACGGCTGGATATATTTCTTCTCTGGTACCAGATATTATCGTTACAATGAAGTGACTAACAGCATTGATTCCGACTATCCACGAGCAATCCGCGATTATTGGCGAGGTGTTCCGGACAATATCGATGGGGTATTTCGCTACTCCGATGATATTACGTATTTCTTCAAGGGTTCAGAGTATTACAAATTTGACGACGTCACACTCAAAGTTGAATCAGATTATCCAAAGAAAATTAAGGACTTTTGGAAAGGAATACCGAATGATATCGGTGACGTCATAAAGTAAGTGCTATCATCCAACTATACTAAATCACCACTTCTATGACTATGACTTTTGAATAGGGAAAACTCTATACTGAGGGCATTAAATTTAGATACATTTATTTAAGATAAAACTACAAAGTAATGAAAGTATTGTCTTACATTTGTAGACAGAGACAGTTTCAGGCTGATTTGTGATAACTTTTTTTTTTAAAATGACGCTGGGGTCAATTTCACATAAATTCTGTCAAGTATGAATTTGGAAGTTTGAAATGCGATTGTGAACGTTAAATTGCGTTGTTCGTTTTAGAAACAGCAATGGTTTCACGTATTTCTTCAAGAAGGGCGAGTATTATCGCTTCAATCCAATACGTCAAAGTGTTGATGTCGATTTTCCAAAATCAATGGACGATTACTGGAAAGGAATTCCTGGAGATATAAACGCAGCATTTACATGGTATAATGGCGGGGTATACTTCTTTAAAGATGAAAAATTCTGGCTTTTTAAAATGAAGAATGGTGGTCACAATGCGATCAAGCCCTCTTATCCTAAATCAATCAAGGTTTGGTGGAATGATTTACAGGATTTTACTGGTTATTCAGTATTCAGGTAAGTCAGAAAATTTGCAAATCTTATTAAATTTTATACTAAGGAACCTATACGTCTTTATAGTCCTGATTTTAAGATTAAAAAAAGAGAAAAAACGATAGCCCAAAGTTTGAGGCGATCAATGGGAACATATTCTTTTTCTAAAAATCATTAAACGTGTCCAAGTACTATCACGTATGTACGTACACTAACATATACATCAGAGACTGAGTGATTGACTATAGATTTTGTGTTCTCCTATCTTTAGTGAATGCAAACAACGAACATATTTCGTTTCCGGTGATCAGTATTGGGAATACAATTACTATCAAGGCAATGTTGATTTGTTTTCTCCTCTTCCGATATGGAGTGGCATTCCTAGGAAGGTTGACGGGATGTTTGTATGGAGCGATAAATATCTCTATGTTTTCAGTGGAAAAGATTATTATCTCTTTGATCAAAAAACAAAAGCATTAGTGCAAGGTTATCCTCAAAAGATTGCTTCATTTTGGAAAGGAATTCCAGACAACATTGATGCAGTTTTCAGGTATTTTATCTTGCATTATTTGCAAGCTAACATTAGTTAGTTTCTTTATTACTTCATGTTAGACCATGGTGAGGTCAGGTTAGCAATCAATGAGATACGACCTTGCCGTCTTCCAAATTGGTGGTGAAAATATATTCCCGTTCCGGTTTAACACTAACATTTTGATGACGCTAAGTTAATTTTTCTCCCGGCGTCCCCCGCTATGCCCCAGAACATTTCCTATCCCATTTACGAGCATGTGATAAACAAATGCATTTATTTTCACTAATTTTGTCTTTATATTCGTAGGTCAAGCAATGATCAAACATATTTCTTTAAAGGATCTCATTATTACCGTTTCAATGACACTGTAATGCAAGTGGACTCAGGTTATCCAAGATTAATCACGGAATATTGGCATGGTGTTCCCAACGACCTGGACACCGTGTTTCATTCTTCAAACGATCAGGTGTATTTCTTTAAAGGAAACAATTATTATCGTTTTAACTTTACAAAAGAAGCAGTTGATGATGAATATCCGCGACATATTGCAGAGGGCTGGAAAGGAATGCTGTATAATCCATGACAAGTCACTAATGGCAATTTTTATACAGGCTACCTTTTTTATGACATAGCCACATAGGCTATATACCTTTTATTTCAACTAAATTTCAACTAGTTATAGAAAGTAATGATAGTAATGATAAAAGTAATAATATATCACGCAGGTGTAAACGTGTATAAGCATAATTGGCTAAAAGATGGGAACATGTGAAATGATGACACATGCAGGCTCTGTATCTGAATCATTGTAATTAATGAAAACGAAATATTTAATTATATCGCAGTCAGCTAGTAGTTGACCCTAATCACACAAACATGATCTATACTAGTAAACAAAATCTGATAATAGTTCACATCAAACTTTATACGTACTGTCATTTTTTCCTTCTATATATTTTAAACATTGTTTGTACAAAAGAGATTAAAATTTCATTTTGGGCTCGTTGTGTTTGAACAGATGGGAATTGTCAATTGATGAAGGAAAAAATTCTCTAGAAAATTTTGTTACGTTCCCATTAGGAATAACCTTTTTCTAGTTAACAGGGTGAGTACAAATTACGTCTTACATTTACTTTTACTAAATAAGTGTTGTAATACTTATTTTCAGTATACTGAAACCATTCAGAGGTGTCAGATAAAGGATTTTGAACGTAGGATATTTGAAATGTTTATCTCGATGTTGATATAATAAAACACCTGACAATATTAATTCTAATAAAGCTAAAGATGTTTGTTTCTTCTAGGTAAATACTGTAGTTCTTTTAATGATGATGAAAACATATTTTTTGACTATCTGCGTGCATAGATACTAACCGTATACACGATGAAACTCGTTATAAGGTAAGTAACATATAATTTATAATGGAACTGAATTCTCACATATGACTGCCATGTCTTTCTCTTGTAACTATTTAAAACTTCTTGCTAACTTGAAAGTATTTTAATTAATAAAGATCATTTTTAAAAAGTATGGATTAAAAAATGTGTTTTTAGGTTTGTTGGTCTTGTTCTGTCGATAATCTCAATCTCTGGACTTGAGATAAATCTGTCAAAACGACGATGTTTATTCTCTCACAATCTTAACAACCTGCCACCATCTGTGAGGGTCTCAGATCGACAAAGCCATAACTTGGTTTCGGCTCACGATCAACCAAAAGGATCTTGTCAACAAAGATACATTGTCCCTGTCGTTTGGCACGTCATTATTGATTCAAACAAACTTGGTGATGTCTCTGATGTTTTATTACAGACACAAGTCGACATTTTAAATGGTATACTTCAGATTAAATGATTTCATGGGTATATATTACACATGCAGTTTGGCTGAATATTTGCAACAGTGCTACAGCTATAACTTGCTTGAAAAAACGCTATAAATAGTTTCTATAGCAATCTTTTCTAGTTAAGAATTTAGTTGCAAAGTGTAATGCACTGCCACTGTTTTTACGCAAAAAATGCGCGAGTCCTCAGGACAACTTGCATGACTTCTTTGGAAAACTCGCGAGTGCAAACTTTTGAAATTGCATGCACAAGAAGTTATGGACGGCAATCAAACCGTTCATATCAACGACGACACATCTGAACCTAATCGTTTTCTAATGTTAAACCCACTATACATCATGCAATTATTTAAACTTTATTCTTATTATCGCTATTTTTTCAACAGGAGCATTCGAAAATACTTCTCTCATATTTAAAATGGTAAATGACGCCTTAATGAAAATCATCCAGTTATACATGTATAGGATGCAGAAAAAGACGGATCCATAACATATATTCATATTCTATATTACACAGGATTCAGTAAAACGAGTCATAAACGACACTTGGACGATGGATTGTCTTGGATATATCACACAGTTCCAAGAGATCTTAGCCGAATCAACGGATGTAAAATTGAATCTTTATACATGTCTATTAAAAGATCCTAATGTGCTTGGTCATTCCTCATATCCTTGGTCACATGATGAAGACAGTGTTTATAACGGGGTGATCATTCACCCGGGTACACTGCCCGGCGGGGACATATCACCGATAAACGAGGGAGACAATCTCGTTCACGAGGTTGGTTGTTAATTTTTTAGAGCAAAATAAGCCATTGATACGGGAAAGGTGATAAACAATTCTAAATGTCTAATCTATGTGGTATACTATCCTAATTCTTAAGTTTTCATACCTGCCCTATGCCACGACACTCTGCCGTTTTCGTACAGTTGTAATTGGTGATTTTCATAAAAACAAATGAAAATCGAGACTTATTGTGAATGTACAAGGGTTGTGTAAACAGGGTCTCAAAACAATGAAAACAACATTTAGAAACACCCCTGAATGAATGCCACAACGAACACAACATTGTCTCTGATTTTCTCTCATCGTATATATTCATTAGGTTGGACATTACTTTGGTTTACTTCACACTTTCGAGGTAATGTTTCAGTTAAAGCCTGGTTCGTATATAGGTCACTGACCGTCGGCGATGGCCATTGTCGATGATCACTGCAGAATAAAGTGCTTTGTTATTTTGTATAAATTTTCTTTATCACAAATTAACCTCACTGTCGGTGGTTAATGCGGAGAATCAGGCTTAAAGCCTGTAGCTAAAAACCTGATATATTACGACATAGGAGAACTAGATGCAATATTTCATCGTTTATTGTGTAAATAATGAATGCATGTCCGTCACAAAAAGCCAGAAAGGCTTCGTGATTTTGGGCGCATCATGAAGTGAATAAGAAAGACACTCAATAGCAAATTTTTTTCCTATAAACGATTGCCTCGTATATTCTATCATGATTGATGGCTGTAGGGTGGTTGTGAAGGAGGTGATAGTGTAGCAGACACTCCAGCAACAGGATATCCAACGTATAATTGTCCGGATACACCAGTTGATAGTTGTCCAGACATACCTGGTTATGATCCTATTCATAACTACATGGGATGTAAGTATGAACTAAAGGATGTATAAGGATATGCATGTACATAATTATACACTTTACAGGAAGCGATAGGATAATAAAACAAAACTATATTTTTCAGATAATCCAGATTCATGTATTAATCACTTTACCCCTGGTCAGGTGAAGAGACTCGAACAACTTCTTGGGCAGTACCGCGAAAATTTAAAGGGACTTAAAGAAAGTAATACGAATTCCTAGAATCGATTATTCTTTATATGTACATATGAGATTCGGTTTAGACGCCGTGTTTCTGATGAGCCACACAACTTATGTTACTTTGTTTAAAGTCATTTGAATTAAGTTCGGCTCATGACAAATGAGGTAACTAAACCAAGCCTGATTATCCAATGAACTAAGATGTCTGTAATAGGCACATTTTGCCGGCCATGAGATCCTCTCACAAGACCATAGCCAGAAAGAATGTTCCAATAAACTCGTTAATTACTTATTGAATATTACAGAACCATGTGCGGTTGACTCCGTTTTTCGCTGGAGTGATGGTTATGTTTACCTCTTTGCTGGAGCAGGCTATTATCGTTACAACGAAATATCACGTGGTATTGATTCCGGCTATCCGCGAAGAATCAGCGACAACTGGCACGGTGTTCCGAACAACATCGATGGTGTATTCCGTTATGCTAACGGTTACACGTATTTCTTTAAAGGTTCAGATTACTACAGATTTAATGACGTCACACGTAAAGTTGATGCAGGATATCCGAAGAAAATTAAATCATTTTGGAAAGGAATACCCAATAATATTGACGATGTAATAAGGTAATTCATTGATTGGATCCAAACACTAATGCAAACGCATGCACGACAAGGCTGTAAAGAAAATAGACGTGAAAAAATTATCCGCACTCTATTCATATTCCTCCACAATTTTCTCTATGATACAGATATAGCAATGGTCTCACATATTTCTTCAAAAATGGTCTGTACTATCGTTTCAACTCAACCACAGCAGCAGTAGACATAGGTTACCCAAAGAAAATCGAGCAATATTGGATTGGTGTTCCCAAGAAGGTTCAGGCAGCATTTACTTGGTACAATGGTGGAGTATACTTTTTTAAAGACTCAGAATTCTGGCTGTTTGTTCCTGGACAAAATTCGACAGAGGGTGTTTATCCAAAGTCATTGAAACATTGGTGGACCGGAGATCAACATAAATATCAAAATTATAACGCATTCAGGTAGTTTTTCCATTTTTTTTTAACAAATATACGAATGGTTTAACCTTCATCAGTGAAAATATTGTTTCTTCTTTTCCAGGCATCTGAATGCCTACACATATTTTGTTTCTAACAAACAATATTGGCGTTACAATGATTTCAAAAATCACATCGATTATACCTATCCGCATCCTTTAACGAATTGGTTAAAGTTACCAGCGACGATAGACGACTTGTTTGTTTGGTCCGATGGTCAACTTTATGCTTTTAGTGGACAGTACTATTATCAAGTTATATTCCATGTAAATTCGAGCCAATCAATCATTGTTAGAAATATTTCGTCGTTCTGGCATGGAGTCCCAAACAACATTGATGCTGTGTTTAGGTGGGTATTATGATGCATTGCTCAATACTGGCGAATATACTAGCATTTTAAATACTGGATTATGCTGTGATTTCAGATTATTTGCTACAATATGAACTTGGATCTTGTCATACGTGATGTTGGCAACAAATCTAAATTTACAAAATCAATCGACTTAATGAAATCCAACCTTTTCGAAAAAGGGGCTTTCAAAGTTTGTTGCAGATCAACACAATCATAACTTACTCTCTATATTTCTATATTTCAGGGCGAATGATGGTTTGACATATTTCTTTAAAGATTCACAATATTATCGTTTTAACGACAGCAAACGTCAAGTCGATACAGGATATCCTAAACCAATCTCTTCCTTCTGGAAAGGTATCCCAAATGATATCGACACAGTATTCCGCTGGTCAAATGGTCAGACGTATTTCTTCAGAAAAAACAACTACTACAGGTTTAATTCAACGTATGGAGCAGTGGATGATGGGTATCCTCGCAAGATAGCAGGGGCATGGAGAGGAGTTATGTACACTACAAACTCTTAATTTCGTTTCAATACAAGATGTAATAATATTACAATAATAAATGAAATTAGAAACGGCGGGAAAATGTCATCTCTGTGATTGTTTTAAAAGCTCGCGATTTTTATTATGGTGATGTTCTGAGCTACATATAAGGAAAACTAATTGTAGTCTTCTCTGTTTAAAGTACAACTAAAGCAATAATTGTCATAAGCGTAACGTTAGGGAAGAGAAATACAACTACTTGCTTCGACAAAATTTATCGAGGTCCGGTAACGATTTACGGGATTATGGTTTACAAAACAAGTAGAAAACTAGACGGAAATGATTGGCAAATAAGCAGAAAATACATCGTTTATTTCATGTACTTATCTCCTTGTTCAGCGAGAAGTTTTGCTGATGACTTCGCATCGAAAAATAGTTCATTTGTCTCATCAATATCACTCTTGTTTATTATTTCTCTTCCTAAAAGAAAATTCGACAAGTCAGATGATAGTCTGTGTGTTGGTTCTCATGAGACTTAAGGCAAGGTTACATAGTTTGTGAACAATTCTTCATTTCAAGACATGAATGAGAGATGGTTTTAGTGAGATGAAAAAGGGATTTTATTTAATGAATATTGCGATGAAGCTGCTCTGAGTCACCAACCGAGTAAGCTAGGATTTATTTACTTCAAGGGAGGGCGGGAGTACATTAACATGAATTATTACTTTGTGGAAAAAACTTTCAAGTAAGTTATGGTTTACCGTTAATTCTTGCAAGAAAATGTGCTGGTGTTAACAATTGAACAGCATATCTAAAATAACAAAGTACCTTAATTAACAGGCGCATCAGAACCCCCCTCCATAAATTATTACCTCGCTATTTGGTAATGATGTAAACAGTTGGGTTGTCAACTATACGGTTTACTTGTATCAGACATTTGTCGAACAAAAATATTTTGGAGAAGACTAAACAATACCTCAATGTTGTTTTAGTCCCAGTATCTCCCAATGATTGTAAAGATTCCTCATCAATCTGTATTCCCTCAATTTGAGCACGTATTCTAAGAATTTGTACAGTTTCTTCCAGAGCATATGGCATTGTACGAATTATCATGACGCGATCAAGTAGATCCAATGGAATACCATGTGGTGAGACTATTTCAGTGCCTCTGGAAAAAGACATATAATGTATTTAATACTGTACAACATCTTGTGAAGACTAATCGTAGATATCTGATCAATATCATTAAATATAAACAGGATTACGAGATCGCATGATTTAACAAAGGAGATCTTGTGAATCAATTGAAAAGATGGCCGTACCTTACTGTACATGAACCACGGTTGGTTGCGAATATGACAATTGGTGCAAGAGTTGATTCCAAAGCTCGATGAAGGTAAGTAAAACACTCAATATCTAACATATGAACCTAACAAAAAACCCAGAAAAGGTCAATATCCGGCATTGGCATTCTATTTCCGGCAATGGCGAACCGTTACACGACGATACATATTCTTTCAAAAATATAATCGGTTCAAAAACTAGAACTTGAATGCAGGTTCTGACCAATACTTAAACTCATCCAGTTGCGACTGACAATTTAATATTTGATCATCACAATAAATGGTGATCTACGACTGTAATGAATTATGATTATCTTATTACTGTACTTACTTCGTCAATAAAAAGGACTCCAGGTACAAGTTCTGCAACTCCCTGATCTATGTATTTATTCACAACCTGAAATATGAATAATTAGAACAAACATGATCCCCCAGCTGCGGTATTGATATTAAAGCTAGTTTGCAGTCTATCGCATTCGTTAAGTACTGTTATATGATTAAAGACTCTGGCTTTTACCTTGTTTATCTCCTTCCGTAATTTATCTACCAGTAAAAAAATGGTAGTTATTATAAATTTGAACAAATCGAAAATGCAGAAAATTTCAAACCTGTTATTTCAGTTTTCTTAGGCTTCATGAGTTGACCCATCATGGACATTATATCTGAACCACCCTAAATCATCAATATTCATTTATCACAATTAGTTCTCAACCAACCAAACAATTTATATCTTTATCTGCAAAATCATTGTAATGAAATAAGTTTATCATAAAATGCTTAATGCTATCATTGAACTGTACAATTGCAAGTACACAAAAAGTATACCATACTATTAGTGAGGCCATTTTGCTAGGACAAAAGAGAGTACTTATAAAAACCTGAGGTCTTGCATTTGCCACATCAAGATCATGTAAAGTTACATCTTGAACTAACTCTTTCTTTTTGTGAACATCTCCTTTTGGTAAAGGTACATACTCTTCAGCCTGAAAGCATCAACAGTAACATCAAAATAGGTACATATAAGAATGATTTATAAACGAGTTTAAATTTTATAATATTACCTCAAGGTCAAACTCTGTTGCAAATGTGTCTGAACGTCCTTGGCGCTAAAGAAAAGAAGATATTCAAGGTAACAGGAGACAAAACTCAAGCACACAGTGGTACATACAAAATACATACATATGGAAAATATTTACCTTCACTGCTCCACTATTGGCTTCTATATAAATGACATCACCAACTTCTACCTTTTCCTTTTGCAGCGTTTCATATATCGAAGGGTCTAACTGTAGTTAACAGAATTGCCAAAAATTTCAGTACAAAAGTACAAAATTATTAATGCATCTGAATTGCTATTAATTTCTACTATTAACAAACCTTAAGCTGTTTGGTTCCTTTGGCAGTTTTTAATCCAATAACAACATGACTGACTGTCTTGCCATATCCTAACAAAGGAGGTGTTTTTGTAAAATTGAATTTTCAAAATTTATCATTAACTTTTTTACTTTTTCTTTAATCTCCTATGGAAAACAATTTTTTTTCTCCTTGATCACTCAGATCCTAACCTCCTAAAGGATTTTCCGTCTCGCATGGAGTAAGCTCAGTCACCTCCCCCTCATAAACTTCCTTGGTCTCTTTGATTCGTAAACCTATAAAATACAATGAAGTTGACTTGATGTTTGCTAGAGATTTATTAGCAGAGGTTCTGGTAACATATTAACCAGAGGTTCTGGTAACTTATTATCTTATAGCCTACTATTCTTGTGATGAAATTAAGATGCATGAACCTCCACAATGATGGTCATCTAATTAATACTTTATAATAACTCCACAATTACCAATTGCTCGTCTGAAATTTTCCATTAAAACTTCAGTTTTCTTTATTTCTGCTGAATAGACTTCACTGCCAACCATAGGACAAAATGGAACTTTGGGTCCCAACTCTTGAGCAATAGCTAGCGCAAGGGCCGTCTATAGAAACATTTACAGTTTCTTTATGGATATTGTTAAGATTGTTTTAAATGGGTTAAAATGGCACACAAATGCAGATACATCAAATGTACAGGAAGAAATGAAGGAATACAACATTAGTACCTTGCCAGTACCAGGAGGTCCAGCAAGGAGAATTGCACGACCAGCCATTTTCTTGGATTTAATCAATTCAACGACCACACCACAAGCCTAAATAAATTTCATTTATTCTTTTTCTTCAAAATATTTTATTTCATTATGAGCTGCATGAGATAATCAGCTCTCCGTGTATGGCAATATCAAATAAACTGATAACCGTCAGAGTGATCAAATTAATATACCGAAAAAGTCAAATGACTTGAAATTTTTGCAGAAAAAAATATGACTGGTCTGATTTCTAGGTAAGGTAACACACAGTGACCTCAGATTGCTCTTTTAATAACATGTTGAACCTTGCTTTCCAAAAACCTTTTTTAACCCAACAGGCAGAACCCTTATTAGAGAAATGGCTTCAGGATCACGCTTTAAAACTCATTCACGGGGGTTAGGGAAAAAGTGGAATGACCTACAAATAGTCACCTTACAGTGTACAGAGCTATATGGAACATTGAAATATCTCCAGGAATAATAGAAAACAGAGCAATATAGCAAATACTCATTATTCACAAGTGCATTATTGAGATCACGACAATAATATACATGCAAAACAGCCGAACAGTGGTTGAGAACAAAATAGCATTAAAATATTCAAATTTTAACTTACTTCACGTGCAGTTTCTTGTCCAACTAAACCCGATCCAGTTTGATGTGCAACACCCTCATCATCTAAACCAAGACCTTTCACATGACTATGTGCAGCTATTCTTTGTGTCTTGGTTGTACTTTTTACCTCTTCGATCATCATTTTGAAATATGTAAGTGTTAAATAAATCTAAAAGAACTTTTTTTACAAACTTTCTAGGCCTTGTTTCGCTGTTGTCAAGAAATTGTCAAGATGTCCCGCGCGTTTGGTGGGTTTGGTCACATGGTTTGGTACAACCTATCACATCGCTGGCTCGTCACTCAAGGAGGGCATTCGATACTTCATCTTGCAACTGGCAGTGGGATGCAAGTTGCAACTTTTGATTTTTGAACTTGATTAAACCACACCAACGTTTTGACCAATGTTTTTCTTTTTTAACGATTTCGCAGGAAACTTAGACTTTCCACTGAGATACCAATGTATTTATTGCGCAAAAAGACAGAACTAACTTGCATTAGTTGCATATGATCGGTCGCATATAGCACATAACAGTAACTATATTTAATATTCTTCTAAAATTCTTTTGGTTACATCTTAGAAACAGGATCAATTCCTAGAATGTAGAATGCTTTTTCCATGACTCGTGCTGTGGCCTCTAGTAATAAAAGCCTGTTAATATCAACTGTCACAATCTCTCCTGTGGTTCTGTCTTTTTCCACGCAGTAACAAGCATCGTAAAACTCGGTCAAAGTCGTAGCCAACTCGTATAAATATTCACAAAGTAAATGTAAATATAAGTCATCGAGAAGCCGCAGGATAATTTCGGGGAAACGAACGAGACATTTTGCCAACTTTAATTCTTTAGGATGAAGAAGTTGAATGGACGTATTGGCAGCAAGCTCTGCAAGTTTCTCTCTCTCTATATTCGCCGTTCTTTGAATGGATCTGTAATATATAATTACAATAGTCATATTTAACAGAAGAACTTAGATTGTATGCACAAAAATGTTGACAAAGTCAAGCAAAGCAGGCCGAAAATATATATTGCTTCATCAGCATCTACCCAAACTGGTTAGTTACCTTATTCTTGTGAAAGCATACAAAAGGTAAACAGCTGTGTTTCCTTTGTCATCCAACATCTAAATATTCAGAGGTATAACTTTCTTAATTTTAACCATAAACAAAAGATAGTTTTCATTTCAACGAAATTCCGGAGTGTTAACACGCAAAGACTTTCTTAGGATCTTTTTTGTTTTTTCTAGAGTTACGTTGGCGTAACATGTGTCATGTATTCTAACCTTATCGAAAGAAAAGACATAGTCATTAACTCTGTTATGGGAAAGATCAGCATATTTGACACAGCCATACGCCACAGAAGACTGAGCAGCATTTAATTCTTCTTTCGTGAGAACCTAAAAGTTAAACACAATTTACATGAAGATTGTGTGTTAAATCACTCACTAGCTTATATTCCATTGACGTACAGATTAAAATTTTGGTTATGATTACAAAATTAGGAATCGGAATACATAAAAACAGTTTGATATTTGGCGTTTTAAATCGACCGAGTAGTCATAACAGTACCTTTTCTCTTTCTTTTTCTTTCAATTTTTCCAAAGCACGTTTCAAACCTTCATCTAACAGATCACCCAAACGAACCGTATCACCAGATCGGGTCTTGAATTTCTTCCTAAAAAAGTAAAAGAGACAAGTGAAAGATGTTTAAATAACAACAGAAGATATATAATCAAGTTTCGTTCACTCCTTACTTGTCTTCTCCGAGAACAACACCAAATCCCACATGATCAACTCTGGTATTCTGCGGATTATACCATCCTGCTTCACGAGCGACAGAAAATATTGACTGGAAATGAACCCCCTCAATAGAGCAGAAGAACCGTATATAACACAATATACAGAAAAATATCAGATGGTGCACTGGGTATAAAATTCATTTAATTTTTGTGTTCACAGAGGTTCTGAAAAATATTATCAAAATGGCTGGGAAAGAGGTCGGCATTCGACACATTCTTTTTTTTCTCTTTTGGCATAGAAAATTGGCATCCGCGGTACTGTAAAACAAGAGTCTTAGAATCACCTGTCCAGCATCAACCACATAAATCAACCAGTCTCCTTTCTCGTCAAAAAGTCGTTGTTTTATGGCTGCCAAATCTGAAGTGTCGTAGGTAAAACCGCCATCTGATTTAACGACTGTTAGTGGAAGTTTGCCATCGGCAGGGAAAACAAGTTTACGTCCTTCTTCTTCTCGAATCATTTCTGAAATAATGGATACCAAACGTGGGTAGTTACATTGTATATAACTTAATACGACTATAAGTGCAGAAACAATGTGACATCGAGATAGATTGTGCATTTAAAGCACTGGTCGGGTGTGTAAAGCAACTTTACCCTTTGAAGTACACCACATAGTAAAGAAATAATAATTCAAATCCCATTTGAAACGATGACAGAAAAACATATAAACAACGTTTATTCTACGTGCGTTCTTGCTATATCGCTATACCACACAAATACCACACTACACCACACAAACGATTTAGCGCGGAACTGTTTGTCTCACTTTGAATGAATTAAAGGGCATTGTTTAAATAAAGCATCGTATATAGCATGTTCCAAAGAAAGTCACCTCGTTTTTCCAAGTCTTCAACTACGAGCGCCATTAGTTCCTGATAAAACGATTCCCCGCGTTCTATCAATGTTACACCAAGTTTTTCGTAGATTTTAGCAAACTCTGTAAAATAAATTGATGAAAATATAAAATATGGTTATCTCAGGAGCACATGCACATACACTCTTGCAACTCTTCACGATCGACATAAAGAATGACCTTTTCTTGAGACATCACATATCATCATCCAGGCTTTTCTAACATCAGGATCTCCATTTTGTAACAAAACAACACGCTCGTAGGCACGTTTCTTAAACACCTCGTCGTTATCAAATCGTGTTTTAGAAGCCTGTAAATACATAGCTATATGTAATTAAAAATTAAATTTTGTAATGTAATAATAAACGTATATACAATGCAATTAGCCATTCCGAAACTGCTGTGGGCCCCATTAATTAGCCTTGAACATTCTGCAAATACTGTAAACTTTCTGCAAATTCTGTAAAATTCATAACTGCGTCAATGCGAATAATAAAACAGTTCGCTTCACATCCATTTTACCATTTTATGAATTTTGCCTTAAGGGACACTCTGCAGTACTTGAGAGTGCAATATGAGATTTTACTTTTAACATTTGACTTTCTTATTTCCTCTATCCTTTCCACAGTGTTCTAATATTACGACAGTATATACGACATATACCTTATAAAACGCCTGCAAATCTTGAATTGGTGGTGATTCTTTCAAGTAGTTGGGAAATTCATCTTGTAAATGTGCAATAAGCATGCCAAACTGCGTGCCCCAATCACCAACGTGATTTAATCTGAAAATAAAATGCATAAAAATAGACGTAACTATATGTACAAATATATTTATTATTTAACTGAACAGATTTATGAAAAATATCATATGACAACCTACAAACATCTTTTGGTGGAAGAGTATTGATTGCCTTCGTCACGTACGTTGCATTACAAAGTGGGGATTTATTTAAATTCAGGGACTACCTTTAAGTTTCTTGCATACCTCAAAACATCATATCCGACATATTCTAACAGCCGGCTTAAACTCTCGCCAATGATCGTGGAACGTAAATGTCCGACGTGCATTTCTTTAGCAATATTTGGAGATGAAAAGTCGATCACAACTCTCTTTTTTCCACCAACACCAGGAGGTTTAACTCCGTTTTTCAAAACATTGTCAACAAAGGAAGAGACATACGATGTTTTCACGTGAATATTGATAAAACCTGGACCAGCAACCTCGACCTAGCAATATATAACATGATTTAATAATCAATTGTGCGAGATTTATAAAATTGAAACCTTCAGTTGTCAAAAACAATAATCAGTGCAACCAAAACAATAACATAATTAACCCCACTAATTCCACAAAATAAATCAACAATAAATACCTTATCAATGATGTCATTTTCTGGGAGATTCTTCAGAATCAGCTCTGCAATATTTCTAGGAACTGCTGATTGACCTTGTGATTTTAAAACCTACAAATATTGTTCAAGGGTCAACAAGAAATGCCACCATGCACAGATCATAGGTATAGTAGCAAGACTGCCATTGCCACATGTGTTGCAGTAATAATGCAACATTATAAGAATGGACCAAGTTTATGCTGGCATCATAAAATCACCTGTGATATGGCCATAGCATTGTTACATTGATAGTCACCAAACTTTTCAGAAGTTGATTTACTTAGAGCAGCCACAGTATCAACATCTGGAAATGAATGAGATATCGCTGATGTGAAGATATTCTTGAGTTCACCAAGAAGATTTGCTGTGTATTTGCTCGATTGACTTGTCTCATTTGAAATACTCTAAAAGGAAGATTAGAAAAATGGATTAGAAAAAACATTATTTCTAATCAAATGTCAAGAGCACATATATGTAAAATAAAAAGTTCAAGATTGCAAAAAATCTCACTTCTCTGGATTATGCTTATTGATTGACTTCCTCATAGCTCATTCATTTAACAGTCACAAAGATTGTGATTTTGGTAATTTTCAATTGACTATATATATGAATATGTGCTTGCATATGTAGTCAGCTTTACTGACTTATACTTTAATTATACCTTTTCTAAATGACCAATTTGATATTTCAATTTTGAGTTCTCTGTTTTTAACTTTGTCAATTCTTTATCTTCTTTTTCAGCAATGGTTTCTTTCAAGTTTTCCATTTTCCTTTTTAAATTTACAATTTCATCCTCCTGTTGAACGACATAATTATTATTTACTTATATCTGATTTTACTTAATGGCATAGAACACTACAGAACACATAGTGCCTGATTATGACAAGATGTTGCTTTACAAAACAGGTAAAGAAGTTTGTTTCCCTTTGGGCATTCCCTTTAGAAAATGTTGATATTCAGAGACCAGACCAGACGTGATGGGATTACTTGCATTTGGGAAATAATTTATCTAAACTTTTAATATTGTATTACTATTGCATAAACAATAATTAGTTTTGATGAATAACTTAATTACCATGGAATTTGGAATTTGTCATAGAAATATACCCCTCTCTGGACACCCAGCCCTGGCCTCTAGCCAGTACTTTCTATTGCATAACTAAAAATTCTCAACTCATTGGGCTGCACCCAGTGAAGATAATTGTTATCAAGTTGCGCAGCAAGTTGATATAAGGCTTCAACAATAGGTTACTGAAATTTGATAACAATGTTTGTGGGGTTCATCACAATGATTACATTGTTTCATCAACCAGAAACAACTTGAGTGTTTTCTGTTTTCAGTCTTGTTTAAAAAGAGTCAGCATTTAAATATATTATATATAAACTGTTAATGTAGTGTGACTCATTTAATAAGCGAGTGGATGAATTTGGGACGTTCCCAAATTCGTCGCGATTCTTCATTTCTACCGTGTGAACATCTAACCGGACATGTTCCAGCACGGTCCCAAATTCGCCCAGTCCATAATTTAACAATGAAATGTGAATGTAGCCATTAACTGATCAACTGAGTACTGTACTAATATCAAATATTTTAATATTCCAATAATACATGATAGATTACACTGATGCACATTAACAGAAAGTACAAATTCAAAAACAAATAATTTAACAACACGTCACAAAGATTTACCGATAACTTTGCCTTCTTTCTGTATTCATCAATTATGTTCTCTTGAGCAGCCATTGATGTTCGTACTCCACGTGTAAGCGTTACAACTGAACAAAAATTTAAATTCGGTTTCAAAATAAACTTTACTCTTCTAAAAACACAGCTCTGCAGAATTAAACTTAGCATAAAATGTTCAATGTAAACCAACGATCAGACGTTTACCAAGAAAGGAAAAAAAGAAAGTTCAAGGGGTGATTTGGAAACAAAAGTCGTCAAGTTTATTTACATCTCCCCCCTGATATAGCTTTGTTTTTCAATATATACCGGGAGTGTTGAAAATGTTTGATGGATCACGGAAAACACTGAAACACTGACAGGAAATGATCACTATCACGTACACACTGACAGTACATTTCATTATTTTGATTTGCTGTATATATAAATAAATGAAATGAATACTACTTAAACTAAATGGCTAAGTTAAGAAAATCAGATATTGGTATATCAACATTTTTGGCCTCCGTGCATCCAGCTAACACATGTGGAACGAATGGACTCCCTCTTACACCAAACTCAATTGTTATCTATGGAAGATTTCAGAGACTGAAAACTTTACATCATCCAAATCTGTGTGAATATCTGGATATTGTCCGTGGCAAGCATGGTATAGCATAGTGGTTGTAAAGTAGATTTTTTTTCGCTGTGACATTTTGAAAATATATCATGACATTGACAGCTAGGTGCAATGGCTTGAAATATTCAGTGTGTAACTTTTAAATTTGAAAACCATAAGCATACAGGATGGGGGGGGGGGGGAGGTTGAAGCTGCCCTACCAAAAACAATTGAATTGGCAGGTTGGGCTAATTTTTAATGAACTCTACCAAAATTTGGGCAATTTTTGCAGAAATCAAAGATCAGTTAAGCAATTTTTACTTTTGAGTGGGATCATTTTTTGCTGAAATTATTTGTCAGCCTCCCCAAAATCTTTAGCCCCATAAACCTATGTGAAAATCAAAAGTACACTTACACAGAAATATGCTTATGCTTTTAGAACGTTTAGTTGTGGTGGCTGAACATCATAAAGTCTGCTTACATGATGTTCTAGAGAAAAACAGATTTAGGTATTTTCAGATTTCACTCTTTTGGTAACCTAAAACATTGCATGTCTTGGTGGACTTAATAATCCATCTAATATTTTCATATGCATCTTAAATTTTAAATAAATTTGCTATAATTGATTGTCAAACTACTTACAATAACTCTCTTTTATCTCCAGAGATTTTGACATAATTAAAGGAATTGCATGTGACATCATCATGGGGTTGGCGTTTCTGAATAAACAGAATATAGTTCATAGATCATTAACTTTAGACAACATCTTACTAGACATTAAGGTTAGTTAAATGGAAACAGCCCAAAACTTGTTAAACAAGTTATTATTTACTGTTTTTATAAATTGGATTTCAAGACCTGAAAAAATAGGTGAAAGTGACTGTTTCAAAAAAGTGCACTTCAAGATGAAGACCAATTGTTATAGCCTACAGAATGACTATAATGTCTTTAGGACTTTGCTGCAATAAATTATGAACCTCATTCTAGTTTTTTAGGGCATTTAATTAAGGCCCTGTTTGGCTGGATTGTTTACTAGCTACCACTGGACTTAATTCACCAATGCATACTAGTATCCCACAGTTAATCAAAACTGTTACTCAGCTATAGCACGGCAAAAGTTGGCGTACCAGTCAAAACGGCTCCACTCCAGCTCAATTTGAATACTGCGATAATAATGTGATAATAACGTGATATTTATGCTTCATAATGCAGTCGTTTTGAGCGTTGCTGACCCTGACGATTTTTAGTCTGTTTGTGTTTTCCAGACATCAATATGACTACGAGGGTGCACTATATTTCGCAGCTAATTTGCGAAGTTCAATCTGAACGTTTGAGGCAAAAGTTTTATAAAAAACCTGTTTAACCTGCTTTGTATTTACAGGGAAATGTCAAATTGTCTAAATTCGGACGTTTCTTTATGACTAACAATGGCACTGCTGTGGATTTTCCAATTGGGTAAAATATTATAATTTTTTTCTCTAAATCCGCAATTAGCCTTTCTCACGATGACGAATCACCATTTTTGGGGTCTTTTAAATTTTTTAAATGGGCTTAAACGATTATGACAATTAATATATGAAAAGCATTTAAAGAGTAAATTCAGCTCGCGCTCATGAAGGGCTAAACACATTACTTATTTCCATTTACAAGGGCTTGTACTTTACTTATTTCCAATCCCTCGATGTTCCACCCTGACTCAGACTGATCTCGTGAAAACCACGTTGTTCAAAACGGGAAACGTGTTATATTTACTTGACGCCATAAATTAGGGTGCATCGTGATCAGGCTGAGTTCGCGAATAAGTAAGAGAATAATCTGTAATAAGAATTGTTTGCAATCGGAATATCATGTGAGATGAACCAATTTCTTTAACACAACATGTTTTACTTCTCCTTATCTTATATAATATGCATTGTTTATCTGCACGAAATATCCACACCAGTACATGTAGCTCTTTGGTTACAGGTTTGGTTGATTATTGGTTTATTTTAGATCACCAAGATATCTTGCACCAGAAATCTTGCTACGAGGTCCGCAGTCTTCAAACCTGTCAGGTGCATGCAGCGCAAAGGTATACATGTTGCTTGTAAACTGATAGTGTTTGTTCGTTGAAAAAAACTTCATTTTCACCAACTTTGGTATGAACTTTCTACTGCTGGCGCTGTCCTCTTTTGATAAGAATCGAATTGAAATCCAAATGGCCATGCATGCAAATAAAATCGTCAATTTGATCCAGTGATTTGATCTAGTTTGACGACCAGATGCGAACCTTCTTCTATTTGTTTCTTTGCTAAATATCGTGTGAATTGTCTGACACTCTATAAACCTAATTCCCTGGTATGTAGACATAAAGAACTACGTGTCTTAAACGCGAGTTTATGCATTTTACCAAACGATATTTTCAGTATAGCAAAGAACCAACGTGCTGCCTTTAATTTCCACTAATAGGCGGACGTTTGGTCTCTAGGAATCATTTTAACTGAGCTTGTTATGGTAAGAAGTTTTATACTTCATATTTCCCGCACGTGTGGAAAAAATTATAATAATGAAGATATTGATCTCCAACTGTTTTAGGGCAAACTAATTTGGGGCAATCTGACCAAGAAATCAGACATTAAGAAAATATTAGAAAGAACACTGTCATTATTAATAAAGGAAAAGGGTATGTTGACTGGTATTTAAATTACTCAACAATTGTAAGTCACATACATGCATGGCGATTTTTTTATATAGAAACTGGCGAAAGTCCATTTTGTTTACTGCTGAAAGAGCACGATGCAGCAGATATACTAAAGGTATTTACAAATATTTATGAATATATTTAGTATACTAGTTTACAGTATATATGATAATAAGGCTAACCAACTATGGGCTAACATATTGAATGCATATTCAGGGAATTCCAGCAAACTTACGTTCTTTTATTGAATGTTGTCTTACCATTAAGCATTCCAAAAGGTACAGAATATCATTTACATAGTGTTCAATTTTTACTTGTGCATGCGTAGTATGTTACTGTAGTATACTGATTTTCACGCCTATATATCATATTTTTCAGGCAAAGTCCAATGGATCTTCTTAACCACCAGCTTTTTTCAGACTTAAATACAATTAATAAGGTAAATTAAGTCTTCAATTTTTTTTCAATCATAAGGTAAAGTTTGGTATTCTAGAATTCTAGAATAGAATAATCAGCGATGCATTGTATAGCTGTAATTCAATTATTCAATTTTTTAGGCTAGTGATGAAATTCATATGGAAGTATTTCCTGCGATATTTAGGTCTGGAGATCTTGAGCTACCTGTGGATTCTCCGAAAAAGAGCATACCTGGTAAGTAGGAAATTCACCTTTGAAAAGTCTAAAGTATTGTATGAAACAACGCATTCAGTAGACCTTTCTCATAATGACGTGACTAGTCTACTTTTTTCACGTAATTTATTATGACGTAATTTATCATTTAGTCTGAAGATGTCTTAAGTTAAGACGAAACGTTACTACCAAATATATTTTTATTATTCTCAAATGGTTTGATTGTCTCTTATGGCTTTACTGAAAGCACTATGTTGGGCTTTAATATTTATACTTCGAATACGCTTCCCGCCCGGCACGTCTCTGGCAACAGTATTGAATGACGTGAAACGTTTAGTTTGATTGGTTCCGTAAAACTTACGGTCACAGACAAAATATCTTTCCCGCGTCCGCAATATTGAATGCAGTCATCCAAACTAATTTTGCTTAATAATTTTCAATTATACGTTTCTTATCTTTAGGAGAAGATCGACTGCAGGAAAGGTATCAGTGAATAAGATTACTTCAAATATCTTTTTCCTGTGGAGTTCTATAGACGTCTTCGCTGTGACGTAGATTGCAAACAAAGCTTGCTTGCTTCTGATTAGTCAAGAAGCAAGTCATTAGTCGTGCGTATAGTACTATAAGCCCTATATCTTTCTTACTATGGTGGGATTTTGTCTTTTAGATATATTAGAGAAGTATATCATTTGTGGACGCTAGCTGGTGGGGATGTTTTTGCTGAGCTGAAAAAACACGACTTGATCAAGACATTTCCCCCTGTTTGTAATTTGCCCAAGTAAGTATGGCAAATTTCATAAATCTTAGATAAATTATGTGAAAAGGTACAGTCCTTTCTTGCTAAAAAATACATGATTAACACATGCATAGTTCTCGATTTACGGTCTGTTATAGTATTTTTAGTATTACTCTACCTAATACTTGTATTAATGTGCACGACCGACCAACAATATCCTGCTTTCTATAAAGTATATTCTCGTTTCGTGAAAACAAATGCATTCGCACATACATGCACCCACATTCATTCTCAATACATTCTTTATGACTTGTGGATATCGTGGATAACACTCCTTGTTTTTATTTTTGACAGTGTTATATTACAAGGTGGTGATACCCTTGGCGTTGCGAAAGACAGAAATCTGTTGCTTGATGATAGTGTTGTTTGCTTGTCTTTGGAAAGAGTTAGAGAGGTGATGCACCAATTGATTCTTCTCTCAAAGATACCTTGTCATAACGTACTCAATCTAACTTCATGTAACATCTTGCTTTCGGTGTTTGTCATGATAAGTAAAATCTATTCAACATTTCATTTGAAATGTTCGAGTAAAACTGTTTGATAAGAACTTGATCCAGAATATTTACACATCCATCATACAGGGGCCATCCACCGAATAGTGATTTTTTCAACCTTTCTTGAAAAGCAATGAAATTTCAGCTTTGGAACTAAAAATTACTCAAGACGATCCCCGATATAGGAATACAAAGATTTAATCAAAATTATGATAAAAAAGGGCGATTTTGAAGCGATTGAAAAAACCACTATCCGTTGGATAGCGCTAACCGGCTTTCATACAACCGACCCTTGATGTATCCTAACATACTAAACATAGGCAACGCGGTTTTAATCTTTTCTACTATTGGCAATTACATATGCATGTACGATTTCAGTTTAGGATATCTTGAGCATATAAGCTAAACTATTTTTCCGTTGTAGCGATTATCTCATGTGGAACCTAGTGCGTATTATCCACTACTAGCTCAAAAAGAGTAAGTTACTGGGAATTTTTTGTATTGATAATGTTTGCGAATAATTCATAAAGAAACCACATTCAAGAATTGTTATTATACATAAGAAGCGTTTCACTTCACTATACAAAATTGTACCTGTTATTCCAATTACATCGTACATGATAATTAAATTGTTTTTAAAGTTAAATATTTGTTTTAGTCCCTGTCCTTTTGAATTAAGTGAAATGGAGAGTTTACCAGTTGTTATCCGGGAACGTGATGTAGAATATCAGGTGATAAACAAAGACTTCTTCAACGTTGTTTACTTACAGTATCACATAAAGTGCCTCGCCTCTGCACACTAGAATTTTTCTAGACTCCTAATGGACAAGAGATCCACGCGTAGCGAGCCTAAAATCTCCACCTGTGAGCGTGATCAACACGAGCAGCCATCAAATTTCATCATTTTTCCTGGGAAAATATGCAACCTCGTACCCAGGGTCTTTGGAAAATATGATTCCTGTTGCTATGCTTTCCCTAGCAATGCGAATCTGAAAAGTTCGAAGTAGTAATTTTGTTTCTAAATGATTTTGGTTTTGTTAAATCAATATAATAACTTCGATCATATATAAGGAAATTTATCTCTTAACTTCCCTTACGTAAAATAGGAGAAAAATTCTGAACTAAATGTCTAATATCTAATGTTGTTTCATAATTTCTATAGTTTCGTCGAATTGTCATTTTCCAGAGATTGCTTGAAGTAAGTGCATTCTTAAAGCTTTGTTCTACGGAATGCCATTGTTCTGAAAGATTTAGTCCTGTGCTGGGTGTAGAAAGCAACTTCGGACGTCCAAAACACTAATGAGTATGCAGTGTCGGTAGCTAGTAAGAAGCTGTTCGTTGGTGTCATTGAATTTAACTTCCGAAACAAATTATGTTGCTGCCATACGCTCTATGATACAAATTACCGTCTCGATCAATCGTTTACCAATGAAATGAATTCTGTTTTGTGCGTTTTTAACGTTGTTAAAGTGTCGACATTGTGTTTTTATCTAGGGTTATCCTTTCACAAGAGATAAAATCATTAAAGAGGCTCGTGTTGATATCCCTCCTCTGTTACGCGCTCAGGTCTGGGCAGCGTTGCTTAATGTTACGGTAAACACATCATAATTTTATCCTTTATAGCTTATTTTTTGCCTAGGTAAGATAAGCTCTGTCCCTTGTAATAACTAGCACAGGCTTTAGTATCTCGGTCTATCGCATGTAGTCATACTGCTGATCTCCTTGAAGGCTCACGGAAGTCTGCACTATATTGTTATACATACTGTCTAAAAGAAATTTTGGAAGTCATCAATTGTACGAATTTCATTCGCCAAGCAATAGCTAAACCACAGATTAACACCCAGATGTCTCACTTCTGACTCAAAAGCGTAAGCGATTCGTCACTGCGCATCGCTTTCTGCGCACGCTTAGCAAGTGACTAGAGGCATTCACCCCCCCGAAATAAAATTTCAAAATGGAGACGAACTGAATTGAAGTGAAAAACTGCACGATGTGTCAAATGAGTCGGAATATATGTACATTTATTGATTTGTACAGGAAGTTCCATTCAATGTAAAGATATTCAAACACTTTTTAAAAGAAATATGTTTGAAATTATGGAGATTTCTACTGCTTATAATTTTCCGCTCCTATGACAATCGAAAAAAGATAAAACACTCGAACAATATTGAAAACGAGGTACTCTAAACTCACTTTTCCAAAGCGGGTATAGATGATGATGGATTCAGACACAAACTTAACTACACAGTCGCCTTTTCTAGCAAATGAGAGGAGGTTTTTTTCCATGTATAAAATAGTTCGGCTCCATTTTGAAATTTCGGGGGGGTGAATGCCTCTAGTCACTTGCTGAGCAAGCGCTTACGCTTTTTTAATCAGAAGTGAGACATCTGGGTAATCTGTGGCTAAACGCTTTGCTGTTTTTGTCTTTACCAGTTTTAAAACTTGTTTTAAAGTATTAAGTATTTGGATTGATGTAATAACTTAGGCTACATTATTTTATTAAGGGTAATGTTCCCCTTACCTATGATGACATTGACAAGGATTCTGTTACTCCAACAGATAGACAGGTAACCATAATTAGAGACATATATGACGTTATCATCCTCATTACGATATATGGATCAGCCAATATTATATTTCGCTGTGCTACTAGTATATCTTGGTTTTTCTACAGAATATACAGAAACAAAAATTAATTTCCTAAAAATAATTTTCGTGCAAAAACAACAAAGCATAATTATTTTCGTGTAGATTGAAGTCGACATTCCTCGTTGTCATCAATATCACCAGCTTCTTGCTTCACCAACGGCCCACGAGAAATTTAAGAGATTGCTGAAAGCTTGGGTTGTCTCCCATCCTGGCTTAGTTTATTGGCAAGGTTAGATCAGAACAATTCCTGTCCCATGTGTCAAAAGTCCCATGTACATGCATGTTGGTGCTTATCCTTCTGTAAACGCCCAGCCGGCCCAGGTTCTCTCTTTATCGTTTTTCGTGCTTTTTTCAGTGTATTTTGTTCAACTAAATGTTTATTCTAGGCTTAGATTCATTGTGTGCTCCATTTCTGTCACTCAATTTCAATAATGAAGGTAAGATGTTAAATATGATTTTATACTGATTTAAACTGATTTTATAACGTTGAATAAATATTTAAGACATTCCTGAATGACGAATTAATCAAGAATAAGACAATAAGAAACAAATTCTGGCATGTTTTACATACCTTATAACCGTAGAAGAAGGCAATATCACAGGATGATCTAAGGCGTGAATTCATTCATGCAAACTCGATTAGTTTGGAATAGGTGTTTTCTCATAATAACGTATGCAACAGGCGGAACGCCTGATATCATACACGAGGAATTGAATTGCACTCAAATTATTTTTGGAAAACTGATTCAGTTCTATTTAGTTATATTCTGTAAAATGAATGTCTCCTTTCCTTTTAGCTTTGGCGTTCAGTTGTCTCAAATCTTTTATTCCGAAGTATCTTTATAATTTTTTCCTCAAAGATAACTCTCACATAATTCAAGGTAAAAACATTGAATGAATGTTCATTATATATCGTGATTTAATCAATTATTGTTTTTTCCCATGACTTTTGGTATTGTTCTTGTGCTGTTGTTACGTTTATATGTTCTTAATGTACTGAGACGATTTTTGTTTTAAAGACACCAAACGCGCAAATTAGCATTCTGTGCGTCTATATAGATTCTAAAAGCTATGATTGGAAAATGATTATAAATTTTATAATGTTTCATATTTAGAATATCTCGCTGTATTTTGTCATTTGATTGCGTTCCATGATCCTGAATTGTTTAGTCACTTAGACGAAACGGGGTTTCAACCAGAGGTAATTAAATGAATTCATAATATAGGAAACTCATCTTAGACGAAAAAGTTGATAGTAAAAACCCGTGGATAAAGGCTGCTTTCCAGTTACGCGTTTTTTATACGCACGTACACGCACGTAAAAGTCTAAATCCTTATACATGTTACCTTTGAAAAAACTAAGTGAATAAATCGAAGGAACTTAGTTTTCCGCATATTTTAGTATGCACTTGTAGACCTGGATGTTAAATAATAAAAATTTAGAAGCATTTCAAATTTTCCGGGCGTGTACGTGCGTATAAAAAACGTGTAAGTGGAAAGCAGCCCTAAGTTTCTATACGTATGGTGGGTCGGATAATGCTAAAATAGATCTCGTTGCTAATTATTGCGATCATCATTTTGCATATCTTTTTCTTTCCTTGTTCCGTCCTTGACCGTGTTGATATTTTAGAATGATTGATATTTTTATGATTTATCCGTTTAAGAGTTTCTCTTCCAGACGGGCGGATTCTCGTGCAACTTACCCGTCTGTTTAGATGGGAAAGTTAAACGGGAAAATTCGGATGAGAGACCCCGCGGATGTGAATCAGACGAGTTTTCCGTTTTCGATGAGTTTCCCGTCTATCGAAGCAATACATATGTAGATATATCCTCATACTGCTCTTCTGAATGCACGTAAACCTGTTTTTGCAATTGTTAAAGACACACACAACTAAGGTCACAAGATTTGATATAGGACACCTGGGTCCGGTTCCAGGAAGCCGAACAGCGCTATATATACGTGCCTGCATGCCTGCACCGGATTGTTATGTTTTAGGTTGTCTGGTATAACCTAGATTAAACCCAAGAATTTTAACGTTGAGTTTAATTGTTTGGACCATATATGCATGTATAGTTTTATTTTTACCAAGGTTGTGCATGATCGCGATATCTGCATGGTCTTTGCTCATTCAATATACGATTTTCATTTCAGCTTTACGCCATTCCCTGGTTCCTGACAATGTTCACACGTGAGTTTATATATTTATTTATTATATGTTTATTTATAGCTGAGAATTTTTCGGTTTACGGAACTGCACGCCTTTACTATTAGTGCGGAAAAAGTCTCAGGTTGCTTAGGGCCATTTTTACTGGGATTGAGAAAACTTTTTATTCAAAACAGAAGAAACAGAGTGCACGGATTGCAATGCAGAGCGTAATGCTGCATGGTTACGACTTTCACTTTTGGTTCAACTGAATATACTGATATTCGTAGTTAGAATTTCAATGAAATAACGACCTGAGCTACAAGACTGCATGTATGCCTTTTTAGATTTGGAGTGCTATACGTTTAAAGTGTCTTTGCATGTATATACATACAATTACGAAACCATTTTAGTAGAGTTAGCCGGTTTTGCAGACATTCAATATAATAACAATGAGGAAATCCGGTGATGAAGTCGCGTGAATATGCCGTGGTCGAAGAAAAGGCTACGTTGCGTTATGTGCATGTATATATAGTGTAAAATGCACGTAGCTATAGAATGTATAACTGAGCTAAACACTATCTAACATATTATTCCCACAAACAGAAATGCATCAGGTATTATCAGAATAATCTTGACAGTAGCTGAATAATTAGTTATATATTCATTGAAAATTGCGGAAGATTTAATTTTAGTCGCCGCCAAAAAAAAGCTCTAAAGTCCGAAAAATATTTATATCCTAATTTTGTCGTGATGCACATTATGCAATCATTCGATTCCAATCGCCATATGATAGATATCATAAACATCGATGAAAAACTAAAAACATCGTTCTTGTGATGATAAATATGAATTTTTTTCATATTTCCTGTTTATCATATATATTGGATTCCACGCATGTCCTATTTTTAACCGTTATGGACTTTGCTTAGAGGACACTTGCTTGAAGCTCGTTTACACTGCACTCAATTTATTGGCACGACACGGCTAAAATGGGTATCCGTTCGTGCTCAATTTTATTAGTGTTTAGGCTACCGAAACAAAGGCCGGGCACTAATGAAATGGACATGGGTACTCATTTTAGCCGTGCCGTGCCAATAAATCGAGTGTAGTGTAAACGGGGCTTGAATTAAGCTGAAAATATTAAGCCTTACTTAGGTAGACTCTATATAAGGACACCATTGACAAAAGTCATGACTAGATGAAGATGTATCTCCAGTATACGTGAAGATGTAGTAAAAATCGGTTGTTCAAATGATTAATACTACATTAAAATTGAATTTGCTTCAGAAATGCAGCTTCAATTTTGTTTTTCAGTTTTTGAATATTTTGTAAATAATATTTAAAGTATTGATTTCTTCCTATACTGCTGTACTTCTGATATATTTATTCTCGTCAAGCTATTATTAAATTTCTGTTTACAGAATTCTGCCGCAAACAGGTTAAACCGGAATAACCAGTTAGTTCACAACTAGGCCAGGGCTCAATACTATCAGACAAAGAGCAAAAATTATTTAAGAAATTTTCGTTAGAGACGTTTTAGTGGTGCTGCATGGTGTATTTCAACCGTATTTGCAATAACACTTATGTATACGATGTCTGTATTGATGATATTTTGAAGAAGATACAGTTCATGGTTATACGTTTGTTGTTTTAGCGCTAAGTAGCAACAAGGAAATATTTACTAAAGCGACAAGGTCATTTTTTACAAATATAATACAACAATGGTCGTATGCCCAAGAGCCTCTTGTACTTAACGATCATACACTTATATACTCCTCATGTGTTGCACTTAAACACTTGTAATTGAAATACATTGGTGGTTTCCCTGCCGGTTTTAGCATAAAAGAATCTTCCGACCTACGTGTTATCGTGCTGTGAGGTCGAACCCACAATTTTGTATTGATTTTTTTTATAAGATTGTTTTCGTAAGCACAATGATGAACTTGGTCTTTGTGAACGGTTTGAAGTATCAAAGAACAAAACGGTTCACACTGGATTTGCATTGACGTATTTGCAATTTAAGATCAACCAAGTGTGAGATGATTCTCAGTAATTTATCAAAGTCTCCGTGTATTACGGCGCCAACAAATTCAAATAAAAAAACGTCACTATTGTATGTTAATCTAAGCGAGACATCTGAAAGAACAAAGTGAAGTTTATAGACACTGCAGCTTAAAATGTTGTCTAAACCATAGCAAGAGTTGGCTTAATCACGGATTAATTGAATGTCACCTATACGACACGTAATTGTGTGAAAATTGATATCTCGAAATGAGGGAGGGACAATAGTCTTCGTCCATTCGCTCCTCCCTAAATATTTTGGCACCAGTATTAGACATGGTTGGTGCGCTGCACCCACAGAATATTTACTATATTAAGTCATTTTAGTTAAACAAAGAAAACCTTCTAAAAGACATGAATGAAATAAAGCCTAGTTAATCCTTTGGCATTGAGCTGATGGTAATTTGGCGGTTAGACAACGCTCTTTGAAACAATGGAGACAATTTTGCGACTTTATTTTGTGTTTGATTCCCAGCATAGACAATTGTGTGGCGCTGTGCAGAGTTGGAGTATTGTTTAAATTATTAGTGATATATTACATGACATCTGGAAATCCATATATTTCGTAGTTAATATATAAGATCTTGTTTGATTTATTTACAGTAGCATTTTAGCTAATACATTCACTTAAAATTAGTGGTTTCTAATATATCAAGAAAATTCACATTGGCGAGGAATGTGCTTGTTCTCAGAAGCTACTAGAATATGCTTTTCATTAACACAGCTATGTAGTGTGAACTATTTTCTTATGCATCGCTGTGTGCATGTTAATCATTTGTTATTTGGGGGGGGGGACTTCATTCACATCAACCGCACGTTTCTATGACCATATGATCAATCTCTGTAAGTCAAGTGATCGATTGTAGTAAATGTCACGACAAATTTTACATGAAGACTTGTGCTGGTTAAATAGCTATAATTCAATTTATACTGTGTATATATATACGTATACATATATATATACCTAATAAGAGGATATTTTGTGATGATTGCTTAATCAGTTTTTATGATTATTGTTCATGATATTTCTTCAAAAAAATCTATGGATGTCATTGTTAGAACAAACCATGCATTGATAGAACTGTGCGTTTATAGACACGTAACGAACCTAAAGAAAAACATTTCATAACTTCCATTAGCATCGCTATGTCATTATGTCGAAAACTATGCTGACCCTATTGCTTCAGTAATATTAATCTTAAAACAGCATGAGATATTTGAACCGGGTATATACAGTCACAGCTGGTTTTGAACACAATCACCTGGAAATTATTATATCTTTAGAAATAGTTAGCTTGGAAACAATTGATATTATCACAGCAGAGACTATCAGGTGACAAATTTGGGATGAAAATTTAACACTTGCTATCAGTTCCTGATCTACCTCTGCAGGCAGAGTAGATTCGCCACATTTTCATCAAAACGAATTTCAACGATCTTGATTGTGACATCTCTATACTTGTAGCATGCTCTTCGAGAAGTCACTGGCTGTGTGCATGCATTTACCCTATATGACTTGTATGTAATAATATGGATTCATTATTATATAATTGTTTAGGCTCCCAACTAGGGCAACATCTAACATTCCAAACACCGTGTGATACAATTTTGAAAAAATTAATATGCAATGCTGGCTATATGCTTGCTATAAAACCCTAATGTTCGGCTTTTCAAATTTGCTTTTATCTGCAGCGAAATGCATAATATGTCAATACACCTTAGGAAGACTGTGAAATGTAAAATCAAAGGATATGTTTCAGTTTGTTTTGTTTCTAGTTCAATGTGGATACAATGAAGCAAAATATTCGCACGGACCTGCATGTTTGTTGCACAATGAGATTATAATATTTTCCCACAACAATAGAATGCAAGTCCACCGACCTTGTGTTTTGCACGAAAACAAAACGGCTTGGGCTAAAAATATCTTTGTTTTCTTCTCTCCAATAGGGACATGAACTATTGACATTGGAAAATTAAACTTTGCAAGCTAATTACATTTGAACTTTAGTGCACTGTAGGGTGACGTAGGTCTCATGAATGCTAGTGTTGGAATGTTGCTTGACTCGTAAAAACTAAAATCCTTCGACATTATTCAATAACTAAGATGAAATTTTTTTGAAACTCCATCCTGTCACAGTTAGTTCCTTATTTTAACCTTTAGATGATTTGGAGTTTGTAAATAGTCTTAGCCAACGTCATGTTTAACCCAAATAGAACTGACAGAAAAAAAGATTAAGCAAATCCTGTACAAATTGACGTATACGAACTCCATGGCCTTCTGTCGCTATGAAGGGATCCTCCCCCGTAAATAATGATAAAACAAAGAGGTTATCATTCAATCTCTTTGCAAACAAATATACTACAAAAATAGTCTTAGAATAATTCTCAGCGCTGTCGGAAGAGAGATTACTGGATAAAAACTTAGACTAAGTATATATTTATTACTAACAACAGAAAGCCTCTCTTCACATATGTCGCCATTGTTTACAATTTTATAGAACTTCTTGAAAAAGGTTTTATATGTGTGCATTTATGATCATTTTGACTATATTCTTTTGCTGACGTAATTCTTTGTATAAGGTCAAGGTAAATTATAGCCTAAATGTCAAGGTCCATTTGTTAGTGAAATATATGCAAACAATATACACACTATAACAGGTAATATTTGTTAAATTAATCATGTCTTCAATTCCTTTGAAGCGCAAGGCGCTTTCTCTATGATAGCTTATAGTATCATTGCGAAATGCAGGCAGTTACTATATCAAGTTGATTTAAGTTTGCATCATGAGGAGTTTTTCCCTTAACGACATTCAAAGCCTGCTGTCCACATCTTGCAACATTAGTAGACGTTTGTTATTTCAGCTGACAAACAAGCCCTATTGTCTCGGGTACACATTAATTTTAAAAGACTGTGGTCGTAGAATAAAACCAAATTCAGGTGCAAGACTTGGACAACCCGACAGTTCAATTCTATACTTGTGTACAATACCACCAAGAAGTAAAAACAACTGCAGTTGAGCAAGCAAGTGACCAAGACATTTACGAGTGCCAGTTGAGAATGGTATAGAAGAAAAACGAGCTCTGTTTACTTCACCATTTTCATCGATAAAACGACCAGGATCAAATTTTAAGGCATCTTTGAAAACTCTTTCGTCGTGGTTAACAGCCCATAAGTTCACGAAAACGATAGTGTCTTCAGGGACTCTGTAAGGTCCGACACTTGTCTCGCGTTCTGCATAATGTGGTACAGCTAGAGGAAGAACTGTGCTATATCGTAGAGTTTCTAAAACAGTTGCCTCTAAGAACGGCAAGCGATTTTTATCGTTCACGCTTAAACAGTTAACTCCAACGACATCCTTTAGTTCCTGGTACAGGCGATCTTGAATGTTTGGGTGACAAGCGAGATAAAGAACCGCCCAAATAAGACTTGTACTGGTTGTATCAACACTTGCACCATACAAATCTGTTAACAATGTAGCAACATTCTCTTCATTCAAGTCAAGTTCTTCACCAAGAGCAACCAATCTTTCATTAGTACCATTCTCATAACATCGCACTAATGCATCACCAATGCAACCAATTTTGTTTTTCTTGTTGAATTTTTCTTTCTTCTCAAAGTAAATGTGGCGGACAAAGTTCAAAAGATGAGCAATAATTTCCTTTATTCTTTTGAATGATCTTTCGAACAATGGACTTAACCATGGTAAAAAATCCGGTAAACCGCTGACGTTGAATTCGCTAAACTCTTTCAATATTTCGTTCAGTTTCTCTTTATTCTTCGGTTCAATATCCTCGCCAAAAGTATAGTTAAAATTCATTTCAGCGACTGCATGTTTTATGTCATGAATTGGATCAAATTCTTCGTTATGGTCTGAAAATCGTTTGCAAAGATTTTCCAAACCATTGTTAATTTGAGAGTCCAGTCGTTCGTGATCTGACATAAAGCTATGCATGCAAAGGTGGGCTAACCGTCGTTTCTTGACGTACATTTCATCGTAAGGTCCAAACGTTAGACTTCCTTCGCATGCTTGCAGACTGTTCAACGGCGGTCGGCTGGAAAAATCGCTAGATTTCTTCACTAATGTTTCCTTAACACAGTCCAGAGAATTCAAGACAATAACACGGCGAGATCCTAATTGTAATCTATACACATCACCAAACGTCTTGGCCAACTCTGTAAGTCGTTCATGAGGTTTGCTGCCGAGCAAATGAAGATTACCAATAATTGGCCATGAGAATGGACCCGGAGGAAGACCAGTGTTCTCTTGCAGTCGTTGATATACCAGGAGTATGCATGTTGTTGCAAACAGAACGATAAGCACCGGGCATAGATACTTGGACAGAAGCATTGCTAGAAAGCTACCAGTGAAAACATGCATCTTTATTCTTGATAAACTACACACCGTCTTATATATTTGCAAGTTAAATCTTTCTTGTTCGTCTTTACCTGACGTGTATGTTGCACTAAGCCACAAGCTAGCTCCTGCAAGCTTTTTAATCCATAGTCATTAATATTAAACAGTATCTAGCGACTCACTTCCGGTGGACTTGAAGTTGAGCACTACATAACTGTTTTGTTGAGCATTTTCATGCCCATATTTTGTAAACCATTTCAATTAAGGTTATCTTTTAATTTGGGATCTCAAGATTCCAACGATTGGGAGACAGACGGCGAAAACCTTTCTCCTGACTTGGTATTTGTCTTTCAGATTTCCAATTGTAATATGATTGGGAAGGTCAAGGCAGAGATAAAGAAAGTTTGTTAAAGATTCAAAATTTGCATTACAAAGAACACTGGGGTTTAAGACACCAGTAATTGACACACGAAAATGTTTGTCTGTAAGCAAGCAGGAATTGCGAATCATTTTAATATTCTGTAGTTTCAAGTCCTTTCTGTTACCTAGTCCAAAGAAATGATTAACAGAATTTTCTAAAATGTCACGATTGCTTTGTTTGCAGTCAAAACAGATAAGAAGCGCCATATGTTAACAATATATGCATTTAGATAGAACTTAACAGACTTGAAACATTGTATCCAACTGAATTATTTGGCAATCCCGTTGCGTAGGTGGTAAATTTAGATTTTTGGGGGGGATACCTGAACTTGACCGAACTTAAAGTTTCAAATGAACTTGACCTTTCTTGGGAACTTTGCATAATATTACAAACGAAATCTCGCACGTTCAATGAGAAAGAAGAGTATGGTAAAAGAACCATCTCAATCCTCCTAAGCTGCACTTGACTGCAAAGATTGTTAATTGTTCTACATGTACTCAGATATAGCTACATAACAATGAAATTACTCGTTGAATATTTTCCGAGGCCAAAAGAAGAACAAACGATTTTGAATTGGAACAGTATGGTATTCTCTCTCCTATAATAGCCAAAACTCAGTTTCGCATACTTACGACACAAAGTTTAAATATTGTATTGTAAAGTGTCATGGACGTTTAAATATAGTTGTTGGTCTATTGTCTAAGTTTATATTATATTTGCTATGTCGACCAGGCCTATCATCCGTCTATAGCAACGCAGTGCCCTTGCAGACTAATATTAATATCAACCCGATTTCAGATTTCGTAATTGATATTGCTATCGATCAGTAAACTCAAAATCTGTCTGACAAAGCAATATGAGTTTTACGTTGTGTAAATGAATTATGTTTGAACAACGTGCTTCTAATCATTACTAATACAAAATACTTGACAAATTACGCCACAGAGTTCAATTTTAATAACACGTACAAAAAGCCACTTCCTTTGGGTCATGACTGTGGCGACCTTGTCTAGGTGGCCAAATGATGTAACATCCTAACCATGAGCCCGCAATGGGGCTTAAGCAGTAACTAAAGGCGCGTAGACTAGACTATTCGGCAAATTACCAATTACAACATACCAAGTATACACTATAGCTGGACCTTCTGAAAAATAAGATTTTAGGAAGTTGGAATTCTTTGAATTAAGGATGTGAGTAAGCAGTTCACGCAGTCCTCGTGTACGTCATCACACAAATAAGGCGTGTAACACACTTACACGCCTAAAAACGCTCAGGTTGATGCAAGTTGATATAAACAGGATGGAGCAATGTTGTGCTGCCCACATTGTTCAGAGTTGTTATCAACATTGAACAATATTGTTGAAACTGAATCGGGTGTAAGAATAATGTTCAATATTACGCGTGTAGTTGGAATTTATTCAGCTGAGCAAGCGGTATATTCTCGCATATCTAAAGTCATTTTCCAAATACAAATCATGAAATACTTTATCAAATTGTAGCCGTAGAATTCAGAGTTGGGAAATGTTGTTACTTGTGCCACTATAGTAATGCTATAACTCCCACTTTGTTTTCCGGCGTTAACCTTGACGTCATGCAATAAGTGTTTTCACTGGAAGAGAATTTTAATATGTTGTAGAGGCTTTCTTAGTTGGGATCTTGGGGAGTGGTCTGAACGTCGGTATAGCGGAAGATGATTAATCTAGCAGATTAGACATTTGTCATCATTGAAATGTTATCCTATCCCTAAGTCTCTATTGCATGAATGGTGACTTGAGATAAATCATGGAGGTTAACTCACTGATTGTGTCAAAGTTGCTGATTGCTTCCCTATATGACATGTTCGTTATGATGTTATTAGTATTGATACAACTGCCTAAAATATGTGAAGGGTAACACTTGCATATCTACCGTCTTGTTTTTTGCTAGTTATCTAAGCATTCCTCTCATTTGTTATCTCTGAGTCAGGAATTTTGTCAGCATTAACAATTAAAATATCTTGAATGCAATGAACGTTTTGCAGCCTATATAAATATCAAGGTGTGGTTGTATATGTGCGTTCTGCCGAAAAAAGTTTTACTGAAGAAGACCAGCTCTGCTTTATACACACAATTTCGTTTAACATCCTCTGCTCAGAAGTATATTTCCAAGCAGAAAGCCGATTTATGAAATGGGACCTAATCTCTGTTCTAATCATTGTTTTTTTTATGTTCATACAGACGTGTTCCCGCTTCAGAAAATCTACCATTTATGGGATACCTTACTTCTTGGTAATTCTTCCTTTCCGCTGTATATCGGTGTGGCAATTTTGCAACAGTTGCGTGCTCAGCTTCTGACTTATGGCTTTAATGAATGTATTCTTCTCTTCTCTGATATGCCAGGTTAGTTGTGTTTATCTTGCTTTTTCTAAATAATATGATATGCCATTTTTTTTTATGGATTCATGAAGCATAAATGGAAGACTTTATTATTGTCACACGCGGGCAGAAACACCTAGTTGTTACTGGTTGAAAACAATGGCCCATGCACAAATACGATTGTCAAGAATATTGTTGTAATTTAATAAGCACAGGTTTTAACAATGTTGTTCCTAGGTATATACAATACAACAGAACATGCAAGGCAGTCCACGTCGTGCTATTTATTTTTTTGCTGGAAAAATCTGCATGAGCGTCTTTCGACTGAGTGTGTTGCTGGGTAAAAAATATCCTAAGGATATTTGGGTCCCATGCAGTCACCCTGTTTTTGCACGTGTCCTATGCGGACGGCGCGACTGCCAGGATTCAATACTATAAAAAATTCTTCAGGTATTTTTGAGGTACTCAAGAGTCTTCAGGTATTTTTGAGGTACAGGCGAAAGATGCTCTAAAATTTATGCGTAACTCAAACAACTCTAGAGTTACTGGTTAGTTCCAAAGCTCGTTTTATATATTTGATCCTATAGTCCTAGCCTAGTTTTAGTCACGCAGGTCGCACTGCATCAGTGGTTTATCCCAACTGATCATAAAACGAAGGTGATTATAAAGAAAAGACAAATATGATAGATAAGTAAGGATGACTGGATTGAAGTGGAGGAATAATTGGAATCTGTATCACCTAAAAATACATTCTATATTATTTATATACTGCACACAGACATGCTTTGTCTCGTAGTTCAATATGTGATAAAAAATGTTTGTAGTTGAAACAAGAAAACTTGAACTTGAACTGAGAATATCTATTTTTAGGTTATCGAATGTTTGTATAGTTTATATTGTCAAGCTGCAGGCTAAATAGATTGTTTTGAATGCGGAATGTTTTTCTGCCACGTGTAAAGGGGAGCTCCCACCTGTACACTGTCTAGACACAACAATCATTCTAATTAGTCCTATAGTATACACTTTTAATTTATATCAAAATTATGACCGCCTTTCAAGTTCATTGTTAATCTGCATAGTTTCATCTTCCTCGTAAACAAGTGCAGCTGATTTACCCCCAATAGATTTACCCAAACACCCTACTTCTGACATACTTCATGTTATACAGATATATACTCTTGTCTAATTTACTTATTTTAGGGTTCGTTTTATACATTGTGCCAGTTGAAGTTTGGCAAAACACGTTGAGAACTATACTGCTGTTGATTACTAGCTCTAGTTGTAGTACTCGTTTTTAACCAACATGACCATATTTGAAGCGTCGTGTTGAAAGAGAACTCCAAAACAATTACCCAGTCTGAACCCAATGCAAGTCAGCCGGATAATACTCGGCGTGGCTTATGTTGATAAACACCCTATCAAATTAAATAATAAACTATTTTTATTTATTACGATTTTTTGTGAAGGCACCGCGAAACACCCTCCAATGGGCAGGACAGGTTTTTTTGCCATGTTTTATTTGTCATTTATTATAATATCGACGAATGCTCACGTATAGTTTCTTTTCCACCGCATGCATGATATATCAGTTTTATCTTGCAAAATTGATCAGACTATAATTCACTAGGATAAATACTAGCAGTCTTTATCAGGGCAATTTAACACGGCTAGACATTGGAATGATATCTGCGTCATGATATTGATGTGTTAGCAGGGTATCTAGACAGATTGAAGAATTATTACACCCGTAATTATAGCACAACCATCATCGGAAGTTTTATGTATAGAACTCTCAACTTGTTGTTCATTGATCGAGAGATGTTATAATATGAAAATGATCAATTCCACAATTTCTGGTGGTATCATTCTGTTGCATGTTTTCCACGCTTTAGCTACTACAGACAGTGCATATAAAACAAAATCATGAATCCATCTCATTTGTCTGATTGAAGATGATGTGTCTTGATCTTGCCTATGTGATATTACGTGCCACGAAAAAACTCGAAAGACCAGGCTATAAACGAGATTGGCCTAACCTTGACTTTCTCTTTAATTCCATTTATTTATTGGTTTTAATGTAAATATCGTAAACTACTTGGGTCATTACATAAACACAACAAAAGCTATTTCTAGTCTGATTTAAGCCTTTTCTCATTTTTTTACTCTGTCACCTGATACTTCAGCGCATACGCCCAATAGTTTGTTGCCGTGAGGAGGTGATTAGAGTGAGTCATATACATAAATCACTTTCTTCAACTACAAGTTCTATTAATAACGATAAGCAAACTGCATGACGACTTCATGCTGTGGCTTGGAAGTAAACTACACTTGATGCATGCAAACAAAAGGAAGCAAGAATGATTAATCCACAACTTCTATCACTAACTCTCGATGTTTTTATTGTGTAGAGATTGACATTGAACGTTGTGTTCAAGATTCAATCAAGATTTTTCAATCCACCCCCAAGAGTATCGCGGCACGTCAACATGATAACATAACTACCAATGATATGTCTGAGGGAAAAGCCAAAGCAAAAACGGTAACGGTACACCGCAAGATATAATATTGCATGTCCCTTCGCCATCTCACATATTTAAAAACAGAATTATAATTCAGTATAGCTCTTCTTCCTTGTATTTCCTTAACACAGGCAAAATTTTGGTGTCAGGTCACAATTAGGTCAAACTGAGCTATTTTAATTTGACTATTTGCACGATTTTCAGACTACCTGCACAACAGTAACAGCTACGTTTTCGTCGAAAAATAGGGCTATCAATTGCAAAAGGTCAAATTGCCTCAGAACAGATAATATTTTTCCGCTCAACGCTTTGCAATAGTTATTAAAAATTAAATAACCACGAAAGGAGTTTTGATTTCCTAATTTAATTGATATAAATTATTATGAAACTTTTAGGAGAAGGAATTTCTCTCAGTGGAGCAGTTAAAATCGGAAAAATGTCCTCGACTCTCGTTGCAAGATATGCTTCAGATATTGGATATAAGAAATGATCAGACGGGTAAGTCCTGCATGATAGACTTAACCAGAGGCGATGCTTTAATGTGATTGAAATATTTATATTTGTGAGTGGTGGTTAATATTTGCTTGATATATTTAATGTGTAGAAAGCAACAGCTGTTAACCGTTCTTGCATAAACCGTTTTCCTAGTTTCTCCAAGTGTTCTAACATCGAAATCAAAATCGTGGGGTATTGTTGTTGATATAAGACCACCAGAAGAGTATCCTTTGCCCTAAATCTTGGAACGTAACGAATTCTAATAATGCGCTAATCCACCAAATTTTGACGAGAATGAACGACTCCAACTAAAAGTTTGTTAAAACCTTGTTTTCAAAGCAATCCGCTGAGGAATTTGTTTTATTTTTGGAATATTAGTTTGAATTTAAATTTTCATATAATTGTTTTCAAGCTTAACTAGTATAATTTGAAAAACAAATTCAGTTTAGGACATGTGGGAGAGGCCATGCATGCAACTGTTAATTTATAAAACAATTCCCAACAAAGTACATACAACTAGCGCGATGGCCTCACATGGATTTGTCTGCTTGTAAAATTGTCTACAATTGAATTTAGTCAGTATTTTTCGAATACGAGTGTCAGGAAAAATCCCTAACTCTTCATGTAGTTATAACCGTGGCCATCTTCCAGGAAGTATCAACATGCCATCGAATCAAACATTTTCTGAAGATAATAAACTAGTGCCTTGTGAGAGTGCAACAATTTTGCAAGCTTCGAAAGGGAAAATAATTATTATTCTTGGTGGGCGGTCAAACAATTCTCCCAAGGTTTGCAGCATTTGGCGCTTTCTGTGGTTATATAGTTATCACTCAGTGAATGACTCATTAAATTTTTCTTGCTTCCACTTCAAAACTCGGGAAGGTCATTAAGCAGAATTCTTCCTGGTTATAAGGCTATATAACCTAGCCCCAGTAGATTCAGAGACGTTTAAAACTATAATGTGAAGATAAACAGACCATACATTGAAGGAAAACAGTTTGAAGGAAAGCATTTCTGTAGGGGAATATCCCTGGAAGGAAGCATTCATTTAGGGGGATATTCCTGGAAAGGAAGCATGCATGTCTGTATGGGGAATATGGATGTCTGTTGGGTGGAATTTCCATAGAAGGCTTCCATGTGTGTAGGTAAAGCATGCCTGGAGGATGTGAGCATGCGTGAGTATATGCCTGCTGGGATACAAAGGGAGGGTATTCGCAGATGGAAACATGTTTAAAAGGAGAGCATGCTTCCTACTTAGTAGATTCTCTGTCCTACCTTGTGGATAGTCAAGTGTGGTATTTTTTATATTCTTATTTCCGTTTTCTGATTAGTTTGCAGAAGAACTTGTTAAGAAGCATTTTCCAAGAGTATGCGTTCTGGATGCTGGTTTGAACGCCATGCGAACTATTGGGCTAATGTCCGTCGTCCCTGTTTAGACTCCGACCGAAAAAGAATTTCATTAAAGACAATGTGTCTGAGGGAGACCAAACTATCCGTTCATTTTTTTAATGATATTTGAATAATATATATGGTTTACAATGAATACGACGATCACCCAAACAAACGATTGGATAAAAATCATTATTTTATGATTTTTTACATTGACTTTTAAATATATCTTTGCAAGTTGCGTGAATTCTTTTTGCCACAACTAATTTGCCAGCAATATTTTGTGATTTGAATCATCACAAATTGGTATAATCCTTATACACAGACGTAGTTATATAGATCAGGGGTAAAGTCAAGCAAGCGCGCAGGTAGAATATCATAATTGGAATATAAATACAAAGAACTATAGTGAAAACATCATTGTTACCACATCAACAACCATAAAAGGCAGACAGAGAATGCTCTTTCATTTACCTGACAAAATTTCAAAAACCGGTCACCTAAAAAATTATTTGGTCCAATATAACAAAGATGAAGAAATAAGAGTGCTTTATACCCATGTACTTGCAACTAAAGCACAATATTATTGTTTTGTTTGCAAGTACTCTTATAATAACTCTTGTGTTGGGCAGAATTTAGCTGAATTTTTGTGTTTCTTCAGTCAATATCATACTTAATAAAGAAGTGTGATTTCCTGGGTAAGTATGTTACCATATTTGGATGTTTAATGCTTTAGTACTGTAAAAAAACGAGCGAAAGTGTTTCATCAGCCTTTAGACCTGACAAAACACGTCTTGCGGTACTCAAGTCACGAGCGCACCTGAGATGTTGTAATATTCTTTATGTATAGAATTGTTAAGTAGGAACAGTCTTTATTTATGGATACTAAAAGAGGCCAGCTTTATCAGGTTTACAAAGACATGTGAGCACTGCACGTGACACGTGTGTGACACTTGTCGAATAGCATATGAATTGATGTAGTAGCTACTGTTGTTTTATTTTGAAATTTGTAGTCATTATACAACTCAAGACTCATTTTAGCATCATGGGACGAATCACACGAAACTACACACGTTTTCACTAGAACACTGTCTTCTTCTGAAAACAAGACTCACTCAATATTTAAGGGTACCAAAAGCACGATAACATTCCAATTTAACAAATAAAAAGAAAACTAACAACCGGTGGACAGAATTTGACACGAACTTCCTGGGTACAGAATTTCACGTTATTAGCCAATACCTGGGTGGGGTACGTAGAAAGTGCTTGGCACAATGACCATGCATGACAAAAAATATACATGACAATAACTGATATACACTTGTGCTTCTTTATTGCCTTCGTTCTTGTAACATAAATCATGAGTAACATAATGTAGATAAGCTTTTAACAGCTATGATTGTAAATGAAATTTCATCTAGCAAGTTAAGGCAAGTAGTTTAAAGACAATTTATATTTGACTCTATGAGAAATGCCCTTTTAAAGGCTTGCATTAATTAACACTTCACATCAGTCTTAAGAATTAAACTATACAAGGTAACGAGTAACGACAGTTAAATGCGCTAGCTTCGCATGTATAAACAACCACATAGAACTATAACATTTAACGTTTTAATATGCTACAAGTCTACATGCAGTAAAGTCGGTACATAGGGCAAATACATTATTAGTTTAATACTACATGACATTTTGTATTTAGTATGATAACGAATTGTGTATATGCCATTAATTAAACGCATTGGATTGCTTGCAGATGTATGTACATACATTTACACTACAACTTGCATGTTTTCATTTATAAAGTTTTATAGCGTTTCATCTTATGATTCTAATTCAGATGAAATGTTAATTCTTCCGTAACTGTAAATTCTAATTCTACTGTCTTGGATACACATTAATTTTGAAAGGTTGTGGTCGAAGAATAAAACCAAATTCAGGTGCAAGACTTGGACAACCCGACAGTTCAATTCTATATTTGTGTACAATACCACCAAGAAGTAAGAACAACTGCAGTTGAGCAAGCAAGTGACCAAGACATTTACGAGTGCCAGTTGAGAATGGTATAGAAGAAAAACGAGCTCTGTTTACTTCACCATTTTCATCGATAAAACGACCAGGATCAAATTTGAAAGCATCTTTGAAAACTCTTTCATCGTGGTTAACAGCCCATAAGTTCACGAAAACGATAGTGTCTTCAGGGATTCTGTAAGGTCCGACAGTTGTCTCGCGTTCTGCATAATGTGGTATAGCTAGAGGAAGAACTGTGCTATATCGTAGAGTTTCTAAAACAGTTGCCTCTAAGAACGGCAAGCGATTTTTATCGTTCACGCTTATGCAGTTCAGTCCAACAACATCCTTTAGTTCCTGGTACAGGCGATCTTGAATGTTTGGGTGGCAAGCGAGACAGTAAATCGCCCATAGCATCGTTGCAGTAGTTGTTTCAACACTTGCACCAAAGATGTCAGTCAATAAAGAAACTATTGTATCTTCATTCAAGTCAAGCTCTTCACCGAGGGCAACTAACCTTTCATTGGTTCCACTTTCAAAGCATCGAGCCAAAGCATCACTGACACAGCGAACTTCGACGACATTGTCATTGATGTAATTTTTCTTCTTTTCAAGGTAGATCGCTTTGACAAAATCGGCAAGTTTTTGTATAAGTCCTGCCAGGTCATCAAAACTATGTTGAAGAAATGGAGTGAACCACGGCAGAAAATCAGCAAGGTTATTGATATTATTGTTTTTGATAAATTCACTTGACGATTTCAATAATAGACGTAGTTCTTCGGTACGTTTCTCGTTCACTGATTCAACTCCGAAGATATTAATCATGTTTAGTTCGGCTATTCCCTGCGCGACATCGAACGCTGGATCGAAGTGTTGATTGTGTTTTTGAAATTGCTCGCAAAGACATTTTACGCATTCCTTAGTATGAGAGGATAATTGTTCATGTTTTAACATATAGCTGTGTAGTGCTAGAAGAGCCAATCGTCGATTTCTTTCGTACCTTTGGCTATAAGGTCCGAATGCGATGCTTCGTCCATCCATGTCAAAGGCTCGTAAAGTGTTCAAAGGTGGACGGTTCGAAAAGTCACTAGATTTTTTTACCAATGCTTCCTTAACACAGTCCAGAGAGTTCAAGACAATAACACGGCGAGATCCTAACTGTAATCTATACACATCACCAAAAGTCTTGGCCAACTCTGTAAGTCGTTCATGAGGTTTGCTGCCGAGCAAATGGAGATTACCAATAATTGGCCAAGAGAATGGACCCGGAGGAAGACCAGTGTTCTCTTGCAGTCGTTGATAAAGCAGGAGTATGCATGTTGTTGCAAACAGAAGAATGAATATTGAAGAATGTTGCAAAAACAACTCCATGAAGTTTTCTAAAGAAATATGCATCTTGTAATTCAGTTTGATGTTTACAACGTTGTTGTCTCGTTCATGCAATCTGGAAAACTGATCTGAACTTTTCAGTGTGAAGTCTCTTAAACCAGTTTCTAGCTGTTCATGCATTGTTCTTCCGGTTTAGTTTGCAAGGTCATGATTTTGAAAGCTTTTTCCAATTGGTATTGGGTCGCGTATTGATTGACTTACAAATTATCAAAGTAGATACAAAGAATTTTCCCCCTTTGATTGATGGCATTGCAAGCTAATATTATTCTTAAAGAAAGGTCAAGGTAAGTAAATAACAGTCATTCATTGTTTTTGGAATATGCATGGTTACCCCAGACATCTGGGAAGAACCAGGAATTGATATATTTAGTAATGATATTATGCATGCAAAGTTTATACTAACTTGTCAGTAACATGCAGTATATATATATATACAAAACTAATATTTTTCCAAGATAAAGTGCATGAGGATATATGATATAAGACTTTAAGTTCATTAAGTTGATTCATTAACTGTGAGTTTAATTACCCCCTTTCATGCATGTATTTCAGTTCTCCTGAACTTGGCCTATGTCAACCTGGAAAGAGCGTAGGCTGTGAACTTGGCCTTATCATCAAAGACAGGGCAAAGTTTAAATTCTTAGTAAAAGGCTTGGTACTCCAAGTCAAGGTCAGTAAGAGACAAGTCATTGTTATTCTGGCCATTTCCCACTCACGTTAGTTCTGCCCGAGTGCTCAGGAAATATAGAAATTCATCATCCACTAAGCACTACGTTTTATAACGATATGATAAAAGTAATGCAACATTATTTATGATAACATTTGTTTGTGTAGGTTATAGAATGGATGTGCATGCTTTGCATCTGGACGTAATTTATGGGTATTTGACTGAATATATATAGCGTTGAATGAAGGTTCATAATTCCTCGTATATAATCGATAATAATGAACGGTACGCGATTACGAAATATTAATTTTCCTCTATAAATTTCCGCACTTGCAGAAATCGAAGATTTCTATAAACCATATCCAGCTTAAACAAACCCGTATCACTATATGTTGTAACAGGCTTTTATGTAAAATTATGCTTATGAAAGTTAGTTTTCTGTCAGTCTCACTGCTATCACATATGGAATGTAACTAACACTGGTCAGGACTTCCACTGATATCGACTTCCGGCACTGCATGTACCGTGATGTACGACCATGCAGTCGACCACAAAACTATAAGTATCCTGTGTGCTGTAATTATTACATGGATTGCCCGAAAAATATAATAGATATTTTCTGTTTCGTGAAAATGGCTTAAAATTACTACCACGGCTATTGCTATATAGTTGCATGGAAGTGCAAACAACTTTGACAGGCTAAAAAATCTGCCTGATCCGGAATACGCGGTCTTCGGGTAAAATTGCGGTACGTCAATGAATGAATTTCTCTTTCATTTACAAAACTACATTAATAAGACTTTAGTTTAGACCACTGTAGAAAAGGATTGTCGAAGTTTGAATGAGGAGAAATACAATTCACAAAAATCGATAGAAATCAGTTTTTGATATAATTAATATAGCCGCGATATCTATAGTCATGGGCCGGAAATGGGTATCGAAACCTTGCATCATACTCCTCCCTGTTTTTTTCAGGCAATCAATCTCTTATCAAGAAACGTAACTTCAAAGAAAGTACCCGCTCTAACATTCCTAGGTGCGACATTAAATACAATTCCATGAATCATATATATCAGTTTATCATCTCGCATATCAAAGATCGCAACTGGCAAAAGAAGAAATCGTTTAAAAAATTCGGGGTTTACTTTAGTATATTCAAAGATATATGTACTAATCTGTAATCTGCAGGTTTAACCTAGTAACCCCGGTCCAGCATCACAATATTCACATGGCTATTACAATATACATTTCCTTAAAATAACCCACCCTGGCTTTATGACTGTTAATGTGTTGAAGTGATGTCAAGGTCAACACGATGTTGTTTCCCGCGAGGATTGATAAACATGATGAACTTGGCAATGTAATTGCTTTTTGAATACAGTGAAGTGCATAACATCGCCCATGACCTTGTTTTTCGGCAACTGAACAGAATTCCTTTGAGGAAGTATGACTCATTAGGTGCATGGCAAGTGAAACTTTAATGAATTTGTAAACAAACATAAAAAATCCAGCAGATCTTTTGAAGTAAAAAATGCTTAAGTTGTAATTATTGGGAAAAGTTCAGGTTCTTTTATGTCCAAGTTTTAGAGTTAGCATTTACAGAAAGCAGGACAAGTAGAGCAGTTCCTGGACACTAATCCAAATCGGAAAGAGACTAGTTATATATAGCAGGGATTCATTAGTAGGAATTTAGTTCAATTGAAGGAGTGGCCAATCTCACGAGGCGCCATGCACTATACAGCATTTTTTATAAATCAGTGTTCTTTTTTAGAAGGAAATGGCTTTCCTCGCCCCTGCCTAAAGTAGACTGAAAAGGGCATTATAAAACATTTTACTTTCCCCCAGCCCCCTCAATGTTGATGATAACTGTACACCAGATTGAAAGGACTATATTTTATTTATCCAACAAAAAAGCGGTGATAGTTTAATTACGGATATAATTATAGTTAATTAGTTGTGATATATGTTTAGTTGCAATGTTAGATGTAGCTGCACCCATTTACTACTGCTGCTCTTCAAATTCACAAGTTCAATCCTGAGTTCTCTTGTTTCACATGTGAGCTTTATTTATAATCTTCATGTTCCTGAGATATCTCATTTCGTAGTTCTAAATATTTCAAACCAGGACATTCTTGTAATATTTTACTTGTCACTTTATCACGAAAAACAGACCCAGTACAGTCGTTCGTTGGTTCACTGTAAGGCTTGGTTGCCATGTTTATCGGCTGTTTATTTATGGTTATAGCCCGGCTAACCGGGCTGATTCAAGACCTTTCGTTGATTCGTTCCAAGAGTTTCTATATGCACTTCTCAATCTGGTATCAACATGGAAATATGTCGTTCGCACCACATGATGAAAGACTCGAGGAGTTAAATGGGTTTATCAGTCACAAGTTCCTCAGATGTTGCATAATGCATATATCATGCAAGAATTTTGATTGTCGTCTATGGATATTGTTGCACTCTCCTGTTGGTCATGACTGATAAAATTACACTAATGGTCTACCTATTTTATTTCAACTTCCAAGTATTATTATTAGTCAGCATTTGTTGGCAATGAGGACCGCGTGTGTCAAACCATCCATCATCACATATAAACGAATGGAATTGTCCGGGAGATCGATCGATGCACCAGCCAGGTTCAATTTTTGGCTGCCAACTGCTCCACATGCTTAGTTGGTCCAGCAATTTGATCACAATAGTTGCAATATGGTTTTATAATATTGATCTTATCTAAGTATTTTTTTAGAAACGCCTCTATGTCTCCAAACTCAATTAAGAAGCAAAGTGCAGTGTTCCAATACAGACATATCTCTGACCCTTCACACGACTTAGAAAACAATATCAGCCATGCAAAGTGGCAAAGAAAAGACCCTTTTGACGAGCTAACCCCCTGAAAATTGGACTTGTTCAGTGCTTAGGTACACCTATACCATTCTGCGACGTATCAGTTTACTTTTTAAGTTGTTTTCCATTGGTAGTTGCAATAATTGGAATGTCGAGGGGAGGGTTTAAACTTCAGGTAAATTTAACCTTGGAAGCCGTCCGTTACACCTTCAGTTTACGTCAGTGCATTAACTGTATTTTTGTGTTTATAATTAAAACGATGCACGGCATCTGTAATATGTATTATTTGCTCTGTTGTCAATTTTTTTCTGAGAATGCCGACAAAAATATTTTGGTTAATTATCCAAACATTTTCATTATTTAGGTACAGTATTCATTACTTTGACGTAATAGAGAAATAATCGATGTTTAGTTCAATTTTGATGACTAATTAAATGTGCTTTGTTTTGAGAACTTTTGAATAATTTCCTGCTTATAGAAATTAAGATAACCAGGTTGGGCCATTTTCTCACGAAATAGTTTTACCTAAAATATCATGCAGGAAAAATTCTCGACATTTAGTGCTATCGGGTCATGAGAAATACTTACAAGAAAGCAATTTTGCCATAGTTACTTGAGTACGCTGATAGCGTCAGCTGATCACACGTTCTGCAGGCGAAAACAAAACTACGGAGAATTTGCGCGTGCAAGGAAAGCCATGTCATAAATGTATTCAAATGTGTTGAAATTCAAATTAGATAAATATTTTTATATTTCTTGACATTCAATTTGAATTTTATAGATGATACTGTGTAATAAGTTTGCAGATATTCTCACGGGACCAACTTAGCAAAAGGTGGCGCCGTATTGGATCCGATAACAAAATGGTTTAATTGAATTTTTTTTACATTACATCTCCAACATGGCAACGCCATTACTATATCTTCTGTTATCTACGTTCTAGAGCATAGTAATTTTTTCTGTTTCCATACAAGTGTTCTGCAGAAACAATACCTGGCGCCGATAATATCTCAATCACGTAACCCTAAATTTCCAATGATAATACAGAACGTGGGAAGTTTTCATTTCTGCCGTTTTTCTATGATAAGCCACGTAGAGGAGATTATCTCCGCTGTATCTATAGCCTTATCTTCACAGCGCCTATGTTCATTGTTTCATATGACGCAAGTCTTCTTTTACATTGTCTGTCAAAATTTCTGATCAACAGTTGCATATAGTAATTTCTACATTTTGAAGAATTTCTGCAATTTTTAGAAGAATCTAAATCAATTATTGTTACTGACTGGGGCGATAATTGGGGGGGATATTCATATATTCAGTTCTGCCCGATGGATTTCTATTGTAAGCCATTGCACTTACAAAAGAAATCCGTCGGTTAGTGCTAGGTTTCCCCCCCCCCCTCAATTATCGTTCTAGTTACGCCACTGGCCACTGTGTTATTTCATCCACATAATTGTTGCAAATTAATTGTTGCACAAGACTTAGCGATGCAAAATTCTAACTCCGATGACAGAAATGCTGACAGTGTAACCGATCATCCCATTTATTAATCTATACGTGCGTTACGTACTATGCGACAGCATTATTTATTATCGATGACCAAAAACGATGAAGTGACAATAAAGGTCATCGGCATGACACTCATTTTGTATTTGAGCTAAGTATGTCATTCTCGACTGGTATGCAAAGAGAAATCCAAGAATACTTAAATATCATCCGATCTTAGCTTGCACAATCTTTGTCGTTTTTTATTTTACATGCTTGAGATAATTGCCTGCGCGTTCCTCCTCCAGGATGTTTTGTGATTTCGTGTTATTTTGTGCCCACACATTCTGCAACGAAACGAGAAAACGATGAAGGAAATATATAAAAATTCTTAGTTGTTTAAGAGCCCAACCATTTCCTGGCCGGCATGATTGTTTGGTCTTCGAGAGAGGAACTCATTTGCAGCCCAAAATTTAACATGCTGTCAGAAGTTGAAGGTCAAGTTCAACACTAACAATCACCCACATATATCTTTGCATAGCTACACTGTCACGCATACACGCTGTGGGGTTAACAGACAAAAGGATAGTATTTGGTGATAATTTAATAAAAAATCACTTATTTTATTGTCTTAATACGCCACGATTCGAATTCGTGTTCAAACTGCCTACAGATTCATATCATTTAATGCAATTATGAATACACATCATAATGTCCAACACCAAGAATATTATTATATTTTAGAAAGTATTTTAAATTTCTGTCTCTGCTTGATAATAAATATCCAAACAGCGAGAAATGTTGTCAAACCATCCTTTCTTTGTTGTGTGTAAGTAATTACGGGTAGTTAAATTTTTCAACAAACACGAATTACGGTTGCCTTGACCTTAGATTTTTCAAATTCATGGAGACAATTAGGAATGTTTAATTTTCCGAAATATAGCACTGACAAAGGGTCTTCTTTCAAATTATCTGATCAACCATTTAGTTAACACCTCGGTATCTACAATATATCAGAAATCGTGAGACAAAATACTGTAAGTTTGACCTTGCATGCATCGAGCGGAAGTGATTTAAAATAAGATGGTTAAATATTAGTCACTCAGTGTATAAAACTGACGCGGGTTACCACACGAAACAGTTTAACAAACTCTTATCAAGTGATCGCAGCTCAGCAAAATTACGGCGGTAAATTCTGCTGTATTAGTGTCGACGAAAGAAATGCATATTTTCACTGGTAGCTTTCTAGCAATGCTTCTGTCCCAGTATCTATGCCCGGTGCTTATCGTTCTGTTTGCAACAACGTGCATACTCCTGGTATATCAACGAATTCAAGAGAACACTGGTCTTCCTCCGGGTCCATTCTCTTTGCCAATTATTGGTAATCTTCATTTACTCGGCAGCAAACCTCATGAACGACTTACAGAGTTGGCCAAGACGTTTGGTGATGTGTATAGATTACAATTAGGATCTCGCCGTGTTATTGTCTTGAATTCTCTGGACTGTGTTAAGGAAACATTAGTGAAGAAATCTAGCGATTTTTCCAGCCGACCGCCGTTGAACAGTCTGCAAGCATGCGAAGGAAGTCTAACATTTGGACCTTACGATGAAATGTACGTCAAGAAACGACGGTTAGCCCACCTTTGCATGCATAGCTTTATGTCAGATCACGAACGACTGGACTCTCAAATTAACAATGGTTTGGAAAATCTTTGCAAACGATTTTCAGACCATAACGAAGAATTTGATCCAATTCATGACATAAAACATGCAGTCGCTGAAATGAATTTTAACTATACTTTTGGCGAGGATATTGAACCTAAGAATAAAGAGAAACTGAACGGAATATTGAAAGAGTTTAGCGAATTCAACGTCAGCGGTTTACCGGATTTTTTACCATGGTTAAGTCCATTGTTCGAAAGATCATTCAAAAGAATAAAGGAAATTATTGCTCATCTTTTGAACTTTGTCCGCCACATTTACTTTGAGAAGAAAGAAAAATTCAACAAGAAAAACAAAATCGGTTGCATCGGTGATGCATTAGTGCGATGTTATGAGAATGGTACTAATGAAAGATTGGTTGCTCTTGGTGAAGAACTTGACTTGAATGAAGAGAATGTTGCTACATTGTTAACAGATTTGTATGGTGCAAGTGTTGATACAACCAGTACAAGTCTTATTTGGGCGGTTCTTTATCTCGCTTGTCACCCAAACATTCAAGATCGCCTGTACCAGGAACTAAAGGATGTTGTTGGACTGAACTGCATAAGCGTGAACGATAAAAATCGCTTGCCGTTCTTAGAGGCAACTGTTTTAGAAACTCTACGATATAGCACAGTTCTTCCTCTAGCTGTACCACATTATGCAGAACGCGAGACAAGTGTCGGACCTTACAGAGTCCCTGAAGACACTATCGTTTTCGTGAACTTATGGGCTGTTAACCACGACGAAAGAGTTTTCAAAGATGCCTTAAAATTTGATCCTGGTCGTTTTATCGATGAAAATGGTGAAGTAAACAGAGCTCGTTTTTCTTCTATACCATTCTCAACTGGCACTCGTAAATGTCTTGGTCACTTGCTTGCTCAACTGCAGTTGTTCTTACTTCTTGGTGGTATTGTACACAAGTATAGAATTGAACTGTCGGGTTGTCCAAGTCTTGCACCTGAATTTGGTTTTATTCTACGACCACAGTCTTTTAAAATTAAGGTTTCTGCAAGATAAAAGACTGAAACATTCCAGTTCTAAATCATTTTGATTAGTCATATTGGAAGAATTGAAATTAGCTTATAGTGGCAAACAGCACAAAAGACATATTTTGTTATTTTTGCGAATATAGTTGTATTGAATTTGACATCAGGGGCGCTGTATGAAAACCGGATAGCGCTATCCACCGGATAGTGATTTTTTTAACCGTTCTTTAAAAATGCTTGAAAAGCGAATAAAATTTCATCTTTGGAACCAACAGTTATTAAAGACGATTCTCGATTTATGAATGCTAAGAATTAAGTTATAGAAAACAATAAGGGAACTTAAGGTGAAACTATCCGGTGGATAGCACTATCCGGCATACAACCGGCCCCAGAGTTATATGGTTACCAAAAATTATATGCTACAGAATGCGCTTTTCTTTTAAGTGCACTCTTCCACAATAAAATTTGATATCTTGCCTATTTTACAAACTGCATTTGCTTACCTGCATGTTTCCACTGAACCATGTTGTGATTTATTTTTCAAAACCGAGTTTTGTCTTCCTAGCGATAGCTACGACGAAAACCGACTGCAGAAAACAAGTGTTTTGTCAAGATGAACAATAAATAAAGTATCTGTTGCAACGAATTCACGATGTGCTTTGTAATGTCGTTCTTTTCTCATTTGAAAGAACTTTTAAACATAGGAAATAACTTTTCATCAGGGTCGTAGGAACCGGGAACAAAAATTTTTCAAGGGACTAAATTAAGTGCCCTTTTTCTAATAAAAAATGCCTTTTGGAGAAGTGGAGAAGTTAATGTATTTGTTAATGCTATTTTAAAATCAAAGGTCCCCTTTTTGTTTTCTACTTATGCCCACTTACAGGCGTGTCCAAATCTTTTTGTTGAGCATAAATAGTAAAGCACTCTAGTTCAGACGTACATGTAGCGGGGAATAAGGGCCCGGATTATTCTCCAAACCAAGGCCCGAAAATTGTCAGTCCGTCCCTGCAGCAGTTCTCCACTATAGACAAAAATATTGCGTGACTCCTAATGTGACGTAACAACCAGGCATATCTTCAAAAATCCAAGCCACGACGGAAATTTGATAAAAATGATAAAAACGCATAATATACAGATTTAAATTCTTTCAAACGAGAAAAAAGGGATAATTGCCCTTTCCCATTGAAGGTTATCATACAGGCATTTTGCAATACGACGTTGCATGAATAACAAATGCAAGCCACCCCCTTAAGTCGAGATTATACATGAGTCATAGGTTAGTTTCTTTTTCTCGTATGGTTTATCTTGAGTGAATTATCATGCAGTGTAAACGATTGTATAAATTTAACGAAGTAGTATAAAGTAATCCACTCTGTTATATAGCAATACACTAGAGAAAGGAAAATTGCTGTAAAAAAATTGCCAGTGTATAGAAGGCCTTTCTATTAGGAGCTGCTTCATTGTAAAAAAATAAAAAAGTTAACGATTACGAATGACATAAAGTGCGTGGCCTCTCCTTGAACTGCAGCCTGACCTACTGATCTAGGGATTCAAAACTTATCAGTCTTAGGTATAGAGATAGTATCAGATATCCTGAGTGTTTTTGTGAGCTCTCTGTAATAGCCTTAATAGCGCTAGCGAGCTTTAGAAGTGACTACGCGTGAGTACGAGATTCGGCATTTTCAGCCCAAACTCGGTGTTTTCGCCTATATATATCTTCTGAAGAAACTCGTAGGCTTTTGAATACGAAATTAATCAACAAACTCGAACTCAAACGCTCGACGACTGCACGTTTGGGAAAATGGCGTAAGCAGTATGACAACTACGAGGAGTATATAGTGGACGCTTGTCAACCTGGGGCCGGTTGTATCAAGCCCGTTTAGCTTAAACGGTGGATAAGTTCAAAATAGAAATCAAGTCTATCGTTTTATTCAACAAGCAAACAAAATGTTTTTAGCCATAATACAAAGATACTGTTTACAACTACATATTCAGTGCATGATATTCAAGTTGACTCATTCAACAGAGTTGTAAGAGTGTTATTTACTTTTGACTTATCCACCGTTTAAGCTAAACGGGCTTGATACAACCGGCCCCTGACCTGTTTCTCGTTATATCAGGAAAATATTCTTATACCAAATGCAGTTTCTGTTGGTGTAGTTGTCTTTTTTGCTAAATGCCTTAGCCCAAAAATTTTCAAGGAATATGTTTTTATTTCACGGTGCTTCTCTAAGGTCAGCTGGTTTTATTGGCTATATTCACGCCGATGCTTTAAAACATTTCAAGTAATCCTTGAAGTTTTGAACTAGTTGTACAGTCTAGCAATACAAAACTCCCAGGAACACTGCCTGTGATTTGTTAGAATTGTAGTTTTTCGACGAGTTCCATAGCAGAAATTACCCACTCTTGTAACACATAAGACACGCTCTGTAATACATAAGATTGTGTTAACCTTGTGTACTTTGTTTGACTCTGGTTTCCGGTGAGGGTTTCTCTCCAGGTTCTCTGGTTTCCTATAGTAATCCGAACAGTGTCCGTTTTCTGAAACTGCGTTTCATGGCTGGTTTTCCATTCAAAAAACGTTTTCGCGAACGAAATTTTCTTTATTGAAAGCTAAGGTCATGCATAGCCTTTATCTTCTTTATCTATACAATATTATCCGTACATGAAATCAGGTCAAAAGTCTTGACATGCATTTTCACCTTGCGGCATAGACGCTCTTAAACGCATGCAGAAAATTCTAAAACAAACTTAATGGAATCTGACTGTACACACGGTTACTGGGTTAAATTCCCAATGCACAACTGTTCTCTTTCGGCAGCAATTAAACCAAAAGTTCGATTTAGCCTTTACAGCTAGAACCTGAATAAAAGGTTGCTAAATTTGTTAGTCCCAGTTAATCTATATCACTCGTAGAAAAGCTACTATCCTTACATTCAAATTCATTAAGTCTTTGTATTAGTATCGTATTGTCTCTTGGCCATCTTATGTTTGGATCCAGGAAACATTCAACGGTGCCATCAAGACTTGCCTTGTACCCTTCTCTATGATATACACTGAACATTTCAGGTGTGAAAAATTGATGGCTTGTAAAATGAAATGGAAATGTACCAAAGCACACAGCGGAACATCTTCGACATGACAAATCATGACAGCATTCACAGCAACCAAATGTCAATCTGTCAGTTTCATCTGCACTTAGGTCGGGTCCAGATCCCCACATCTCGGGGTCTAGATGTTGATTAGTATCATTATTGTATTCTTCCCATGAGGATATGTACTGATTGGGAGTTCCTTTAAAAGGATGACGTGGTGATAGAATTTGAATTTCACCTTCTCCTATTTTAACGTCATCTACATAACCATACGGCCTTGTAAAGTATTCAACTTTAAAACTGTAGGTGCGAGGTTGTATGCCTGGGGCCTTTAAGACGTAGTGGTCTTTTATATCTTCAATGACGTCTCGACCATTCTTGCCAGAGAAAGAACAACGTAGCCATTTTCGTGCGAGATTCAAAGCAATTATTAAATCATTTGCAATGGCTGTATCTGAGGAGGAATATCCCCCATTGACCACTAGTATTCTTTTGCATCTTCTCTTGAGCAGCGGTAATATTCCCAAGTTCTCCACATGTCCCCCGTCACTAAGACTAAGGATTGTGGGAGGGACAGGTCCATAGTTCACAACTCCGCTAATTTCTCGAATCAGACGAATTTGTTGAATATTTAGTATGCACCATCTAAGAAAAAAATATCATTTGGTAAAAAATGATTTGGATTTTGTTCGGATGATGAAAGCTTTTACTCGTATATTTCTCCACGGCATTCACTTCAAAATCTTCACACTTAAGGTTTTTGAAAAGCGAACATATATAATTTTAGTAACGACGGAAGAATAGAGCGGCTGAACGGCCTGAACCTCATATCAACCGCGTTCCCAGGGGTCCTCGTTATAGCTTTGAGGAGAGATCCGTGTCCGAACATATATTTTCTAATCAACCGGATCTTATATATTTTGGTGAACCGGTTACGACTGACATGAAAATGTTCCAAATATCCACAAACAAAGAATATCTATATCCTGTCAGCATTTTTCAAGCAAATAAAGTGAATTTACCTGATGATTTTTTCAACTACGCCAGAATTTTCCCCTCCAGTTGGGGCCAGTGCGATTAAAAATAGACACGAAACTGTAAACAAAATCAAAGCTACCAGAATGTGTTCGTACATTTCATCATAACCCATCTTCTCGATGATTGGTAGAAGAATAACTGGGGCTACAATAACACTTTGGATTACAAGTGGTAAAATCTAAAAAGAATAATTCAGTTCTTTACAAACTGTTTCTTAACAATGGAGTACAATCATTCACTCTGATTATAGGATATATCATGCATGCACTAAACCTATAATAAAACTAGTTTTTCTTGAGACTGGTCTCGTCTCAAATAGTGTTTAACTACTTTCTTTACTATTTTCATCGTATTACTATAGCAAAAACGTATTACTTTGACTGATACAGCGAAATTCTTCACCTCATTTTCTTTCTCATATAAAATTTCATATAACTTTTTTTCCGCTAGTTTGTCGTCTGTCATTTGACGTATATTTCCTTAAAGGATCACAACATGAATATAACTTACGTAATGGGACAAAAAATATGTTACACTTAGAGACGTATTCCCTCTTTTCACTGATTGGGCAACCAATGATCTTCCCATGTTAATTCCAAGAATCATCTGAATATCACGAATAGTGTCCATGTTTATTTGATACAGTCCCATGTTTCCCGACAATACAGCTGCAGATGATGCCATCATGTCAGAAACTTTAAGATCCTCTGGATGGAGTCTATAAATGGAGTTACATCAGTATTCTTTATTATAGTTAAACCTATACATAAACGATTATCATATCTACATGATCATTAAAATAACCAGACGGAGTTCCATGACAGCTTCAAGTAACTTTCCATCAAATTTTGACTATCATGTAAATACATGCAATGCAAATGTTTCGAATAAACTATAGTCATCATTCGTCTCCTGGTGATATTGTTTTACATTATTTTATCTTATATTTAATCTTGTGGATTTTTTTAATCTCCCCAGTGAACGTGGTGTTTTTGATGGTTAGATGATTAGAAGACTTTATGTAATACATTGGCCAATAGCACCATTAACGTCCACCTGTACCTGCCATAGAATAGATCTTCACCAGGTTTAGAATCGATTCTCTCAATGGTGTTTGGTGTTACTGACAGCAGGGAATAACTTTCATGCTCTTCTTTGAGAGGATCTTTCACCCAGTTGCCAACCAGCAAATTACAGATATATGCTGGATTCACTTCTTTTAAGTCGCCCATGTACAAAGCTCTGTTTTGCAAATGATGTGAAGAACTAGTACAGCAGTCGAAACTTGGGAAACAATCGGTTAACGAGATGCCAGCACATCCAAATGCCCCAATGTTGTTTGACTCGAAGAAAGCTCGCTGAAATTTCCACCTAATACGTAATAAGAAAATAATATAGCTTAGTAGTATGACAACTATAAATAATTTTCATTGCTGGTTCCGTTGCTACCCTGTTGGAGATCATCGGTCGTAAATTTAGGCCTATTTCAGTTTAACAAAGGCGGCCACAACGTTTGTGTCACGCCGTTCTCAAAATCAATTAAACTTGCAAAGTTGCATGCAAACAACTCGCACCATATCGAAATTAGTGTACCCACAGTTAATAGTGTACCTTACCTGGAAAACGTCTGCACTGAAACACGCTGTATGGCGTATACATAAGGTGTGATCCACAACAAAATAGCACTTAGCCACAGCATGACATTAAATGAATGTTCGTGATATTCAATTCCAACTATATTAGTCTTATACACTCTCCATTTGATGACGTAACTGTAGACGTAAATTAGTATTGCCCAGAATATTTTGTCTCTCATATATGGTATACATACCCAGAGAAGAATGGCAAACACCAGTAAACCAATACTAACCGATCGTGGTATCACAGAAATATACTCTTCTATCAACCATGGTGTGAAAGTAAATGCAAACGAGATTAAAAAAGCAAAGAATATAAACTTCACTTTACTGTACAAAAATCCATTGGGATCAAGCATGGTCGTGAAGATATAGAAGAAAGCTGTTGCAAGTAGAAGAACGGTGAACAAAATATAAGTGAAGTACATCCCCTCGTTTACGAACGGGACACATTCGTTACTACCTGACATGTTGGAAATTTTTATTACAGTTTCATTTAAACCTGGATTCCTCTCGAATGTTTTAGAAGAGTTAAACAATTTCGTTTCTGAATCGGGACAGATAAAACCTTGCCTAAGGATCTCACCGACTAAAAAATCAACCACAAACGCAATGGGTAAACATGGAGCAGCAACATTCAATACTGGAACTACAGCGACTACGAAAAACAAGAGCGATATTAAAACCACTGTATCCAAAATTCCTCGGAATGGATTTGTCCAGTCACATACTATTCCACAACGTTTTCTCATATTTTTAAAGAATTGTTCATGCCATTTGGGGTCATCAATGCCGTCATGACGAAATTTCCAATCCAAATAAGAGGCGCCACAAAACCCTCCGCCAGAAACACAACTCAGATAATCAATATTGACAGATTTTTCAAGTAAACGACGTAAGACTCCGGAACAAAGGGCAGCAGACCTGATACCTCCACCTGAGAAAGCAACGCCAACTGTCGTTTTGTCTTCCGAAGCCATGCCTAGAAAAATATATGGATAATTTTGCCTGGGTTGTCGCTGCAAAATAACATCATATTGTCGTAGCCATATCGGCATAGATATATTGTTGGTTTGATTCGAGAAGAAGCTAGGTAAAACCACTCGGTGAAACACACGACAAATTTAACTGAAATGGGTTGATGGATATGAAAGAACGAATAATATCGAAATCGTGCGAGTTTTCTGTCTTTTTATCAGCCCTTCGACCTTCGTCTGTGTATAAAAACTTATTAAGGTTTAGTTGAAGAGTTATGACCCAACGCGGAATCAACGCAGAAATGTTTTTTTTAATGCCACCATTATACACCTGCAGCTCATACAAATATTTTCCTAAATTCAACCGACTACATGAGAGAAAGCAATCTGACAATAATAACAATTTGTTGTTACAACTTTTACATCAAAGTACATATTCCAATCTCTATGACTATGATGAAGTTGCGTCTTTTTATTGTTCACTCATCCATATTTGACTTGAGTTGAAAATTTATTATCTTTCCCTCAAAGGGGCTTTTCAAAGATAATTACAAGAATCAATACTATAATATATACAAACTTACAAATAAATAAATACTAACAATTATTTAAGATATATATTTCTATAAATGGTCACAATTTTCTTTTTATTCAAAAACGTCAGCTTGTTTTGATAGGTTGATCAAATAAACCAGGGTAATATAGAACTTTAAAAAGGGCGGAAACGATACTACATCAACTTACCAGAAAAGCCCCAGGATAAAAGCCAGAACAGAACAAGGATAAAAAGTTGTCTTTACTCCGAAACTTCTTCAGGAAATAAAAGTTCAATAATAGGCCACACTAATTTGTTTATGAAATTGTTCCAAGGCACCTGTCAGAACATTTTAATTATTTTGCCGGTTGTGTAAGCAATATGTTGTTTTGTTGTAATAACCATTTTTTTAACCGAATGTATGTAAGAACTAAGAATTATTATTACACAGAATATAAAATTTGAAAATGCTGATCTATAATCAATCTATATAGGTTTGTTTTTTCCATGATAGAGCCTAGGGATGTGGAGTAACATAGTGCCAGGTTTGCAGGCGTACTTGACGTTACAGTTGTCAATTGTAAGACAAATTAATTGTGCAAATAACGGTGGATTTTTGGTAAAATACAGTAGTATTGTAACTAACGCTATTTGCGCGTGAAGTTGAAATTTTTAACCACCAAAGTACAGAACAAATATTCCGCCAGAATCAATGATTAACCTTCAAGACTTCTTGACCCATACTTCTTCGGTCCGCGCGTACCTTTTAATATTGCGCATGACAAAATAGTGTTTTAGCGCCTAAAATGCTGCTTGCGGGCGTCTCGATGGTAGAAAAGTACAGGGTCTTTTTTTTTCAGAACACCGTGCTAACGTTTTCAGTAAGAAAGTTAGATATAATTCATATAAAGCGAGAAAGAAGAAGCATGTTTTTATCGCGCGAAATATTGAAAATCCAGCATGACTCACTTTCAATGCGTGTTTTACTAGGCTCTAAAATTGCCAGCGGCCAGCCTGCTACTACCAGCATCCTGGAAAAGCAAAATTGCCTGTTGGACGGTCACTTGATTGGGCCTTAGATGTAACTTTGATTAAAGCTTATTCTTTACTTGTGGATCTTCTTTGGTAATTCGTAACTTCAAAGCTGTAATTTTAATGCTTTTACAGCATTTTCACTGTAAAAATCACAGTCACGTCGTCACAGGAGTAACAGGACTATTCAGCCTTCGTACAAATTATCTATCAAGGCAGTTGGTTTAGCCCAGTGAACTGGTTTAGCCATAGACAATCCAGAAGACATATGTCTTCTGGATTGTCTATGGTTTAGCCTACAAGCAGGCTGCTTGGAGCTGTGGTTGGGGTGTTAGAGTTGTTGGGTGTTGTTTATGTTAATGAAGAGTGTAAAAATCTTTGTAATCGGATTCGATCTGCTGATCGTGAGTGGCTTTGAAGAATTTTTGTGGTGAACACTGTTTAACGTTCTCACTTCTCATATCATACCTTTAGCTGAGTGCAGGACGTTTTTGTCAGTCAGGTAAGATTTGAGTTAAATTGTATCAGTATATTGTTATTTTGCAAATTCTGAAGCTCGCAAACTGATACATTGCCTGTCAGAAGATGAGAGTGTAGGATTGTTAGAATAATTGCTGTTTGCGTTATTGTTGTTAGGAATGCCGTTAAAGAACGGTATTTCTAACTTTAGTCTTGCAATAGTCAGATTTTAAACTGTCTATGTGAATAAAAGTGGGACATACACTTCTGACGCAGGGAATGCACTTGATAATTTTGACATATGGCACACTATGTTCAGTTATCGAAGAGTCTGCATGTTGGGTCAATATACCGTTCCCTGCTGTCTTTTTCTAAAGCGTTGTTGGTCGATAAAATACAAGTAAAGTCACTATGTGAAAGAAGTACGTCAGAAGTGTGGTTTTAGTTAAGAATTTTGGCACTCACTTATTCTTGTACATGCTACAGTATGCAGCGTTCAAATTATAATTCAGCAGTGGTCATATTGTGAAGTCGTGAGCGAGTGTAATAAAGCTTGGGCATATTGCAATATCGTGTTTGCAATATATCCAATTGTTCGGCATACTGTTAACATATAATTATTTCCTTTCTCATGGATTATTCTATAAAGGTATATAGCATGTTTTGATCACAGACTGGATATTTATCAGCTAATGTTAATCTGACCAAAGCTGAAACCTGTCAATAGTAATAAGCAACTCTTGGGTGATCTTTGTTCCCCTCCTGAATTAAATCATACTACACTATTTTTATGATCATTTTCATGGTGTGAACCATACAATATGGTCAAATATCAGAATTAAATTAAACTCGATTTAAAATACAATATATCAATATCAAGCCATTTCAACAGGAAAGTCATGCTTGCATTACAAAGACTGTGAGAAGAAAGTTAAGTGTTCATTCTAAGCTTACACTTAACAGGCTTAGTTTAGCTTATTCACACTCTTTTCACCTTCCAGAGATAAGCGGCAGAACATCAACTGAAAGCAGTTTAACTGGATAATAGTACTTTACAAAGCAGTTACGTATGTAGTATATGGATTTACATTTATATATTTTTAGATTATTTTACTTGGAATATTTTAACCTATTCATGATTATTAGATCACTGTTTTACCAAACTTGAGAATCTAGTAATTTATTTAAACATAGCATAAGACATTTTGTTTATTGGCCAGGGTAAAAACTTTGTACATACATATTTTTTAGTATGCAGAAGATAGTATCAAGATCAAACATTTATGCTTGAATAATATATTGGAGTATTACTTAATAGTAATCACTGGATACAGTATATAGTGGATATAATTTCCATGCTATTTTTTTTTAGTTGAATTCTCAGTGTCTAATTTTACTTACTAGTACATTAGTTTGTGTGGGGCTATATTATCCTTTTAAGAGACATTTTAAAAATGATTGACCAACCTACAATTTCAGTGGGAATAAAATATTGGTCAATCAAGCATATCATCTTGTTTAAACTGTATTTTAACTGAAATTTGTCTCATTTTTAAAATAGTTCTGATGATTAATGAGTTATCATATCTCTTGTGGTGTATATTAGTCATTCATACTGTATAGTGTGCAACGTACATGTCTTGTGTTACATTTACAGTTGTATTACATTGGTGCCTGTATTCACTGCTAATAATTGTCTTTGTTTTAATTAGGTACTCAGTAGATTGACAAAAATATGTCAAGGCGGCAAGACACAAACCAATCAAATGATGATATTGACTATACACGCCATGATCCTGTAAATATTATCTATAAAATTGGCATATATGGCTGGAGAAAGAGATGCCTTTATCTGCTCATTCTTATAATAACTGTCATTACAATAATAAATTTGGCACTTACAATTTGGATTATGCATGTGATGAATTTCAATCTGGTAAGCAATAATATAGCTATTTGATATTACAGAATAGACTGTGGTGGGAGTGAAAGTATTTTTGAGTGGCTTATTTAAAAATTTATATCCTAAGAAAAGAGGAACAGTTATTGAGAATGGTCTGCGGCTAGTTGTATTAAGCTATGAATACATTTTGATTTTTGGATAATTAATTGAATCATAGTTATAACTCCAATATGATAGCCAATAAAAATGTAAGCATAGTTACAAAATGACAGGTTTGTGCACCTAAGTACTACTTTTTTTCTAAACCTACCCTAGATTATCAATATATCTTGATTTCTATTTTTCAAGTTTTGGAAGTTGTTCTGCAGTAACATCTTATATACATAACATTTATGGAATTATAGTCTAAGCTGTAACAGCTGTGTTAATTTTTTGTTTAATAGGATGGTATGGGGAAACTAAAAATAACAAATAAAGGAGTTTTGTTGCAAGGGAATGCAGAATTTGTCAAACCATTGTATGCTGAATCAATTGAAACAAGAAAGGTATTGCATTAAACGTATTCGAAAGTACTCTAAAGTATTTTATTATATTGTATTTTATTATATTGGACATTGTTGGCTGTTGGTTGAGGCAAAAAATATGCAAGTTGTGATGCAAAGGGTCCAGGCTTATCCCTTTATTATTGTTTAGGATAAACCAATTGTTGTACAGTCAACGGCCAATGTTACAATCAATGCTAGAAACGAGAGCGGTGCAACCGTCTCTCAATTTTTTGTTGGAAATGATGAAATTGTTGCTAAACAAAAGGTTTTCAAAGTTCAATCCAATAGCGGAAAAGAGCTTTTATACGCTGATAAAAATGTGGTTCGTTTTGGATACAATCAATTGAGATTTGCAAGTACGTTTTACGATATCTTTATGTAGGAAGTGTACTGTAAGATGTTGTTGTAATTTTTACCCTTCCTATTTCCAATGACTCTGCCATGCTTCAGGGAAGGAGGGGGGGGGGGCACAAGCTTTCGAGAGCACTTTTAATTTGAATAATAAAAAGGCAGGTAAAATGTGTATTTTAAAGGGTGGTCGAAACTGCGAGGTCATCATTAATGCGGCCTTTGCCGCGTGGGCTTGTCTTCTCGTGAATGGTTCGGAAATTTAAAGGTTGAGACAATGCAATTTCTTTCTTTTCAACGCCAGTGAGAATGGTTCTGGTTTTGGTTCTGGTTCATGCACTTTGTAAAAGTCTAAATAATGATTGCAGTATTGGCAAACTTAAATCCTTCCCCTGGCGTTGTATGTGTTTTTCGTTTATACCCTAGGTGCTGAAAGCACAGTTAATTTCACTGGTGCGTTGCAAACTGAAAAAGTGCGATCGCCTCCATCGAAACATCTTGAACTTCATTCTCCAACAAGATCTGTCCGACTCGAAGCTCCTGAAATGATCGAAATTACCACAAAAGCTGGTGACATATCTGTGAAAAGCAAGTATTCCGCATCATTCACTTCAAATGAGGTATGTAGGAAAAGCAGTTGTTGTTTAAAACTAGTGGTACTATTAATGCTTATAAAAAACACAATCCAGGACTTTTTGCATTCTAGTAAAATGAGAGAAAAGAGAAAAAAAAATTTTGCATTCTGGTAAAATGAACATTACCATGTTTTATTGTCATTTCCTTCACCTATGTTTTAGTTTATTTTTGATGGGAAGAAGATTGTATTCAAAGATTTGCCAGTGATGAAAGCTGGTGGCAAAATTAACAATTCGGATGCCAAGGAAGTGTGTTTGTGTCCAAATGGACGTATGTTTGCTGCCTGGTCGGGAACAAACTGCTCAACTGCAGTGGATATTTGCAAGTGAAATATCGTCAAATTTGCGTCGTAAATGCTGCAGGTTATGAAGTTCACAAGTAGAAAACCAGCGATATTCCATGCATTATCAACTCGTGTATATTTTTTTGCATGTAACTAGAAGGTGCATGGGTCATTTAAAACATTTGTATCTATGGAATATATTAAATTTTAGTCTAGGTTTTTAGCATTATTTTATGTAATATGTTATTTTATTATATTATATTATTTTCTGCGTATTAAATATTTTGTTTTCTATCTATTTGTCGTATTCTATGTGCTTAGAAGAACCGTTAGGACTAAAGTGGTTGAAGAATGATTTGTCACACGGCACCGTACGTATGACATGCATCATTCTTCAACCACTTATGGTCACACACGTTTGCATTTATTGAACAATAATAGTGATTAGTAAGCTGATAAGTTATAATCTAATTCACCACTGATGTAGGTAAATTCCTAATTTTTATAACCTTTTCACCCGCGACCCCACCCGTTTGAGCACTCATTGATTGAACTGGACCACTTCACTTCCACTGGTTTCCGCTGAGGTGTATGTTCATGGGCGAAGAATTAGTGATACAAGATGGCGCGCGTGGTGTACTTTTTTTGTGTTCTTTTCATACTTTCCTTTCTTGCAGATGCCAAGAAAAAAGTCACTAAAGAGGTAAATTATATTGAAGATTATAATTTTATGTGCAACAATCATATTTTAAAACAAAATTTAAGACAGTATTTATACTGTAGGCGCAACTTGAGGTGAAAGTTAAGCAGCTGATGGACTGGAGTAGCAGACGGCCTGTAATACGAATGAATGGAGATAAATACAGACAATATGTGAAAGGAATACCTAGAAATTATTCTATTATATTGATGTTGACAGCCTTAGCTCCACAAAGGCAGTGTGCAGTTTGTAGGTAGGTACTGTAGTACTATATAGTTTTTATTTTCCTCTTTTAATACAAATATAATCCTGTTACAATGCACACCGTGGACTTTGTCCGCGATGATGAGGCGACGATAATGGAGTTGAATCCATGATTACAAAATATTTGGGATGAAAACTTAGTTTAGAAATACAAAAGACGTTGGAAGAAAACGTAGCACATTTTAAATAATACCTATGAATAATACACACAATGATACATCAATGTTTACATTATTTTTTGTTTATGCTATTTGAATCAATGATATAATACCATCGTAATTATCGCTACTCTGGTTTTGATAATAGCAATAATTACAATGGATTATATACCTGGTTGCGGTGAACTCATTAACTTCAATTCGTTGATATAATACCAATCTCAAATTCTCATAGACATTGGAACCAGTTATGTAAAAGAGTAGTTGATATTTAAATTTTGGTTGTTGGTCTGTGTTGGGTTAGAGGCTGGGGTTCAAACAATTGCCCCTCCCATCTTTCCCCAAAATCCTGGCTATGCCTCTGATTGCTAAATGTGCGAGTATTGTCTATATTTGCAGAGAAGCGAATGCTGAATATCAAATTCTTGCAAATTCCTGGCATTACTCACCAGGTTACTCAAATCAACTGTTTTTTGCCATGGTTGATTTTGATGAAGGATCAGATGTCTTTCAAGCGGTATGCTTTATATACTTGTTCATATGATAGGTTTACACAATGATATTGATCCATTTGTGACACTAATAAACTAAAGTACCATAAAAGTACAGTAACCAAAGTACCATACTAAAGGTATGCTCTAGTGACTTGGATGAATAATACATTGGTTAGTTCATCAAAAGATATGACTGGCATGCTTGAACTCTTTTGTGTGTTTTTAGTTGAAGTTGAATTCTGCCCCAGTGTTTATGCACATTCCTGCAAAAGGAAAGACAAAGCGTGGTGATAATTATGATATCCAAAGGTACAATAGAACTTTCTAGTGTTGTGACATAATTATTGAAATGGTTTATACACATACTTTGTGTTACTGTGATGTTACCCTAAGTTAGTTTAATCTCAATTTTGTATAAAATTTAATCTTTAAAATATGATCACAGTGTTGTTGCTTTGCAGAATGGGCTTTTCAGCTGACAACCTGGGACGTTGGGTTGCTGAACGGACAGATATTCATGTAAGTTAAATAATATTATAACAAAAAGTTCAATATTCTCATAATTTTGCATGGAAACAAGGTTATATACATGGTGTGCCTACAAACTAAAAATTCAATATTAATAAATAATCTTGAACAAATTAAAAACCTAAGAAAGTTCAGTGAAAGATTATAGACAATTTTTAAACAACCATGATAAAGGTTTTCAAGATAGTTTTGTAACATGGCATGGCTCTATTTGGATGAATTATGAATTATGTTGTTCCATGCAAGCAGTATCAACTATCTAACATCTTAGATATACCTCATTTTCCATTCACATATATAATTTATATTGACTAGTAAAACCACGTAATATGACAATTTGCTCATTTTTTCTAAAATTATATTAGATCCGCATTCTCCGTCCTCCAAACTACATGGGTGCACTTGCTTTAGGTGCTCTTGTTATTATCATTGGTGGTCTACTCTATGTAAAGAGAAAGAGTCTTGAATTCCTTTATAACAAAACATACTGGGCTATTGGTGCTTTGGTAAGGTGTTTCTTTCTGTCCTGCTCATCATCCTAGCCAACAAGGGTGCATATCTGTCTTGATTGGGGAGGGGTTAAACTGGATGGACCAAGTTGTAGCACTTGATAATTTTTTTAACAAAAAGGGGGGGGGGGCCCCATCCCCACAGGATTTGCACCCTTGTACATTAAACACACTATTAGGAATTAGTGTTTAGGGATTAGCCCACTTGCTCACAGAATTTTTTTTTCATCAGTTCTCAAAAGAATTGTCGCACTTCTTCCTTTTATCAAAAACTTGACTTTGCCCTCTTCTTTTTCACATCAGTGAGTTGCAAGATACGAGTAACCAAGTTTTGTTTTTAGACCATTGTTTTCTGTATGTTGTCTGGTCAAATGTGGAATCATATTCGTGGTCCAGCGTATGCCCATAGGAACCCTGAGAATGGTCAAGTAGTAAGTCCTGTTTTACCGTTGTTTGAAACTAAATCTCTGGTCATTTTGTTACTGCATGGCAACTGAAAGCTATTATTCCCAGTACACTGTCACTGTAATTTCATTATGAATCTTCGTTGGCCTATCAATTTACTGTCAGTCCTAAAAATAGCATCGCCAGATCTAGAAAGCGATATATAAACGAATTATTTTTTATTATCTTTTAGAACTATATCCATGGAAGCAGTCAGTATCAATTCATTGCAGAAACTCATATCATTCTTGGTCTTTGTATCTTTTGTAACAAGTGTTATACATAAAATATAAAGCTGCCTGAAATGTTTGACCGCCCTGGGGTATAAAACACGCGACTCTTAGTTTCTAGCTCTCAAAGTAGGATGTTTTTTATTCCTTGACGTATTGTGTGAAGATGCTGCCTATACTGTTGGTCTCATTCTCTTGAATGAAAAAGCAATTGAAGCTTCTGACGCTAATAAAAAGAAAAGTAGGTTATATATCCTGTCAAACTTCTTGGGATTGGCGGAACATTTTTGTCACTTTTGTCACTATGATACAAAATGTAAATAATACCGCCGGTATTTTTCTAGTTTTCACAATTGCTGGTTTGGCTTGTGTTGTGCTTTTCTTCAGTTTGCTTCTCTCGATATTCCGCTCCAAATACCATGGTTACCCCTACAGGTATTCCATCAGTTTCATATGATATTCAATCTATGTTTTTATGTGCCCTTTTTGTGTTCTTTTTTTCTAATTGATCTTAAAAAGTATTTTGTGCGGTGAAGTTATTAGTCGTAAGAGTAAACTATTATTCAATTCAATTTTCTCTTTTTAAGCTTTCTCATCAAATAGAAACCTGTTTGGATCATTATTGTTTTAACTGTGGCATTGTGTAGGTCTTAGAAATAAAAGATAGTACATTCGATCTTATTTGTTAAGGTTATATATGTTTTTGTATAGGTTTTTCATGTAGAATAAATGAAAAATGATTCTACGAGGTTGTCTCAGCGTCTTGTCATTGTAGTGCTCTCATTTTTTCTATAGGATTGCATGGTGCAACCGTAAAGAAGTGTCTTAGATTGTTAGATTCATATTTAAAATCTTGGACGTAGTATGTTAGCATATATTAAGTAGAGTATATTTAAGGCTTGTGTTTCGTGTCATGTGTTTTGGCAGTCGATAAAATAGATGATGCATTTCAAGCGTCGCTTGTGAAAAGCCTTGGCTGTGGTGTAAAGATGTAGAAAATAATTCGTGTGGGTTTCCCTTGCAAACTTTTAATTTAGCACATCTTTGACTATATGCATTTTTAGGAATTACAGCCCTCTTGGAAGTGCATTAATAGTGCTGAATCCCCGTAACTCTCGGGCCCACTCTAAAATTTACTAAAAAGCTAGGGTTTACTGGATTACTATTATTGTTTGCTGGATAACCAGGTTTACACTAGATTACTAGGGTTACAAAATTGCTATCATATAAAAAAACAAAATCATTTTTACTAGATCTATATTCGTGATTGAAACACGAAAGGTAAACCAACAGTGGTTTGGTTAACCAATGGTTATTGGTTAGATGTAGTCTGTGACAGTGATGGTGGTATACAGCCACTGCGACTGTATATATAGCTCAGTGGTTTGCGCGGTAAAAATTAAAATTCAATATGGCCGACAGTTATATAGTGGTTATATGGAAATCTAATGGAAAACCAAGGGGATTTAGCTGCTAGATTTTGTACGTTTCTATTGAATTTCTATTAATTTAAAGGCTACACAAATGCACAAAAAAATCCAAGCCGAACAGAAACAAGGTAGGTTATTTTTTGATATACTGTGGTAAATTTTTATAAAATATTAAAAACAGAAGGCAGTTTATGCTAGTTTGTAATTTAGTACATAACCTAAGGCATGAAAATTAAATAAAGTTGTTGTATGTCGTATGTATATTGTGCACAGTCATTCATTTGTTTGCATTTAAATTTAGTTTAAATTTATATATATAAGTTAATATAACCGTACAATTTTGATCGTGGCAGTTACTTCATAGACCCCTGCTGGCCCTGCAATAAGGTTGTAAAATAATATAACCATCACAAAAGAATACAAACTTTGAATTTTTTATAGAATATAAAGATCTTTGGATTAAAGATGGTAACCTTCGAATACAGAGTAGTTTACCACCGGCTGTTAAGGGCCAGATGCGATGTTTTCTTGCGGTAACAGTGGATCAAATAATATGGCAGGTGGACAATCATCCAAGAGATATTCAAGTATGTTTACAATGGTGGGGAGAAACTGGAGAAGGCACCATGTTTTGGTATGGTTATTTATTTTTCTTTGGTTATTTACAAAATATTACTGTAGGTATTTTGAAAAAGTTGTTGGCTTCATTTGCAACAACTTTGTCAAGACACAAGAGTGCAATCGCCAAAATTAACAATGCCCTCCCAAAAACAGAATGTAAAAACAGTGAAATACCAGAATATGGCATAGTAAATGATTTAGGGTCAGCAATCTGCAATCTTGATTGCCAGGCAACATTCGCTCACATACAGTGTTGGTTGATGAATGATGTGTGAACATACTTGCAGGGTTCTACTTTTGCTTCTTCCAATCTTCCAAACACTTTTCATCTGAAAACTGCATTTTGATAGCAATATATATATCTTTAACAGGCCTTTCCCTGGAAGAAAAAAGTCAAATTCGTGCACATCAGGCAACACAGTCTTGTATCCAATTTGCAGTGGGCCAAAGCAGTTTGTTTCTTATCTTAAAGGTAAATCTGCTGCATGGCTCAGCTTCTAATAGCTCATTGCTCAGGTCTTTAACCTGAGAAAACAACTTTAAATCTGTTTGGGCTTTTAAAAGTATTTTGTCATTGTTCTTTGTGGTCTAAAAAATAAGATGAAAATGCTTTTATATTTTTTTCTTCCTTATTTTGTGAAGATATGAATGTCCTTGTGTTGGATGTTTTACACTCCAAATCATTAAAAGCATTTGGCAGAGCTGAGATTCATGATATTGTCAAGTTGAATGGCACTAAACCAATTGACAAGTATGTCATTACCAACGCTGTTTCCTTACTGAAACTTTTATAGTCAGAGGTCTGCTTTCCACTTTCGCGTTTTTTGCAGGTACGTACAAGCATGTAAAAGTTTAAAATAAATTCAACGATATAACAGATGCCTAGGGTTGGATTATGTTGAAAATTTGGTGCCTTTTTGCTGCAATAAAATAAATTATGTAAAAACTTAAAAGGTTTTTAAACTTTCACCTATGTACGTGCGAAAAAGACGACAGTGCCAGTGGAAAGCCCTAAGGGACAATTAAGCCCTGCATGATATATCTGAAACATGGTGTTGCTGGTGTTAGTAGTGTCTCGCAATGTCTCACTCACAATATATCTTAAAGTGATGAATAGTCTACCTGCAAGGAGGTAGAGAACTTCAAAGTTTCGAGCAAATTAAAACGAAATATATTCTTTGTACTTTTTACGATTATATAACATTGAACAATGTGACCAAAATGGTTTCTCTGTAGTGTACATAGCTAAGGATGATCCGGTCTGATATACATTTTGTAGATGGTATCCAGTGAGTTCTCGTTCTGTACAACCTGTGGTATTTGCGAAACTTCATGTTCTTTTAAAGTTTGAACCTGTTAATGGTAAGGATTGGCGATGTATTTGCGCACATATTTTCTGATGAATTGTCGTACCAAAGGAGGTTAAATTTTGCAATCATCATGCATTATAATTTCAATGTAACCTCAGTACACCAATTCCACCGGCATTGCATAACTATTTTTACAGTATTCGGTTTTATTAAATAGTGGTCGATCAAGATTTATCCACAATTGCTCCTGAGATTGATCATGATTTTAATCATTCTGTTGCAAAAGAGATGATCAGTGAAGTAAGTTAATTAAACAGCTAAACAGTACTTCAGACATGCATATCCTCTTTTTATCAAATTTCCAGGCTGCATGGTTGGCAGATGAGTTTCGCCAGGAGGCTCTTTCATGGGTGCAAATAAGTAGAAAATAAGTAGTTAAGATGGTGCATATAAATATAACAAAGTTCTATCAGGTTCTAGTAAACTATACGTCTCATTGTGGAACAGCACAATATCTCTTTGTTGCTAGTAGAATTCAACCACTTACTGTATACTCATATTTTCGCGTCTTATACGAGATTCGTCTCGAGTGTCGCTTTTTTTCTGGTACTGTAAATGAGTCTAATGTTTGGAAAGGGGAAATGACACGATCATTTCTGATGGAGCGGGTTTATTGCCAAAATGAACAAGCAACAATTCCTCGACTGACTAAGATGATAATCACGACAGCTTCTTTACATGTTATTCTTTAGCATCGAGACACTGAAGAGAAATACGATACAAATAAATCTGGTGATTTAAAAGAAAGCAAAGGTACGTACATGTACTTCTCGAGCAAAAGTTAGAAAGTTTGGAAATTTCAGATGAAAGTGATTGGAATTGTTTAACGACACTGTATAGTCACATGTTCGTTGTAACTTCATCTTTATATGAAGTGGGAGATCTTGTGAGGCATGGTAAGGTGGGATAGGGGGTAAGGTGGGATAGGGGTTAAGATAAGGTGAGCAGATATGGTGGGATAATCTGAGATGGTGAGATATACATACTGTAATAAGGGGGGAAGATATGGTTTGATAATCTGATTGCAGTATGGTATTTGATCACCAATTACATTTTAATTTTAAAGATGTAACTAAAGATGATGTCATAGTCTCGTTGATAAAAAGAGGAAAAACACTCAGAAATTCCATTATGGAATCAAGAGCGAATGTTGAGGCCAACGCAGAAACATCTTGTGTTGTTGATCATGATGAAGAGGAACATCTGGAGGAAAGGTATGCTCCGTATAGACTTCATTGTTTATGCAATAAATGATCGCAAGTATTGAAGAGAGACGAATTGAAACCGTGTGATTTCGTTTATTTCAACAGGAGTGCTTCTGGTAGTTTGTTCAGAGAGATCCTTGGATTAGAAGAAGCAGAAGATACTGAATTAAAGACGGAAATAAGTCTACCTGTTGACCTAGTAGTCGCTGGATCAAGTGATGATGACACTAGAAGTAGTATAGGAAGTGAATCTGACGATCCCATGCATGATGAAACATTACTTCAAGATTTGTTTTATGTGAATAAGGTATGCATGCATTTTTCTAAAATTATTGTTCTTCCTAATCATTGGGAATTTATTATGGCATGTGCATGCCTGGACCTCTCCTAGTTGGTCGGTAAAAATCATTACGTTTAACATAATACTTTCAATAATGAATGTGGTAAGGTGGGATGGAATGGTACCGACTATATTTTAGGATGATTCGGCTGTTATTCCAACGTTAAATGAGCCAGCAACGTTTGATGATGTTGAAGACGATGCAAAGGAAAGAAATACAAAACATGTGTTTGATAAAGAACAAGGTGAAAAAGATCCACTTAGTGAGGTGATATATTTGTTACTACTTTAAATACTTAAAAAAATACCGGAGCGAGCTTCGTTAGAACCACGTCAGAGAAACTGTGTTTTGACCCAGATTTTCTTAATTCAGATTTAGTTCGGGATGTTACTCTTACAGCTTCGGATGTATTTATTTAGAGAAAACCAATTTTTGATTTGAAAGCTGCCTCAGTCAGAGAAGAAAAGGAGTCGCTTCCCGAGACGATTGCTGATAATAATAATTGGGATCATGTTTTTTCGACTGAAAAAAAGCCTCGCTCACCAGGTATGGTCAAAAAGATGAACGGGCAAGTGCAGATGTTGTCTACGCTGTGAAATATTTCATACAGATTTGCGTTGAAGGATCTCATATTTAGACTACATGTATGTTGCCTAAAATTCTTCAGATAACACACAGAACAAGGATATTCTTAGCTGCCTTGGTGTTAATAAATTAACAGCACTGGGAAGAGTCACTGCAGCGAAAATACATATTAACAAACTAAATCTCCTGAATGAATCAAATACCAGTGATAAAAGGTAGCTAGTAATTTGTTATAGAATGAGAAGCTATTCTCTGTATTCCTGGAACTAAATAATGCAAGCATGAAAAGTTAGACGCCAGCACTTTGTAGCTTAAAAAACACAAATAACGAAAAATATTGCTAGTTTTTCTTCTATACTAACGAACTCTATTTAATGTTATATAATCAGAACAGTATTTTTGGTATTATTTAGAACATATTTTATTGAATACGAGTTTCCTGTTGCTGCTGACCATGGTCAGGTAGGACAGAAAAATGACGTTGGTTTGGAAATCACGAGAATTGCCACAAACAAAACAACAACACACAGTATGTTTACTAATTTTCATTTATATTCCGCGTAAGACATGACATATCGAAGTGTTTATAGAAGGAATGATAGACCTAACCTTGAACTGTCCAATTTTCATTTATTGTGTGCATATAATTACCGTATTTCCCAGCACGAATCTTCTGCGGCTGCGAGTCATTTCATATCTTTGATTTTCTAGGTATCGTATTTAACCATCATTCCGTCTTTCCTATCCACTTCAATTTACCCGTCATCAGATTTTGGTGCGAGTGTGAACTAAAAATAAATATATTTAAAAGAAAATCAGGTCAAAAATCTGTAAGTATAACTTATTTATGTTTAAACGCGACCAGCTTTTATTGTTGATGATAACGTAAATTATTGCTTTTATAGCCTGTCATAATTGGACGTGGAAAGATAGCCCTTCGCAATGTGTTTGCATCTGATCATCTGCACTATGAGGGTTTAGTTCAAATTAAAGTTTACAGTAAACAAGATGGCCTATCAAGTCAATCCTCGCCAACATCATCTTCTAAAGAAGGTCCATTGTTGGGTGAACTGGAGGTGATTAACAAAGTTTCTTCTTCCTACATATATTACACTGTACAGTATACTGACTGTATTTTGCTATTCTTGTACAACAGATTAAAATCAATTTGATGAGCAATGGCAAAGACCTGGATTATTTTTCACCTGCTAAGAATCACGAAAATGTGTCATCTGAAATCCGAAGCGATGTTGGTAATAGAAAAGAACATTTCTCTTCTGGTGTTAAAGGCACTGAAAGAGTTTCAACAGAACAAATCCCCCGACAAGCTCACGTCAATGAGAAAGAAAGAGGCCAGTTAGGAAAGGAAGGTTTTGTCTTCACTCCAGCGTCCTCGTCCAATAAAAGTGAGTATAAATCAGTGATATAGATCAGTGCAGTGTAGGCTATGTCACACAGTCTATAGTACCGGCAGAATAAGGTTGAGCTCATATTTCACAAATTATTAATGATCATCTTCCACCCCTGCCATCTGAGGAATGTTCATCAAAGGTGCGTTATATTGTTCTATTGTTTAGCTGCTCAATACCATTCTGTTCCATTGACAACATTGCTCTGGGTTTCTGAAGGACGAAACATATTAAGGGATGGTCATGGTGTTGCAGTGTCTGTTCCTGAAACTATGACACGCAGTAATTATTATCTCATATCGCGCATGTTTTGGACTAGTGATATAACGCGATCATCCGTCTCTTGGGGACAAAATCATCCTAAGTTCAATTTTCGGCAGGTATGGTCAAGATATACTCAAAATAATAATCAAATTTCTCTTAAAACTGTGCCTTGGATAACGAAAAATACCTTCAAGTTGACGGGTTTTCTCAATCGCAGAGATTTAATTTTAATTAACGGCATTTATGGTTCTATAGAGAAGAGGCCTTGTGTTTAAAATTATATATTTAGTAGAATTTCTGACGAATATTTTGTTTATCAGTGCTCATGCATGCCATTCGTATACATTTAGATATTTCCAGTGTTATTAACATCAGCACTTCTCGATCGAATGCATAATAACTTCCTGACTTTGGAAGTTTGGAGTAAATCTGGTGGAACACAAGAAGATGAGGTTTGAAAATTCACTAATGTGATAACTTTATTATATGTTATCTTAATGTTTAATGTTTTTTTGTCTATTTTAACATCAGCTTGTAGGGATTGCCAAGATCCCTTTGCAGCAGCTTTATCTATCTTATAAAGAAAAACAAACCGCGAAAGCTTTACTCAAGTCCAAGGTTAGCTCATTGCACACTTTTGCTTTGCGTTGACCAATGATATTTGAGTAAATCGTACATATTACTCAAAGTTTGAGTGGACAGCTTTATACAACTTCTTCGAAAACTTTTATTGATTCGCTTTCAATAAAACATGCTTTTTATCTCTAACTCGTATATGTAGTTCCCAGTCGTTGGAGTGGATTGCTGGTTGAACATTGGCAATCCTTTCCAAGGTTCGTCTCATGGAGAAGTGCATGTATTACTCGCTATGGGAAGCGAAAATCAGGTATATTTTGTTTCTCTTAACGTATATCTTTTAAAATGTTTTCAATCGTGCAAAGATACTTTATGACCGTGCGTCCACATGCACTTGCAAGGTGACAGGCATGCACCGGTAGCCAAAGTCAAAACGAGTTCTATAAAACAGGTTGAGGAGGTAAAACCTTTTCTTAGGCACCTTTCGTTTGGAAGCTGTGTCGTGTTTAAACCGTAAGCTTAACATCCTGAATGTTTCCACATTTCAGATAAACAAACTGCTAGACATTAAGCAATGCTCTAATCAACATGATTATTTTAAACCGAAAGACAGGTATATATTCTGTTTTTCATATTTGTAGAAGATTTTCTATATATTGACTGAGACTTGGTTAATATTATACTGATTATACTTATTTAATATTCTTTCAGATTAGGAGGTGATTTTAACATTTCACCCAAATATTCAGGAGAGACTAACGGTTAGTTGACAAAATATTGTTTTTTCTCTTTGATTTTTTTTTGCCGTATTATAGTGAAAGAAATTATATCTTGCCATTTATTTAGCGGCTTTTATAATTAGAACCATGCAGTGTTTGACTAAATTTTTTTCAATTTTCTTCAGTTGAACACTGGTTCGAAATTTCGGTGCAAAATGTGAAGAAACTTTCAGCATTTGAGACAACGTCGCTTGGTGAAACAGATTGTTTTGTTCAATACAATTTTCCTTATCAAAAACCTGATTTTGACGCGGTTACGAGTGCAGGTCTATGTGAAGGTATGCAAGTTTCAGTCGTAGAATGATAGTATACTGTGGTTTTATGTTTTGATTTTAAAAACATCAATACTAATAAGAATATGCTTTTAAAAATGCAGACCTTCCTGGCTTACAAAGTCATCGCACAGCGACGACAGCTTGTGTCCCGAATACAAACTTTAATGACGTGGCACGATATCGTATTGTTTTACCTCCATCACTGCCAGTTCAGCGGTATTTACTAGCTGCATATCATGGTTCATGGTCAGGCAGTGGTATGTCTGCTGTTGTCACCTTTGAATTATGGAAAAGATATTATTATCCTAATATTAGAGACCAACTTGTTGCTAAGGTAATCTACTGTAATATGGATGGTTTTATTGTACGTCGCAAGTTCACGATAATAAATGAGAAAAATTTATGAAAAGAATCCATGATAAATTTTATGATCTGATAAAAAGCAAAGCTTTAACTCTAGAGCTGCTCTGACAACTATCCACAGTTTCTACATAATTATATTTTTCAATAGTCCTCACTTCCATTGTCCAAGCTGTGCGGTATGGTCACCATGCACAAACCAGGTGAAACCAATACTCAGAGTTTTTCCTTACCTCTTACGACATTGTCTAATTCTGCTGAGGACTGGAAGTCTGAACCTGGAGGAGTTCTCGACGTAATTATAAAATATCGTCAATCTAAAGTGGCAAATCCTAACATACATCAATTTAAAGAAAACTCTGCTGGTGCGAATACGCAAGTTTGCCTGGCGATTGAAATCGTTCGGGCTTGCGGACTCAAGGTATTTATCTCGTAAATAGGAATTTTTGATAAAATTTTGAAAAGCGTAAAGTGTATTGTTTTATACGTATCTCTCTTTTTTTCTAGTGTGCCTTGACCGAACAGGCAAAGAAGGACTCCAGCTTGACATACGCCTCAGAGGTCGGTGGCAATCCTTTTGTAAAAATCAAACTGCCGTTCAATATCAAAATGAATGAGCGAACAACAAGAACCATCGCCAAAACATTTACGCCAGAATTTGGATATAGAATGGAATTTATTTTACCCCTTGTTCTGAAACACAACCTCGTTGGTCGAGATAGTCAGGAATTCTCAGGAACGTTGGCAGAATGTCTTGAGTTTGGAGAAGCTGTGTTTGAAATATGGTGAGTTCCATGGTTGGTATTCAAAGTTGTCCTCGAAATATAACCATTCCGAATAAATTGAAATGGTTAGTTTTCAGTATACCATAAAATATCACTAGTGAAAAATTTATGGAGGCAGTATACTGTCTTCTAAGAAGACTGGGTATTGAAAGGGTTAGCGAGTTCTTAGTGAAACAATTTTGTGATGTCCCATGTTCTAGGCATCAGAGACCGCGAGAGGATTACGAAAACTGGGGTGAAGAGATTCCAATGGGCCAATCTTTTTCTCGACGTCAACTTCCGCCAACCTCTGATGTTTTGTTGGGTGTAGTTAAAATCCCTTTACAACAGCTCTTATTCAGCCATACAGGTAAATACGATTTTAAGAAGAGAAGTTTTTCCATAAAGTCTGCTTCCATTATACCCCCGCATTCCTGAGTTTTTCTTTCGTCATTTTATCACCACGCGAAGAGTTTCAAGTTTTGAGTGAAGAAATTTTAAATCCTCTGATCTTTGTGAAGAATACAGCGATGTGTTCTAGCAATTTCCGCTCTGTCAACAAGCTGCAAATGCTTCTTTGTACTGTTGGTGGGTTCATAGTTGCTCGCTATTCTCAATGGGCTGTGCAATCGAAGGTTTGAGAGAAGACCATGCATGCAGTGTTATACAAATAACAATAATTTGACATTATCAATCTTTATTCATGTGTAGTAAAATTCTTTTCCAGGTGTCAGAGGTTGGTTTCCACTTAGTTTATCCACAATGGGCTGGTCGAACGAAGATGATGCCAGAAACGGTTTGAATAAAACTGTCGGAGGGCTTGAACTAATAATAAACTTTAGTGAAAATACAACCAGAGAAGAAATTATTGAAAGTGGCCGAGCGGTAGGCTGGTGTCCACCACTATGGTATGAACTGGAAGATGGTCAATGGTTGAATGATACAGATGATAATGGTATTATGAATGTTGGTCAAGGACTTGCATTTCTTGTTAACATAAAGAAAGTCTGGGTACCAAGAGCAGTGGTTACTGCTGAACAAGCAAGAAAAGGAGTTAAAGGAATTAAACAGATTGGATGTTATATTCGATACAAATTTTATGACTCGAGTACGTAGATAGAAACATTTAGATATTCTTCCTGCGGCTATGCGAATATTCAAAAGTGCAATTAGTGTCATAAAATACTAAATGAAACTTATTTGTCAGTGACTAGGTTAATGAGGGGTAATCATCTAAATTATGTGTGGTAATTTTCACCCAATATTGATTTTAGAAGCAGTGTTTTCTCCCATCTGTGGTGTTAAGAAGGTGAAGGAGTCTGATAGTATTTTATGTGATCTCAAGCATCGTCATTCATACATAGTCAAGACAACATCTCCATTCATTTGGTTAGTGATATGTAACCTTTCGCTACTTTGCATGCATGGGTAGCAAATTCGAAAACATGCATGATGTCGTAGTTTAATATTTTATTTAGCCTACTGGGAAATATTCGCAATGTTTGCGTTTCAAAAAAACACAAAGAATGATTATAAAATGAGGCTATGATTGATTAGTCTCAAAATAGAAGGTATGATTGATTTAAAATTATTGTAGGTATATCAGAGAGGAACGCTTGGAAATTCAAGTTTGGTTAACAACAAGACAACACGATGAAAAAACGACTTTACCTCATAAAAGAGATAAACTTGTTGGCTCAGCTTTTGTTGCATTATTTCCTTTATTGGATGGAAACAAGAATTCTTCGCAAATAAGGTAAACGTTCAACACATTCATTTGACGGTACATCTTCAAACCTGGCGTACAAGTATTGCACGTACGTGTGATATATTTAAGTTTTCTCGTCTTCGACTGTATAATATGTATATGCAATCGTATGGCTGCTCTAGAATTCATATACTGTCTTTTCCCACAATTTCTAATTACCATAGCGTCATCAGTATCAAACTGAAGTTTGAGAGTGCGTGGTGTGCAGGATCATTTATAAATGACGTTAATGAAACGACAATTTCTGTATATTTCAGCGGGTTGTATCCATTATTTCGAAGCAGTGCTATAGATCTACGTGGTGCTGGTTTACATGTCCAGTTAGTACTTCAAAAACCAATAAACTCTCAACAGGTGAGAATTCGGGCATTTTTATTTTCATTTCTAAATCAGATCAGTAATATACTATTGTGAGCATCGTATACAACATACACATTGGACGATTATAATTTACAGATCTAGATAACCATAGTGAATAGAGCTATACGGCCAAAGAGTTCTCTATTCTTTTATTCATGTTTATCCAGCCACAAGCACGGTAAAGACAATGGAATTCTTGCATGGGCCATCTCCTAATAGCTTACTGCATCAAATCTCGCAACACACATTTATAGAATATTTACAGCAAGGATTGGCATGCAGGGAAAAGCCGCGGCTTGAAACAGGCGTGTCTTAGCATTATAGCTATCTTAATTCTTATGCAGACGTTGGGAGGTGAAATAGATGAGGATATTGCATCAACAGAGCCTAGTGAAAGTGTACTTCTTGAAAAAGAGAGTTTTACCTTAGTAAGTAGTGATGAAGCTGATGAACAGAAAGAAGCTGGAAAACACATGTGTATGGGAAAAACAGAAGAAATTTCCTCAACAGAAGATGATAATAATGTTATCACAGCTCATGTTGTTATAGAGCGAGCTTTGCATATTCCTCTCCTGAGAACAGATGAAAATAAAAGGTTTGTGATTATTGTGAAATATTAATCAAGCTGAGCTTTGAATTCGCGCATGACCACGAAATTATTATTGTGCGTAACACTGATTATTGCATGATGCTTTGGATCAAAGGTTGTTCTTCAAACTGAACCCAAAACCTTGAACAGGAAATATATTCAAAAAAATATAGTGTAAAATATATATGCTGTATGAAAGCCATATGTGTACTTAATGAGATTATCTATTTTCCTTAATTTGGGGCGCCTTACAATTGGTACTATGGTACAACGCGTGCAGGAACATGCCCTACCCCCATATCTTATTTTATACACATTTGGCATTATTTTTCTTTCACTTTTTTCAGTGTTCAACCTAATGTGTACGTTACCTACCAACCCAGACCTGAGGTCAAAGTGATAAAAACAAAAACAATTCGCTTATCCTCATCTCCCGTCTGGGATCATGAGAAAATCGTTAAATTTGATAAATCCAAAATAGGAAAGAAGGTACAGTAATATACGTACACAAAATTCAGTGTTATGACGCCCAAAAAACAATTGCTATATTTCTCGCATCGTTTTTTCCACTCGAAAATTTTTCATAACCATGCTGGATCAAATAGACAGAAACACTTCTCGACGTTTCAAACCATGGGCATGGACCTTTGCCTGTCAATAACTACTTTACGGTCTTCAAAATTTCTAACATTGCGTGTGGTTTCTTTCTTAATTCTCAGGTGTTAACTTTCAAAGTTTGGCACAACCAAGGAGACACTGGTATATAGTACAAAATTTTCAAATATTTTTTATTAAATATTAGTTTCTATCAAACAGTCACCTGATTAATCATGTGTCGAGTTACATGCTGTATGTTTTAGGGCAGTCAACAGCTGATGAAGATCTGCTCCTGGGATTGGCTTCAGTAGATCTGTCTCCCCTGGCCTCAGGACTTCGACAGGTTATGGGATGGTATAATATTGTCGATTTCAGTGGGCAGTGTCAAGGGCAAGTCAAGGTTGGTACTTTTTTGTTTTTTTTATATGTTTTTTCACATTTATAAGCTGCATGTGTTTGTCGAAGTAAACATACGCCAATAAAATTTTAGATTACGTGTTTTAACGGGAATTGAATCCTATTGAATGCATGGTTATAGCGGACAAACGACTTCCTTCTACATCTGATTAAGACTAAGAATTAAAATGTTTTATGATTGATCCGTGGGAAACACCACTTAATTTCTATGACTAGACCATGTAGACTGCAACACTTCTACTTAACTATAGTTCATTAAATTCTATGACCTTCTCTTAATTAAAGGTTGGTGTCGTGCCTTTGTTATCTGTTTCACCTGAAAGGCTGTTGCTTCGTCCAGTTAATGTAAGTTATACTGAAACTCTACTACGATACGTATGACGGCTCCATTCTTAAAGGTGCTTTGAGGTGTACCCTTTTTACTCTCCCAAGGCGCATTTATCTACTGCGAGTACAAGTGATGTGTTTGCGAAACGAGCTAATGGTCTATCATCAAGGCAACCCAGTGGAACAACCGCTGATACTGGAAATTATTCAGTCTCCTCGCCGCCTTTAAACGAGGCAGCGGATAGCACAAAGTCATTTCTTCTACGACAACTACGGTATGTTTGGAACAACAGAGTATTATGTATCGGTAACACTAGATGAGCAGAAACCTGTTTATCTTTTTTTATTTTATAAAAAATTTTTTTAACAATTTTCCTTGTATATAAGAGTGTTTTTGTTTTAGCAATAATCTGTCCAGCTCGCATTTGTAGGTGTAGATGGTCTCTTTCATCATAGGTCATGCTTTTTTATACTAACCTACCTCTAAACAACTCAACTATTATTTTGTGAAAGGCGACTGATTCCTTTATCCTATCTGACTCAGGCAAAACTTGAACGACCTCGAAGTGATTAAAGATAAACTGAGTCAACGATTAGTGGCTGATAATGGTGCGTTGTCTTCATGTGTGAAGAATAAATCATCTGGTTCCATGAATAACACAGATATGGTAGATAAGTGTGATGAACTTGTCAAGACTTATCCAGTAGGCGATGGTTTGACGCTCTTAACAACTGCGAGTAATCACGAGAAACCTTTAATGACACGCGTTTCCGTAGTTCAGGATCACACCACTATGAAGCCGTCCCGGCTTTTGGAAGGTGAAGACCATCAAGTTCCTCCTATTTATCAAATAGATGCCAGCAGGACTGGTTCGCCTGTGCCTCAAACAATCAGTCAACGTTGTGACAGTAACAATGACAGCGAGAACGATTATAAAGAGTTTGATTGCAGCCGTTCCCGAGATACAAATGATTATTGCGGAAATATCAAAGAACTGAACTCCGAAACCAATTATTACACTAATGATAAAGATGTTGAAGAAGAAAACAAAGTCGGCCTTAGTTATCGTGATAACGATTATGATGATGGTATTCAGGGTGATAATTATGAAGAGGATATTGATGATTGCAATGACAGTAATCATATCGATAATCGTAAACATGGTGGTGGTGATGATGATAATGAGGATGACCATTACGATGACCATGACGATGATATACATGGTGGTAATGATGATAATGGCGGAAATTATGGTGGTGATGATGATAATGATAACGACGGAAATTATGTTGGTGATGATGATAATGATGATGATGGTGGTGGTGACGATTATATTAGTGAGACTGTACCTGATCCTAAACAATATATAAATGATATAATTAACGATCGTATCAATGGTTATGGACAGAATGAAGATGCATCAGCTGTTGTTGACACTGGGCCAACTAATGTTGTGACTAAACCACCAGAGAAAACCAGCAGATTTAATGTTGTGCAAGAGAATATTGAGCAGCTTGACAATAGTAATATTGGTGATTCTGGCGATGAATCATTAGATAGTTTCTTTGATTGCATTCCTTTAAAACAGAAATTTGAGCCGAGGCATCCTGTAAATGCTACCAATGAGACTTTCGACCTTTCTGTCGAACCAGAGTTTGTTGTGTCTAGAGCAAATCTTTCAAAATTGAGAAACGTTCTGAATGAAAAAACAAAGGAAGAGACACACACGAACAAACTTGAACAGCAGACTAAAAGTAATCAACAATTATTAGGTAGCGATAAATTATCAACTCTGGAAACTAACGAGAATAAAAAGGACAGCAGACGACCAAGCGAGTTGATTCTCGACGAATTTAAAATTACGGAACAAGACCAAAACCATGTTGACAGAGAAAGCTTTCATGAACAGAGTAAACATGAAACATCGTATCCTTTTTTGAAATTTTACATCCTCTAAGTCATTTTGTTTAATTATTAAAGTTATGTTTATCGGAAAGTTTATAAATATAAAACGAATTTTGTGCACGCTATCACAAAACTTTCGTTACTAATGTCTTTATTTGGGTAGATAACGAAGCCCGCAAATCCAAATTATTTCCTTAACGCCACTGTTTAACTATAACAAGACGAATGAATGCATTAATTCCAAATTTCTTCATGTCATCGAAAGATTTGGAACAATCCATGCGATCATTAAGACTGGCAGCAACCTTCAGTAGGAAAGAACTAAGACACGATGAATCAAATGGTTTCAGAGAACAAAAGCAAGATACTGAAAATAGTGAAGATCAAGAAACATCCCAGAAAAAAATCCTCACGAAGTCTTTCATTAACTGGAAGAAAATTCAGGAAATCAGAGATACGGGCGAAATACCTCTATCATCACTTGAAACCTCTAGGTTATCCAGAATATTTTCTTCGAATTATGTCACTAAGAAATAACTGTAACATGTACATATTTGTATAGCTTATTGAAAAATTACTGTATATTTTCATGATTCCCTCCCCCCACACTGTTTGTCGTGCGAGAGATATTCATCTTTGCTGTAACCTCTCCCCATGTAAATATAATAAACGCCAGTGAAATGAAAATAAATAGGCCCAGGGTTAAAGATAATAGAGATGACTGTAGATATCTGGGTATAGGTGTGGTGCGCTACACTGTTTCTCCCCAGGAGAAACAACAACGTAGACAACCCCTCGAAGCTTGACAAATGACAACCACCACTGACCATAGATATTTTTGTCGCGCCCGCGTACACCGCAGCGGTTTTGTTGTCTGGGAAACAAAATGGCGAACGCTTCATCAGAAATAGTGAACGAAGTGCTGCCAAAGAATGGCCTGCTTTTCACTGAACAAAGACCGATGCCAGTTCTATGTAAACCTAAAATAATGCCGTTAAAATCAGTGACTTTAGAGAAGTTGGAAAAGATGCAAAAAGACGCACAAGAGACGATAAAACGTCAAGAAGAACAAGAGAAATCAGCGCAAGATATCAACAATTCAGAAAATATTGACGAACCTTCATCATATTAAATATGAAATTTATTAGGTAATCTATCTCTATTGCTTTTGTAGACAGTTGAAATTTGACATTTGGTTTATTGTCCTGTTAGTGCATGCATGTGTTTCTAGTTTAAAAATGTATATTTGTATTTGATATCCTGAAGATTATTGGAAATTGCCTTTTCAGACCTTACATATTTAACTCCTATTTCAAAGTATAAACTTATCACATCCCCAAGTTGTGGTAGTGGATGAGAGGTTAATTAATTTTATATACATGTGTTGATATTACATTTCAATTTCAGATTTGTTCACATTAAAGGCAAGAATAAATTCAAATAAGAATATACTGCAAAGAAGAAATTGATTGTCTTGTCCATCAGCCCGTAAATGGAGGGCAGCATGTGTTCTGTAGTCAAATGGCTAAACTCTATTGTATCCATCACCTACATATTGTGGTAGCTAGGTCTGCTAGCTCTAATGTGCCAAGGACCGTAACTAGATGCAATGATTGTGAAGGTGTCATTACTGGAATACTAAAAGTTAACTCCTAGCAATGGCACTTTGCCATTGAATTAAAATGTAAGATGTTTCTTGTATATTTTAGACTGTTGCTGAGAACCAATTTGCCCATATATTCAGTTTTGCTAATGATGTGTAAAGTGAATACAAACTTATATGTATGTTAGAGTTCAAAATGTTCGTCTTACAGAATTTTGGATACATAACATATTACATAATACATACACTATTGTTAATGTTATGAATTGGAAAGTATTCAATTACACACTGTAAAGACAGTAACGAATTTATAACATTGGTTACTTCTGTCTCATTGAACACAATTTTTATTCTTTGAATAACTAGAATCATTTTTAGTTCGTGTTTGTGCCAGATAAAATTGATCAAAAAGAGATGAATCTGAGAAAGACAAGTAACAAAAATGACTTCGGACTATATAGGTACAAATATAGTATATATAGGTACGATTATAGTACTGCGAACTGGGATAGTGAGGAGTTAAAGCACAGTGACAAAAACAATGTTCGTCTAATTTTGCATGGCAAACAATATCCAAGCAATATCCGTTAGTCAAAGCTTCATAAGCAATTGACCCTTTCAAAAGAAACATATATTTTTTCCAACATTGAAAGTTAATACGTGGGGCATAACTGTACCTATACAGACTGAGACTGTAATTCCAAAAAAATATTGAGTCAAAATATTGAAGAGAAGTAAAGCTGCCTTGAGAAAAGACTTGAGTATACACATGATGCAGCTCTCGTATCTCTTAAGGGTCAAATCAAAATAGCAGGATTTAGAGGTCATCAAAAAACAACTAACCGGTGCCAGGGGGCTTTCTCATCAGAGAAAACACTAGACATAACACTGGTGACAATGCTGAAGTCACGTGTGCAAGCACTACGGACTGTGCAGAATGAAATCGGCACCCGAGGGCCCGCTCATGAGCCTTATGTCATACCACCAAGTTAGTTAACGACAATTTTCTAACCTTTGCCTTTTGCATGCGTAAATTGGCGTAAATACAACTTCCTACAAAAAAAACATGACGTCATCACTTGGCATCATTCCCGCATTGCATCATTGCATTTGCCAACTATGGCATTCTTTGGACGGGAACATTCTGATCTGGAAGGCCGTGCATAGCTGACCTGTTTTATTCATATTCGTACGTTACGGTACTTTGCACGTGTTTCATCTAACCACCGTCATATGACTCATATTGTTACCTTTTGGTTTCAATATCAAGAATTGCCTGGGAAGGACGTTACTGAGATATTGCTGTTGAGAATGTATGGCAAATATATAATAAATATGAAAGTATACCGGTAGACTGAAGACAGTAGGAAAAAGGATGGAAAGCCTTCTTGGTGAAATAGTGTGACCATAGACGATCCAGATGTTTTCTGGACTGTCTTTGGTGTGACTATTCCTAATGCAGGGCAACATCATTCGTGAGTTTCACGAGTCTCACTAAGTTTCTGATTATCATTAGGAAACCTAAGCCATGGTTCAGTGCTTCAAATGCGGGGGAAAGCCCCCCGAAATTGATTTTCGCCCAGGGCTCCCAAATTCCTGGATTCAAATTACTTTACCTGTAAAAAACTAATAAGTCATACCAATATGATTGTTCCGAGTCTCAAAACATTCCAACAGCGATGTGAAAAGCATTCACATCCCTAACCAGTCGTAATGTTTACAAGATATATTTTAAAAGGATTTAAATTTGTCTGTTCATAATTTTTTTCACTGCAATTAGCCTAATCAGTTCTGCTTTTCTGCAAAGACAAGCTCATTCAATTCTATTTTAGATCAGTGCTAGCTAAATGTTAAATTCTGCACGAGTCAGCATGACCAACGCCGAATAATTTTCGCAGTATAACGCAGTATAATTTTCCAAAAAAAAATACGTCACAGACCGTTCTTGATATTGAACAAATTGCCCTATATGGTTAAATACGATCCAAGGACCATCCAAGGACCATCGATTAATAAAAAGGAAGCGGAAATTGTGGTTTTCAAATCTGTTCCAAGTATGCTTTAAGTATTTACTTTGTCCAATTTTGTTAATTTTGTTTTAGCTTTTGCATTAATTAGATCAGGGGACAAAGAACAAATGGTTGCGAAACGCCAGTTGTCGGCGGTTTTGGAAGGATGGGCATGGCTTCATTTTGCTCGTTGGGCGCAGTTGCCGCCCCTGCCCCCTGCCTCCTACGCCTATGAATATCCTTTTAGTGTGATTAGACTAATGAAATATGGTCGAAAAGTCATGCAATTTGGGCATGTTTGCCCAAAATCTGGGCGTGTTTGTGCTCACCTGCAATGCAAAAGAACACAAAAATATTGATGTCATAATATCTCATCACTGATTTTGGTTAATTACTGCACGGGTAATAAGCAAGTTGCTGATTGGTTCAACCTCGTACCCAGGTGGATTGGATTTAGGTTTGTGTACACGAGAGCACGAGAGCCGGTGTTGAGAGCCGACTAGTTGAACCAATGACCTAGGCGAAGGGGTCTCGTGAGGCAGTTTCCTCAGCAGGTTTCTTCGTAGTGTAAATAGACGAACTCTTAATAACTGGGTGATTGGAAATCTCCCGGTTCGAAGACGTAGCGTAAACGCCTCTCAATCTGAATAGTTGAAATTTGAAAAACGATGAATCTGGATAGTTTTACAAATCCTTCTGCTCTGGTGTGAACGAGGTCACCCTAGGAGACATTTTATCCCATTTATACCACCAGAATAAATATCGTGTATGCAGTATAATTATCACTAGGCGTCGTTTGATATTAACATTATTTCAGTTGGAGACATTGAGGTCAAAAACATATGACACATTTGTTTTCTGGTACGGCGAAATAAAAAATGATATCAAATTAAAAAGCGTTGTTCTTAGGAACGTTTAAGATGTTCTATTATTATCATTCCTTATATATCTTTTAACTTTATTCACAATTTATATTTTTTAAACACTTGCTAAATACACTTTCAAGGCAGAATAAGAAATCAACAGAACGCAACTGACGTCGGAGCCTTTGAAGTAGTTTCGCGCATGCATACATTTTAACAGTGGTCTGTCCAGTAAATTGCGTGTTTTGGCGAAAGAATACGCCAAAGTAGCTGTCCTCTTTTGTTTTTTTCGGTCAATTGGATAAAATATAGGGGGACACGTCTTTTCAAATAATTTTGTGCCCAAATGCAAATTATAATCAAAATATAGGGATCAAATGCAGATAAGCAATCAATTTCATAATAACATCTGGTCCAATAGTGCAGATGCCGGCAAATATATTGATGAAAATTAAGAATTTTAACCAAAATAGTTTAGCTAAACGAAGCTGTAATTCCGAAGTAATTTACCCTTCCCACGCATTGATGAGAGAGCCAATAGAATGATCAGATTTTGGGAATATTAGCCAATCACAAGTAGTAAAACGATCACGGGGTCCCTGGACAAAAACAGCTTCGCTGCAAGCGCGGACATATAATTTCAATAAAGCCTATGTCAGGTTATATTTCGACATAAAAGTGGAGGAAACCTATCTCTAGCAAAAAAAGATATTCGCATGTAGGGCAAAGGGAACTAGAGGAGTCCCATCAGCAATATTACAACGGCTGTAAAGGATTGTTTTGCAATATATGAATTTAATTCATTCGTGCTATTCGTTTATGTAAACATATATTTCCCCGTTGCAGCGAAAGGTCTGCTTAGCTTAGCACTTTATATAACCGGTGCACGTCCAATGAAGAAGTAAAAGTGAATCTTGAATTTGACGTCAAGGCAAAAAGAAGGCACTGCAGGTTAGTCTGAATACCGTAGCTTTAGATATGATTGTTGTTTTTATATTCATTTGTTCAATATAATATAACGTCGAAGGCGTTGTCGGTTGCCCGTCATTTGCATATTAAATTGATCTAGAATTGTATGTTCTTTGATGTTGGGAGATTTAGGTTTATCTCAAAAGAAATAGCTGTAAAATATTTTATCATTTAATAGGGTACTTTTCTTTATATTCCTGTTATTTTATTTGTAATCGTAAGAAATATACAGAGAATATTAACTTGTAATCATGCAACATACATCTTTTTTTTGTTTTATACAGCTTTAAAAATGGCTACTGGATCGCGAACGGGCAGTGTTAGTATGGATGAATCTGATGCCGGTCAAGTGGATTTCGATATTTCTAAAGAAGATTTGATAACATTAATGAAAGGAGGCGAGGATGGTCTGACGTTTCTTCGAGAAACGTTTGGCAGTGTAAACGAAATCGTTCGACGTCTACATAGCTCCGTTGCCCATGGTATTGAAGGACACGACAATGATATTGCACATCGCGTGAATGTATATGGTTCAAATTACATCCCTCCCAAGCCACCAAAAACGTTTTTGGAATTCTTATTCGATGCATTTAAAGATACACTTCTTATAATTCTCATGGTTGCTGGTTTGGTTTCTCTAATACTCGGAGTTACGGTAGAGGAAGACAAGAGTACTGCATGGATTGAAGGTTTTGCCATATTTGTTGCTGTAATTATTGTTGCTTTCGTTACTGCTATAAATGATTACACGAAAGAGCAGCAATTTCGTGGTTTACAAAACAAGATTGAGGGTGAACATACTTTTACTGTGATCAGACGTGGCAACTCGTCCTCAATTTTCAATGGTTCTATAGTTGTTGGTGATATTTGTCAGCTAAAATATGGAGATATGATTCCTGCAGATGGAATTCTGGTTCAAAATAATGATCTTAAAATTGATGAAAGTTCCCTCACTGGAGAGTCAGATTTGGTGAAGAAAGGGGATGCAAATCCATTTATATTATCTGGTACAAGAGTAATGGAGGGCAGTGGTAAAATGATAGTGACAGCAGTTGGTATTAACTCAAGGTCAGGACAAATATTAAAACTTTTAGTTTCTGGTGTTAATGAAGCTAATGGTGATGCCAATGCAGCACAACCACGAAAAACACAAGCAACAGATGGTGATACAGAGGATGGTGGATTGTTAGAGCCAGAAACTGACCAAACTGATAATCAAGAAGATAAAGGAGAGAAGTCTATCCTTCAAGCAAAGCTGACAAGGTTGGCTGTCCTTATTGGTTGGTTTGGTCTTGGTGCTGGTATATTGACTGTTGTTGTTATCTGGATAAGGTTCTCAATTGAAACGTACCATATTGACGGTGAATCATTTCAAAAGAAGCATATCTCTGCATATCTGCGGGCATTCATCACTGGTGTCACTGTGCTAGTTGTTGCTGTTCCTGAAGGACTTCCATTAGCTGTGACAATATCTCTTGCTTTCTCTGTGAAGAAAATGTTACATGACCATAACCTTGTCCGACATTTAGATGCATGTGAAACAATGGGTAATGCAACAGCAATTTGTTCTGACAAGACAGGAACACTAACTACAAACCGCATGACTGTTGTGCAGAGTTATTTGGCAAAACGAATAGATTATGTTTTAACTCCAGAGTTCAATCATGAGGCGATTCCTGAATATTTGCGCCGGACTTTAGTGGAAGGGATTGCATACAACAGTAGTTATGCGTCAAGAATTGAGGTAAGACTTCATCTAAATGTACCTTATTTTATTCTGTTATCAAAAGAGAGATTTAGGCATTACCTATGGTTTGTTTTTGTTGGACCAGAAATTTACATAAACTTACAATTTTGCACCAGAAATACTGATAACCTATTGTAAAACAATTCATTTTCTTCAATTGCTGCATTATGCCTCGCCAGAGATCTCCACAAACTCTCCATGATTGAGGAGGGAACAATTATTAAGACTACAAGTTTGCGATTTGTCTTTTTGAATGATATGTTGTTTGCTTATACATGTACTAATATGCAGTATCATAGAGATTAAGCTATAAGTGCAAGGATTTTGATAAATTTGATTCCTAGAAACCATATGTATATACAAACAACTACATTTGGCAGGAACAGGATGAATCCCATAGTTGAAATGATAAATTATTTTGAAGGGGGGTGCTCTAGCTTCCTCAATTGTGGTGTTTAATTACTTGTTGCCATTTTACCATGCTTAGAAATTGAAAATAATAACCAGCACACTATTTGCATGAACATTTCAGGTTGTGAGATATAAACTGGCTACAGAATTATTTTCTTCTGCTTTTTGCATTAACTGCAAACTCATTTTATTTCTGATAATACAGTGGACAAAAGCTGTACACCATTTGTGGTGATAGAGGCTCCCTGCATCATTACTTGTGCTTAAGATATATTCATAGATGCATTTGAAATCTATTTACTAAATAATATAATTATAATATATATCACACTTGCAGTAACATCAGTTTTGGTGCTATCCCACCCCAATGCACTTTGTAAACAATAAGTATATTATTTAACATAAATAAGGGAATGATAAATATAGTCCAACCAAAAACATTACGTTTAAAAATGTTTTATTCAACTATTCTCACATGTTTCTATAATTCTATTTCGTATAAAGATCTTATTTAACAAAGGGTGTCCATCATGTATGACAACACTTGAATGCACACTTTTGGAGTGTATACCATACGTATCTTCAAAAATATATACCTTTGTATAAGAATATAGGAATATCTACTTGTGACTGAGTTGTATAAGCCTGTTGAGAAGTAATCACTGACAGTTTTATCACTACTGATGCTATCAATGTCATTTTATCACATCTTTCATAGTAGAATATTGAAAAATTTATAATGTGCTGTTACCCTGTTGCTACCTAGTTTAAAGGAACACTGTATTGGTAGAAATCTTTCGCAGTTAGTTAACGCAATTGTCGTTTTAATTGTAACTTGGAACTCATCTCACTTTGTTCACCTTCATATATCCAAAGATCCTGAACGGCTTTGGACAATACGTTACAGTTGTTACCGTTCTGTTTATTGTGTGGCTGCTTGAAATAGTCGGAAGATACTTCCTTTTTTCCCCCTCAATATTTAAATGATATACAATGCCTTGTTCTCCTACGTGTATATGTCTGATTAAAAAAAGCTTGCGTTGGAGGAAGAATTCAAGTCTTGCATGTAATGTCATAACTTATATGAAATAAATTGTTGCCAAATGAAATAACGTTAGTTAAAGCTAAAAAAGATATAATTGCTTAGATATTTCCAGAGTTTTGAGGCAAGCAGTTGAATAAGCTCATGCTGTCTCGTGATCGTTATTTTTTATCAAAAGCCCAATAATGTGAACACGTGAACAAGCAGCTTTCGTTTTGAACTTTTGTCCTTAAACGGGAATGTTTTATTTATAATATGCGGCGTTTGTATCTGAAGCGGTCCAATAATTACGGTATTAATCCACGTATCATGCACCGCGCAGCATGTCAGGCCAAGCGCTTTTGTCTTCGTTTAAAAAAAAAGCTAATTTATTTTCGAGTTCTAAAATTACACGGCGATACACGGCATTCACTATCGGATACATAGACTAGCTTTGTTCAGAGTGAGTTTATTTTTAGCGTGTGAGTGACTGACCTGACCGTTGATATTATACGACTCGCTAGTTAGAGAAAGTTTCATGCAAATTTATAATCATGCAGGGCTTTGGGATGCACGTCATTTTAGACAATATTGTGGCCCATGTCTTCTTTATGTCCTTCTTTATATCTATTAAGATCCGCTATGGTTTAATTAACATGACGTAGTTAAGCGAAACCGAGGCTACTGTGAGTAAGTGTGGTTTTATATTTTCAATGCCACGTACATAAGCGTTGGCGATCAAATCAAGGACAAAGTTAATTACAGTAATGAGTGAAATTTGCTTAAAACTTATCAATTGAATGTCATTGTGGTTGTCAGATGTTTGAGCATTAAAAATTTATACTTATAGAAAAATCAGTAATTGATATTATCATTGTGAAAATAGCGAGATGTGAAAATGTTTTTGCAATATTTACTTTACAGTTTTAGCAGCTGCATGATCAGAATTTTGTCGTTCTTTTTATTGAATGTAGTTCTCTGTTTTATTGAATACGCTTTGTGTATAGTAAAAGAATTATGAAAAGCATGTTTGCCAAAAATTCAAGAAAGTAAGATTCACTGAATCTTCCCATTTGCCGTCTTGTATAATATTGACTACTGCGTAGGTTATTTGTATTTCAGTCTGTGGTTTTAAAGTGCTTATCGTCTTTGGGATGATTGCAGGCATACTCTTTCTGCATTCTTCAAGATGTAATGAATGAGGAAGATATAGACCTTTACATTCTTCAACAAACTTCGTCAATATATAATGCAATAAGAACTAGGAACTTATGTCGTTGTGGTTGCCTATTAAGTCCCCTCTTTACACGATCAAATTTCCTTGGCAAATTTGGCATGGCGATCTTTCATCCAAGATAATTTGCCGTAAAACATTCCTCACAAATTCCACAGTCACAATGGAAAAATAATTTCACATAAAATCTGTCAAAAAATATTTGCCTGTGTAAGCTACCGGTCGACTTTTATTTAATACGTGATACACATTGTTTAAATATTCATGTATTTGAAATGCTTAGTACTCCCACTGCCTCCGAAAATAATTAGTTTTCTCTGCCATATGCTGTGGCCTTCACAAATGTCGACTGTTGCAAGAGATAGTATGTGGTGTTCAATCACAAGAGTTTGCTTCTTGGGATTAGTGATGTATACATTAAAACGTCATTTTTTTACTCTGATTGTATATATACTTTTATACCGCTATATTTCTAATTAATGAGCTTTACGGTGTAGATGTGGGAGTGTTTCTGTAATGCGCTTATTAATGATTTAAACTACACGCGTGCCGTGTCAACCAAACCAAACCAAAATGAAAATATATTGGAAATGTAAGCGGGGAGAGGGGTGGCGGAGGGAGGGGTGGCGGAGGGAGGGGTGGCGGAGTGGCGGAGGGAGGGGAACACTAGACAAGAAACTGTGACGTAGAAGTAGCATTGAGAAAAGGCATGAATTTTGTAATGTTTTTCTTTTATAGCCGAGTGATACCGAAGGAGGATTGGATCGTCAAATGGGGAATAAAACTGATTGTGCATTGCTGGGTTTCGTCGGTACGCTACATGACCATTACAATTTCTACCGGGGGAAAATGCCTGAAGAACGTTTCGTGAAGGTTTTTACATTCAACTCATCCAGAAAATCGATGTCCACTGTTGTTCCGTTGACTGACGAGAAGGAACAGGTGACTGGTTATAGAGTTCATTGCAAGGGTGCGTCAGAAATAGTTCTGTCAAAATGCACGTCTATCCTTGGTCAAGATGGTCAGGTGACGCCGTTGAGTAGTGAAGAACGTCGTGGTATTGTGAAGACAGTGGTTGAACCAATGGCTGACAATGGACTGAGAACGATATGTTTGGCGTATAAAGATTTCCCAAAGGATACCAAGCAAGATTGGGAAGATGAAATGGCTGTGGTTTCTGAGTTGACAGCTCTTGGTGTTGTTGGCATTGAAGATCCAGTTAGACCAGAGGTCAGTAGGTATTCACACAGCTTCTTTTCCCTTGGTTGTGTGTGGTTGTTGTTTCCCTCACTTGTGTTTTTTCTACGTTCTCCTTTTGAAATGTGTTTCATTTTAATATCTCACGAGTTTCAAGTTAAGAGCTTGAGTCGTTTGAGTCTTGTATGATTTACTGTTGATTTTCTTTTAGGTTCCTGATGCAATCAAAAGCGTGCAACGTGCTGGTGTGACAGTGCGCATGGTCACTGGTGATAATGTCGCTACTGCTCGATCTATTGCGACGAAATGTGGAATATTGGATAGCAACGAGGATTTCTTAGTTTTGGAAGGAAAACAGTTCAATAAGAGGATACGAGATAAAGATACAGGAAGGGTATAGTTGAATCTGTCTTCTTTTAACACCATCGTTACATCTTAAAACATCTAGACAGAACAAGTGTGGATTTTTTTGCAATTAAAATCAAACAGAATGAAGAATTACTATCATGCATCTAAATTAATACGGTGAATGAATGAGGCTAAACATTAAATCAAACCTTACTGTGCAATGGTTTGTACTCATTGAGCTTTGAGCAGCCATCGATGTAGTGTTGAACCCAGTTAAGACAATTTATTTTACAACTTCCTTCAAACAAGTTTTATTTCATCAATTATTAAGAAAAACTATTGTGTATATAAAAGTAACTTTCCAACAAGACCAAATTTAAAAAAGTACCTGGTATAAATTATTGCCTTCCAACGGGGCATTTTCAAGCCATTGACGTTAGAGCACGTGTGATTTTAATTATTAGGTAAATCAAGCAAAAATAGATGAAATCTGGCCCAAACTGAGGGTGTTAGCTCGCTCCTCGCCTGAAGATAAATATATACTAGTGAAAGGAATTATTGACAGTAAACTGAGCAAGAGTCGTGAGATTGTTGCTGTAACTGGCGACGGAACAAATGATGCTCCTGCATTAAAAATAGCCGATGTTGGATTTGCCATGGTAAGAAAGCATATGTACGTTACTAATGTCTTGTTGAGCCAATCAAATTTCGTGTAACATAAGACTTTTCGCGTTTGACGTCATTATAAGAAAGGTCTATTTCTTCCAGATTCACTTCTTGACATATTTACGTGGTCGTTTTGTGGTGTTTATTTTTAATTGACAAGAAATTTGTTTCAAACAGGGCATTGCTGGAACAGATGTGGCAAAAGAAGCATCGGACATTATTTTGACAGATGATAACTTCACCAGTATTGTAAAAGCTGTTAAATGGGGTCGTAATGTTTACGATAGTATCTCAAAGTTTCTGCAGTTTCAACTTACAGTAAACATGGTTGCTATTTTCATTGCGGTCATTGGTGCTTTAGTGCACACGGTAAGTTTTGGAAACACTGAATGTGAAAGTGTTTGTAGAAAAATGAGACTGAATTAATGTTTGTAGGTTTTATTGTGTACTATAACTGCGCTATTGTTAATAAGTATTCTACAAATTTTTGCGTATAGGAGAGTCCGCTAAGTGCAACTCAACTGTTGTGGGTTAATCTTATAATGGATTCTTTCGCGTCTCTGGCCTTAGCAACAGAACCTCCAACTGATGATCTTCTTACTCGCAAACCGTATGGCAGAACAAAACCTTTGATATCTCGTACTATGGCGAAGAATATCTTACTGCATAGTCTTTATCAAATCATTGTGTTGCTTGTATTAATGGAAGCAGGTCCTGATTTGTTCGATATATCATCGGGTTTTAAGAAGCACGGTCAACCCTCAGTTCATCTTACTATCATGTTCAATACCTTCGTCTTCATGCAACTGTTTAACGAGATCAATTCCCGAAAAGTGCATGGTCAGAGAAATGTGTTCTCAGGAATTTTTGATAACTATATATTTGTGATTATCTGGGTTGGAACTGTTGTTGTTCAAGTAAGTACTTGGTTTAGTAGCCAATAATGTCCGTTAACAGTCTATTAACCTACTCTCGCATTTGCAATGTCACATTTGTTTGCATTTAAGACATAACAGACACAATGATTTTCTAGGGTTCATCAACCTCACCTTTTGTACTTTTGAGCAGGTTGAAATATTTCTCTTTTAGATCATTTTGGTTGAACTTTCTGGGTTTGCTTTTCGCTGTAAAAGTTTGACCGCTCAACAATGGATGTGGTGTGTATTTTTGGGTTTCACCGAGCTACTTATTGGCCAGGTTGTAGCTACTGTTCCTAAAGCTATTTTCTCGAAAGAGTTGTGCAGAATTGGTCGTGGAAGTATTCCACAAACAAGTAATGCTCGCTTATTGTGGATACGAAGTGTGACCAGATTGCGACACCAGGTTAGTAATATACAGAAATATTTTCAACTATAGTTTGTTCCAACTGAAAATTATAACCTTTCCTGGTCGTGAAGGGTGATGGAGTTAGCCCTTAAAATTTAACAATATATATAACCGACACCGCAAAGTTTCTGCTGAGCTTACCTCCGTAAAGTTAGTTCTATAGTGGGGCCGGGTCGTCATTGAATGATTGCATTCTGATCTATTGTATTATTTAGATTCGTGTGGTTAACGCTTTTCGTAGCAGTGTAGATAATCAAAGTCAACGAGCCCTGACGTCGCCCGTAGTATTTAATTCTCTCTTGGCTCCAGTGCGCACCGTCATGATTCCGGCCAATAACTCCACGGAAGGTTCGCGGCTTGATAGTATGTCAGACGATGAAACAACTAAAACAGGAAACGCGGAGACTCCTATGTAACTCACCAATCATGGTACTTATAGATGATTTACGATATACTACAGTATATAGTTAAGAAATAATTAACATAATTCCCGTGTTAGGTGGATATTTATTTTTAAGCACGATTTCTGCCTATAACTATTAGTTTATTTTAAGCTTTAACAAGTATATATATATATATAACTAATTATGATAAACGCCAAGCATATATACTACCTAGCTCACAGCGTCGTTTGCGTCATCATCAAGGTAGTATTACTTAGATTGGGCCTTTTACTAAATATAGCATGGTGTGAAACTAACAATTATTAGGGTGAAATGTATATGCTTCGACTTTTGTGTGGAATTAACTAGTTGCTGCTTTAGTTTTTCCCACAGATTTTCGTACTCGGGATCACAAACACTGATGACGTTGCTTTTAGTCTTGAAAACTATCTATCTAACTTAATATTGATTAATTTTCTCTGTGTATATTGATTTTTCCCTGGCAGTTCACATCACACAAGCAGTCTTCCTGGTTCAAAAGTCGGTAAGAGCAGCTTTTGAACTAGACCCACTGTATATAACTGATACGATATAAATTGTATCTATATATCACTGTCCAAGATAATTCTCAGTTTCCATTACTTTCAACTCTATTTAGTTGACTTAATACCATACAATACCATACTTTAGTAGATATTAATACCATACACGGTAAACAAATCTCTTGCTCTTGAGATAGTATAGGTATATCTTGCACCTAGGAGTTATACATTCAAGTTCTTTAGGATATATTTTTTGTCATGTTTATGTGCAGTTTCGGTTGTTGCTGAACGGTTGAAGGCTGAGCGTTGTATTTCGTAAATTTGGACGAAAATATTTCTTCTTTCCATTCGATTGTAGAATCAAATTTTAAGTAATTCTCATATACATATACTTAACATCTTATATTAAACAAGTCTGATTGGTTAGATATTTCAGTTTGAATCGAAAGTGTCATCAGTAGAAAGTAATTTTTACGATATCAGACAATATGGAAAAACAGCTCCAGGTTTAGTAATGTAGTTTCTAGATAAATATAGAATCCACAGATAACCCTTGTATGCATGGGCCCAATTGTTCTCAGCTAAACGCATTGTTGTAATCCAAGATTCTTATTTGTTATGAGTGATATTTTCATGATTACTACAGTTGTTGTGTAAGATTATTTCGATATTAAATAAATTATGTACATTGTGGAGTTTTAATCGTTATATTTGATTGATATGTGTATGGTTGATCACTAACTTTATCCTTGCCGCATATATACGGTATCTATGGCGTAGGCTACAAGTGCATTAACATTGACAAGGCCAATGTTTTTCATAAAGATCACGACGAAAAGTTAGTCTCGCTTAAAACCACTTATTCAGTTTGGTCTTATCATCTTGGTCTTATATTGTATGAGCAAACCATCATGTGTTCTGGACAGTTTGTCCTTTTTTGCCGCGCACTTCTTTACTAGAACTTTTAATTGGCTGTACTTCTAGCAGGCTCAGAATTCAACTTTGAACAGTGGTAAATACTATGGCAAATAGGAAACAAGAGAAAGATACAAGTGCTCCAGGAATTATAGTAACTGACCATAACTGACTCCTCCCCAGTCGCTTTGGTAATTTGAGTAATTTTAAATTAAAATGGCGCGCCAGCCTCGTACCCAGGCGCTTTATTGGAAAACATAAAGGCTGCACTCAGCGTAATATAGAGATCTGTGGCTGAGATGTGCAAGCGCGCAGGGGTGCTTGGGGAGGACGCGACGGGAGAACGAAGCGCCTGGCAGAATATGCAGATTTCCGGCTCCCATTTTTGCAAAAAGTGAGAAATGCGTGAAATCTACAATATGTAGATATATTTTGAAGAAGAATTGAACCTGCGATCAAAATTATGGATGATTTGGAACGATCGTTTCAAGAACTATCATTTGAAGGTAGCTTTATACTGAATTTTTTTATTTTAATACGACTATTTTGACAAATCTCGTTTCGTAAACAGTGTATGGGTATACTCCTAACTCCTCTGTGTTACTATGCAGTCGCGCAGTATTTAACACTATTTAAATTCATCTTAATTTCCTTACAAAAGTATCATCAAGCTTGGAGGAGGAAAGGTATACGTTTGGTATCGAAGAATTGAGTGTTAGAGGTGAGTGCTTACTGCTTAGCCTTAGTTGCCTTGGGATTTAAATATTTCCTCTATTGATATTAATTAAACAATAATATATTTTATTTTCATTCTATATCAAATATGCTATCAAGTTGCAATTTATATGCGTGTTACTAGTAATATACAATGACAAACTCCAGGTCAGATTGTTACGAGCACCCCACAGAAAGAGGGAGGAAAAGAATCATTTCAGCAGGGAAACATGCTTTAACCCCAATGCTTGGAGTTTGTGTGAATTTAAGAATAAACATAAGTACATATTATATATCAAGACTCAATTGTCAGAGATTGGGGCTGTTATTCATAAATTATACATATTTGTGCTTTTCATAGGTAGTGGAAGATATAAATCACCAAATTTATGCTCTGAATTAGAAAGGTTGTTGGACTATTGTGAAGACTCCAATGTCCATGAAAAACAGACATTATTAATGAGTTTACATGGCATTCTGATAATAAAAAGAATACTTTGACTCGGGGAATTAAAGAAATTTTCCCACATTCTACAAAAAAGAAAATAGATGTTGGATGTGAAAATATGTATCTTCTTTTGAGAGTATAATGTAGTAAATAGGACTATGGAACAATATAATTTATACATGTTATAGTAATTTCTTGGAATACTGTACACAACCTTCATCTACATTGTGTGATGTATATAAGTATATTGCTGTAGGGATGAATTAAGTCTAATGTTTGCTTTGTGGTACACCAGTTGAATTTCATGTACAGTACAGTGTACCAAAGAGTGTTGGTGTTATAAAGGAATATTAATGAATTACTCTCTACATAGGTTTCAATAGTTAATTTTTCTTAACATTTAATACAGTTATTTACACTAATTTGTTAATGAAACCACATGGTAGTAAACCATAATATTTCTGTAATGCAGAATGATAATATTTCTGTAATGCAGAATGAACTTAATGTAATGGAAAATGGCTTAGATGAACAGAATCAACTGCTGCTATTACTGCATTAGATGATGGAAACATTGAACTGGCTAATGAGCTTAACAAACATAGATTCAAATTAAACTCAGCATTGACAAAAACGTACCAGGTCAAAGTCAAAATTCTTAGTGTTTCTGGAGGTGTTAAAATAACAGATTCCCAAGAAAACCAAATTAATAAAGAAGTCAAGCAGATGGAAGAAATGTGCAACCTAAATCTGATGTAAATCATTGCATATTCGAGTAGATACTCTTCTTTCAGCGCTCGTAAATAACTGTTTGCGCCTTAATATTCGAAAATGATGAATAATACAACGCAGTGATAATTTTTGCACAAAATCTTTCCCAAATGTACCGCCCGGTGATAGGGTGTACGGCAATTTGCTCATTTGCATCTATGAAATATATGAATAAATCGTCCGCCGGCGCCATATTTGTTGCATATTCTGCCAGGCGCTTCATTTGTCGCGTCCTCCCCAAGCACCCCTGCGCGCTCGCACATCTCAGCCACAGATCTCTATATTACGCTGAATGCAACCTTTATGTTTTCCAATAAAGCGCCTGGGTACGAGGCTGATGGCGCGCGGAGAGTAATGGGAAGCGAAGGTATTTTTATTATTTACGCATTCCCAAGATGCAATTAGTGATTAGATATTTTCCCTAGCCACTGATCTATAGTCTATACATTAGTGCACCTCAGTTGTGCATGGCTACTGGCTACTGAGTGTACAGGGCTGCCAGAAAGAACGCTGATAGTCTGATAAGTCAAAAGTCATGGCAGAGGCAGAGCCACAAGAAAAAACACTCGAGGATTGGGCAAAGTCATGGGACGATAATAGAACAGGATGGCATTTGGATCATGTCAACAGGTATATTTGAACAATACTAGCGACCGATGAAGAATATAAATCATTTTTAAAATTTATTCCAGTGATCCAGTGTAGAGTGTTTATGAATATCAAACGTCGTTTATCGTTATCGATTTTACGACAGATAAATTGACTTTGTTTCATGATAGCCATTCAACCCCAGGTCCCCAGCTGTTTACAGCATTTTAGAGCCGGTTCAGATGAGACGGGGCAGTCCAGTTTAGCCGGGCTAAATTGTGCTGGGATTTCGCTTCACGTGTTATTTCACTATATTTGTAAACTTGCATTCATGTGGAACCGGGCCAGCCCGTCTCTGGCGAGATCCCGCCTGAACGAAGCGAGATCTCGCCTTTAACGGGCTCATATGAAAACATTAAGTGGGCCAGCAAAAGCGTCTCATATGAACAGGCCCTTTAGAGGCCTTAGTCACTGCAGTTATGTAGCTATTTTTATACTCTGCACAAATTATAATGAAATATTTTTCACTGATTTGAAAACGAATATTTCGCAATCGTCAATGGGTGGGAATAAAACGCGGACTGTGGTTGTGAAACCAGAAGTGATGAAATGCGGAAAAGGATATAACCGCGCCCTAATTTCTCCCCAAGAAAGAAGCCCCGGGTACAAGGTTGACACCATGGTGACAGTGTGACCATATCTGAATATTTTGTAACCAAAACTGCTCAAATCTAGGTAGGAAATACCCCTCCTGGAATTAATTTGGTAACTATTAAAATCAGTTTGCTGTTTTATGTGCATCATGTGCAAAAATCAGATCTGATCATAAGGGAAACTGATAAGGGAAATTATTATTGGGAATACTGACATTGCTGGAATATAGTTTCTAGAAGTTTGGACTGTTAAACTCAAATTTTGCAGACCTGAGGTTGTTTTTAGGTTATACAAGTATATTCAGCTATCCAAAAAATAAACAAATAAATATCACAATGGATAGGTCAAGCCGACTTCAATTCTAAATCAATGCTAGAAAAGATGGTAGCCCCCCCAACCAGCCAACGCAATGAAATATTATGTTTCATGTGGTAATTCTGCATGGTGGCACATCAGATGGGAATCACAATTTCCTAATGACCTGCACCCCAAAGGAATTTTTTGGAGCTTTGCCCCTCCACCTGCTGAGCTGAATATCAGCTGCCACTCTAGATTTAGCCTGCCTATCTTCACTATACAGTGCAATACTAATGAAAAGCATTCACTTTTTATTCTTGAAATTATTTTAGCAACCTAACTGAGAACATTGAGTTTTTAACTGATGGCAAACAAAACCTCAGGATATTTGTTCCACTCTGTGGAAAAACATTAGATCTATTATGGTAAGCCATTTACTTATTCTAAATAGTAATAAATATTGTGAGATTCAGGGCCTCTCCTACCCCCTACGAGAAGGCCCTGGGTACGAGCATACATGTGTTTTAAATAAACCTTATGCATATGACGCATCAAGCCGTGACGCCTGCCGGGAATTCAAACTTCAAAATTTCCCGCCGTGACTACTAAGACCAGAATTCCCTGCAGGTGTCACGGCTTAGTACGTCATTATGCATAAGGTCGATTGCCGTAATGATTGCTTTTTATCTAAAGAAATTATTTACTTCATTGGTCACTGATGGATTGTAGAACATCACCGAAGAATTACGACATGAAAACCAGGCTTAACTCTTAAGGAGTATTCTCCTGAAGTTTTTGAAAATTGATTGACGAACAAAATCGATGTGAAACGGAAATATTCTAAAAATGAAATGATTCGCAGGTTGGTGAGACAAGGACATACAGTGATAGGAGTTGAGGCTGTACCAAAAGCAATTGAAGATTTCTTTAAAGAAAACGACATTTCGTACGAGAAAAAGACACTTGATGGATATGGTCACTGTTTTATGGTAAACACATTTAGTTGAAACAGGCAATTCATTTTTTTTTTCAATTAGCTGAAAGAGAATAATTTGATAAGTAAAAGAAGCTTCGCTACACGTGGAGTTGCGAGAACTCTGGAGAAAACTAGATTAAAATCAAGAGAACGTGTGACGGTTCCAGCAAACTGATTATCACAATTCAGAGTCATTGAATTGAAAAGCATATTTTTCAAACGCTACTTCCTGTCGTTACAGTTATTCCAAAAATTTTACACTTTCTACTATGAAAATGTTTTAGGTCTTTAGGTTTTAGGTCACATCCAGTATTCATCATGACTTTCTTGGCTTTGTTGAGTACAAAAATTATCCTAAAGGTCAATACACAATGCCGGTGCACATGGGAAGCACAATTCCAATATCTATAATTAATTTGCATATATCCCAAACGTGAAAATTCTGGCTGGTTATAAAACACAACCGATTTTCACAAACTTGAGATCGAAATCATGAGATAATCAGATAAAATCATGTTTGCGAATTGCACTTGCTAGTATAAACTAAGTGACTTTATTGAACTATCATATATTCCATAGGCTTTTGGTGGAAAACTGAAAATTTTTAATTGTGATTACTTCAAGTTCAACAGGTAATGTCATCACTCTTTGGCTTTATACTTTGCAACATTCGTGTGTCGATGTACCACATTTATGTGCGGTGCAGGCGCTTCAAGTCTAAGCTTTTTCCGTAGCTCACTGGCTAAGTCAAGTTTATGCTTTTTCCGTAGCTCACTGGCAGGCGGGAAAGTTGACTGTATCTGGGATTGCAATTCATTAGGTGCAATCCCTCCTAATGATTGGACACAGTAAGTCTGATGAAAATTGAAATTTTTTAGTCAGCATCATTTTGACTTCCATCATTATATTATTAGTGCCCTAATAATTATGCGGTTCGTGACTCGTAACATGGACTTATAACCTTAATTGGCTACAATATATCTGAGGAATTGTCTCCTAAGCCTAAGAATTGGCCTAAGCCTTGTCCACACTAATGCGTTTTGATATCTCGTTTTTCCTCCGTTCAAAAACGCATCAATTTCTGTGCTTCAACGTTTTCGTGGCGTTTTTTTAAAGAGATTTAAAGTAGCTGCAAGCACGCAACTAAGTTGACAAGCAATAACATTCTAGGTTTCGCCATTTTGATTTTAGCAATTTAAGGAAATATTACGGTATATATAACTTCGTTTACGTGGCGTTTTTGACCGTCCACACTAAAACGATACGTATGCGTTTTCATTTGGCTCCACTTTCAACAGCGTTTTCCAATCGATAAAATTCCTTCACCATTCATATCCTTAACACCATGCCACTACATATTTTTTTTGGTCCGGGAACTATAGAAGAAGATATAATATACACTCGTTTGATTTTGGTTGCCCTAAATTTAATTATCAATGCTCAGACCAGAATTTTACCTCTGCTATGAAAAAGATCTGACTGATCCATCTTGCGGCTAAAAGGTATCTCGTATTCACTCACTAAAAATTATACTATTTCAGATATCTACAAATTTCATTGGAACTTCTCAACCGTTCTCATGGTCGTATTTTATTTCAAGCATTTCTTTATGATCAAGATGAATATGCCGGTATTTATTTATTTATTTATTTATAATTATCCAGGATACCCACATCATCTGAAGAGTTTTTCAGTAGAGTCCCTGCATGATCCTATTATAATTGTGTCGCATAGCACAGCACTGTGTGAAATTCTCTTTGTGCATGCATGATGTTGTTCTTGACCATTCAATTCAAGATACGATGGAAGACTTCATCTTCGTCTTGACGTTTTGACCTTAATTAGGACCTTCGCCAGGAGAGTTAGTATGGTTACATTTGAACACTACACAGTCCATACTCCACACAAACTACAAACTACACTACATACCTTGTGGACAACTTTCTTTCGAAGGAAGCTCTTTGAGCAGTTGTTCAAAAGATATCTACAACGACTTTCACTTGCATGCATAATACTGGTCGAATGGACATGTTTAATTTTTTTATAGGCCCTCCATATTCAGTTCCAATAGAAAAACTAAGCAGTTTACTTGGTGAGTTTTTAAATGTCAACAATTATCGAGAGGTAGCAGAGTAGCAGGCGTGATTTCTTTCGCACAACATTGTAGAGTTAAAAACTGTAGCTATAACCATCTATATTTGCAGGTGATTCTTACGAGTTACAGTTAGTGAACAAAAAACCAGCCGAGGAGGCTCGGTCACGTTTTGGTCAATCTTGGCTTTACAACACAGTTATCAGTGTAAAATATAAGAAGTGACGTTTTAATAGAATACACTTTACAGTTAAATTTGTTTTATCCAAATGTAAAATGACAAAAATTTACTTTAGGATTACATTTATAAGTACACAACTGAGTTATTTCCATGGCATCAACTTACTTCGGAAGAATTGGACGATGAAATTGGTTTTTAAAACTCGCGTGATGCTACTACTACTGAAAAAAACACAGTCAACAAAACCCACAAGAGAAAAGGCCCCATTGGGCTAGCAAAGCCATGTTACTATGAGTTAAAGCTCACGTCATTTATGGTGATGAAAGTTTTTCTGGAAGATGTTTTAACGACTTTAAACTCCTCAAGTAAAACGTAATTTTAAAAGCAGGATTTGCAAGAAAGTAAACAGAAGTGGCGAAGGCAAGTTATAAAGATGAAGTTACCCACTAAAATAATTAAATAAATATAAGAAAGTTAACTCAGTGCTCTCCGGATTCTCCCCTAGGTATTTTAAAAAGCCTGGGAACGAGAGGTCAGGAAACACAGAACATTACACATGTCACTCTACAGGAAGTTAGGAGTTTTTTGAATTATCGAAGGAGTTTTCTAAAATTTGCGATGAATATTTATAAATAACTCATTTACGAATTATAATATGGCTGCTCCAATTTCTTGGAATAAAGGAAGTCCAGCAGTTTCATCTTAACACTGCCTTATGGTGATGCAATATGGTTCCTTTAATAAATTATAATTGGTCGGTTTTATTTTACATCTGACGTTGAAAGAAGCTGAAGAGTGCAGTTGTCAAGGTATTGGAATTGTGTTCGTGTACTTTGTGTGGTTTTAACTTTTAAGATCTTCAAAAGAAGACACTTGGACTGATAAAACTAAATGTTTTCCTTTCGTTTTGCACACCCGGCGAATTTATATACTCATACTGCATATATATTTTGCACTCAATTCACCGATTAGATTTAGTATAAAATATAGACCTGCTACAATTACTAAATTATCTTACATGAGGCCTTAACTCTTATGAGGGATAAACTTTTATAATGACATAAACACCTGGAATTTACCCAAAACAATGCGTTATTTCTTTGTCATATTGTTATTGTTCACCAAAACGTTTCCTAACTAAAACCTTTCAGGCTTTTAGTGTGTCCCCGACAGTTAAACCGTACAGCTTAGCAAATTGTATAGCAATGTGGGAAATTGTAGCTGAGCTGGATATATTTTACCTAGCAACTATAAATTCATATTTTCACTTCCCTAAAATAGTAAAACCACTTTAAATGTCTAAGTTAACTCTATAGTAAGTAACCTTATTTTAACAATATAACATTAATATTTTGATGTTAATGAGTTCATGGCAACCAGGTATATAATCCATCATAATTATCTCTACTCTGGTTTTAATAAATGAAAGTAATCACCACACAAAGATAACCTTTCACTAATTTTTGTGTGGTGATTACTTTCATTTATTAAAACCAGAGTAGCGATAATGAGGATGGATAACAATATTTGTTGCTGCTGTCAGCCCTAATAGGACCTCCAAGTGCAGCACTTTTCTGCATGGAATAGTTAGATGTGGTAGCTACATTTCCTACAATTTTTTCTCTTCAGTTAAGTGAGAATTAACTGCATTGAAACTTGTGAAAGGAAGTATAAACATCCTGCATAGCTGATTTGATGTTGTAGTCCTAGCTACCATGCTAATATTCTGGTGTTCATTGACTGTGAATAATGCATTGATAATGTTTATAGTTTTATGCCATTATACTCATTTACTGTATGTAAAGAACCATAGAACTTGGAACCACGGAAGTGAATTTAGAACCATAGTTGAACATAGAACCATGGAGCTACAGAACCTGAACAATTCGAACTACAGAACCTTTAAGAATTATATGCAGAACTACAGAACTTTAGAACCATATGTGTTGCACTACAGAACCTAGAACCAATAGAGAAATATAGAAACTATGGCTAGAACCATAGAACTACAGAACCTAGAACCAATAGAGAAATATAGAAACTATGGCTACAACCATAGAACTACAGAACCTAGAACCAATAGAGAAATATAGAAACTATGGCTAGAACCATAGAACTAGAACCTAGAACCATATAGAGCTTGTACATCCATAGAACCACAGAACTATTATAAAACATAGAACCATAGAACTAAAATCCCTGGTCTGTTTGCCACTGGCAAAACATATTGGAAGAAGAAATGGCCCAAAAATATAAATGGGCCAAAAATTCAAATGGGCCCTGTGTGGTGTGAAGTCTCCATTACCCAATGCCAATGGTATATATTAGCCTCATGATAGCCAGCTTGATAACTGAGTTCATAATGGAATTACCTAGGACCTCAATGCTAAGTAGACTGTGCACTGGACTGCCTGGAGGCTAGTAGTGGTTTCTGTTGTTTAGTATTCTGTCACCAAAATGGCATTTTAAAATATGCAAATTATGGGAAATAGAATAATTGGTTTTGTATATCAAAATTCATGTGGTAGTCGTTTTTGTCCATCTTCAAATTCGCGTGATTTATTTTTTTCGCTGCACAAATTATTTCTTGTTTACTTTACCATTTATATTTCCTGCTGTGCTAAAATGCGTGCCCCCAACGCTTCGCGAATTCAAACATAATTCTACCAATGCATGAATCAAGATATTTTCGGGCTATGTGCACACGAGGGCCGTTTTCGAGCGTTTTCAAAATCGTTTTTGTCTATTTTATTGTTTAGACACCCTGTCCATAGGATCCAAGGAAAAATATGCTTTATATGTTATTAAATTAGCTTCAACTTCTATTGCAAATTGACGGTGTTTGAATGCGTTTTGGCATGGAAAACGAATGTGAAAACACTCGAAAGAAAACGTTACCGTGTGCACATAGCCAAGTAATATTAGCGTCCGATCGTGTCTGGCCAGAACATGATTTGATCTGACAAGTCATATCACGTCGGTCCTTAGAATTGTATCGAACTGTGGCTACCCGTCGGTAGGAAACCAGAGTCCAGATACCAAATATTCAAGACACGATATCCAACACGACAACAAGATATTGCTCAAGATTCGGGTTATTTATTTTGCTTGATAGCAATAAAACTACATTTTGAAAGTTACGTTTATTTATTATGCTTGACATTGATCACGGTTGATTCCAAATGGTAAATTTTTCACATGTATAATCACATATACTGTATTGTCGTAGCTAGCCATGCCAGTTAATTCCTTTCTTTTTACCAGGATTCAACGTACGAGTGATGGAGTATATTTTACCCATTTTTCAACATGGTCAGTTAGAAGTAGCTCATGGTCGACCTGATCATGCAATCCCCTACTTTACCAGAGCCTTAGATTTTTTCCACGGTGTTGGTCGTCATCATAATCCCACTTTTTGGTCAGACATTTTGTTATCTCGTGCTGATTGTTATTTGAGACTTCAACAATATGGTCCGGCAATAAGAGATATACAACAGGCTTTAAATGACTGTCCGAACGAACTTTATAAAGGTGTAAGTTTTAGCAATTATTATATTATTTTGGCCAGATAAATGTAATCTCTTAAAGTCAGCCAGGTAGAACTCTTTTGGGAAACAGTAAAATTTATTCGTCTTTTTCATCCATCAACAAAATTGTATTGCTTTATGACTTGTTTTAATAATAAACAAGGGTTTAGGGGCAGGGTAAGTCTAAATATTTTTGCCTTATGAAATATTCTGTTGTCCATGCTGATGCACGATTCCCGTTTTACAGCAAATAAATTTTGCCTTGCAGGATCATGCTCGTCTATGGTTTAACAATGGAAGGACTGCTCCATCGGTTGTAGCAGTATGGTGTTTTTCAGTAGCTTTGCATTTTTCAGCTGGAGATCAAATGTTCCAAAGTGAGATTTATTCTGAAAGAGCACTGTCTCACTATAATAATAAAAATCACGAAGAATGTGAAAGGGATATTGAAAAGTCGAAAAGCTTGAACAGAGGCCCGTCCGTGGTGAGTTGGCTTCGTTTGAAATATTCATTATATAAATGCAAGGTGTCCCTAAAAAAATTTCCTTTTAACATAAAAAATTTTCTCTTTTCCTAAAGTAAGGAAGATAACGACAGTAGAGTGACTTCGATAAACACGTTTATTCTTTATCGAATTTCTAAGTTCTCACTGAAAATACCATTTCTTTATGGTGTTCTAATCGGCAGCTTAGAAACGAGGCTGGCAATGTAATCTATTGTTATTGGGTTGACTTTCATTGCTTGATAACAAATTTGAAAAGTGTCTATTGGCAATGATTTAATAAGGTGTTATATAATTCTTACAGTAGCTTTTTATCTCTATATGTTTAGGGAGTAGGCAGAAACCTGCTGAATCAGGGAACGCAAATGATTCAAACAAAAAATTATGATCAAGCTGTTCATCATCTTCAACTTGCTGAAAATTATCTTCGGCCACTCAATCAAGCTGATCATTCAACGAAACGTCTTTGGCAAGAGAGCTGTAAAGGCGTCATTTATGCTGCTTGGTGTGGCAAAATGTATATGAAAGCTATACAATCAGGAAAGAAGAGACGTCGTATGGAGGAGATTACCAATGAGGTTTGTGAATTACGATTGTTATTTATTTGCACTGAAATACTAAAGTCTAAAAAACATCCTTGAAAATAAACAATGGTGGTCAATATGCAACGTAAGAAATATGGAATAAGGTAATCGTAGTTAGGAAAAATATCATTTAATTTCGGACGTCACAGATGTTGATGTGGACCGCGACTCTGGCTGTATGAGTAATAAGTTACTTGAATTCAGGTCCCCACCTAAAACTTCTGCACCTTATAAAACTAAACCGCAACTGTTCAATGGAAGACGACCGAGCTTTGCGTAAACACGAAGGGAACTCAACCACAAGAGACTACAGTACCTCTCTTACTAAACACACTTGCGTGATGTTCCTTATCTATATCCGTTCCCTACAGGGGCTACGAGCCTCGTCCCAGGCACATAGATTACCGTCTCTTCGTGCCTAGTCCGCGCGCATTTCTTACGATATTATCCATGGTTACTGCCTAACCTCATTAAGAGATCTCGATGTTGTTGTTGAATAATTTAACATACTGATTTAAAAACAGAAGGAAGCTCGTGATTGGAAGGAGAGAGGAAACGAAATGATAAGAGACAAAAAATTTACTCTTGCTATTGATTGTTACACTCTGTCCATACAATATATTCCTGACAATGATGATGAACTACGAGGAACACTTTACAGCAATCGTTCACAAGCGTATTTAAAGAACAATCTGTTTAAAAAATCTAAAGAAGATGCAGAGAAGTGCGTAAAATATCGTCCTGATTGGTGTAAGGTATGATTAAACATAAATTGGAAACTGGAATCTCTTGAGGGGCGAAGTATAGGAAGACGCACAATTTTCACCCCGTTACCTTAGTAAAATTTGTAGCTCTCCCTTCTGCTTGAATTAAAAAAAATCTAGAACTCGATTCTAAAATTGAATGGGGGCCCGTCGCGCCTGCTTGACTCCTCCCTTACCTGCGTAATTATTGGCGGTAGACTGCAGACTGTCAATACTGTGGATATGCGTGGATATTTTGTTGAGGACGAAGGATAATAATACTATGAAATATCGAAGTAAAATTTCTATGATATCTGTTTATTTATATCTATTTATATCTACTGTAGTTATATTTTTCCCATGTTTTCAAGATCCACAATACTATAATTCTGATGTAATTCTTCAGCGTGTTTGATTTTGTTGTGTTTTATTATTACTTTCAGAGTTACTACCGATTAGGCTCAGCCCTTAGTGAACTCAAAGAATATGATCGCGCCTTGGATATGTTTAGAAAATGGCTAAGTCTCGAAGATATTTTAGAAAATGACAAATACGAAGTGGTTGAAAAAATCATGAAAATTGCTTTACATTGTAAGGGTACGTATCAGCACATTAATTTCACGTGATGTGCACAGGGATATCACAGGGCTCTCGTGATTTCACAGACACGAGAATGACGTTTAGATTGGGTCATTCTTAAAGATATTTAAACACTATAACAATATCATTTTGTATCAGCCTGGTTTTCAAATATCATGTCGCCGACCATAAGCGATTTCCTCGCATTATATTTCATGATTGAATAGTTAAAATCTTTGTTCACATTGAAAACACACCATAATCTGCTTCTTGTTGATCGGCTTTGCCCTTGGATTCATTGCATGGGATCATTAAAGAAAAAACTTTCCTTCAATCAAAACTTACTTTAATCATACATGTAAATGATCATTGACAAACAACATTGAGCGATCACTTGAAAATCAGTGTTAGTTAAAGAGACTATGGAACTAGGTGCTTGGATGATCCCTAGTTAATCCTTGGTTAAATCCTTGTGTTTATGGTATCCAGGATTTTCTAAACAGACTGATTGTAATGAGTGATATATTTCAATTTAGATGGACCAATGAAGGTGAATTTTGAACTTCCTCGTGACTGTGTGAGTCGATATTTAAAAGAATGTGTTGAAAGAAATGACTGGAAGTCTTTAGAAGTTTTCCTACTTGGTGGCGGTGGTAAACGGTCGTATGGAAAAGGTGAAGGTGGAATAGCAACGGGTAATTGCGATCTGAGTGAGATATCGTTGTGTGGCATTGTAAAATCAGAACCTAAACCAAGCAGTTATTATCAACTGATCACTGTGATGATAGATCACGGTGTTTTCGTAAATGGACGGAATGAACAGGATATTCCATTAGCTCTTGCAGTGAATCACAATGATCATGATTTAGCTGTCGTTTTGTTGGAGAAAAGCGCAAATCCTGACGGTCTTACAAAAAGTAAATTTGGAAAACACGATGATATGCCTATTCACTCTGCATTCAGAATTGGTCTTAATTCAGGTTTGTTCAATATTTTACGGCACGCAACCATTAATTATATCTACATTGTAGTCTCGTTCCAATATAACCAGGAAGCAGCGTGGCAGCGTTTTCAAACAACTTAGCATCAAATGTGGTATAACAACTGCCTAAAATATACAAAACACTTCTCGACGTTTCCACCTGAGGGCCTTCGTCAGGAGAGTTAGTATGAAGTCTGCTAAGTTACATTGTAGTCTGTACTAGTTTGCCTTGCCATCAAAAAACCTACATTCCATATAAACTGAAAATTTTATACTTTTATGCTGAATCACATGGTTTGAATCAAACTCTGAACGCTATGGTGTATTATTTTAAACACGTAAACATCTCAATACTTTTTTATTATATTAAATTTCCTAGGACATTGGAAAGTTTTCACCCACTTAATGGAAAACTCTGCAACCGCAAAGCCATGTCTTGAAATTTTGGACAGAAAAGGAAACAGTCTGTATCATATAGTGGCGTCTGGTGACAGAGCTTGGCATCACGTAATTGAAGGGGTAGAATTCCTAAGGAGATACAGAATTGATCCGAGAACAAAAAATAAAGATGGAAAGACTCCGTTAATGATGATACGTCAAAACAATGACCTTAGATATCGTCTTATTGAAGAAAGTATCAAAAGCCTCGCGCCTGAAAATACGAAAAAGAAAAAGCGGAAAAAAAAGAATAGAATCAAGGAAGAAACTGCTGAGGTTTCAAAGAAATGCGATGAAGTGAAAGATACAAAGAAAGTAGTTACGCCAATCGTCGTCGAGATAGAGCCAGTGGTTACAACAGCTCATCGCCCCACAGAGATAGAAAAATTGCGTGAAAAGATTTGCTCAAGCTATCGAAGATCTTCCAGAGGATATCAAATGTGAAAATGAAACGAAAGAGTCAAAGTGTAACGACTTGAAAGAAACGGAAGAAGTTGATCAAAATATTGCTTGTGGCAGCAACGAGACTATTTCAAATCAAGAGCTCAGTGACAACACAATAACAAACGAGAACGAAATGATTCAAGGTAAAGCACCAATTCCTGCGCTAGATTTAAATCTTGAAGATAAAGATAATGAAGAGATTGATGATCAAGACTATCTATTTGATGATGCCAGCGAGGAGACATTTGACAAGTTAACTTGGGAAGTGGAATGTACATCTGACGTATGGAAAAAACTTAAAGACAAGAAATTACCACGTGACAAAAAGAAGAAAATTGTAAGAATCATCAGACAGTTGGCTAATGGAATTATGCGGGGAAACCTTGCCAAACCTTTGGTTGGAATTGCAAAGGAATCAGATATTCGTTTGTTCGAAGCTAAGCTGGATAAATCAGCTCGCATTTTATGGGAACGAGCTATTGCTTTCTCTCCGCGTTGTAGCGCGTTGTCGGATAACAAGAATGAAAACAAAGGAGAAATTTATACTGAAGTCATAAGAATTTGGGACATCGTTTTCGATCATGACACTGTGCCCAGGAAGATCAAGAGAATAGTTCGTTCATATAATCGCGGAACAAGCTGTTTTATTAAGAAGAATTTGAAAGGTACTCCAGTCGATAATTCATCATCAGCAATAGACGATCAAAAATCGGTTCCCAAATTATACGTCCTTAGAGATGATCCCAAGCAGACGGCAATCGAATACGTAGCGCCGGTTGAAAAATCACGTTCCTCTAATGAAACCTCTAAGATATTCTTTCCACCTGGCAGCCCTGAGGAAACGGAGTATCACATACTTAAGTTTTATGCCTTCTCAAATGCAATGGTTAATGCTATGCTTGATGGTCAAATTACCAGCCATTTTGATTTTCCTTTTCGCGTTTCGGAACTGGAACATTCGGTTATAAATCTGGCTCCAAAACAAACGACTTCAATTCTTCTGCTTGGCCGCAGTGGAACTGGAAAGACCACATGTTGTTTGTATCGCTTGTGGAACAATTATCAAAAATATTGGCAATCAAACACGATCAGTGAACCTAGTATTCCAAATGTCGCACAATTTATTCCTCGACAAACCGATGACGACGTTGATAACGCCGGAAACGAAGGAGAAAAAGAGAATGAAACGTCCACGTTTGAAGAGACAAGTTGTTCTTCCCTTCACCGTGCCAGTCATGCCACACAAGATGATCAAGGATGCTCAAGCTCTTCTTTACAGCAGGAAGCCTGGTTATCGATGGACGAAACGCGTGAACAAACTGAAATTATAGAATGTACTAGCCATGAATCCTCTTGTCAGAACGACAGTAATGCAGATTCGCTAACCATTGAGAAGAAAAAAAACTTTCGAACATCTTCACCAGGCATTTATCACGAAGAACGCGGTGTTGTGCAAGGAAGTCCAGAAAAATTTCACCGAGTTAAGTCACGCATGCTTTTCAACGCCGGATGATGTTACCCATCAACAATCTTCGGCATCTTTAGCATACAAATTTGATCAGGTTGAAGAGCAAGCATGGCCTTTATTTATTTGTTCTCGAGATTGGCTGTTAATGTTAGATGCATCCTTGCCTGGTGAACCATTCTTCCAAAGAAACGAAGACGGGAAGCTGGAAAGAAACGTGAAAGGCTGGGCTGAAGAGGATAACAACTTACAGGAAATACCAGAGGAGTATTCTGATGATGAAGATGAAAGCGATGATGAAATTGAAAGCAAGCCTGCAGCAGCAGCAGAAGGCGAACATAATGAACAACAAAGTGAAGGAAAACTGGATCTTAGGCGAGAAATCACGTACCAAGTGTTCAAGAACGAGTTGTGGCGGAAAATGACAAAGAGAAAGAAAGTAGATTATCATTCAAGCCTTGTGTGGACAGAGATAATATCATTCATTAAAGGGTCTGTCGAAGCACTTCATAATGAGCTTGGTTACATAACGTTGGAAGAATATCAGACCATAGGAAATAAAAGAGCGCCTAGTTTCACCGCGGACCGGGAAACGGTCTATGAATTGTTCTTGGCTTATCAACGCATAAGACGCAGTCTAGGAATGTTTGATGAAGCCGACGTGGTCCATCATATTTATCATCGTCTTGAACATCACGTACCAACCTGGTCAATTCATGAGATTTATGTTGACGAAACACAAGACTTCACCCAAGCCGAACTTTCTGTAATTATTCGCTCATGTCGTAATCCTAACAGATTATTCTTCACTGGAGACACAGCTCAGAGTATTATGAGAGGGATTGCCTTCCGGTTTAGTGATCTTAGATCACTTTTCTACTACATGAAGGAATCTGTTAAAGCTATTGGGCAAGAAGCAGACGTCGTTGTTCCTGACAGAGTTTACGAACTTACGCACAATTATCGATCTCACGCTGGTATCTTAAACTTAGCTTCGAGTGTCACTGATTTGTTATCTCACTTTTTCCCCGAATCGTTTGATCGATTAGCGCGTGATCAGGGGCTGTTTGATGGGCCTAAACCAGTTCTCTTGGAATCATGCAGTTTTAGTGATTTGGCTGTCATTCTTCGTGGTCACAAGCGAAAGACGTCACCCATAGAATTTGGCGCACATCAAGTCATTCTTGTTGCTTCTGACGAAGTTCGAAATTCGCTCCCAGAAGAACTGAGTCTTGCTCTGGTCATGACTATTTACGAAGCAAAGGGTCTCGAATTTGATGACGTTTTGATATACAACTTTTTCAAAGATTCTCAGGTAAGATACCTTTCTTTCTTTTTTCAGTACTCTTTTCTGTTTGGCGAGGGAATTTTTTTTAGAGATTTTTTGGAAATAGGACCAATAAAACGGTTGGTATATGTTGGTGTATTACTGCAAACGAGATATTGAAAGAAAATATCTCGTAAAAATGTCTTTTGCATATTCTCATAGTTCATTTGTCTGTGTAATGATTGGACAAGTCTGAATAGCACGGTTCAGTTACCAGCAGTTAATTGGAAAGGTTCTGTTTTACTTTAAACAATGTTGATTTCTTCAGGCGCTAAAGGAATGGCGTGTGGTGGGAACATACAAAGAGAATCTAGATGATGATACAAACGTTAGTGCAACTGGTATCGCTGAAATCATGGCTGACAACGTGGAATACAAGGCAAGACCACTGGAGTTTAATCCTGACCAGCACAAGATCCTCATTTCAGAATTCAAATATTTGTACACAGCTCTCACAAGAGCTAGAGTCAATGTTTGGTTATTCGATGAAAGTGAAGAAGCAAGGACACCGATGTTTGAATATTTTCAGAAACGAGGCGTGGTTGACGTGAAACACGTTCAGAAAACCGAAGATGATACAGCCTCCCTTGAAGGAATGTTTGCTCAGAAATCCGGGAAAGATGAGTGGAGGAAACAAGGTATCTTTTTTTACGGAAAAGGCTTGTGGAAGGTTGCCTCAAAATGTTTTGCAATGGCTGATGAGGAGATGTGGATGAAAAGGTGTAATGCCCATGAACATGCTGCTGAAGCTGCTACAATGACGAGTGAACCTCGGAAGCTAAGATTTGAGTTCATGAAAGCAGCCGATCTTTTTCTCGAGTGTGATATGAAAATTGAAGCAGAGAAATGCTTGTTCAATGCACGGGAACGTATTCTTTTGGCCAAATTACATGAAAAATCTAAAAACGTAAGTTCTGATTGTAACAAAAAAGGGCTTATCTCAAAATTTGAATGACCATAATGAAAAATAGCAGCATATACAGTTTATACGAACATCGATCATGCTGTCTAAAGAAAGGTGAGAAGAAAAACACCTTTGTCACAACAAAAAATCAACTTATGTCTGCCCTTGATTGAAAACACATTCATTCGTTTTTTATTGAATGATTTTGACAATATTGCATTGTGATAATATATGCATCCGCTATTTTTCTCGTTATGGTCGAGTGTGCATTTTTTTTAAGAGCACTAAAAAATTAAGGAATATTTGGAAATTAGTGATAATTTAAGCCATTTTTTTCTGATTTTTGCCATCTCTCTTTTTACCTGTAGTTCTCTAAAGCTGCCAAGATTTTTTACAAAGAGGGGAAGTTTCGCGATGCCGCGAGAAACTTCGAAAGTGCCCGCAATTTTGAAGGAGCCGTGGATTCTTTGCTCAAAATCAATCAATATAATGAAGTCCTAAACATCATTTCCCGATATAATGATTTGGTTCAGCGTGGAGAAGAAAACAGCATCGTAAAACATCTTCGCTTTGATCAAAGAGATGAGAGCATTTGCTATCAGGCTGCAAAGTTCTATCAACGTCGTGGAGACCATGGTCTAATGGAGGATGCCTTAGAAAGATTGCCGAAAGTTAAAGATCGTATCACCTTTCTTCAGAGGAATGGTTTCTTTGAAAAAGCTGCTAAGTTACTATTGAAAGAAGGAAAGGCACAAGAGGCAGCGAAGTTGATGAGATCAAAAGGAAGATTTTTAGAAGCAGCTCGTTATAGTGATGATGACAAGTTTATTGCCGAATGTTATTTGTTGGCCGCCCGTTCAACGATTCTTTCCATGAAAAGCGAAGGTCAGGTCCTCACTAAGGAGAACGAAGAACTAGTAGAAGGACTTCTGGAACGTGCTGCTGAGATGTATAAGAGATGTAATGATCTCAATGGTCAAGCTGAAACCAAGTTCGCTCGCGGACGATTCTACAAAAATGCACAAGATGTTGAAGAAGCTGGAAATTTATTTTACCAAGCCACAAATTATGCCGCTCTTACTGATTGCTTTCTTTTGTTGATGAAAACCAATCCCGAAAAGTTTTTCCGTCCCAAAGCAAGAGATACTTTAAAAGGTCTTCTTCATCTTATTTGTGCCTTTCACAAGCAGAATAAGGGAAACAATGAACATACGGTTATCTCAATGTGTTATGAATATTTTGGTCTTAAAGATACAGATGAAACTCATTCAAAGAAAGTACCGCACCTGGAAATGGTCAGGTTTGCTACCCTTTACAGTGCCGAAATGAAGTTTACCCAGGACGAAATGATACCAGTCATTGAAGTGGATAAGTTGATTAAAGATCGCCTTTACAAAATGGCGCAAGCTTTTATTGAAAAAGTTTGGGACAAACAACAACAAATAGTTGACAAATGTACACCATGCCCTCGATTCATAGCTGAAATTACGTGTGATGTTAATACATGCAAACACCACCATGGTGAAGTGACAAGACAGTATTTTGCTGACAGGTTTCATGCATTACTGTTTTTGGTTAACTTGGAGGAGATTGTCGCCAACTTCCTTAAAGAAATGAAACGCGAGTCAGCAAAGGTGAAAAATCAACTTCAAAAGACTCTGTTCATTCACCCAGAATTTACAGCTTGTGATCGTCTCTACGAACTCTTGTTTCCACGCGAAGGAAACTTTGTTGCATCGTATTTCCTATCAGAACGTGATGTCCACTTCTTACGTCGCAAAGTTTCTGGCCGTATTATGGAGTTTGCGAGAGAAATATGGTATGTTCGTTGTACTGAAGACGAAAGATGGACCAGTTCTGATCTTTCTATTGAAGTATCAAACCTGATGCGTCTTGCTGGTGGATCTGTTGATGGAATGCTTAGTGCGGAAGAAAGAAAATTTGAAGAAAGAAAATTTAAAGATCGAAAGCTCAAGGATCATCCTGGCATGTTTGTTGGCAGATATGCTGGACGTTACGATATCTTTAGCAGATCGCTTGAACGCTCTAAATATCTGTTATATTACAGAGGCGATATTCTTAATTCTCTTCAGGCTGCGGTAAAGCAATTCCTATTTTCTCCAGCTAAACGTAAAGCTTTACCTTATCCGTCCATTGCTAATGCTGTGATGATTTTGGAGCGACAACTGACCACATGCCTCATGTTATACGCTCGCTTAGTGATGAACGAGCGTATCGTCTGTCTGCCAGAAAGTTACCTTTCAATGGTTAAATTCTGGGATTTTGTTGACCGACCTCAACCAAGCCGTAAAACCATCACCTTTTACACAGCAATTCAAAACGCTCCGCAATTTTTTCCTCCAGGCCCCGAAGGACAACGCAACTTCAATCGCTTACAAGAACTAACGTGGGACGTCGTAAATCTTACCTTCGGTAAAATTATTTCGAAATATAACATCGTAAACGATGCCCTTTGTGCCACAAAAGTGGATTGCGTCGACGCAGAAAGAGTTCTGGTGCTTGTTCTTACAATGCTGTGTAACTGTGGCCAAGGTATCCCTCAGGAATGTGAAAAACTCATCCGCGAGCATCTTCTTACGTTGCAGCTTCACCAGGAACTTTCGCAAAAGCTAAAAAAGTGTATCGAAGATGCACGTAATGCAAATGGTTTCCAAGATGTTGTTCTGTGTTTACGAGAAATCTTGTCACAAAAACCTCGTCAGGAAAGGCTTGTTGACGTGAAGTGGGATGAAGTTAGGTCGAAGGACAGTCGCATAAACTGTAGGATTGACATGTACTCCAAGCAATTTCGCTATGAAATTGATGCAAGTACCGTCACAAGAGATGCAGATTCAAGACCAAGTGAGGAACCAGAAACGACAGAAGATGAAACCGACTATAATTATTCACAAGAGTTCAATGAGGAAGAAACTCACAGTCAACGTCAGGAACCCAGTGAAGAACGTAAAGAAGATGCTTGTTTAGTTCTTCAAAGAGCATATTTCAAATGGAAAGATCGTAAAGAGGCGAAAGAAAAATTTGAGGCGGAAATAAAGAACGATGTGGTCGAATCTCATTTTCAGTCATTTAAACTGGACAAATCTGGCTGCACCATTTGCGGTCGTATTCAGTTTGTTGATCTTAAACCAAAAGTCGCTGATCCATCTTCATCTGAGCCATCGTCGACACCCGACCAAGATGAGGAAGGAACATGGAAAATACACATTCTTCAGCGAAATACTTTCAAAACCCATTGCTGTGGACGAAGCCCCCACTGGAAAAAAGAGAAATCCTTTGCTCGTTTTAAAGACTTTTACAGAAAACGTGTTTGGCCAACCACAAAAAAAGCCACTCAGCTAATTGACGAAATGACAAAATCACAAGAAGAGACCGAAGTGAATTATTCCCTTGATTTAGATCGACTTAATGATGCTTTGAGCAGGCTACAAACAACGATCAAAAAGGTCGAAGATGAGTACTCGTGGGACTCAGTCAGACTGATAGAGAGTGCAGTTGAAACAGTAAACAAATTGACTCTAGAAATAAAGAGCACGACGAGCAGAAAAGGTATCAATTATTCTTGTTTATGTTTTATGATGTACCATGCTAAATAACTCTAATATTATTGTCTGACGATCTACTTTAGTATTAAAAAATTGTTCTCGTCCTTGCGAAAGTACAACCATGCAATACATATGTATTATGATTTTGTGGCACTTCACACGATGTAGGTAAACTCTAAAGGTTTTTTGAAGAGTCTTAATTTCGAGTGGAATCATACATAACTCAATTCAAGCCTTACTCAAGCCAGGAACAGTTGAGAAAAATTAGTCAAGTATCGGGCCTTCTGCAGCTCCACCCTTCAAAAAAACCTTTAGAATTTACCTACATCGAGTGAAGTGCCACAAAATCAAAAATCAAAAACCCTGACCTATTCTCGGCTTTACCATCTTAAATACACATTAACCACGCTTGCTCTTGTCAGCTACCTCTGTAGGTCAGTGGTAAGAGCACTGCACCGGCATCTCATGAGCGTAGGTGCGATTCCTGCCGGAGGACCGATAGTTAACCTTGCAATATTAGGGAGATTTAGCATGGGGACGTGAACGTCAAAGACGACGTGAAAATGGGGGGTAAATGGCGTGGCATGTCTATATTTGGGCGCATCACGCCATTTACTCGCCATTTTCACGTTGCCTTTGACGTTCACGTCCTTGTGCTAAATCACTCTCATACAAAACAAATCAAAAACGTTAGTCAACAACCAACCTTCGTCAATTACATCCAAGTAATTAATCACATATTAATAATGACTACGGTCATGCATGCTTGACCTTATTACTGATCAGATTCAGACACCAATAATCCGGAACTTAGAATAAAATTTAAGGCTGATTTTAATTATGAAAGCAGGTTTTAAGGAGATATGGTCAACCTTTTACTAATGTAGACTATGATCGAGCACTATTGTTGTTTCAATAACAGTGCATGACGTTTTTAGGCGGTGTCCAACCAAACAAGCGTGGGGTAAACGAAGATTCAGGGGAAGAATATGATCATTTGGATGAGGATGCTGTGGGCCCTTTGAAACCAGTGAATACCGTACGTCGGAAGAGAGGGGGTAATAGAAAAGGAAAAAGAAAGTGATTAATCGTTTCACGGGATCGTATATATTTGAAAAACGTTAAACTGAAAAATGCAGTATTTTAAATTCAATTGGATGCTTACGGTATTTTTAACTTCTTTTAAATTACTAAGAAAAACGGCACAAACATAATGTTCATGTCCATACAAACATAGCGAATATGCGGTGGTATTAGTTACCAATTAAATAACCATAAAGGAACAAAAACAATCCAGTATTATGGCATTTAACGGCCGGTTTTTTTTTAATTTAACAGAAGGTTTTTTTTTTAATTTCGGAGGTCACTATTGAGTACAAAACGCGTACTAGGAAAATGTTATGTTTGTGCATTTTATCAAACGCAATTTTAATAGCAATTTAGATGTTGCAAAAAACTTTAGCTATCATCATTGTTGTCATAAATTTCTTATTGGTTGGGGTTTCTGTTATCTAGGTTAGAATACTTGTTTTCAGGTTTTATTTTTTTAGTGTACTTGTTGTTAAAATATAACGCATTTGAGGTACTAATCGCAACCACTTTTGAAAAATCTGGCGATACTTTTCGACAGTGAAAAATATCGGGAAATATAATACCATCGGGTGTGAGATTGTTACCATCCGCAACAAAAATGCGCCAACCTCGTGAGAGTGGGCTCTTATGCGATTGAACGTTCAAACTTGATTACGACAACAAGGCCGCAAATTTTTCTTGCCGTCCCTCTCTTTTGTCTTTGGATCACTTGCTGCTTTCACTGCTTTGGTTTTGAAGGTAGTATATTTAGGGATAATAAGGGATAACGCATTTTGGTTGCTTGGTTTCAAAGTGCAAAACAATATGGCGAACATTTCTCAACTTTCTGCTTTACAAGAATTACTTAAACCACCGGATAACGAACCAGAAGATGTGAGTAAAATTTCCTTAAATATGTATAATATATTATGGTATAGTTTTAAGTTGGAATTTTTTTCCCTTTTCGTTTCACACTAGATTAGTTCCTGTGAATTGAAGCCAAACACTCAGACACCTGGCCATATTGGGACGGCTAAGAAAATATCGCAGGGAAGAGATAAAGGTACTGGTCGTCTTACGTAGTTTGACTATTAGTTATTTTAATCAAATTGATAAAAGCTGTCCTTTATATTTTGAACAGTATTTAGGACACACCAAAGTAGACTTTAAGTTCTCGTCCACCGCTCGCATGAGTCACATCCTTAGGAAGGGTTGCAACTCCTCCTCCAGTCTTTCAACAGTTTTTAATTCAATTTTAATCTAATGCTGGTACTTTAGATGAAAAACATTCAAATAATATCTGGGGTGAAGAGGAAATTCCAGAAGGTGAATTACCAAGTGATGACCTGGGTGGCAGAATTGTTCCTGTGTATGTTTTATGTATATAATACTGTACTAACTTTAGTCAACTTTAAAAAACTTTAGTTTCTTTGTAACAAAACTGTAGTACCTGAATACACTACATCATTTTGAAATTTTTTTTTTTTTCTCTTCTAGATATGAAATGTTATTCAAACAGAGAGTAACATCTGAAGATATTTTCCTGGGAATGGGGAATAAGAACCCATCAACAGCCTGTTGTGAGGATTTAATTGTATGTATATAATAATAGTATGTATGTACTTCTATTTATTCCTAGAATTTTTTTATGTCTTCCATTCATAAACATTACTGTTCTCAGGTTAAAATTGATTTACCAGAAACAGAATATGCTGATGTAAATTTAAATGTCACAGATACTTTTTTGGATTGTCAAACACCAAAATAGTAAGCATAACTGTTGTTGTAATAATTTAATGTAACCAAATTGTCCCATTTTCATAACCTTCCATAGTTCCGGTAACATTCTGTAACCAAATATCCTGAATTAGCATCTTCTTTTCTTAGCAAACTTGGAGTACACTTTCCTAAACATGTAGAAAGCAAAAATGGCAAGGCACAGTGGTATTCAGAAAAATGTCTATTAACAGTGAGTGTACCATTATGGAGAGAATATGACTTTCTTAATATGGATTCAAGATAACGAAATATATCCACACATAAGCTACAGTATGTAATGCTTTGTGGAACCTGGCTCACAGAGTCTTCTCACTGGTAAAAGGAAGAGACTGTGACTAAAAATGTGGCTGTGTTTAGTTCGGTGTGGTTTGGCATGGTATGTTTGTAATTTTAAAATTGTAAAACTTACTTTGCGTCATTGCAACTATTATGATATCGCTCCTTGTTTCGGGTTGTGTTAAAAAACAGCCACAACACACACATTTCTATTTCTTCACCTTTCCGCTCAGAAATATCTTGAATGAAAACGGAATACTTATCCGAATACTTAAAATCCTACTTATTCTCTTACATTTTATTATTTTAAGTGATAACTTACAAGAATATACAGCAGGGCAAAGAAACCATTTATCCTAATTCTAACTAGAACATGGCATTGATTCAACCCATATTATAGAATGATCCTTTTGAAAATCTTCAAAATCACTGACTCCTTGAATATTCAACTTAATTTCATACTTATCAATAAAGCTTGACACAATAATCAATATTGATCAATAATAATTTATCCATGATTATCATAGCCTGTATTGTCAGTGATCATATGTCATACTGTAAAGTTGCGGTGTAATACAGGTTTGACTGGAAAATGTTGACAATGAGGATTGAGTGTTGGACTGCACACTGAATACTGGAACGTTGTCCACTTGTGCGCTGCTGCACCTGGTGAAAGATATTTATCAAAGATATTAGATTACTATTCAACCACTTTTTGAACTGGTTATTCAACCCTTAATTAATTTAGTAACGAAAATGAAAGTTATATTATTATTTTTTATTTCATGTATCCGAGGGTGTAACCAGCCCCAAATAAAAATACGCAGCGCTACACATAAAAATTAGAACTATCACTAATTTGAAATTTTGTATGGACGAAAACAGTGGAAAGCGATCTCTGAGGCATACACTCAGCTGTCCTCCACACCCCCTCCCTGCCTCCGCCCTAAATTAGTGTTCAGACCTGAGGTGTTCAGAGGAAAGCTCTTGCAGGATTCAGGTGAAATGCAAATTGCAAACACAAATTGTCACACCCCTCGCCTTGTTCCCACACCTTGCTACTCTACTTGACTGCGCTAATGCGGCAATTACGCTGGCGAACTAAGTGTATTTGATATTTCTTTCTCTCTTTAATGAGTACTCACCATATTCTCCATGTATATTTGCAGCAACAATAGCTCCACTGTAACTCGGATAGTATTTGGCAATTCGTATTACTGCATCTTCAGCTGCTTTCGTTGGACTCATTCCATTGCGCATGTTTTCAACTGCTTGATAGCTACATAACAGGATACGCTAAGTCATGAAGAATTGTTCTGTTGTATCCCTGCCTATCAATAACCACCACATATCATTCCCCATTGCTTGTACAACCAGGTCACTCTTATATATGTATACTTTACTGAATGTGCAGAAATATGGTAACTTTACATATCCGTCTAAATATCGATATAGTGCAAGGAAAACTTGACTACAGTCTTGCCTTGGTAAAAATCTCATCATGATGTCCCCATCACCAGTGGCTGCCGCTCCTCCAACCTCACTATCAGCATAAGATCCAGCACCAACAATTGGCGAGTCACCTACCCGCCTATGAGATTTCATCTTGCATTAAAACAATAAAATAATAGCAAAGAAATTGATAGTTAAAACACTGCCAGTACATATACCCAGGAATTTTATGGTTTGCTCCATTTGTGCTCGTTCCAGCTGCTACCCGTCCCTCTTGATTTATCACAATCATACCTATTAAAACGGGTGTATAAACGGTTGTGGCGACTAACAAAGAGATAACTCGCACTCGTAACATTAGAAAATTCATGATTATAGCCATTTCTTTAGTTCTAGTTTTTGTTGAGGTTTCGTTACAACCTATTTAATTCTGCATGGGATGTGGCATGATTTCACAAGACGTGTACATGCGAGTGAAAAATTTAGCGTGTATCTTCTAAACTAAATCTCGAAGGCTTAACAGTGTGCATGCCCATCACTGCATGGCTACCCAATGCTGTGGTTTTCATTTTCTCTAAAAATGAAAAATACCTATTGTGTCATGATTACTCTTGGTAGCAAATGAAGCATCTTTAATCTCCTCATTTAACCTAATAAAAAGATGAAATTCTATCACTTAAACAAACGTTGCGAGATGTCAATAACTCGTGGTTAAATGCATGTAAAAAGGATTTTGGCATTATACCTTGTCTTGACAGGTTTATACGGACCACACGATTTTTTTGGATCCGGCTCTACCATCTGGATTAAGATTAATTTATTAAAGTTTATTAAATTTTTTTTCACAAGTATACCAACAGATATACCATACAATAAATAGGTCTTGTTGAAAGGGTTGACGCGTGTGTAATCCAACCGGATATTTCATGATTATCGTACGTATTTTTCGCACGAGGAACAAGTAAGTGCCAAGCTGGTTTACACGTCAAACCTTAATAAGGTTTTTATAATATGATTCTCAACCGCCATTTTGACCACAAGAAAGTCGGATTTTTCTTTGTCTAAACCGGAAAAACCGGTCAAAAGGTGCAATACCCGTTTTTTTTGTGTGGGTGCAATACTGACTCAGATTTTTCCTTTTTTCATGACATTATATAGTTTGCAAAATCATCATAAAATGATTACTGCCTTATTTATACCTTCCAAAAGTTTGGCTGACAATTATTTTCTTTCCATGACTTCCAGATATTTCTAAAAATATCCACAGCAATACAGCACTGTATTTTGTGTTCAATACGTTAACTGACTGCATTCATATCATCCTGTTCTGTTGACTTGACTACACTATACGTCGATGGCAAATACACTACACTATCCTATGACTACACTATAACTTGATTGCAAACCACTAACTTTAGTCATTACTGAATTTATTTCCTTAAATTGTTTGCAGATTCTAAATCTACCTTATAATAACGCGAGGTATAAAAAGGCCTAGACTTCGTGTTGTTGGAACTATATCTAATACTTTACTTTTATCATCACTTACAATGATCGATTAGTTTGCATTTTTTGCTCTTCAAATCCCATTTGTTTAGCAAACTGTGTGGCTGACAATAGAAACATTTTGTTTTTTATTCAGCTAGAATTAAAACACAACCAACCAACACGACATTGTCAATAACAATTGCCTTCATTATACCAACGACCTCATTAACAACTAGGTATACAAATTCTAAAGGCTTCTTCAAAATACTGCAGGAAATTATCTCATTTGTAGAGACACTTGCTTCAAAACGACCCTGTATTGAATATTTGAAAGAGGCGTCGAAACATCAGTGTTGTTTTAACGGAATGAAATCTGTCTGTCTGTAACTTACCATCCTCACCAACAAGTAATGTATGATCTGTATGTACCATAACACTACGAGCAACAGATATTGCACCACGAATATTCTTTAAACATCCTACTGAACCAACATCGAGTGAATCTCTATATGACAAAGAGAATTTACCAAGCGATAGATGGCATTCAGTATCTTTTAAAAAGCTTATGTTCAGAATTCAGGGGTGGATCCAGCACTAGTGCACTAATTTGCATTACAATACAAAATCGCTATTTTGAGCAGTTTTCTTGTGTCATGCAAATTAGTGCACTAGTGCTGGATCCACCCCTGTCAGAATTCATTCTCAATGTTATAAACTTAGCATCACTTAAATTTAGATTTTATAAGGCGTGATCAATTAACCCGCGCGCCTTCTCATCCGCGCAAGCTTGTGACTTGCTTGAAATCAAGAAAGGAAGGAAGGAAAGATTGCGACCAAAATAGCATAATTATATCACACGAAATTAAAATACATTTTTTTAAGAATCAATCGATACCCTTTTCAAGAATGATAACGTTCAACGGCCAAGTCGACAACCAGAAGTTACACTCCAAAAAATGCATTTTTTGTGTTTTAGAGTTTCACGCCATTTCCACGCGATCTTAATTAGTGTGTGCGGATCTCTTTGATGAGGTACACAACACACACGAGAATTGCCTTGTGGTAAACACGCACGCAGCCTCGGCAGCTTTTGAAATTAATACGACATTTGGATTCCTCAGTCAAATCTGAACTGGAGTAAAACCGTGTTTTAAACCTCGCACCAGTAATGGTGATTTAGAAAATATTTAGAGACATCTATCTTAGTTTCAGTTTTCTGCGCTTATTTTTTTCATAGTGTTTTTTTTGTAACCTCGATTGATTAGCGAAACTGAGCTGTATTGCAAATCCATTTCGGGAGGGACAAAAAATATAGCAACAAAAAATAATTTAAATGCTTATCCAATCTTTCATACATTTGACGCCCATCAGTTCCCTCCCCAAACTATCCCAGGATGCACTGTGATCTCTCATAGGAAAGGCTAATAAAGGATTATGACACAAATCCTCCCAGCTTTATTGTTTTCAGCTATTAACTGCAGGAAAAGCATCATTACCCATCCATAATCATAGCATCCAACGTTGTGTTACCATTTTCGTCTGGGCTAAAAATAACAATATATTTGTATATACTTATCGTAGGTAAATGATTACAGAATATTGAGATATTACGCGGAGACGTCAAATTGTCTTTGAAAACTCAATCATGGATTCAAATTTTAAAATTCTGCTAGAGCTGGCCATATTTTTACCCATACTGAGAGCAAAATTACTGTCATAATTGTTGTTATAAGATAGGCGTTAAAATTTGGAATTGAAACATAAGCTAATTGATAAATCGAATCTGATGTGTCACGCACAGTGTCTTAATTTATACCAAATAAAGTTCACTCCCACTTAGTATTCTTTATATAAAATCTCTTCCTACTTAGTATTCATAACACCAGGAACACTGATAAAGCGACATGTTTAAAGTTTAAACTCGCGAAACGTGTTGTAAAGCTGATGAAACACTTTGCTCGTTTATTAAACAGTACCAAAGACGTGCAAGGCTGACATGTCCTTGACAATCCTTTTTTTTTAATAAAAGGTAAAGAGAATTTTCGTGTATCCTCAAAAACATACAATTTGACACAAAATACCCACCTTCCTCCATACCCAACTGTACCATCGCACTGCTGAACTTCACAAAGGCTGCATCCTTGCTCAACAGCATCAAGTGAGGTTGATACACCATCATCTATTACACTCCATGCTGTAGAAGAGGGATTTGTTAAAAAGAGGTGTTTTAATCGAAACTGAAAGATGCTTTATTCTAGAGTAGACCTTTTTAAGACTCATGCAGGAGGCCTAATGTAGAGATTACGGTATTAATGTTGTTGTCACGAAATGATTATTTGATTATTGGAACAGGCCTGAAGCTTGCTCGGACATGTCATAGAAGTCGCTGTGCATTCGTTGACTTTGTTCGAGAAACGTGTCCCGACGTAGGATTGCCACCCTAGTCCGCTTTGCTAGAATTTTGTTTCATTCATTCGCGAGCCTCCATATCGATGTGTTATATCACCGTATATCCACGTTTTCCAAAAAACCGTCTTATTTTAAGGTGGCCTGATATGTATTTATTCCCGTATATAACTCATAATATAAGTATGCCATGTACCTTCACATATATCAACACTATATAACAAGGCCCACATAGCATATTGCAAATGCTGGAGCTAACTATAATACACAAATGACAGGAATTTTTTAAAGGTATACTGATACATCTTGTAGAGCCAAAAAATGGGGTGGGGGGCAGACTCTTTAGCCCTTGTCTTTGTGGTCTCTGCAATAATGGTATTAATCGTATTATTATATTTTGATTTTTTCAACAGGTTTTCTGCTGTAGTGCTTATTATTAATGTATTTGTTAAAAAATATAAGTATATTGAGCATCATGACTGTCCTCATTTTGCACTGACCCAAATTTTTGGCATGGTTGTTGTTAATACTTTCATATCATTCATATATGTACACTTGTAGTATAACATCAGGAATTTTTTAGAATAAGCTAAATTACCACACCAGATTTTTACATGTACCAAATGTATTAACATACATAAAATGAACCCTGAAGAGAAATTAGTCAAAGGCAGCAAAATTATATAAATAAGTAAGAATCATTAATTACATAGTGAGTGACAATTAATTGATAATTTTTACTATTAAATCAATACTATTGAATTCTCAAATTCCCATAGCAGAAATAAAATTTCAACTGCTTATACTACTGCTAATTTCTTTAAAATCAGTTCTGTATGCTTTAGAAATGTTGCTTTGGCTATTAATATCATCATCTAAATGATTAGGAACTTTTCCAATAGAAATCCGCAGATTTTGAGGGGAGCATCATTATAAACACGTCTAGTTTTGCCAGATTTCAAAGGCAAAGATATTTCGCGCGAAAAAATATTTCAACAACTGGAAAGAGTGTGCGAAGTCTGGGTGCCTCGATGGCTGATCAAGGCTCGATACAGTATTGTATAAATAGAATTCCAACTTTATTCGAATCTTGGAAGTACCTTTTTTGGTTGCGTCAAAAAATGGTGGTCCCCATGTACTTACGACGAGAGGGAGTTGGGCTGGCTGCGCAAAAACAATGAGTCGAAACAAAACAATTTTTATGAATACTCTTGAAACGTCGCGTCTGGACGCCATCTTTAAAATACAGCGTACCCAAGATTAAATAGATTTCGGCATCAGTCACTTGTTGCAATGGTGTTCACTACCAAAATACCACTACCAGTTGCGATAATTAAAATGTTTTGGCAGTTTTGCGACACCATCTAGATATTGTATTTGAGGTTCTCAATGGGAACTTGCAGTGAAAGGAATGTGAATTTGAATCCCTCGAAATACATCTAAGACTATGGGCCATGCATTCATTTAGAGCGCTCTTTCCACACAAAAATGCTACATATTGTGAAGTCTGAACGGTGACTGAAATGCTTATTTTTAATAACGAGTATTTCTGCAGAATACCAAAACCAAAGCAAACCCGATATTTGACGTGTTTGCGTGTTGCTTGTGTTGCTTAGCAAAGAAGTATAGTATTTTCTCAACTGTAGTGGTTGTGTAATCCCCTGCGATAAGCCTTGGTGTCTGAGATGAGAAGTAGATACTTTTTATACAACAAGAGTATTAAGTATTTGTATAAGTCATTTATCACCATCAAATATATTGATTCAGTTTGTCTGGATAGGGTTGACTAAACATCGCTGACCTCCAGAATTGATTCCGTGTTGATTGAAAATGCATTCCAGTGGAGTGTTCAGTTAGAGGCAGTATAACTGCTTGATATCGAAATCATATTATAGCTGTTGTTAAAGGCCATTAAAAAAGGCGTAGTTGTGTAATTGTAGTTCATTACTTCGACGCAGGTGAGTTAATTTATCACTTCCATACACCCCCGTATAAGGAAAGGAGGCAATGAATTTGCTGGGAGCTAGTATAGAACGAAAGTGGATTATTACACTTACTTAGAGTAATCGCATTTCCTTACCTGCTTACATTTCCTGTTCACAGTGTATTCCAGAGGAGTCAAAGGCCATATAGCACGGAAAGATGATGCATGGTCTACGTAATATTCCAACCTAAATTACGTAAAAGATTTCGACTTAATTTCATAATCCGAAATCCAAACAGATGTGGTTGGCACGTGTGTTTTTTGTGGAGGATACCCTATTTGCGGGGCCAAAAATCGAACTTGAAACCAGGCATCACGTGGATTATAATTTTAAATTACCAACGGCCTTAGCCTGGCATTTTTAGCCTACAAACTCCTTATCATTGCATATGATATCTACACGCAGACTAAAAAATTTCAGTAGGTTTTGCCAGAACCACATGATCTGTGTTATCTGTCTGTGCGTTGGCCTGCAACCTGAATTAACCCGCAAAATGCCTGGCGTTTGGCCATTTTGGACTGAAGCTATCGAAATGTGTTATCACTAAAATAATTAATGCTCGTCTGTCTGGGTGGGCTTTTTAAATGAGCTTCATTTCTCGAGAAATTCTTCGTTTTTTTGCATGTGCATATCTATCAGCAAATATGCTTTACAACTACGACTGAGATCTGGCGAATCATAATAATTCATTTCAAATTGCCTTTATAGAAAATACTCTGGGTTCGAGGTTATGTTATGACAAAAATGTCTAAAGTACCTTTATTAATCTAACCACATGATAATTTAAAACATCGATCAATTTAGAAGATCCGCCTGCCCTGAATGTAATTAGACCTAACTTAAAACTAACAAATTATCGATCGCAAACATCTCGAATTTAGAAATTGTTTATTTCGTACATGTTACAAAATTTGTACACGTAACTATATGCCGGTTGAAACTAAAACCCCGTTTACACTACACTCAATTTATTGGCACGGCACGGCTAAAATTGGTACTCGTGCCCATTTCATCTTTGCTCGGCCTTTGTTTTGGTAGCCTGAATACTAATAAAATGGGGTACAGGTACCAATCTTAGTCGTGCCGTGCCGATAAATCAATTGTAGTGTAAACGGGGCTTAAATTACTTAGTAACGATATTTACTGAGCGATAGCCAACTCGATCGTGCCCTCTTTCGTACTAAATATAACATGATCTGTAAGTTAATACTCGATACCATAATTATAAATGGATTTAGTGTAGTGGCCGGCCGCTAGATGCCCAGATCTGTATAAGCATATCCGTTTATTGTCATATTTATATGTTTTTTATTCCACCGAAAAAAACATATAAGGCTAACTTTGAAACTTATTCCTTAAATCCCACAGGGGGTAAAATTTGATAATAATATGGAGGGTTTTTATTTTTACTTTTAGCAATTACTTTGAAACTTTATTTTTACTTTCAGCAATTACTTTAAAACTTTTTTTTTACTTTTAGTAATTAGCAATTACTGACAAAACTTTAGTTTCTCTATAGTTTTGTGTTGCAAACATTTTTCACAAATATCATCGGTCTCATTAACAAGATTCGGCTAATCAATCGAAGATAATAGAATGCATTTTGAAGCCGGTTCTTAGCCTCAACATAATCAGGGCTTCAACCAGACGTTTGAATTAAAAGCGGAGTGAATATCCAAAACAATTGTACCATTTTAAAGATGAAAAGGCTTAATTATTATTCAGTTTTGTCAACCAATTTTTTTTTGTCATATGCTGCTAATTAAATTGTTTCTGATGAGTTGATATTGATAAAATGAGCTTTAGACAGGAAACAATCACATTAAATGCACATTTCATCCAAAGCTTTTCTCTGATTTACTTATATTACTTAGAGAAAAAATATCGCTGTGTTCAGTTAATTGACAGATCTACTGTAAAATTCCCCAAGTTTGTTTAATATTCTAAACGTGAGATGCTCTTCCCTGTGTCCCAGAGTTTCGTATGAAACTCTTGTTACTTACAGACCCGACTGCACACTGCATTATCGCTGTATTAACTGAATTATGCACGATTGAAAAAAGGCGATGATTCAACTTTCTCTTTCACCAAATATAGTATTATTCATTCTCGAAATTCATTTTCAGAATTTTTTTAGATACAAAATACATGTATCTTAATAAGCCTTTAAGCCATTTATCAGTCATATCAGTAAATATTGTTATTTAAGCATTGCTGCTTCGCAACATGCATTGATGACTTATTGTTAACACATATTGTTTGCAAAGAACAGATTATAGAGGTGGTAAAATTAAAATAGACATCATCCTACTTGAAACCATGCAATACTCATATTAGCAATTTTTTGAACTACTCCAAGTTGGACAACAATAATCAGATCGAAAAATACTATAAGTTTAATATTTGCCGTAAAAATTGTCATTAAAGCCGCCGAATTTTAATTTCATCTATGATTGAAAGGCTGGCTAGAATTACTCAAAGTCAATGGTTCAGGCATGCCTCACATTAATACTTCCGTTATTACTACTATCTGTAGAGTGGCTGTGAATTCCAACGCTAACATATATATCAATTGATTTATGAATAAGTTTATTACTTGGTTTCCTTGGGGCAATTCTGACTTAATTAATATAATTATCAAATTAGAGTATAATAATGATTTATGGTAACACGACGTATAAAGACTGGTTTACCATACTCGTAATTCATCGCTGATATTCCACGATCCATTGTCATTGACAATAAGGCTGAACTCTTCCTGCACATGAAAACATTTATGAATCAATAACCATCGACAATGGAGATCGCCCCAAGGGATTGCCTTTTCCATATGTCATAATTCCTCGTATTTAAAAGTAATTTGTTATAATTCGTTTTTCATTTGTCGGATTATGCAAAACAGCGAATTACAACATGTGAAAAACGACAAATTATGGCTTATGATAAAAGCAAACCTTTTAGGTCTTGATTCCTTCGAGTTTGGTACATAAAATACTTTGTAATTTGGGAGGAGAAAATCGGCTGAATTACGGCATATGAAAGTCTGGTTTAATTAACAAAGGTTGCTTTTTGAATGAAACAAGTGCAAATCCTGTGATAATCACAGCATGTTTAATTAAAGTATTTTAGGAATAGTTGTCAAATATGGGCAATACTGGAGAATATTGTTCTGAAAATGATCCAAAAGCCCGAGGGGAAATCTGGGAGGTCACAAAAAACACCGTCACACATTTGTTTTTGATCATTTATTTACTGTGATTAAATACGACCTTCATATAGCTATGAGAAAAAAACATTTCTTGAACAGCTGGACTCCCGATTGAATACGGTAAAACAACTTACATTAATCCTGTTAGGATATTCAAGATATCCTTTGTCTATCTTAAAACCATATTAGTCAGTCAAATCTTGTTATGAGCAATATAAATATATTAAAGTGTGCGAAACCTTTAGAAGAATTTCCTAAAAAAATCCTTTCTAGAGTATTTCAATCATGCACTTACCACGCACACATGTTAGTGTATGCTATATAAATTATATTTAATATTATTGTCCTTTTAAAACGAGTTCTATTTCATGAGAAATAACGTACTCAACAGAATATGTTCATCTTTCACAAGTTATATTTATATATAATTTATACACAATATTTACAAATTATTTATTATTTCATTGTACACGACATTCTTTCTTCGATTTATTCTTGCGTTCGGTCTTAGGTGTCCTGTTTCCAGACGGGCTAAACACCCGCTGTTCAGGTGAAAAGCCAACTTCGTCTACATAACGGATCCTGCGCAGGTTGGGATCTGCGAGATTAGGGTAACGGACTGGGTTTGAGAATGGATCTTCCCAAGGGAGTGTCTTTTTACCATTTGATCCTTTCCGTTCCCTTGTGCTGGATTCTGAATTAATATTTCGACTCGTTCTCCTCATAGGACCTCGGGCGTTCTCAGATGTACGAGTATATTGTCCAACATTACCATCAAGCATTTCCATCGAATGAGAGTTTATCTTATTCACTTCGACATTATATTCTCTAGGCCGTGTTTTGTGACTTGCCTCGCGAACACTACTGTACATCCGTGATGACAAAGAACCCATGGAACGACCATTTTGTTTCGCAGAATTGTTTGTGTAAACAACTTGTAACGGAGCATCACGATTAAACTCGTGGTCCTCAGGACCTCCAAGTAAATCATAATAAATAACAGTTTGGGTATTATTGTTCTTTTTTGATCGAATCAGTCTATCTTTATGTACTCTGGATGTACAAGTGTCAGTCTCATAACCTCTGCTTTCTTGTTTTCTTGATCTATATCCTCGCCTCTGGGCCCCGTCAGTTTCATAACCACGTTCGACGACATCATTATACACCCGACTTCGACCACCGTCCGTGTCGTACCCGGAACGCGATGATTGTCTCGGACGGTTAAATTTTGACTCATAACTACGAACAACTCTCTTGTCCGCACTTCGTATGGGTCTCATAGCACCATCAGTCTCGTAACCACGATCAGTACTACGTTCACTTGACTTTCGTGACACACAAGTTGTACTAGGACAATCAGTATCATACCCTCGATCACGCCCACGTCTTGTGTGCCTGTCAACACCATAGCTAGAAGACAAGAATCTATTTCTTTGGATATCTTCTTCCATGAGAGATGACGTTTCGGTTCCATAGTTACTGTCTTTGCTGTCTCCGTCCTCGACAGGAATGGCTAAAATTACGTCATCGTCACGTGATTTTTGTTTTCTTGGAGTACTGCGTGACGAATTGTTCAACTTCAAGTCACGATTACGACAAGTTTCGATAAGTTTCACATCACTTCGTACATTGTTGAACTCATCAAAAGTTGTTTCTTTCACTTTTCTCAATTTCGGAGCTACACTGATAACTTCACGCTCGCGAGCAAGGTCATCTTCCAAAAGTTTATTTTGTAATGATTGGGGTACTTTGGGTTTCGTGAGAACATGTGGGGAAGCTCGACTACACGACGCTGAACAGTATATTTCATCATCTTTAGGCATGAATGGACTGCCAACCAATGAAATACCACATGTAAAACAACTGAAGCACTTATCATTTGCATGCCAATGGAGATCACCTTTACTGAGTTGATCATCATCCACACCAATGACATCTCCACAGGAATGACAGTATTGAGCAAAACGTTGCTCGTAACAAGAACAACAATAAGGACGATCTTGTTTCATAATATATCTCTGCCCTCCTAATACACTTTCACATTCGAAACAACAAAAATGCTTTTTGTGCCAACTACGACCTTCAGCTTCTGTGAACTCCCTTGCGAAGATAAGCTGTAAACAAAACAAAAAAAGGAGTTTACAACATGACTAATTCTCCACGGGTGTCATTGAGATATTCAGTACGTTAAAATGATTAAGACGACTAGTTCGGATAAGGGGATTAAAGACAAGTTATGTATGGAGTTTAAATCTTGTAATGCAAGTATGAATGTGTCTATGTATGACATGTAGGTATTGCGTTTATGCAATGATACGTTTAACATCAAAGTACTGCAATGATGTTTGTTAAACCGCTTAGGTTTTGAATTGACGAACATCCTTATCAATTATGTCTTTATTTCTAAATAAACACATTTTTCATTGGAAAAATGTTTTTGCTTTTTTTTTGTATAGTGCAAATATTTACAGTACGATAATAAACAAACCATCCACCTGGTCTCGAGAGAGGTTAAATAATATGAAGAGTATTAACAGATTCCTCCAAAAATAAGAATTGTAATTTGTAAATATATACTGTAAGTGTCTCGATGATCTTACCTCATCACAAGCACAACAACGCGGTCGATATTTCTCAGCGTGGTGACGGCCACAATAAACCATCTCGTCTTTATAAAAGTAAACTAAATCAACCAATAACTCCTTGCAATCATTACAACAAAAACAACCCGGATGCCAGAGAGCGTTGCTGTTCTTCATTCGACTAGCGTAAACTGCGATATCGCCATGGTAGACCTCTTCATCACACTGAAAATAAAATATTTAACCTTAGTTGCATTAACCTTTGTCAGTTTTGTTTCTTAAGTTGAATAGGAAGTGAAGAAGGGGTTTCTTTCCAGCATAATTACCCTGGCGGGCCCGCCCTAACATGAACTGGAAACAGGTGTCAAAAACAGTGAATACGTAATACAAGAGTAAAAAAAGACATCTTCGTTGCCATTTAAAAACTACGTTCCTCATATTACAAAATTTGAAAAGTTTTCTCTGATAGCAAAGATGGGATCTTAGGGCTAATGCACTATAATTCTGACCCCCCATCCAAAGGGCAAACGTAAGTATGTATATGTAGCTCAGAGACGGTAGATTGGTGACAACTCTGACAAGTCACATAATATTATTACGATTTTTTTCGCAATCGACTTCAGCACGTTCCTCAAAAGGGACATAATGCTCCGTTCACACGATCCAATTTTGATGGATCCAATTAACGTCTGATGGATATTTTATAGTCTGTTAACTTGCAATATGTATATATGGTGTCTACAGTGGAGGGGGGGGGGAGGTGTATGCTCAGTGGGTGTATGCGACATATTTGGCTAAAAGCATCCAATATGGCGGACGTATTGCAATCAATGATTGCAGCCTAGCAGATGGTTTAATACATGTACGTAAGTATATTCCTATTAGTGTTTCCTCTTTCAACAATGCAATATACACTTAATTTAATGAATGTTTAAAAAGTCAAACAAAAAAAGCTGACCCACAAATAAAAAAGTTATTGTGGGGTTTGAATGAATTGACTTTTTATAGTTGTGCTTTATTTTATTAAGAATAGAATTTTTTATCAATATTATCTTGGACAGTGTAATGGTCATGGACAATAATCTGTGTTAATTAAACTACATAGTGGGGGTATCTTTTCCTCATTGTAATCCATACCATGCCTTGGGGGTAGGGAATCAGGATTTACTTCAACTGAAACACTTGTGGGAGTGAACACAATATTTGTCCAGAAATATAAAAATATTATATGAATTTGCTATCCTTTAGTCTTCAGGCTTGTATTGTAGTTAGATGTCTGGAACTTTGCAGCAAGGTTTGCTGATGATCCTATTCAGTTTCCTTTGAAATTGAACCATGGCAGTGCTGGGTTATATATGGTACAAGTACAGTAATTATATCAACAGATATTTAATTACTTTCACAGTACTACTGTGTTTATGGACTGAAAATGAACAAATTACCTCTTCGCATAGTAGCCCTTCTGATGTAACTTGTTTCACTAATCCTCGAGCAAGAGCTTCTCTTTTTCTTTGGGAATTGAAGAGCTTCAGTTCACGTTTCTCTGATTCACTCAGCTTGTTACAGTACTGTGACTCACTATCGTGGGCTGGTAGTTGGAATATGAGCTGACGATTTCTGTATTTTTCTCCAGGGCTACTGACGTATGGAATTTTGTCTTCAGGTAAGGCACTCATATAAGCAAACACCTGCATGCAAAACAATATGGGTTAAAATATGAGTTGAAGTTCAGTAGTTGAAGTGATTGTCAAGTCAAAATATAAACATTTGCTATCAGTTTTCTAACAATGTATATATACAGGATGTACTTGTTAAAAGTCCTTAAATTATACCATTGAGTATTAAAATTCTAAACTATTTGGTCCAATAAATGTAGTCTTAAATCTCATTGTTAGGGAATTCCTAGCATTTCCTGAATTACTTTCCCACCATCCATACCAGCTTGGCTATTTATTTCATCACTAACAATTGCCATCACCATAAATATCTTAGAAAAAGACAATCATGAAATCCATGTCAACACCAACAAGTGTATATAGTGACAACATGGTGTAACAAGGTCATTAAAAGCATGCGCATATTCATTAGTTACTTGGCTGAAAAGTGTATGGATATACATGCAGTTTTCATCTTGTTTGTATTATTGTAAGAGGCATTCAACACTACATAATGTATATTCTACCTGTTCTGGAGATAAGCCAACAGGAACCCAACAATATTCTTCCAATGCGCAACCGCTATCATCATCACTGACAAAACTATTCCGGTTGAATTCTACCATAAACTGACTGGTTGGTATTTGGTCTAGCTCGTCCAGAAATATGTTGTGCGCTTCTCTGGGACACTTGCAGTGACTGCAGATTTTCCTGCAAAATAGTGAAATAATTTTAATCCTGGTATCTCGGTTTATAAGATAAGAACTGATGATAAAAACAGTGCAGGTGTCGTTTTCTCGTGATCAATCGCTTTACTATCGTTTTCAAAAACAAGTGATATAAAAACCAAAAGGCATATTATTCCTGACCGGGATAAAGTTACGCTATTAAGAAACTGTCTAGTGTATACTGCATGTGTCTAGTGTATATTTGAAAGTCGATAAATACTAGTCAAAATTTATTTCTTCCGAAATATTAACAGCAGTGATAGACCGCGGTTCATCGATTACCGGCTGCTATAGTTCTTAAAGTGATTATAAAGACAGTATCTACATTCATTTATTCGTTTAACGTTTTTGGTAGGGATACGTTTTTAAAGTAAACAAGACGCCGTTCTGGCGTTAACTCCGGCGCACGTGCCAGTCTTCAATATAGAGCTTCTGAACATAAACAATACAGTTCGCGTATTGTTTCGCATACATATTCGCATTTAGATGCCTTGCGAACCTAAATGTTCGATCGCAAAATTCAGAAGCACATCGCAGTATAGAAGTTCAATTGTTCAAAAATGTAAATAAACCGCATGATACATTCGCTTCGTCTTACACTTTGCCTTTGGAATTCGCGCTTATATATAGTTGTATTAAATCTTCGATCCTGTGCAAACTACGCGACGTGTCAACGCGCCCATACACGACCACATCATCTTGTTAAACGGCGAAATAGCAGCGATATTATTAAAATAGGACCGAGTCTACATGTATTAAATATATTCTTACCCCAATTCAATCTAAACTTAATCGAACAGCATAAAAAGAACGGTTTATTTGTTCCTCTTGGAGGAATTGCCATATCATGCGAGCGAAATCGAATCGCGCATTGGAAAATTAGCCAAAGCTGTGCACCACAACTCTTGGGAGATAAGACTGGGACGTAGATAAATACGATCACATACACTATTCAAATACTAGTATATTTCGCGCCATTACAGACTTGCGACGACGAAAAATAATAAAAAAAAAAAATAAAAAAAAAAAAAACAAAAACAAAACAAAACCGGGGCGAATTTTCAACTCCGTCGCTGACGCCGGAGTAATGAAAATCTATTGAATTCGAAATTGAATTGATTTGGAACGAACTGATGTTTATCTCTGTATCTCTGACGTCTGAAAGACACGAAAGGTCGTCTCCAGTATCACACGAAGGATAGTAAGCAAAGTCAAAGACTCAAAGACAAAGTACGCGCGCGCTGTTTGTCCTATCACATCGTCGTCGTTAGAAAACATATTCGAAATGCTAGCATCTGAAATAGAACAAGCTGTTTTTCAAAATTAATCTAGTATAAAAAGCAAAATTCAATTTCATACTCAGTGTGCCTAGTATGAGTCAGCTGGAGCTATTTACACAGCTTAAAACTTCATAAGCCGTCGGATATGTAGAATAAAATATGCAAGGCAAACTTGATAACTACAAGTATACAACTACTATATAACTTCCGTGTCTTTATACTATAGTTATACTTTTATACGTTACAGACCTTCTTCATATAATCTGATCTCTGTTGTGCAAGAAAAAGTTCTGTCGTTTGACACTAATACAAAACATCAAATAATTAAGCTTTGAAAAATGAATTCTCACTTTCCATTAATCTACCACAATTTAATAACATTTTTGTGTTCACACCGGACTTTAACGAGAACTTAATAAATCTGTATATGCAAACACAAACGTGTCAAACTAATCCTCAAAAGCTGCTTGTGAAAGCAGAGTGACGGAATCAAATAATTACGTTGCTGGGCCCCACTAAAAATATGCCAGCCTTTTTGATCATTTCGATGCACTATTTACTGCATGTGTTTGCTCCGGTTAATCAGCACTAAAATATATTACGACTATCATATCACAAACATTTGGATTAAGCCATATATACAGTATTAATACGGAGCTATCTATCGTAGGGACGCGGTCCTAACCGCGTTCTTAATCAATATTGTAAACAGTGAATAAGAAAAACTGCCACTGTTGCCCAATAGTCAAGGCCAAAAGTCCATCTTCGATGGCTATGGCGATGAGAAGAGATATATTTTCTAAGGTTTGACGGTTTTATTTCATTGCTTCACTAGCGTTGAAATAAAATATAATCCAATTAGCATTCGTTTTCTTTAGAGCGAACAGATGAGATTCAGACACAGTAATACATTGAGATAGGCCAATAAATTAATCCTCTATGTCTAATACTTCATGACCCAGCAGGACTGTTTTGACGGCCACAAGAAAAGTAAATACCCAAATCAACTTAGGATGGGCAGAGAATATTCAATCTGTAACGTGGCTGTTTGAATTAAACAGTGTGTATATATATATGAGTAATCCTGCAATCTGATACACTTACAAAATAACAACTGGCCCATCACGTTCGCTCATATTAACTGCAATACGTACTTACCTAACAGAAAATATGGCCAGAAAAACTCACTTAATGCACTCGAAGTGTTGACGTTGATTTACCAGTAATGCAAAACAAGTGTATTCAGAGAGTCCCAAAATACCAAGGTGTTATTTAGGTTGTTATGAATGTTATAGCATGAATAATCAACAACTGTATGTTATTGTTTCGAAATATTGTCCATCTGCTTATTCTGCGCTTTCTTACACAGTCTTAGAAGTAGGAGAGTATTACTAAATCGAAACGAACAATCTTTTTAACATTTTTTGTTTGAACATCGGGCGATAAAGTAATGTTTGCCTGACGTGCAGTCATGTTGGTTAAGAGACGCAATATAGACGTAAAGCAAACACAGTATGGTTACCCTAGACAACACTTTATGATGATTTTTCAAGTTTCTAACAGAATTCTTACCAGACAAAGTGATGCAGTGAAGTGTCCTAATTATATTATCACCTTACGAACCACCAGGCTCCAGACATTTCACTAGCAGTGTTACATGTTAACGCTATGGTTTCTTGTAACTGCTTGACAATTAATTCTACAGGCCATCAATTTTTTGTCAATCATGCACGAATGGCAGCACATAATCTAACGTCTCTTTCGCCGAAGTGAGGAGCAAAACGCAAATAGGATCAAATACACAAGCAGCTCAAACTGTAAATAGATTAATCATATTACTACGGGAAATTTGGGAATGCGACAGCCTGCTTCGGCTACTTGCTGAATATATTAGTAAAATCGTCCCTAACTATCCTTTTTAATTAAATAGCGTAAAATCATATATATGAGTCTCAATCAAGTTATTATTTAGAAAAGAAAAGATGAGTGAGAAAACATGGTGTCTTTGTTCGTATCGTGATTTTGAAAGCATTCCTGTGAACGCGCACTTGGTGGTCATAGTATTTGAAGGTAAAACATTTGCAAGTTATGTTATTCAATATGTTAGGCTGTAGTGCTTCAAGCCGACGGGAAACCACAGAGCTCGCTGTTTCAGGAAGTCGTAAAACTTCAAATAGAAGCATTGAAAAAGTGTAAATTTTCTAATTCATTTTAGCCATAGTGAATCGATTGTGTTATAGCCATGTCTATTTCATTTACCCACACATCTAAGCCACCTGTGACAGACGCACTACTATATTTAAATAATATATGTCATAATTTCTCACTTACCTCCAATAATGCATCGAGAAACCGGGGCATCCATCGCCACAATTCGTACACGCTTTTTCTCTATCGTCACAAGCCATTACGCTCTATAGACACGAATGAAGAGAGGAAAACATTACATACCTATATTATCTCTTGAGAGATGTTTTGTTAATATCGTCAGAAGAAACGTCTGTGAGAGCACGGTTTATAAATGGCACTCGTGGAATGATATGTAACCTTACCCTGGTCTCTTTAGACCGATGATCTAGTGCCATTTTCACACACGATCAGTAAAGAAGGTTGAACGCCGAGTGCAGTGAAACACGGCTGTTTCCACGTCAAGTTATCCGACTTAAAAATACTCTTACGCTTTTGTAACACACACTAGCCTAGTCTTCTTACTCGCTTGTCCATTGTCAAACAGCTTCCGATTAAAACTGCTTGATTGACAATTATGACATTAATTAAGCGCAATAACCAATGAAGTGGCCACTTCGAAATTCCTAGCTATCATCACTATAAATCAGTTTCCCAATGAACACAGTCGAGGCTGAAATTCGTAAGTTCGCAAATACCAGCGTGGGGTACAGCCACTTGCAGGTTAACAACAATAAGTAATCATCGCATAGTGCGTTGCGATTTACTAAAGTACTCATCACCAACGCTAACTTCATCCTGAGAAATGTTTGCCTACACTCAGCAAGATACGCCTTGTCGGAAACATGACAAATCATGAGAAATTCATTTAAAATTACACGCCGTACTTATTATTTTGCTTTCCGAGTTGAAACCGGATACCGAGACCGTATCAACCATATCACATTATTTATTTTGGTAGGAAATGCCTGAGATAATTATGGAATATGGGCACTTTGCCTCTCTCGGAGAGCGCTTTGTCGGACGGAAACAAACAGTCAGACTGATATCAAACTGTGTAATACTAATATTCATTTAAAGTTAGAAATTATTCAGGACGAGAAAGAAATTTTCTAGGTATATAAAGCACTTTAAGGACAATAATATGATTTTAAACGTTTTTTTAAAAACTTGATTCATCATTGAAAGTAAGCCAAGTGACTCTCCCTAGCGGCTAGCACCATAAATTTATAGGTCGTGCACTTTACACACCGCTGAACCCGAGCATGCATGCCGATGCCAAATTCTTCTGAGACATTAGATCTAATTAGGTAGAAAGAGGTTTAAAGAAATAAATTATCTGCGTCGTCGATATGGGGAGGAACAACTCAGTGACTTTTAATTGTTTCATTATAAAGACATGAGTGTAAGAAGATTGTACGACTTCGAATACCCTCTTAAAAAACACGCCTGTAACCTGATTAATGAGTATTATATAGATTACCCCCAGCCATTTGACCCAGCAAGTGAGAAAGTCGTGCAAAATACAGGCATCATTGCCGCATGCGGGAAATTAATTACTTTCGTTGTGAATCTCAAGGTGAATCTCTCTGGATCACTTTAAAATATCTCTTATAGGCCTACGTAAAGATATTTCTGATATGGCTTACGACGTTATGATAATTATAGTCAAGCTCTCGAACTATTTGTGCCACGCAAGGCAAATTATTCAACTATTATCGGATACAGATAATTCTATTTCGGTGGCAATCAATTCATTTTTGTAAGGTGAATTTCATAAAATGGCTGAATAGCGAAGGAGGGATAGCCATGATTATGAAATTTCATGCGTGACAAAACTAAAATATGTTAATATTTAAATCGAAGTCATGATACAAATATTAACTTTTTATTGTGATTATTATTCCACTTGACATCGCATATTAACACCGTACACTGTAGAGTAGTATAGATATATAATATGCGTTGAAGCCATGGTCTTTATCGTATTTATTATTAATTGATGACATAAGACAAAATTGAGATAAATGCAAGTTTAAAGAAACTATATAGTTGTTACCTAGTTTAGCTCCGAGTGATGAAGTAAAGATGAAAATGTGCAGCAACTTTAGGGGGATATCTTGGGATGAACAAAGCTGTCGTAAAACAATACGTTGCTATCGACGTTTCTGTGTTTGAAAATAATTCAGACACGTTTCTTCGTTGTTGTCGGCAGGCAGCAACATGCTTAAGATAGAGTCGCCATGCAGTATAACCATTCACAGCTTGATCACATGCGCTCAAAAATTTGTTGTAGTTACTTTTATTCAAAGAATCCTCGCTAGGAATGTCGGCAAATCCTTTCCCAGAGAAATTTTAGTCTCAAATTCCGTGGGAAAATTGTACTTGACAACTGATGCTTTTAAATGATTTCATATTTCATAATTTCACCCAATACCGGTAATTCTGTCCGCACGGTGATGACACGACATCATTAGATTTCATCATTCGTATGTAGACAAATACGAGTGTATGCACGTTAGCGATACTGACGTCGTTTATAGTTTTTAATTAATGAATCAATTACCCTTAATTAGGAAAAACTGGATTAAGACTTTCAGTCCATATATTGCTGCTTTGGGACGAAATGAATATTACTGTTGAGACCATGTGACTCATCAAGTAGATCTTTGCATGCATGGATTTCATGGACGAAAGATCGCAGGTAGACAAACCAGTAAAGTATCTTATACCACGCAAAGCTCTACTTACTAAATTATATTCGCCTCAATATGGAAGTTAAATCTTTTAGATCGAATAATCTTTGTTATTTATGTCCATAGCTGTTCGCATTCTGCGTATATCATCACTATCGCGTTCAATGAATATGCATGCAGGTTATGAACGACACGAGAAGAGCTGAACGTTTCGGTCCACGTTATTACTGTTTGAACTTCCGTGGTTGCTCGGTATATTCCAATTATTGAAGTAAATAATTTCTCACATTAACGGACATTTAACATTTTTCATTTCTAATGAGAGAACCTTTCCCTCGCAAAGCAGTAATCATATGTAGCTAGGGTTCACTAACTTCACTGATATATAACTAATATAAGTATTTAAGTCATCAAATGCGTATAAGAAAACCTTCCGACGTTTCGACCTAAGGGCCTTTGTCTGAAGAGATAAATTTAATTCAATGTTTTTTAACTTTGGCTTCAAACTTATACAAAACATGGAACAGATCAGTTAAAATCATTATATTAGTTTGATACATCATTATTTATTATACAATATTGATTTATATTAGTTTTTTCATCAGGGTCTCACTTTTACATTTTCCGATTGTATCAGAAAAAAAAGGTAGGAATACCTTTTGAATTAGTAATTCAACTAAATACTAACTTTACATGAGAGTCAAAGGATGAATATACATCGATATGTTCGCATCAGATTCAGATCCGAACATGAAACATCATAATGCAACTGTCTGATGTTTGTGACAAACTGATAGGTAGATTTAGGCAGATAATATTTTGACATAAATGTTGAGAGCGCACACTTACGGCTGATCTAAATATTATAATCTAGTCACGAAAAGACAATACCTATATAATAATAATTAAATTGTTATTTTCTGTTGTGTAGTACTTAGTACATTATTGTTGCGTGCATTGAGGAAGATTTATCTATTCTTACAATAGAATGCTTTCTTGTAATAAGCAGAATACTAGATTTGGGGTTACTAATATGTCACATGTGTAAATCTATAATTATGACCTAATATAAGCCATTCATTAATTTCTTGTTGAGTATCAGGCAAAGGCGCGATAGGCGTGTTTAGCAACAGGTATAAAAGATGGCAAAGTAACACCCCTCTCCTGACAAAAATTCTTATCAAGATTTTACACAAGAATTATGAATGAAATTTTACCTTTGATGAAATCTTCATTACCGCTGCAATTTTGTGATGTTCTTCTTAGCTGATTATTCCTATGTGGTTCACCCAGGGCTGTTACATATTAACAACACACGGTCTAAGTGGCAGTTTTAGGTTTATTCAACATGAATGATTAATATGTTTAGATTTTAAACATCTTTGCCTTTGTCCTCGGTCCAAATTAGGTACCGCCCCCTGTATAAATTATTAATTTTCTTCATATAAAACTTCAGTTTTGCAATCTGTTTTTCTCTCAAAATTAGGAGGGAAAGTGCAACTTAGTATGAGCAATAAGATTATGCCATATTGCAATCAAACATGAGTGTTTAATCTATGAGCATGCAGTCAATTTCAGTGTTTGAACTGATATTGCTGTATAGTCCTAGATATCGAGTTTCAATTTCCCTGCATTTAAGTCAACTCCTAAAATATAATTATTATGTAAACACGAAATTACTGTAACACGAGCGTAATATAAACAGAAAATCCACAATTGGAAGAAATGCATACAATGAAATAATATGAATCCACTGATTTGCTTTTTGCTCTCGTATGTGGGCATCAGTGTTCTGACTAATTTATTCAAATGAAGTAAAGTTAAACAGTTATTCCTAGCATGGTATCTGCTTCTTATGGCCACCGACACTATTCCTGTGAGACACTGGATACTGATGAGATTGCGACGTGAAAATAAAACAACTTAACCACATCAGAGTCGAAATACCGACGGTACATACGTATATATATATGTGTATGTCAATATTTTGATCTACATCTAGCTAAGAAATGGTCTTTGCATGCAAGCAATGTTGTCTATTCCATATTTTGTCATTAAACCCCCTCAACACAACCATCCACTTGTAGTATCCGTTTCATGTTTTCTGAGACTATAAGATCTTTTAGAATAGTACAGATATAAATACTTTAATTAAGCTCGCATGGATTAAGTTGGGTGGGATAACTTATCGCAAGCATTCTTCATTTCAAACAGTATCAAAGGCAGGAAAAGAATAATGTTGTCTTTTACAACAAAACTGACTAACTTTTCAAAGCTCAACCGCTGTGAATTGGGTTCTTTGATGTTTACCGCCACTCTGTGGCAGGTCGAACCTCAAAAGCGTTAGTAAAGCAACGCTGCTTGTATGCTTTGATGACATCATTTTCGGTATGAAAGTGAAATTTTTATTACTCAGCATTCAGGAATTCATAATATAGATATAAAGTTTAGATTTTCTTCAAAATAAGCTTTGTTTTCTATAATCGTCTTAATCAACATATCTTTTCAACGTAAATTGGTAATAAAGCATT